ATATTAATACATATAAATGTACAAATTATTAATTATTCAAATACATGTCCCTTAGCTAGTTATAGATATTAATTTATGGATACTATAGTATATAGCTAGATGTAAAGTGGTGCTATACATTGTTTTTCTAATGTTAAACCATGATTACTAAGCTACGTTGCAAAGAAACATCAAAGACATGCACCTCATCTTAAATTCTTAAATTATCACATCAACAAAATCTTTCTTTTTCCAGATACTATTTTGTTACCACTGTAATTGTTTTTTTTTCGACATCCTCATTATATTATATTGCATTACACACATTACAAATCACAAATTTATAAATACAATTAATTAAAAAATTACAATTAAAGAGTACACGAAATAATTAACTTGGAATATTAAGAGATTATTTACTCTAGATCTACAGAATTCGTTGCATTCCCACTAAAATAATCATCATAATAAACGAATTATGTTGGGTAATTAATTTCACTATAAATGGATTTTGGCCTACCTCTTGAAATTTTAATATATTAATAAAATTATTAATTATTCAAACTTCATGTCCCTAGCTAGTTTAGATATTAATGACTTAGTATGATAGAGATGTAAAGTGTGCTATTATGGTTTTGATTACTAGCTACGTTGAGACATCAGACATGCCACCCTCTTTCTTAATTATCACTCACAAATCTTTCTTTTTCCAACATTGAATGATTTTTTTTTTCCAAAATTAAAATGAATTACATTAAAAAATAATTTTTTTATTTCCAATCAAATCTTTTATTGAAAATTTAATTCAAAATTGTGTAACGATAATAATTAAATTTTAGTTTCAAACTACTGTCAATAATGTAATTAAGTTCGCTATGTTGATTATAATCGGGCTATATATATATATATATATAATTAATTCGGATTTGTATGATGTGGATATATTTTTTTTTTTTATCAGATCCTTATATTGCAATAATACAAAGTTGGAATTGAAAATGATGAAGCCATTGGAATAGGTGGCAAATTATAACGTTGTCAATAATGATAAACCCACCCATATACTAAATTAACATACTTACTTGCAGCATTTGAACAGCAACTCAGCAAATTACTCACACAACCTATTTTGTCTTGTAGCAAAGAAGTGTTTTTTAAACTACCAGAAAAGGAATGCTTTTAAATTATTGTCGTTTAATTTTCTTCACCTGACGTTTTCTTCGCAAACATGGAACTATCACTGCCTTACTCATATCAAAGAAAAAAAAGACCATTGCACAAATGGCACGATAGCAACAACACATAACTCGTTTCTTACCAAATCCAAAAGATTAATTAATTAAGATTTGATTGTTTCTTCTTCTTCATCTTCTCTTTTATCTTTTTTAATTGATCTTTGCTTTGATGGTATTGAAAAGGATTTTTGTTCCACCAACTCCACACCTCTTTAAAGGTTAAACCTTATCAGCTTATCCAGTTCAGGAAGTGAGAAACGTTTTTTTAATATTTTTTCTGTTTTGTTTTATCTATGTCCCTACATAAAAATATCTATGATTTTTCCAAACTTGGTAGATAGGTCACGATTTGCAACTTGCATTTGCGTTCTTCTTAACTTGCAACTTGCACCATGCGTGGAGATGTTAGATGAGGAGCCTGCTTTCCCCTCACTTATCACGGTTACCTAACCTCTTTACATCTTTATTAATTAGCTTTACCAAATGGAGGATAAGAACAAATCAATAATTAATCAAATCAATAATTAATCTCCTTAATTTACTGTAATTACAGGTTACATATATATTGTTTTGAAAATACCATGGTGCAATATTATATTTTTTATCCTACAATTTAGCTAATCTTCACATTCGCCGTTCAAGCAAAACCTCGTTAGCTTAAATACAATTAAAGATTTATTACTATTAAAATCTAATAATAATTTACTAGTGAAGTATTTATGTTGGTGTAGAAAATCAAAATTCATTAAGAATTTTTCATGTATATATCTTAATCTAATTAGTAATAAGAGTGAGATTATCTAAAGTAGGTGATACACATGAATTGATAATTTTTGATATATATTACTAACATGGGAAAAATAATTATACCACAAAAAAACATATAGATAAGGAGTAATTAATAGGTTTGCAGAACGCCATTTTTAGACAAACTACACGTTTTTCCTGTTTTGGGGCTAATAAAATATATGCTTATAGCAAAGCAAATTTGAATTACGCGATTGAAATGGAGAAACTTAGTTGAGTTCATTTGATATTTGAAGCAAAGCAAAGCTACTTAATTAGTTAGATCCGTAGATGCACTTACTTTTCAATTTTCACGTTCAAAATGTGCAACTCAAAAATCAAAATGATAGTCAGAAAAATAAAGTCCGAGGATTATTTTACATGGCTTTTACAAGTTCAATAAATCTATAGGCTGTAGCAGTAAAATCATACTCTATTTGTTATTTTAATTCACTGTATTAGCAATTAGCGAGGGGTTTAGGTCTAGGTCTAGAATGCCTAAACGGCAAAAAACCTGTGTTGGTATCAGATCAGATATGAAAATTGAAGTCTATCGAATAGAGAGCAACCAACAAAAAGCGTCTCGCTAGAAAACGACACACGTACTGTGGCTGTCCTTTCATAATTCATTGGCATTCGATATGCTTTCCAACAATAACCTAATGCTATACGCTGGATACTTCTTTCTTTCTCTTCGTCCTTTCACGCTATTCCCACCCAGCAATTGCACTCTGTAATGAACACACTAGCCCTTTTCCTTTCTGGCAGTAACTTTTCATATGACTTCAGTGTTTATAATCTTCGGTGAGTTTGTGAGAATAAATTAAAAAAGTTTCTCTCTTCAGCGTTTCAGGCAGAAAACTACTAAAATAGTTACTTTTATTTCGAAAGAATTTATTTTATTTTTTACATATTAGTCTTAGTTTAATTATTAAAAAAATAATTACACATCAAAATATAATCTAACGGTAGACATGGTAAACAGTTAATTAAAAATTTAAAGAATAGTAAAAATACATTTTATAGCCTAATCTGTGATGAGAAGAAAGTTTCCATTTCACCTCCAGTAATTTTTGAATTTCAAACGAGTATGAAACAGCCGCCCCTCCTTTTTTTTTTTTAACTTTTGAATGGGATCAAACAGACTAATCGATTGCACTTGATAGCAGCAGGCCAATTAATTCCAATCTCCAACCGCACCCAACCCAACTCAACTTTAGCACTAATTTGTCTTTTCATTGAACCCTATGCATGGCCTTGGCGCTGGGGCCCCTTTGACCATAAACTTTGTCTCTATCAAAAAAAAAAAAAAAAAAACTATGAATTTTCAATCTAAAATTCATTGAAGCATTCAAAGATAAATGCTTAAATAACCAACAATTAACCTATATTCTTATTACGCTTAGGTAATATAATTCTTTTCACTTTCAATCTTATACTGCGCGTAAAATTCACGCATATAATCCACTCTACCGCGAGCATTGTCATCATCAAGTATATGACAGCACACTACCCTTCCGTTTGTACTGCAATGAAGTTACATATTTCATAAAGGACTAAAACAAGTGAGTTTATTTAAAAATCTTTTAACGTGGTTGATGTTGTGTATAAGAAAATATATATAGCTAATAAATATAAAGTATTTCTTCATCTCCAGCGTTCAGGCAGATAAAACTAACTAATTAAAATATAACGTAGCTATTTATTTCGAAAAAGGGAATTACTTTATTTTTAACATAAATATAAGTCTTATCGCTTTATAAATTATTCAAAATAATAATTACTACATGTGCTATACATAAATCTAACGATTGCTAGATACCAATAAGCCCAACTACACAGTTTAATTAATTAATATCTATTCTAAAAAGAATATAAGTGTTTATAAAATAACATAGTAATATTTATAGCCTAATTCTGTAGATGAGAAGAAAAGTTTCTAATATATTCCTTCCATATCTTTGATTATATCTAAACGAGTAAATTGAAACAGCCGGTCCCCTCCTTTTCTGTTTAACTTTACACTTATAATGAATTAAGGATAATCAAAACAAGACTAAAATATCGATTGCACTAAAATGTATCTAGAACAGCACGGCGCACATTAATATAAACTATATCTCTCAACCGCACACACCCTTATACTTCAATACTTAGCACCTAATTTGCGCTCTTATTCATGAACCGGATGCATGGACCTTAGTAGCCCAACGACTGGTGGATCCCCTACCTTGATCCATCAAAAACTTCTGTCTAATCACTTCAAAACCAAAAAAGAAAACACACCACACCCCAACTATGAATATCAATAAGACCATCAATTAGAGAGTGAAATCAAATATATAAAGCAAGAACCAAAGAAACCGGGCCTGAGAGAAACCTGCCAAACGAAAAATTGCCATTTGCCTACCCTACAACGTTTATTAGGGAACCATTAACCTCACTTATTATTATTGCATACTTACCCTTATACGTTGTGTGGGTCCATCAAATTAATATATCCTATATAAGACTCACCTCCGTCTTACATATATGTATAACTCATCTGTCTTCGTTCAGAGAGCTAGCTAAAAAAGCCGTATGTTTGGCCAACGCACACAGCCCACAGCCCAGTAGCAGGAATGGACAGCACGGACAGGATCGCGTTTCGTTTTCTCTAATAGCCGACTTGGCGAAGCTGACGAGGATGACAGATTTATAAGATCTTCTTCCTCTCCGCTTCAAATAGTACAGACCAATCACATCCCTCAGAAAACGTAAGAAAAGAAAAGAAAAAAAAAAAAAAAAAGAACTATGAATAATAATAATACCATCAATAGAGGAAATCAAATTATAAAGCCAAAAAATAAGAAACCGGGTAAAAATGCCAACGGAAATTGCCATTTCCTACCTACAAGTTTATTAGGGAACCATAACCTCATTATATTATTATACTATACGTTTGTGGGTCCATCATAAAATTAAAAGACTCACCCTTCTACATATATATAACTTCATCTTCTTTTTCAGAGGGAGCTAGCAAAAGCCGTATGGTTGGCCAACGCACACAGGCCACAGCCAGTGCAGGAGACAGCAGACAGTCTCGTTTCGTTTCTCTATAGACTTGGAAGTTGAGATGACAGAGTTTTTTTAGGTCTCTGCTTTGGTTTTCCCTATAACACCATCACATCGCAGAAAACGAAGAAAAGAGAAAGAGAGGATGCCACAGCGAAAAAGGCTAAAAACTTCCTATGCTAAATCTGATCTGTTCGATGAATTACCAGACGATATTGTCGTTTCCATTCTTTGCAAGCTCAGCTCCTCCGCTTCTTGCCCTTCAGATTTCATCAACATTCTCATAACGTACGTGGCTAATATATGCTTAATATGTATGCGTAATGTTCTTCTTCTTGATATTGTTTTGATTGTTTAAAAACAGATGCAAACGATTGAATCGGTTAGCTGCTCATCCTCTAGTTATATCCAAAGCCGGGCCTAAGACGTTTGCGATCAAAGCCAAAAACTGGTCAGATTCTGCTCACCGGTTTCTCAAACAGTGTCTTAACGCCGGCAACACCGAAGCCTCCTATACTCTAGGAATGGTCAGTGTCTGCATATGATATTCTTCATATCTCTATTTGTTTTGAAGAAGTCGAAAACTTCATTGTCAAACTCTCTTTATTTTTTGTTCTAGATCCGATTTTATTGCTTGCAAAACCGAGTAAGTGGAGCGTCATTGATGGCAAAGGCCGCCATCAAATCTCACGCGCCGGCTCTCTATTCTCTTGCTGTTATGCAGTTCAACGGAAGCGGTGGCTCTAAAAACGACAAAGATCTCCGGGCCGGTGTCGCTTTATGTGCTCGAGCCGCCGTCTTGGGTCATATCGATGCGCTTCGGGAGCTAGGCCATTGTCTCCAAGACGGTTACGGCGTAGCCCAAAATATTACTGAGGGACGCCGTCTCCTAATCCAGGCCAACGCGAGGGAGCTGGAGTCAACTTTACGTTCCATGCTGAAGTGGCAACCGCAGCGCCAACAGCTGCACCTGCAGGAGCACCGACAGCCGCAGCCTCTCCAATATACTTCCTGTGTGATCATGGGAAGCATGGGCTGTCCATTGCTAAGCGACTTTGGGTGTAATGTGCCGGCGCGGGAGGGGCATCCGGCGAACCAGTTTTTGAGAGAGTGGTTTGAGTCGGGACGCGGGGTTCTTGGGCCAAACTTGAGGTTATGCTCTCACAGTGGATGCGGGCGGCCGGAGACAAGGCCGCACGAGTTCCGGCGGTGTTCTGTTTGTGGCAAAGTTAATTATTGCTCGCGGGGATGTCAAGCACTTGATTGGAGGTTAAGGCACAAAACGGAATGTATACCAATGGAGCAGTGGCATGGCGTAGACGGCGGTGATAACGAGATTGGTGGAATGATAGAGATTGAAGATGGTGATAATGTGGGTATTCTTCAGTGATAGAGATTAAAATTAAATTTTTGCCGCTTGATTTGGAAAATTTTTTTATGGTAAGGATATTTTATTTTGTTTAATTTTATTATTTATATGCTTTTTTAATATATTTTTAATGTACATATCGGAAGGGGTTATGTAGCAATTTTGTACCTATATTATGGTAGGGGAAAATCATAGAAAACGCCTTTGCCGTTATATATATATATAATTAATTTGCTCTATTTTTTATCCAAAATAAAATTAAAATATGTTTATTATTTAACTCTTACATGGTCTGTATATTTAACAATGTTTTTTCTATATGTTTTACTAAAAAAAAATTATCTTAATTCTTGTACAATTTGTACATAACACAACCATAATAATAAGTTTATTTTTGTTTTCATCCATTCTAAAATATAGACAATTTTCCTTTTGAGATTACTATATATATCAGTGCCTTATTTAATTTGCATCGTTATCAAGCAAACAATATTAAGTGTGATATTGGAAAACTATATCACATATTAATCCTGTTTATACAGTATTATTTACATATATTTTTTTAATTATGCTATATATAAACAGAATTGTACTTATGAGCATACAATACAACACATCCATCATCATGTAAACAATCGAGTGAGATATTTAGATAGATATACATAACGAAATGCGAGACTGAAAATAACTGTGTTTATGATAAAATAGACTGATGATGAGCCTTTTATCACAACTATCGTGAGGCGTGAATAGATTTTGTTGAGTTGCTAATATTGTTCCAACTATAAACACCCGTCACTCTCCCAGATAGATACAGAATTGTCGCGGAGGGAGGGCAGGAGGGACGCCGGACGCTAACAGCCATTAACCATTGGACTGGAAAAAATGTAAGCAAAGCAAGCAGAACCGCTAGGCGACAGCCACGTGATTAGCTCTGGGAGCCACTAATGCGACTTTGATAACAAGTAATTAAAGACGGCCGGCAATTATAGCCCCTTTTAAACATTAATAACGGGCTGATTGCCATCATTCTCTCCATTTTAAAAGTTTTTACTAAATAGGAACAATTTTTTCTAACAAAATAAATTAAATCAAATTTTATAAAAATATTTATGTATATTTTATTGTTTTTACCCAAAATCAAATTAGATCACACAAAACTGAAGTTCTTTGGATCTTTCTTTAAATTGTTTATTATTCGAGTGCACAAAGTGATTTTGAGAGAGGAAAATTTTTCATAAATATAAAATTAAATTATTCAATTTCGAATAAAATTTTTGTTACATTCATCCAGGGTAAATAATATTACTTTTCTGAAAATTACTAAAAAAAACCAAGCAAAATGTTGCTTGTGGCTAGGCCCACGAAGTTATGACAATGAGTTGGCTCCAATGGCCCAACCGATACGGTCAGGATGATGAAAGGCCTAATGAAGGGCATTGTTTTGTTTGCCATTTCTTCAAGTTGCCTGAGCTCACAGAGGGCGAAGGAAGTTTCCGGATTTATCTCATCTAATGTGACGCTCCGATTAAAGGAAAATTACGCAAATATTTAATTGGGTGGAATGCAATATAATATAATTAGAGATGTCGAATAGTGATAAATATATTACAATTTGTTATTATATTTTTTGTCATGTAATTGAAAAATTTTAGTTTTACAAAATATATTTAGACATTGTTATATTTAATACAACTTCCACTTTACCGCTATTACTTTAATACTTCTATCCACATTGTTTTATTTAATTATGTAATTAATTTTATATTGCAATTTAATTTATTTAATAAAATTATATGTAAAATAAATTAATTTCCAATGACTTTACTTTTTTTTCATTACATTATATTTTCTCGACTTATTTTCTTTTAATTTTTTTAATTTGAAAAAATTTATAAATTTAAATCACCTCTAATTGCTAGATATAACAAAAAATTTTGCATATATATATATATATATATTGTGGCGGTGGAGTGGTGATGGAAATAAACGGAGGTTATGAAGGTAACACTGAATGGTAAATTTTTGAGTTTAAATTTGACTATTATTTAAGTTTTTAAAGAATAACTATTACATTATTTTAATTAATGGTAGATATGATTGTAATACTAATTGCAACAAAATAAGAAAAAAATCTATTTAAATATCGCAATCAACTATGTAATGTAATTTGTATTCTATTACATAATTAATTACGTGGAACTTGCCTCATTTTAATTAAATTTTAAAAAATTTAAAAAATTGATTCTCGTTCTCCAATTTAAATTATGAGGCACTATTTTTTTAGAAAAAACTTTTCTAGAAATTCAAAACATTAGTTTTCAAATTTTTTAAACTAGAATTTTATATTTAAATCTTTTTATTTCTTCAACTTTTTTTTTTTAATTTAGCGATTTGAAACAACCCGAATTTTTATTTTCAAAGATTTTCTAATTAAATTTAATGTACCGACAGCCTGAAAATTAATATTAATATTTTAGTGCAACTATCAAAACTACATGAGAAAAACCGAACAAAAACTGATTGAAAAAAGTCGAAAAACGTTGAAAATCGATGAATGGCCGAATCGCAACCGAACAATCGAGTTCGACCCAAAACCATCTTAGAAAATTCTCTTTTTCTTTTATCTCCAATGCTAAACTCACTCCCCCCTCACCAGCGCATCTCCACTCCATCGCCACTGCCATCACAGCGCCACTGCCACTCTTCCCTCTTCTTCTTCGTCTTCTTCCTTCCTTTCTTCCTTTCTTCCTTTTTTTCTTTCTTTTTCTTTCCTTGTGCCTGCGTTCTTGGCGAGACAAAGGCAACGCAGCAGAGCCGCGCGCCACTGCCACTCCGCCACCGCCCCTACTGCAGCTCGGCAACGCAACAGCTCCGCCAGCAGCTCCTCGTCTCCTCGGCCAGATCGCGTTGGCGTTGCTGCTTCTCTGTCGCGCTACAGCCAGCAGCACAGCTTGTCAAGGCCGTCGCGGCCACTGGCAGATCGGGCCTCCGGCCCGGCGTCACAGCAGCTCTTGCCGCGCTCCAGTGCACCTCCGGCCACCAACCTCTACCTGCCTCTTCATTCCGGCACGTGTAACCTTCCAATTCCGGTTCAAAGTAATTCCAGCAGCTATATTTTTTTTAAGTTAATTAAATAATTAATTATTTTATAATTTAATAATTAATTAAAAATATTTTAGTTAATTAATTTTAATTCTAATTAATTATAGTTAAATGAAATTAATTTATTAGTTGTAGTGAATTTTATTAATTGTAGTTAATTAATTTAGTAATGAATTAATTTTATTATTTGTAATTAATGAGTTTAGTTAAGTTTAGTTAAGTTAATGTTAGTGATGATTAGTTAATTAAATTAAACTTATTGTTTTGTAGTGAATTAATGTAATTAATTTAATTTGATAAATGTGAGTAGTTAATAGCTTTGTAATTTTAGTGTGATTTAATTAAAATAGTTTAAATATAATGTTATTGTAATATATGATTTGGATTCTGTGGTGATTTTGAGATTGATGGAGGATGGAAATTTGATTGATTGATTGCCCGATGGATATGGTTGATAGTTTAACAGGGAGAAGCTCAAATCTTTAGGGGGAGATAAAATAAATTTTGATAGAAAATAAAATAAATTTTAATAGAAAATAAAATAAGAAATAAAATATAATTCAAACGAAAACAAATAAAATAGAGCTAGATAGAAAGATAAAATTTTAGTACAGAAAAGAAATTAGATATCGAGATTAAATTACGTAGAAAAATTTAGAATATAAAATAAAATTCTTAGAAGGGTAAGGAGATATTTTGTCTGATATAATTATTTCTTTTTGTGTCATTCTTACTTTGCTTAGATCGCCCAGGTCCATCTAGTGCTCCTCCAGGACAGAATCAAAGCTAGGACTTCGCTCTCCCTCACTGTGAGTAATAATAAATAATGCATATCAACATTGCATTTGCATAGTAATTATTTCCTAAATATATATTATGTCACTGTTACTATATAATTATATTTATGATTGTACATTTGGATGTATTTGGTGTATTACTTTGAAAGCATTGTTTGATTACTTGTGCTGTGCTATACGTTGCCTTGTTTGTGTGGAATTGGGATGAAGTGTGACTATTACATGATTTGGTTTGTGTGAGATGGGTTGAAAGTGGGTCACCATGGGTTTGTGAGACGTTACCCAATGGGATCCTATTCTGATTACTGTTAGCCGGTAAATGGAGATCGGCGCCCGTGGGTGCACCACCCGTAACCTACCGTTAACCACAGGTTGGCTTCTTATTGGGCGCCACCGGATAATCTAGATTGATCGCACCGTAGGGTGCCACCTGTTGTGAGCGCCTATGATCTAGATTTGATGAGACCGACCGGGTTGCCTCTTTGGTATTGAAAAGAAAAGAGAGGAATGCAAAAACGATGAGAGGCTGGTCAAGTGAGATTAGACCGGTCGGCAGTATGGGATCGCTCCCTGGTTGCACATGTAGAGGATGAGCCATTGGGTCGAGGACGGCTCATCGGGGGTCGGTGACTCTACCGACTTAATCACGTATTATATTTGAAAGTATATGTTGTGGTGCTATTGTGAGTTGTGTGTTCATTCAGTATATTAGGGTGCATTTTGCTTGACTGTATGTGGTGTGTATTATTTATTATTATTCACTGAGTTGCAAAACTCACCCCCCAAATAAATCTCTCAGGTACTAAGAAGTAGTTGGTTCGACTGAAGCTCTGCAATCTTCTCCGCAGAGTTACAAATGTAAAAAATTTATATTTCTGTTATTTACATTGGGTTGTATAAATTACTCTACTATCAGATTATTGTTGAACTCCGCAGGTATAGGATTGTGTATTATAATTGGGCCTTATTGTTAGCACTACGCTATAAATTAAATATTGTGTAATTAACTGCATGTGAACCAGTAAGCCCATAGTGTGAATATGATTTATTGTGAATAGGTCCTCGTTAAATTTTATGTAGTATTTGAGATTGGGCCAGATGTTTGAATATTTCTATAAACTTATATTTTATAAGCTTACTGTTCTGATGAAATTGGGAGAGATAAGTAGACAGATTGAATAATTTAGGCTTACTAAGGGCTTCGGGGGCCTTAAGCTTACCTGGGCTCTAGTGCCGGTTCGGCCCACGGAAACGGGTCGTGACACTATTAAATTGCCTTTGTCAGTTTTCCTTTATGATAAATGATAAACGTCATATTTTTCAATTGTTTTGTATTTTAAAGAACGACTTTTCATAATAAAAAAAAATATAATATATAGTTTTTAAAATATTTTTATTGAACAATCGTAAAAAATATTTAAATCATTTAATTAAATATTTTTAATTTGTATTATGCCTTAATATGTAATCAATTTTACTATTACATAAAAATATGTTTTCAATGGTAAATATATTTTAAAAAACTTTATAAGATTGTCAAAAGTTAATATTCTCACTATAAATAAATCAAATAAAAAATGTTGTTATTGTTTTGTAATATCCTATTTCTTCTAATTATGAAAATTATGAGTATTTTTTTTGATTTTTTAATTAAAATATTATTTTTAGTACCAACAAGTGATTTCGTTTTTTATTTTTTTTAAAGAAAACTGAAAATAAAAAACTGGAAATTGCTTTGACAACTTCAATCAAAAGGAAAAGAAAAAGTCCGATGTGGCCGGTTGCGTGGCAAAATTGGCCCCACCTGCACCGCTGTAAGCCTGCAACTCAAATGAACAAAATGTGCCAGGCTCCTGAAAACCCTAGCACGAGTATCACCAAAACCCTTGCGCGTAGAGTAGCAAACATCCCTCCCCTCGAAACCAAGGCCAAAAGATAACTCTTTAGTATCGGATGTCCACAGTAGAAGAAAGAGCTGAGCAATTAGAACAGCTAGCACCGGAAAATGAAGCGCAAGAAGAAGGTGAAGGAGTAGAGGAAGAGCTGTCTTGGTCGTCGGACTCCGAAATCGGAGATGCTTTGGATTGGTTAGACTCGAAAGACGACGATGAAGCTGTCGATGGAGCTATTACTCTCAATTCGAGACGCCCGAATGCTCATGGAGGTATCCACTCTCGTCCTAATTCCTCCACGCTGCAACCTCTCTCTAATCGCAACCAGAAGTTTTCTCATCACATCCGCGCTTCTCCTTTAGAGGTATTTGTATTAATCCTAATTGTTGCTAATTGGAATTGTTTTCCAATTTCTGTAAGATGCGTGTATTTGTCTCAGCTGAATTTTGAGTTACTGTGCATATTTTATCTGTATGTTTATGTCAATTGATGATGCAGGAGTGGGAAGGGAGGTTGAATGTTGGCATGTCCAATTCTGTAACAACTGCAATTCGTGAAAGTGTTCGAGACATGGCTATTGGTAAAACTAAAACCACCGAGAAAGCAGATCGTGCAACTGTTGAGCAGGTTAATATAACTAAATTCCAAATATAACTTATGCATTCATTTATTTGTTCACGTCTTGGAATGCATTCATTTATTTGTTCACGTCTTGGAATATGGGGGAAAAAAAAAGAAAGAAGGATATAAAGTTTCAAATTTGCCCTGTTTGTGAGAGGAGTGCTCATCTGTAAAATACATAGTGTTGGTTTTGTACTTGTTTACTGAAATGTCATTAAAACAACAACACGGTGTTGGTTTTGTACTTGTTTACTGAAATGTCATTACAACAACAACAACTACTAAGCCATGATGCCAAACGCTAAAAGGTCATTTTTTTAAAAAAAAATTTATACCCTTCATTGTTTCATCTGATTTACAGCTTGGCAGTGGTTATTCCCATATGATGCGTGATACTTTGCTATACCTCTTTTCATGATGTTATTCTGCAGGCCTTTTTTAGCTTGAGTTCTCACCAGTTGACTTTTTGTTCTTGCAAAGTATATAATTCTTTAATCGTTATGTTGATTGTAGGCTATTGATCCTCGAACTCGCATGGTTCTGTTCAAAATGCTGAATCGGGGTGTATTTCATGATATTAACGGCTGCATTTCAACTGGAAAAGAGGTACTTCATTACCAACTTGGTAGTTCGATAATCCACGAGTATTTTGTTGCTACAAGTTACATTTGTTCCAATATTGGTTAATATGAAGTCAGCATCTTTGGTATCCAATCTTTGAACTTTTAATTTGCTTCTTAATAGGCAAATGTGTATCATGCAACAAAATCTGATGGCCAGGAACTTGCAATAAAAGTGTACAAAACTTCAGTTCTGGTTTTCAAGTAAGTCAATTGGTGTTTTAGTTGCCTAAGAAAGAAATTGTTGTAGCTGTAAAGGTTTCATTTTTGAAATATAAACAGTTATATTTCACCTAAAATTATTCTTCTTGTGTGAAGAAAGGAGGGAAAAGTTAACCTATCCTTGCTGATTATCAGATTTTTGGCTATATTTCTTCATCAGTCCATGCCGTTGCACAACGTTTTATGCAGTTTGCAATTACTGTACTGATTTTTAGCTTCTAGTTTCGTAACCTTCAATCTCTAATTGGCTTCTATGATTGAGCTTTAAAATGTTGATATAAGGAGCACATTGATGGAGATTCTTCTTGAATATTTGCCTAGGTGTTGGGTTCAATCTTTTGTAGAACCTGTAGTTCTTTCATAAAAATGGCTTCCATGATCGGGATCGAGATGTTGATGGGGGTCTGACATGACTGAATTAGGTGCTCCATGCTGTGCTGTAGATAAATTTATTGCTTATCCTTGCTTGTTTCCCTAATTGTTTTTTTTCCCAGCTGAATCTCGTTTGTTACTTTTTCTTTCTTAAAAATTTACATACAATTAGGTTCCATCTTTTTGCAGATTATGTTGCCTGCATATTTATCATTCATGCAATTTAATGCTTTTCTTACGAAAACTACAGGGACCGAGATCGGTATGTACAAGGTGACTATCGTTTTAGATATGGATACTGCAAGCACAATCCTAGGAAAATGGTGAAGACATGGGCGGAAAAAGAAATGAGGAATCTTATGAGGTAAAACCAACATTACATCGGTGTAATTTGCATGTAATTTTTTAATGGCAATGTAATGTTTACTTTTGTCCTTAAAACCATCTATTTGTGATCTCTTATTTTTATATGGGCGGAAACCTGATTTTTGTAACTTAAGACTTGGTGTTTGTTTTGCATAATCTACTGGAGGAAGAACATGAAAAAATTAATATACTTAAATGTGATATATTAGCATACAATTTTACTGTCTGTACTATTACGTGACTTTTGTTATTGTATGTTGCAGGCTGAAGGCATCGGGAATTAGGTGTCCTACTCCATATCTTTTGAGACTTCATGTTCTGGTCATGGAATTCATAGGTATTGTGCTCTGTTTCACGTGTAGAGTGGTGGATGCAGTTGTTCCTTTTGCATGGAAGAATTTAGTTTGTTAGATGTTTTCAAGTAGATCATGTAGGAAAAAGCAATCTTGCTAACTATCATTGACATGAACAATTGGTTTTAGCGTCTGCTGCCAATGATATTGTTCTAACATATAGACTTGTCAAGTCATTAGAAAACCCTCTTTTAGGCCAACTGCCCTCCACTTGTTATTTTAAGGATATTGGTTCACTGCATATTCTCTCTCCTTTTATTTGTATTTCATTTCTTATTCAATGAAGAGTTTACAGTTTGCTATGTTTTTGAGCTTCTCTTTTGGGTGGGAATCTTTGTTATAGGAAAGGCTGGTTGGGCTGCACCTCGTCTTAAGGATGCTGCCTTATCGTTGGACAAGTTACGAGAAAGTTATGTAGAGGTGTGCCCAGATTTTTCTTTTATTTTTTTCATTTCATTTGTTTTTAATTCTAAATATCAGAAGATAGGGTTTATCATTTGCATTTTATTGTCTGTAATACCATCTTTTCATGTCTTTGTCAGATGATTATTGCAATGCGGACTTTATATCAGAAGTGCAAACTAGTGCATGGAGACCTCAGTGAATATAACATACTCTATTTTGAGGTGATTTTCTGTTGCTTCTTTACAAGCCAGATACATGCTTGTTTTTTTATGCATTCCAAAAGAGAATTTTAAAGATATTATAACTCCTTGAAGAAGAGTTGTTGGCTAGAGAATATGTATTGGTCACATGTTTAACTGTGATATTTAATCTGCATTGTTCCTGTTTTAGGGTCACTTGTATATAATTGATGTCTCTCAAGCAGTTGATCTTGATCATCCCCATGCCCTTGATTTTTTACGTGAAGATTGTGTTCATGTTTCTGTAAGTTCTTTCTACTGGATGGACGGTTACTATTTGCTTTTAAATTTTATTTTTAGAAGGGGGAAAAAAGGAAAACAAGGCAAGTTAATCAAGCATGGGTGACATGCAGGACTTTTTCAAGAAAAATGGTGTTGCTGTTATGACTATACGGGAGCTATTTGACTTCATAGTTGATCCAACCATTACTGATGATACTGTTGATAGTTATTTGGAAGAGGTTTGCTGCCTGACTTGTGGTTCAGATTTTCCTAGAGTACGTACGTTAATGAGATCCTTCTTCTGAGTACTGATACTTTATGCCAGGTTCAACAAAAAATTTTGGCAAGAGAATTAACTGCAGAAGACGAAATCGCGGACTCCGTTTTTGTGCAGGTAATGAATTTGGTTGTCATTTTATTTCACTTGTGAGACACCTCAGGATTAGTTATTTCTTAATTGTATTATTCAAATGCTTACAATGGAACCTAAATGAAAAGAAGTTTTATGATGTGACAAAAATTGTTCGTCATATTATTTCAGATAAGGAACCATTTCCTTCTGCATTCTCAGTTCCAAAATTGCAGGGCTAGGGATTTGACAACTTGTTCAATCTTTAGATCTCCTTTTTGGTTTTAGGAGAACCAGAAATTATAATGATTTCCATGATTCAAAGTGTTGAAGTTGAAATATGCCATCATACCATTCATGAAATATATAAAGTTGAATTTTACAATGGACAAGAATATTTAGGATGAATGATAATTTTGCGAATTGCTTCTTTTATTATTATTATTATTATTATTATGTTGGTGCTACAGTCATATATTCCGAAGACATTGGATCATGTCAAGAATGTGGAGGAGGATGTAATACGGATAACAAGCGGCAAGGATACGGGAGATATGTACTATCAAACGATTACAGGACTAAAGGAGGCTCTTTCTAAAGTTCAATCTTCTACAGCCCAAAAAGATCACAAGGAAGAGGATTTGAACCATGTAGAAGACTCTTCTGTCAACAAAGATGGTCAGTCTAATTCTCATGAGGGTGAATCTGAGGATGAGACAGATGAAGATGAAGATGAGAACTTGAGCGAGTCAGATGACAGTGATTCCTCATCTGAAGTTGAGAAAAATGGTCCTGTTGACAAAAAAGCCGCAAGAAAAGCAAATAAGAAGAAAGTCAAAGAAGAGAAGAGAGAAGCTAGAAAGACTAAGGTCCCAAAAGCTGTAAAGAAAAGAAAGAAGAAATTGGCCAAAGCCAAGAAAACCAGGTAAACATTTCTGCCTAGATTCCAGAATTTATGGAATCTGCAGTTCATTACAGAATTAATTTATAAGATGACTTAAAAGCCACTGATACAGGGGCAGAGGCAATTTTGACACTTTTGTTGTTACTGCCTTTGTCTGTTTAATTATTCATTTTAATTTTTGGGGTTGAAAAGGTACCTGTTGTCCTTGTATAACCTAGTTAGTACAACTGTAAGGGGTTAAGTTCATTTCTACGTCAGTATAGCATGCTTGCATTTTTTTTAACATATGCCTCCGCATTTAAAAATCGTCAAATAGAGAAACAAAATCAAGAAAGGAAAATTAAAATGAAGGTGGAATGTATCTTTTTTTTTTTTTTTTTTAAATACTTGATTAAAATGCAGTGTATTTATTTTATTGGAGCATTCATGAAGTTTACCTTATTCCATTAGTAAAACAACAAAAGTACAATCTAATGCAATTGACTACACTTCTATACAAATAGATGAAATCACCAAAAATTTTAATAATATATTTCTTAATTTGGTTAAATATTTCACCTTTCAATAATCTACCACTAAAATTAAGGTGTTTAACAAATATAATGATAAATTTTTTAAAAATAAATTTAGTGTTTTTAAAATGATAAATAATTTAGGACATGATCCATCGTGGTCATCAGCGGCGATCTCAAAGTCAATTAACAAAATAAAATACTACAACACTTTTGGGGTATCGAGTTAGACGTGGCCAAGGCCGGTACCGTCGGTTCCGGTTCCAATTTTTTTAAAATCAAAATCGAATCGAAAATTAATGATTCTAGATATAGTTTGAAACCAAAAAATTTTGATTTTAGTTCCGGTTCTAAAATTAATAGTTTCGGCCAGTTATCTGACCGATTCGGATCGGTTGAGGATGGTCTTAGCCTGTTCTGGACGATTCTCATCAGAACTGAACTGTCGATTTCGATTTGTTCCTTATGGTTTTCACCGGTTCAAACTGACGGTTCTGATTCTAAAAATTAGATTTTGGCTGCCCCTGTATCGTGCTGAAATGGAATGAATTTTATTTAGAATAAAAAAAGGAATATTCCCTAACATTCTTGTAAATCAAAACCACGTGTCCTTTCATTTTCAGGTTTTTTCCGCCTATCACGTCCTATTATTTTCTGTACAAAAATTAAAATTTGCACTAGAAGTCATATTTTTCTTTTAAATTTACATCTCGTTCTATTTAGCTCATTCCCAAAAATTATATTTATTTAACGGGAAACAATTTTTTTCAAGAATTATTGGTGTTTTTTGGAGAATATTTTGATGTAAAAATAAATAAAAGACTGTTAAAAGAGCTAAATGTAGCCACTAAATTATCGACGTCTTCCTTCCCTGCATATAAATAGTCTCTGAAAAATATAATAGAGGGAAAGAATCATTTCGCTGGTGTTCTCTAAAACCATTAGCGGACGAAAATTGAGGTCATCGACGGTAGAAATCTGATCGAACCAAATTTAAATCTGAGTGCTTTTTGGGTTTTGGACGTTTTATAAGCTAGAACCCAAGAAAACAACCATGGAAAGTAACTTCCAGTTCCCAAAATTGTTGAAAATTGTGTTGTTGCTCTGTTTTGCGAACTTTAGCTCTGTTTTTGGTCACATTAATGGGTTCGCTGAGCAACCGCTCTCTCAAATAGTCATTCAAAAAACTGTCCTTGCTCTTCGCGACTCAGCTTCAATTAAAGCTTCCCCTTTTCTTCTTGGCTTGAAGGTAAGTTCTACTTCATTTCCCCTATTTTGCTTTGTTTATAGATTTATATTTTATTTTAATTAAAGTGGAAACTTGGCTCAAATTTGCTTTTAATGCAATTTAACTGTTTCCTTAACTTAATGCTAAACACCTTGTAAATAAATATGATAAAATGAAAAATCCACGAATGATCAAAATGGATTTTAGTTTCTTTTGTTGGATTTTTCTTCACATTTAAGTATGGGAACCTACACATAATTTTGTGCAATGATCATGATTTTGTGTTATTTAATGGGGGCATAAACTGGACTTTTATATTGTTTATACAACTGCAGGGTGAAGACACTCAATGGGTAACAGTGGATATTGTGCATCCTGAACCAACTGCAGATGATTGGGTTGGAGTTTTCTCTCCTGCTAAATTCAAGTAATGCCCATCTGTGCTCATATTAACAGTTAGGGAAAAATTACACAAAATCCCCGATAAGTCAGATTTGTAAGGGAGCAAAAGAAAATAACACACACAATTTGATAACGGAGTTCGGCCAATCTTGCCTACGTCTCCGGACTACCACAGGAGAAAAATAAAATAAATAAAGTGTTTACATACAATCCCAACCCTCCATCCAAGAATACCCAAAAAATTAGGTTTAATTTTCCTTATTGGATAATCTCTCTATTTTTCTCTCTTACTATTGCTCTCTCTCACAATTACTATTGCTCTCTCTCACAATTGCTCTCACTTTCTCATTTGCTAATCTGCGCTATGTATTTACAAATGGGGGGAGTAGCCTTTTATAGGCAAAAAATTCAATTGTGCAAATTGCTGCACAAATTAATGTCAAGCGGTGGCAGCCATTGCTACACAACCGAAAACTCTTAGGTGTGAGAGTTTTACTTCTTTTCCACTCCATACCTCTTCTGGTATTTTGTGCTCCAATGGTACCGATGGACCTCGGTTGATCAAGTAAGCTGCTATGTTGACTGCTTTTGCCCAGAACTGCTTTGGTAAGTCTGATTGTACACGTAAGCTTCTGGCTCTTTCTGTCAACGTTCGATTCATGTGGTCAGCTACACCATTGTGTTGAGGTGTGTCTGGCACAGTTCTCTCCATCTTGATTCCATGCTCATAACAGAACTTTTTGAATCTGGTGTCTTCATATTCCATGCTCATAACAGAACTTTTTGAACTTGATGAGGCGTGTCTGGCACGGTCAGCTGACTCTTCTCTGCTTTCCAAATATACAGTCTTCACACATTTCAATTTCAATTGACTGAAGACCTGATAGTTTTCCTTGTGAGTGTAGAACCTTCATTCCTTTCTTACTCATATGGCCAAGCCTCTGATGCCATAGATTGGGAATTTCACTATCTGCTGCAACAACAATGGAATAGCTTGCTCCTCCTGTGCTGTAAAGAGTACCACTCTTATTGCCACGAGCAACCATCATTGCACCCTTTGTAGTCTTCCAATTATTGCCATGGAAGGTTATTGTGTAGCCGTCGCTGGCCAACTAGCACACTGAGATTAAGTTCTTTCTCAGGTTAGGAATATGCCTGACATCCTTCAACTCCCATATAGACCCATTCAACTTAATCTTCACTACTCCTTTACCAACAATATTACATGGTTGGTCATTACCAACTTTACCAACAATATTAAATTGGTTTTACATGGTTGGTCATTACCAAGGTATACTTTTCCAAAGTTTCCGGGAGCATATCTTTCAAGAAGTTCTTTTTGTGAAGTTGCATGGAATGACGCACCGGAGTCTAAAACCCAAGACTCCTGCTTGCTCTCCAAAGAGCATATAAGTGCATCATCTTCTCCTGAGGTGTTGCCTCCACCTTCCCCTCCTGGTTCTTAGGTGCATTCTTGCATTGATTTTTGTAGTGCCCAGTTTTTCCACAATTTCAACATTCGATGGTCTTTGTGCTATTGAAATTGCTGGGATTCCTGGATTTGGACCTTTTGTCCTTTGATTTGCCTCGGTAGTTCGATCTACCGCATCCATTCCCTCTGTTTGAATTTCTTCCTCTTGATTCTATATGCAAGATTGAAGAAGTTGAAGGTTCACCTAACTCTCTCCATCGGATCTCTTCATTGAGAACCAGGTCACGAACATCGTAAAATTTTAACTTATTGCTTCCGGACGAGTTACTCACAGCTGTGACAGAAGCATTCCAACTTTCTAGTAGGGAAGACAAAAGTATCAATGCTCGTATCTCTTCATCGAATTCAATTCCAACTGAACTCAATTGGATTGTCACTATATTGAGTTCATTGAGATGTTGGGCCACCGATACGCTTTCCGTCATTCGTAGATTGAATAACCTTGTCACTATATTGAGTTCATTGAGATGTTGGGCCACCGATACGCTTTCCGTCATTCGTAGATTGAATAACCGCCTCATCAAGTGAACTTTGTTTGAGGCCGATGGCTTCTCGTACATACTGGAAAGAGCCGCCATAAGACTTGCCGTGGTCTTTTCTTTTACTATGTTGAAGGCAACATTGCGGGAGAGCGTTAAACGAATGACCCCGAGTGCTTGTCTGTCTAGAAGATTCTAATCTTCTTCCTTCATAGCCTCTGGCTTCGTTCCAGAGAGAGGTTTGAAAAGACCTTTCTGATACAGATAATCCTCTATCTGCATTTTCCAAAAGCCAAAATCTGCACCGTTGAATTTTTCAATTTTCGACTTTCGAGATTTTATCATTGTTTGCGATCTCTTCCTTCATCTTGCAAGCCATTGGCTTCCACTCGAGTCTTGACTCCGCCTGATTGTTAGTATACATAAATAGTTTATGCTGTGAATAGTAACAGTAATAGTAATATAGTAACTATGCGTGAAATTAGTATTCATGCATCTTAGTGACGCCAATATTAGTACTGTTTCTTCAAATCCAAACTTTGAGTTACTATTTTAACTTATTCATTTCTTTTACAAGGTCTGATTCGTATCATACGTCTTTTCGCGGAAATTCTTCTATCGTCTGTGGTATACTTTTTTTCAAAAGTTTATAGTCCACGAAGCATTTTCCAAAAGCCAAAATCTGCACCGTTGAATTTTTCAATTTTCGACTTTCCTTCATCTGCAGCCATTGCTCCCACTCGAGTCTGACTCCGCCTTGATTGTTAGTATACATAAATAGTAGCTGTGAATAGTAACAGTATACGTAAATAGTACTATGCGTGAATAGTATTCAGCAACAGTGACGCCAATAGTACTGCTCAAAACCAACTTTGAGTTACTATTTTACTATTCACCACTAAGTTGATTCTACAACGTCTTTCCAATTCTCTTATCGTCGTGGTATATTTGTTTTCAAAGTATATCCACGAATTCGGTACCACTATCTGACCGGCTCTGATACCAGTTTTTAGGAAAAAATTACGCAAAATCCCCAATAAGTCAGATTTATGAGGGAGCAAAAGAAAATAACATACATAATTTGATAACGGAGTTCGCTCAATCTTGCTTACGTCTCCGGACTGCCACATATTTTTTATAGGAGAAAAATAAATAAAGTATTTACATACACTCACAACTCTCTCTCAAAGAATACCCAAAAAATTAGGCTTTATTTTTCTTCTTGGATAATCTCTCTATGTTTCTCTCTTACAATTGCTCTCTCTCACAGTTGCTCTCACTCTCTCGTTTGCTAATCTGCGCTATGTATTTACAAATGAGGGGAGTAGCCTTTTATAGACAAAAAATTCAACTGTGCAAATTGCTGCACAAATTAATGTCAAGCGGTGGCAGCCATTCTTGAAGAAAGAAAATGGTGGCAGCTGCATACTTTGACATTAACTTCCTAGCTGTTTGCATTCAGAATGTTATTTAACAGAACAGAAATCATCAACTTTGGCATTTTCGTAGAACTCAATTTTTGTGGTGATTGTTAACTGAACTTTTCCGGTGGTGGTTGATAATTGCATTGTCTAGGAAATTTTCCGTATTTATTGTTTCATAAATCAGAAAGTTTATGTTTTGATATGGCAGCGGATCCACATGTCCATTAAATGACCCCAAAGAGCAAACTCCATTTATCTGTTCAGCCCCAATAAAGGTATGCCCAATATGATTTGTGTTTGTTGACCTAAAAACTAAATCGTAATTTCTGTTGCCTTTGATATCCTTGTTCCAGTACAAGTATGCAACAGATTCCAATTCACAGTACACAAAGACTGGCCAAAGTACCTTGAAGTTTCAGTTGATAAATCAGCGGGCAGATTTCTCCTTTGCTTTATTTTCAGGAGGATTGGCAAATGTGAGTGTGTCTTTTGATTAGTTTGATTCCAAAACAAAATTTCTATCTAATTTGTGTTGTTACTTCCCATAAATCTTTGTACATGCATACGTGAATCATCTGGGTACATCAGGTTTGGCCCCTTATATCCTACCAATAATTGAGTTGTATCAAATATTATTGTTATTGTCAAGGTTAGATATTTCACAATTGGCTTCTTGCAGCCAAAACTGGTTGCAGTTTCAAATTCCATATCGTTCATCAATCCTAAAGCGCCACTATATCCCCGTCTTGCTCAAGGAAAATCTTGGGATGAGGTGAGTTGCTTTTCTTTAAATCAATAATCTGCCAAATTATATTTCCAAGATTTTTTCAGTCGAGTTTCACATTAACCCATTTTGGATCATGTAGTGCATAGTGAAAAATTTTATCTTTTCTGCAATTTCTACTTTATTTTATAGGAAAACATAATTTTTATGATATTGACTTTTGATCTTTGTTCTTTTTCCTATAGATTTTTTCCTTAATTTTGTAAACCTGGAAATATGATTCCCTATTTAGTGTGCGAATGCTTCCAATAATTGATTTTGAATGTTTGTAAGTTAGTATGTCTTCGGCTGGTTGGCTGAAAAACTATCGTATCCAGTAATTCAAATAACATTTAACATGTTGGCATGTTGCACAGATGACCATAACTTGGACTAGCGGCTACAACATAGATGAAGCTGTCCCATTTGTTGCATGGGGTTTAAGGGGGGCAACTCTAGCGCGCTCACCTGCTGGAACATTGACATTCAATCAAAATAGCATGTGTGGTATAATTCATTTCATCTACTCTTGATGGCCAATTTTCAATATTTTAATTATGCTGTGCACGTTAATTCCATATGATTTCATTCAAGGTCCATCTTTCGAATGCTCCATTCTAGGTGTGAAATGCATTTACAACTGATAATGTATAATATTACCTTGCTACCTTGCAGGTTCACCAGCACGCACAGTTGGCTGGCGTGATCCTGGATTCATACATACAAGTTTCTTGAAAAATTTATGGCCAAACACTATGTGATACTCTTTATTTGTTCTTTTTATTCTTCTTGGAAATTCATTTTCTCTTTCCGTTCAAAATCTTAGAAAAAACATTTAGGATGCAATAATAATTTTCAGGTACTCATACCGGTTGGGTCATATCCTATTTAATGGTTCTTATGTTTGGAGTAAGTTGTATTCATTCAAATCATCACCGTTTCCTGGACAAGACTCATTACAGCGTGTCATAATATTTGGGGACATGGGGAAGGTAGGCTTGGAAAATCCATAATAAGCTGTCTTTTTACTGATATTGATGGAAATGTTTTTCCCTCTCTTGTTGGTCAAGATGCTTATTTCCGTATACATATTATGAACTTATACATGTTCTTCATAGTTTTCCCTTTTGTGCAGTTAATCAGACATAAAGAACATTCCATCTTTATCTATTATTCCGCTTAACATTTTTCCTGTGTTAAGACTAGTATTCTAAGTTAAATGAGGGTCTCCTTAGACCAACACTTAGTATTTAATGTTAGGAAGGGAACCTGTCCATGCTTACCTCAAATTTTCATTATTTTTAACTTGGATATTGGTAAACATTTTCTTATATTCATGTTCGTGGAAAGAGATTTACACCCAACAATTATCTTTCAGGCAGAGCGAGATGGTTCAAATGAGTACAGTAATTACCAGCCAGGTTCTCTCAATACCACAGACCGACTTGTGGAAGACTTGAATGACATTGACATAGTATTCCATATAGGAGATATAACATATTCAAATGGATACATTTCGCAGTGGGACCAATTTACGGCACAAGTAGAGCCCATTGCATCAACTGTGCCATATATGATTGCAAGGTTTGTGACAGCAATATCAAAGTTCCTTTTATTCATATTGACATAAATTCTGCTGATGAATTATTGTCGGGAGCTTTCTAATATGTATTTACAACTACTTCATGATTCTTCTTGAAGCATATTCATTCTGCTTACTCCTGCAGTGGCAATCATGAACGTGACTGGCCAAACACGGGATCCTTCTATGACACTACAGATTCGGGCGGGGAATGCGGTGTGCTTGCAGAGACCATGTTTTATGTTCCTGCAGAAAACAGAGCTAAATTTTGGTGGGTTGAAGTTCCCTCGAGTAGTTTCTTTCTTTCTCAATTTCTTTTTCTTAATACTTATTTGATAATTTGAGGAGGGAAGGTTTCGCACTTATATTATATTTGTTTAAGCATGTAAATAGTATTATTACATTTGAATGGAGCTCCCTCTGTGCTAAACATCCACAGTTTGTTATTTGAGAAAGCAAATCCAATATCCAGTTACATTTATCTAGCGTTATTTTGATGAAGTTCATGAATATGCAGGTACTCAACTGATTACGGCATGTTTCATTTCTGTATAGCTGACTCTGAGCATGACTGGAGAGAAGGATCAGAACAGTATAAGTTCATTGAGCAATGCCTTGCATCTGTAGACAGACGAAAGCAGCCTTGGTTAATCTTTGCTGCCCATCGTGTCCTTGGGTATTCCTCTGACTACTGGTACGGCATAGAGGGCTCTTTTGAAGAGCCCATGGGGAGGGAAAGCTTGCAGAAGCTTTGGCAGAAGTACAGAGTAGACATTGCATTTTATGGACATGTACACAACTATGAAAGGACATGCCCGATTTACCAGGTACACAGAATGGCAATTAATACCATATTAACTTTTTTATGACATTAATTTTTGGATGTATCGTTCTCACATAAGCTTTTAAGGATTTGTTTTTATTTCTATGATGTATGCGATGGATTAAGTGGTCTGCAAGTCCCACATAGGTTTTATTTTATGTCTCCCTTTTAATGCTTGATTTCTCTAATACATTACTGTTTATGCTTGTGTTGTAGAATCAATGTGTAACCACAGAAAAGAGTCATTATTCAGGCACAATGAATGGAACAATTCATGTTGTCGCAGGCGGGGGAGGAAGCCATTTATCGAAGTTCAGTGATGCTCCGCTTAAATGGAGTCTTTACAGAGATTTTGACTTTGGATTTGTTAAATTGACAGCATTCAATCACTCATCCCTGCTCTTTGAGTACAAGAAAAGCCGCGATGGGAAGGTGTACGATTCTTTCACCATTTCAAGGGACTACAGGGATGTGTTGACCTGTGTGCATGATAGTTGTCAAGCAACCACTGCTGCATCTTGATCTCATATCCTGGTGCTAAATGTCCAAATTCCTGAAGTATTCCTTTGTGATTAGCTTGTAATTTATGAATTCTCTAATAATAAAGCCTATTTGAAACTTCTTCCCTGTCATTTATCTACTGGCAATGATTCAAAGACATAGTTATTAGGTTAGGGATTTTCAGAGGCCAAGAGTTGAAACTCATTGAAAAAAATAAGCCATGCTGTAGTTAAGAGATATCTTACATTACGAAATACACGCCTGAGTTTCACGTAGGCTACAAATCGAATAAAGACAACATAATCCAAACCCATGTACAAAAATATTGCAAAAAGCTCTTTTGGCTTATAATAGGTTGGGTATTACGGTTACATATAAGTTGTAAACTAGATACATTCTAGCAACTAGCTCCAATTCTAATTATAAAAGTGAAAGGAACATTTTTTTTTTTTCTTTTTCTGAACATGATTGCTGATAGATTGATGCCTTGAAAGTGACTGACAGAAACCTTCTGAAAAATAACTAAGGAGCGAGACATCTCATCACTAACAAATCATCATCAACCACCCATTTCAACATCACAAGGTTTGTTTTGTTGATTGTCTGATGAGGAAATAGATGCTAGTAGATCATCAAATTTTAAAGGAGAATGCCGAACCATGTGCTGGAATATAACCTGCAAGTGTAAATTTCGGTGACAGTATAAGTCAATCAAGCTACTAGCTACGCCCATATATGGAATTGGAACCATGACTATTGCATAAAAGTGCATAAAATTAGCCAAGCAAGCATGAACAGACAATTGGATATATTATCCTTCCTATATCTCGAGAGCAGCTCTCCAAGAGACAAAACAGGAGAAAATGAGACCGAAACTAAATCGTCAGTTAACTTTATCATGTCATATTAACCAAATTGTAAACACACTATAAGGGTTATATATACTATATCTAACGAGAAAGCATACTTGAAGATCACATGCCACACAGGAATTGAACAATGCTATTTAGTAGGCTATTTTGCATTTTTTTTTAATTTCAATTCATTAATTGATGAGTCAACAAATAAAAGCCCTGTGAAGCAATAGGCAGACTTATTAGTTATTAGTATAAACGCCAGCCCTCATAGAATATAAATGCTTCTGCTGTATATAGTGCGCAATATAATGATCACCTAGGATTAAAGCAGATTTCATTGTGCAGTATCGATTATGTATTTTCCTACTAACCTTGGAGTAACTGTCTGCAAAAGCACGTGCCCTATTGACCTTTCCAAGAAAAAGTAAATCAGCTTTCTCAAGCTTTCCATCAACGATACTCAACCCTCCTTCACTAATAGCAAAACGTAGAAGAATTCCTGAATGAAGCCCTGTCTAAAAAGTTTAAAATTGAAATTATCATCTTAAGAGAGAAAAGGAGAGGAAACAGAGCAAGTTTAAAATATAAAAATATAGAAAGTAGTGTCGCATAAACCAAAACCTCTTGAACAAAATCCAATTTCAAGCAGCCAAATGTCACAGGACGATCATCTGATGTAATCAATTTTCCATCATCTTGCAGCTCCAAAACTACCTGTCATATCAACAATATTGGCACCAACCTGTCCTAAGTCCCAAAAAAGAATCCACAACTAAAAGAAAAGGGGAAAAAGGATTTAACAAGCACAAGAAAATAGGTCTCTGAAATCTGAAGCAGGTAGCTGTAAACACCTGTTGTTGGCTTGGAACCTGCCCTTTACTATCTGTGTCGATGACATACTGACTACATTTCTCATCTTTCCAGACTAATGCTAGTGGGGTATTTCCTGTTTGATAGTGTGCATGCCTGACAGAGAATCAAAGTGATCAATAACACAGAATCTTTTATGACATTAACTGTAACTGTTCAACAATGTACAATAAAAAAGTTTGTTACAGCTAAACCATGCATGACGTATCAAACCCATTTGGCAGAGAAAACTAAATTACAAGCGTTTCTTACAAGAACTAATCCATATTTTTCATAGGATGGTAACATGCTTGGCAATTTCTGATAGGGCACAAATCAACTCCAAATAGAAAAAAACATTAACCAAAAACAAGAAGTCTCCTCTGAACTCCAAACCTAGGCATTAAAAAGTTCTATAATCTGGAAACAATATTTGCCTTCTTTGAAACACGTAGGGCCAAGTTCTTAATGTAAGGTGGGCACAGAACTAAAAGCCGAAATATGGGCACCTGCTGGCATTGGAGCAGGTGTCACGCCTGCTTTAATGAAAACAGCATACGTGTTCACCCTTAAAATACTGGCAGGAAGCTCAGCCCATGTGAAGCACCACAAATAAAAAGAGTCCACTGCAACGAAAACAGGATCTATTCCAGAGAATAACAACAAGAGGATACAAAAACACTACAAAAATTATAGTTCCAAAAGGCCTTACTTGTTATAGAACAATAAACCATCCTTAACATAAGGAACTGCTCCTGTATATGTAGACCATAGACCAATTTGGTCGCAATTGTATATGGGAACTGTACTGAATCTATATTTATGGTAAAAAGAAGGAGGATTACAAGCCCCAGTCTCTCCAAGTTTCGAGTTCAACCAAAAAAATCTGAACTCAGCAGTGCAGTCATAAAGGGAGTAACCTCTCCAGCAGACCATGTCTATCACATAGTAGGTTTGATCAGGCTGCAAATGCAATCCACATAACACAGCCAAAAAAAGAAAAGAAGAAGAATTAATTGATTAATACTAAAGAGAAAGAAATGCAGAATCTATGATCGGTTATAAGAATTCTGTACCTCATGGAATATGCAGTCCAGTATACAGTATGATTGAGAAGGCCCTGACACATCTCTTCTCTTCGCTCCATTTGGTAAAGCAGATGGGAATCGATGTAAGATACAGCCATTCCTTTGCCTACTAACTGTTGTTCCATTAGAGGAAACAACGAAGCATCTTTTTCCAGCTGGCCTGGCGAACACATACCTGAAGGAAGCAAAGCAATCACTAAAAAGATAGAAGGAAAGGATTAAGATAGAGATAACTTACCAGTCCTGGGTCAAGCAATCGGGGACGTCAATCATCCACTCTGGTAGCATTAACTGCCTCGCGAACCACTTGCGAGCCTCCACTCCTTTCAGCTTCGATGCATCACGGATGTCGAGATCCTTTGACGGAGCTCCGGATTCTTCTTGTTCAGGATGGAGATCGGGTAACGGTTCGGGTTCAATTTCAATATCCAGCTCCTGTTCAGGTTGTATGTTCTGCGATTCGAGGCCTAGAACGGTAGAGGCTAAGCACCGGGCTTGTTGTTGAGCATCTCGGCGGCTTTGAGCTTGCCGCTGTAAAGTCAAGTCCCTCCGCCTCTGTTGGTCGGAGAGAGCCGGCCTCTTGAACGGACGGCGGAGATCGTGCGGTGCCATTTCCTTGAACGCCCCTATTCTGCAAATTTTCGTTCTATAATCGTTTCAAAATTTTTTACGGGGCGGTTTACTTTTGAAACTTATTTTTAGATATAAACGACATCGTTTAAACCAGAGGACAAGAAAGGAACTGAAAGTGCAGTGAGAATCGAAACGCGCCGTTTGGGAGATGAGTTCGTTGAAAAATCTGGCCGCCACGGTTGTAATTTTAACTACCACAACTACTCAAATCAAAGGCGGATGTTTCGATGTTTGGTGTTGTGCTAGTCCTTTCAGACACATATTAACATACACCCACAAACTATGAACAATAGAGTCATTGAACAGTTCTCTCCTTGTGATCTCCGAACTCAAAGGTCTCCCCTTATAATCACTCTGTCGTTGCCTCCGATACGTGTTTTTCTGATTTTACGGTGTTCAGTGATTTAGTTTTGATTTTGCCTTTGGATTTAATTTTTGAAAATGGAGATTCCACTGTTGCGTTACCAGAATATATTATTCGACCAAATTCAGAATAATAGTAGCCTTCCTTTCTCAGTCTCGGAGCATAAGAGTTTTGAACAGAAAATTTTATTTTCTTTATATCGTTTTTCATTCGATAGAATTAAATGGAGAAGTCCATTCACTAAGATCCGGTGTTGTTCACTGGATCAGGGGCTACATCCACGCCCTAAGCCAAAGCCGTCTAAAGTTGACATTGAAGTAGAAGTTGCCAGATCGCGAGATACCCAAATCAAAAGACCCAGCAGGAGACTCTGTAGTCAAATAGAGAAGTTAGTTCTTTATGGGAGGTATAGAGATGCACTTGAGTTGTTTGAGATCTTTGAGCTTAATGGTGGATTTGATGTGGAAAGCAGTACATACGATGCTTTAGTCAGTGCGTGTATAGGATTAAGATCCATATCAGGAGTGAAGAGAGTATTCAATTACATGACGAGTAATGGTTTTGAACCTGATCAGTACATGAGTAACAGAGTACTGCTTATGCATGTTAAATGTGGGATGATCATCGATGCACGTAAATGGTTTGATGAAATGCCTGAGAGGAATTTGGTATCGTGGAACACTATAATAGCTGGGCTGGTAGACATAAGGGATTATAGGGAAGCATTTAGGTTGTTTCTATTTATGTGGGAGGAGTTTTCTGATGCCGAGTCCCGGACTTTTGCTACCATGATACAAGCGGCTGCTGGATTGGGATTGATTTCTATAGGTAGACAGTTGCATTCATGCACTTTGAAGGTTGGGGTGGACAGTGACATATTTGTTTCTTGTGCCCTGATTGATATGTATAGTAAGTGTGGGAGCATCGAGGATGCTCATTGCGTCTTTAATGAAATGCCGGAGAAAACTACTGTAGGATGGAATACTATCATTACGGGTTATGCACTCCATGGCTATAGTGAGGAAGCTTTGGACTTGTGTTATGATATGCGTGATTCTGGTGTTAGAATGGACCATTTTACATTTTCTATAATAGTGAGAATATGTGCAAGATTAGCTTCTTTGGAGTATGCTAAGCAAGCCCATGCTGCTCTAATTCGTCATGGTTTTGGAACGGATATTGTGGCAAACACAGCACTTGTTGACTTTTATAGCAAATGGGGGAGAATAGAACATGCAAGACATGTTTTTGACAAGATGCCTTGCAAGAATGTCATCTCCTGGAATGCCTTGATTGCTGGATATGGTAACCATGGTCAGGGAGCTGAGGCAATTGAGTTGTTTGAGCAGATGCTTCAAGAAAGGATGAGACCGAACCATGTCACTTTTCTTGCTGTTTTAACAGCTTGTACCTATTCTGGTTTATCAGAGAGAGGGTGGGAATTTTTTCAAGCTATGGGTAGGGATTACAAGGTAAACCCCCGGGCCATGCACTATGCATGTATGATTGAGTTGTTAGGTAGAGAGGGCCTCTTAGATGAAGCCTTTGCATTGATAAGAGGTGCTCCGTTCAAGCCCACAGCAAATATGTGGGCTGCACTATTAACAGCTTGTCGGATACATGAGAACTTGGAGCTTGGAAAATTTGCAGCTGAGAAACTTTATGGAATGGAGCCAGGAAAGCTTAATAACTATATTGTGCTTTTGAATATATACAACAGTTCAGGCAAGTTAAAGGAAGCCGCTGCTGTCGTCCAGACTTTAAGAAGAAAGGGTTTGAGAATGCTTCCAGCGTGCAGCTGGATTGAAGTTCTGAGACAGCCACATGTTTTCCATTTTGGAGATAAACACCATCCCCAAATAAAGGAGATCTATCAAAAAGTTGATGACTTGATGAAAGAAATATCTAAGCACGGTTATGTTCCTGAGAAGAAAACTCTGCTTCCTGATATTGATGAGCAAGAACAGCGAGTTTTGTCATACCATAGTGAGAAACTGGCAATTGCTTTTGGGTTGATCAAAACTCCATATTGGGCACCCTTGCAAGTTGTTCAGGGCCACCGGCTTTGTAGTGACTGTCACAAAGCAATTAAGTTGATAAGTATGGTTACTAAGAAGGACATTGTGGTCAAGGATTCCAGTAGATTCCATCATTTCAAAGATGGGAGTTGCTCTTGCGGGGACTATTGGTGATAATAGAAAAATATTGAGCGGTAGAACTGTCAAAAAAATTTTATGCATTAATTATTCTATTGTTTTCTCCTCTAGATATAATGATGCAAGCACAAGTTGTTATTGTAATTTTTTTCAGGTAATAAATAGGAAGTAAAAAGTTCTTCAATCACTTGTTCTTCTATATGAACTCGGAGCCTCACATTTCCAGAGAAAATTTCAGTAATATTGTCAAAACTCAGTTTCCATAACTCAATGTTTTAACTTTTATTTTACACAAGAAAGTACATAATATATATATATATATATATATATCAGAGAAAAATTTCAGTAATATTGTCAAAACTCAGTTTCCATAAACTCAATGTGTTTTTAACTTTTTATTTACACAAGAAAGTACATTAAATAGTATATATATATATATATATATTATATATACACACACGATTTTTAACTTTTCTTTCAATAGTCTATTTGCAAGATTGAATGCAAAAATTTCTGACAAATATATATATATATATATACACACACGCATTTTTAACTTTTCTTTCAATAGTCTATTTGCAAGATTGAATGCAAAATTTCTGACAAATACATAAATCAACTATGGAGCTATGTAGTGGCGTTTTCAATAATTTTTGTGCTTTTTTTCTTTTTCATGCGTCTCAGATTATCATCCTATTTCCTTTTTCAAAAGTGAATAATATTTAAATCTCATTATTTTGCTCTCATTTAATATACTGCTTTGTCAATAAATGTGTTATAATTAAAGTACTACTCTACATGTCCTAAAATATAAATTCTTAAAGGTCTTTATATAAGGATTATAACAAAGCCAAAGATAATTTGAACAATTATTATTCTCAAAATCAATAATTACTTGTAAAAGTATTTATTATATTTATTATAAATAAGAATAATATTGAAAAAATATTATTTATTATTCCTTAAAATACTCAAAACGACTTATATCTTGTGATGGAAGGAATACATTATTATTAGTTAAATTTTAACATAAATAAAATTAAAATCTCAACCACTAATCATCAAAAGGAACCCTGTCTAATCAAATGTTTGACTATAATTTGGCTAAATGATAACAACAATGTAATATGGATTATCTTTATTAACTAAATAGAATGAAGTTGGGCATCAATAATTCCGAAAATAGAAGGATGAGGACGAAGGAGTTAAAAAAAAAAAAAAAATCCCGCAAAACAGAACACAAAACGGCAGCGTATGTGCAGAGAGCGGCAACAAGCAACAACTAGGCGTGTGACGTGGCGCCTGTATCCCTCCTACTTCCTCCTGCATCAAGAGGAAAAGCGAGGGAGTGAAAATTGAAAGAGTATTGGTTTCGTGGAGTTGCAGCTAATTAGGGCAAGAGATAGAATTATAGAAGGCTTCCATTATTTGCAGTAGATAGATATTATTTTCTTTTTTTTTTTAGTTGATAAAGGAGGTGATTAGTTGTATCCATGGAACATACATTTTGGGGTCATTTGCCGCTATTAGTGAGAGCAAACTCAAAGGAATCGGTGGAATATATACTTCAAGCTCTCTGGAGAACCCGAAAAACCGGTCTCGATGCGGCCGACCGCCATGTCATCTGCGAGATGCTACAGCTCCAAAACGATGCCGACCTTGACCCTGTACGTATTTAATCTTCCTTCCCCAATTTATACAAATTTATGTTCTACTGATTTTAAGTGGGTACCTTTAGTTGATTATGTTAATGACAGTTTCTGCGATTTAAAATTGGCCTTAGTACCTATCTTACTGTAAAAGAAAGAAATTATTAATATACAGTTGTATGGATAATGGGAATGGTAATGGCAATGTTTAATTTGGTTAATTGGTATGGTGTAGTTGCTGCAAGTCAGTAAGTCTTTCATTGGATTCAATATATAACTTGGGTTTCAGAATCTGTTTTGATTTTTTGCTGGTATCTCATTATTTCCTGGTCAGACTTATGCTTTGTCTTTGTTATTCAAAAATGTTTGTACATGTAGGTTTGTCACTTTTAGTTTTCTTTAATCAGCTACTAACATCTTCTCCTTTTTTTGTTCATATTGAGTTGTTAAAGTTCAATTTTCTAACTTTCTGTGTGTTGTGTAGCTCTTGGTTTGCCTTCGCATGTTGATCCGAAGGTGTGTTTATGAGAATATAAGCAAAGATGAGATTCAAAAGCTATTTCCCAATGAGGTTCTGCCTGAATTGCAAAGACTGTTAACCATTCTGTTGCAAAAGTTTCATAAAGAATGGAGGGAGGATGTATTCAAGGATCAGGTCTCGTATTATGTTGTTATAAACACAGCCACGTTTACCTCTATTGGTGAGACACAAGTATCTGAATACTCTCAAATAATTCTTGTTCAGGTTATTTTACCCCGTTTGAAGGCAATGACATGGAATATGGCAAATAAGGATACAGCAGAAGTGACAGAACCCATGGCTGTGATAAACTTAAAGGTGTCTGACCAACCATCTTTACTTTTAATAGCTAAGGAACTTTCCTAGAATTTGATTCTGTTTTGGACGAAATTTGAGCCAAGTTTAACAGTTATCATCAAATCCTGAATCAAAAGCGGCATACAAAATGGTAGCAATGTGTTCTTATGCACATATTAATTTTGAACGCTCTTTTTGCAGCTTCAAAATGATGCTCCATCTCACTCAGGAGAATTTGAAGTAAAGTTCCAATTGGCTAAAGATACTTTAGAAACGATGGTAAAGTCTATGTACTGCATAAGAGACCAGTTATCTGACATGGTAAGTACTACGCATAAACATTACCAATTCTTTCTTTTCCCCCCTGTTTAGACTAGTTGTTTATGTCTTGTTAAATTCTTTTCTTGGCAGGATAGCACATCGAACATGCATTTATAACACAAGACCAACAGCTTAGTTTAGTAGTTACCTATAGGCCTCAAAATGTTATGGTGTGGTTCGGATTTGAAATCTATTTTGCTTCAAGATTCAATGGTACACTTTTGTAGTTATTAAAATTAGCTGGATCATATAGAGATGCAAAAATTTTGCTTTGCATTTGTTTGGTTACTGGGGCCACAACATCCAGACTGTGACTCTGAAAGGTTTTATTTAAACCAGTAAAACTTTTAAGATTCTTTTTTCCTATATGCAGCCTTGTAATTAACAATATAATATATGTAATTTGTGAAGCAGGATCTGATATGATGAAGATGTCAGCTTGGTGAAATTTGGTTCTGTTAGCTGGTTGAAGCATCTGCTGTAATGAAAATTCATGAGTAATTGTGTATGATAATTATGCAATCGTGTCTTTGTTCAAGGTTAGGAAGTCACTTGGCTTTTAGTGTATACTACAAAACCTATGTGGAATCATATTTGAAAATGAATTGCAAATGCATGGCACATGTTGGTATACCAAAATATACATTGGCAGAAGAGTGTGAAAGCGAAAGCATTGAGGTGAGAAATGATGGGCACCATTTGCCATTTGACAATGCTTTCTTACTAACATCTGCAGGTTTTTCATTTTCTCTATAAAAGCTTAAAGATGCCAAACATCTGTGGCGCTGATGCAATGATGACTGTGGTAGTATGGTGGTCAAGTGAGGTAAGGAAAAAGAAGATGCTTGTTTTCGAAAAAAATAATAAATTCTTTGATTAATATAGTATTATGCAATATCATTTTGTTGGAGTTACTATGAAAGTGAAAGAGCATGCATGACCATATTTTATCTGGAAGCTAAATAAGTGAAACCATATGAGAGTCTCCATAGGCATTTTGATGCAATCTTTATCAGAGTTAGATACTAAGATCGATGCTATCTCAGAAAATCATGTCTAGCATATTCCAGGTAGCTCCATGATTTATTTGTTACTATAATTGCTTCTTGTTGTTCACTGAATAGCTGCACTGACGATATTACCTTATTTGGAGACTCAAGTTTTATATGATTGTAGTAAGGGTTCATTCAGATACATAATCATTTAAATTTTTTTTATAAATTTATTTATGTCATATTATTTATAGGCTTAGCAATTAACTCTAACAACATTGGTGCAGTAGTTGCTATCAAAGCGATGGGCAACACGGACACCTTCAATTCAAGACTCAAGTATTGATTTATTATTTTACAAATCCCATATTATTAATAATTTTTTATAAGTTTTTGACGTTTATTTGGTTTGGAGCAGATTGGTTAGCCAACAACCCTAATATTCAAAGATGTCTAACTTTCCCAAATTTTTAGGTTTCTTGAACCAAACCCTAATTGTGTATGGTTTGAGTTTTATTTAGTTAGCCCATATGGTCCACTAGTAAATAAAATGTACTCACGAAATCATGGACTTGCAAAAGAAAACAAACAAAGAGTCTTATGTGTACAGTATGTTATAATGAAGTGTGAATCCAAATTCCGTCCACCGTGTTAGGTATGGAATTTGAATTGACAAATGAAGCAGCGTTCTATCTTCTCCTCCGTTCCATCATGCTTTAGTTTCCAAGTACCAACGGTGATTTTTTTGGTTGGATGAGCAAATCTTGCTCTTTGGTTTTGTGACTTTTGTCCTTTTTGTAGGAAAATGGTCAGCTTTTGTGGGAGGTTGGGTTGACAATGGCACATCTTACACGCATCAATTATTAGTTATTGCAACTTCCTAACCAACGACTTAGTATTTATGCGTAATAATGATTTTACTGAAATAAAAACAGCCTTACATATTGATTTAGATAGGTGATTAATTAAATTCTAACGCTTGTTTCAAAGCTAATTACAAATTATAGATAAAATGAAGATAGTTTATTAACTAACTTCAGCCAATATTTGTTGACAAAAGAAGGCTCAAATCCTTATATAAACAATTTTTTCTAAATTAATATTACCTCTTAAAAAATTGAAATTAAATCTTTTTTATAGTGTTTTCTTATATGTTGATCCCTAAAAAATTTTTTTAGATCTATTGTAAACTAAAATATTTGTTCATATACATAAATATATAATTAAATTGAATTTTTAATTTACAAAATAAGTGCTCCCTGCAAAAATTACAGATTATTTAAGAAAAATGTAATTTACGTATTTGTGAAAATAACAAAATTTTCTTAAATGTAAATAGTGAGTGAACCAAGTCAGAAAGCATTCACTGAATGAAATTTGACATCTTCAACATCTTAGGAATAATTGAAAGAAATGGAAGAGATGTGAAAAGAGGAAAACCAACTAAATTATATATGATTTTGGAAGTAATGAAAGAGACTATTAAGTGTGAATAATTATATTTGGTATTAGAAAATGGAGCCTATGCTAATCTATATCGTCAAATGTTTTTCCCATTTAATACCTAATTGAATTAGAACCTTCTAATTGTGTTTCCACAACGAAATTAGGGATCTACGGAGAGGAATAATCATTACAATCAGGACTCACAGAATTCCCCAAAATGCTACAAATTCAAGACCTAAGAACGAGCAATTCCATGTTCTTGTCATCCAAAGACTAGACTAGGTCAATTTCACCATCACTCCGTTCATTTAACTTTCCTTTTCTCTCTCTCTCTCTCTCTCTCTCTATATATATATATATATAAAAATAAACAAGGACCACCAGCCCAACGAGTCCAATTAAATAAGGCCCAAAACGACAATATGCTGAAGAGAACCGCAGGAAATCAACTGTAGACGATCCAAAACGAGTAATAGAGTCATTGGGACGATAAGTCCTGATTGCCATGGCCATAACCTTCCCTTTTTGTTAAGACTTGTAAGTCTTCAACCCCATCATCTTCCTTTTATTACAATAAAACTCTTAAACCAAAAACACCCGCCGGCCAAACAGCCCCTAACTTTCTCACTTGCTTGCACAATCCCAGAAAACCAAAACCCAAAAAAAAAAAAAAAATAATAATAATAAAAAAAGAAAACAGAAATGGGTATATGACCGTGGCGGTATCATCATCATCATCATCATCACCTGTCTTGTGATAATTTCTGATCCATTTCTATTACAGTCTTAATCCCTAAATTTCCCTCTCAAAATTAACTCAAAACCCTAAAAATTGCAAACGAAAAGGAAATGGCCACCACTACGACCACCAGTCTGGGCGGTGGCGCTGATGATCGGGTGATGGCCACAGCACAGCAGATCGTCAAGAGTCTTAACACTCCAAAGAACGTCAGAGAGGATATGCTTCTGATCTTCTCTAGTTTTGATAACCGGTTATCCAATATAACCGATTTGATCAAAGAGGAATCTTCTCGATTAGATGCCGCCGAGAAGGTTATTTTCCGTTGGGATTCCTCCCACCACTCTGCCCCGTCTTGGGAAGATGCTCCGGAGGAGGCCGCTCAATATCTAACTGCTGTCGATGAAATTCTTGACTTGTTGGATGATTTGTCTCTTCGGTCTGATAATGAAACCGTCGAGCGGGCTGAGACCGCCGTCCAGGTCGCTATGTCGAGGCTGGAGGAAGAGTTTCGTCACCTCTTGATTAGGAATACGGTTCCCCTTGATGCGGAGCGGTTGTACGGATCTATTCGGCGAGTATCGCTCTCTTTTGTATCAACCGAAGGGGAAATTGATGGAGAATTTGGGAGTTTCGGAGAGGTTGATAGTGAAAGCCCGTATTTTCACGAGAGGGGAGGGAGTCTGGGTGATGATTTGTGTGTGGATTTGATAAATAGCGAGGCCCTAGAGGACCTGAAAGTGATTGCAGAGCGGATGATTCGATCTGGTTATGAAAAGGAATGCGTTCAGGTTTATAGTAATGTTCGTAGAGATGCTTTGGATGAGTGTTTGGTTATTTTGGGAGTCGAGAAACTGAGTATAGAAGAGGTGCAGAAAATTGATTGGAGAACATTGGATGAGAAAATGAAGAAATGGATACAGGCTGTTAAGATTGGGGTCAGGGTTCTTTTGACTGGTGAGAAGAGGCTTTGTGATCATATTTTTAGTGGTTCTGATTCTGCTAAAGAAATTTGCTTTAATGAGACTGCAAAGGGGTGTGTGATGCAATTGTTGAATTTTGGGGAGGCAGTTGCTATTGCCAGGAGGTCATCTGAGAAGCTGTTTAGGATTTTGGATATGTATGACGCATTGGCAGATGTCTTATTAGATTTGCAGGCCATGGTGACAGATGAATTTGTGTGTAGTGAGGCTAAGGGAGTGCTGGCTGGACTGGGAGACGCTGCAAAAGGGACTTTTGCGGAGTTTGAGAATGCAGTTCGGAGCGAAACTTCGAAGAAGCCTATGCTTAATGGAGAGATTCATCCACTTACTCGCTACGTGATGAACTATGTGAAATTGGTTGTGGATTATAGTGGGACACTGAATTCCCTTCTGGAGAATTATGAGGGTGAGTCCAAAGATGATGAAGAAAGCACAACTCCTATAGCAAGGAGATTGCTGGCCTTGTTATCAACTTTAGAGTCAAATCTTGAGGAGAAATCAAGACTGTATGATGATGCTGCTATGCAGTATATATTTCTGATAAATAATATTTTGTACATAGTGCAAAAGGTTAAGGACTCAGAACTTATCAAGCTTGTAGGAGATCAGTGGGTTCGCAAACGCAGGGGCCAGATACGCCAATATGCTACAGCTTATCTTAGAGCTGCTTGGACTAAGGCCTTGTCTTGTTTAAAGGATGAAGGGATTGGTGGGAGCTCCAGTAATAATGCCTCTAAAGTGGCTTTGAAGGACAGGTTCAAGAATTTCAATGCACACTTTGAAGAAATCTATAGGATTCAGACAGGTTGGAAGGTCCCAGATCCGCAGCTTCGTGAAGAGCTTCGAATATCTATATCTGAAAAAGTTATACCAGCATACCGTGCATTTCTGGGTAGGTTTGGGAATCAGCTAGAAAGTGGAAGGCATGCTGGGAAATACATAAAGTACACAGCAGAGGATTTAGAGAATTATTTACTGGATTTGTTTGAAGGGACACCTCTTGTTCTTCACCACCTGAGAAGAAAAAGTTAATAGGATACAGGACTTCTGTAACAGGTAAGCATGTGCTCTCATCAAGCATTATAAGGAACAGTGTTCATCTATTTACTGTATCGAATGATGTGCTTTGTATTTGCTGGTGTTAATGTTTTAAACAAATGTTTCTGCTAGTTAAACAGTGCTCCTTTTATATATATATATATTAAGCTTTGTACATGTATCATAAACCATAGTCTTTTTCTATTTTGATATACCCTGGTTCATGTATTTTATTGTCATGAATCACCATCAGTATTGAAGCATATGGTGGCTATACTTTTCCAAAATCATGTGGGCTATTCTGTGTGAATGAATGCTGAGTTTCAATTTGCTATTGCAATTTTTTGTTGTTCAAGTATCTAAAATCTTGCAAATATAATCTGTGTGAGGTTAGCAGGATGCAGGCTGAGAAAGATGCACTATTTTTAAATGGTACCTTGTGGCTCATCCAGTCATTGGGATAGTGGTCTCTTGATAGCGAGGCTCTTGTTATGAATGAATGATTGTTCCTTTGGTTGCTATAAACATCTTAACATCAGTGTGTCTTACAGATTTCTAAGTGATGAGGCAATCTATTTTACCATCTATAAATTATACAAGCATGTCAGTCAAACACACCCCACCTCAGCTTCTCCCCTCCCCAATGAGAGGAAGTTAAACAAGGGGATAATGTGAAGCAGTGGTTCAAAAAATGATTTGTGCCACTTGGTGAAGAACTTCCAAATCAATGAAATTTGAGTGTAGGCATGAATGATGAATTAATAATAGTCTTATATTTTTTTAGGGACTGACTAACGCTAATTGGTACAGTAATTGTCTACGCTAGAGCTGATAGCCAATTCGCAAATGAAAAGTCCAGTACGGTTGCTGGGCTGTGTTATATGATTGGGTTGAGACCGTAGCTTGTAATTCTTGTTATCAATGTTTTTTAAGCTTGATTACTGTTAGCAAAACACCTCAATCCATTTTTTGTCAGCAAAACACCTCAAATTCACACAAGCCACAAGTAAACGACATTCATATATGTACGAAACTAGTTTCTTGGTTAAGTTTAGAGCTGCTGCCCCAGTTACAGAATTCATGCAGAGGATTATTAAGTTTAGAGCTGTTACTGTTAGTTGATATGCTTTTCATAAACCATGGTTGTTGATACTAACACTTGAGACTGAGTAGCATGCCTGCGTATCATCCATGAATGATGCCAAAATGGAATGGGAAGTAATTCCACGTTTGACTCATCTCTTTGACGGGTGACGCTGAATATTGATGACCTACCAATAGGCTTTCAGCTCAATGTGGTTTTGATTACGATGTAAATGTAAAAATACACAAAATCAACAAATTAAAGAGATTTCATGTAGTTAAATGCTTAGAAATTTGCATGTATTGCATTAATAATTCATTTACGGGCCTGTCATGTGTTTGCTTCCCCTGAAGCTGTTGATTCAAGTCTGAAGTTGCTCTCTTTGGTTCTTTTGAAGGACAGTTATTGGAATCACACACACACACACACACACACACACACACACACATAATCACACACACACACACACACAACACACACACACCACAATATATATATATATTATACTAATAATATATATATATTATATATATATAAACTAGTCGCTGCCATTTGTGCAAGTGTTAATTTTTTCTGTTCCAATGAATTACTTACTTTAAGTTTTCCTATGATTTAATTGCAAATTAACTGATTAAATATATATATAAACTAGTCGCTGCCATTTTGTGCAAGTGTTAATTTTTCTGTTCCAATAATACTACTTGTAAGTTTTCTAGTGATAATTGCAAATTAACTGTTAATTCTTTATGCCTGAATGAATGGTATTTTATTCATCAATCTAATGCAAACCCATCCATTTTATGCTCCACTAATCACTTAAGTGAGTAAATGCTAACAAATCATAAAAATGCTAATATTTGTTGGGTTTTGTCTCTTACCTGAACTCAACCTGCAGAAGGCACCATGTCCATGTTCCTGATCAACTGGAAGCATAAGCCCCTCAAGCTTCCTAATAAACGTGGCCAAAGAACGTGCAATGTCTGGCACTGAAAGCCAGAGGGATCAATTAAGAAGGAACAGGCTCACGCTCTTCTTTTCTAGTACTTAAGCTTTATTTATTGCTAATATAGACAAGTTACATCAATTTGTATGCCCGAGCCATGAGGGACTCTTCACCCCACCAAATGGACCACTCTAGTGGATTTGCTGTCTTTGTCTTTCTGTGATATAGAGGCTTATATCTTATGGCTGGTTGGCCAGTGTGTTTCTTGATTTATGGAGGTGTCGTTTCTTGGTCCTAGTAGAATGGATATGGATGGGCATTGTTAGGGTTTTATTTTTAAACCAGGGAAGAGATTTGTGGGGTTTAACTGTCTTTTTACCCTTTTCTTTTCAATGAATAATATAAAGAGAAAAATTAAATAGCCAATAGGATTAGTGAAGTTGATAAGGATGAGTGCTTCCCTTGTTTATCAATCATGAAACAGTTTTTGATTATGTAGGGAGCACAAAGTAATGGGTGCACACTTAAAACCACTTGGACCCTAGAAAGAATTCAGGGATATTTGCAAAATTCTCTATGGACTCATTTACCCTTATTGAAATTTATTTTTTAATAATAAAATTATTCCTCTTTAAATTAACTTTTTATATTGTTAAAATATTTTAATTAATGCTAGAGAAATTATACTACTAATTGTAAACATAAATGAAATTGTCTAATTATGTACATAAAATTGATTATATTATTCTTGATTTGATGTTTCTTATTATTTTTTCATTTGATAGATCAAAAATAAATTATACCCTCAGTTATAGTGTTAGTTGATGAATGTTTGTTTGATGTAGCCAAATTTTTTACAATTATTGCTATTGAAATACAAAATAACTACTAAGAATACCATATTTATATATGTACTAAAAAATAATTCTATTATTAGTTATTTTTATAAGGTTAATACAGTTTAAATATTATATAAATAAAAATTAGCTATTAGCTGATAGTAAAAAGTTTCAAAATGTTAGTAGATGATCCGAGCCAAACACCTGTTATCTATGATGTGCGAAAATTTCTAACCATAAACATTTTCCGTATCAATTTTCTATGTAAAATAGTAAAATAGTGTTTTTTTGTGTAAATTTATTTTTTAAATATATCATGTTCCCATATCGTTTTCGCGTTCCGTCGTTTCGGTGTAACACACCCCTAACCTTATTATCTTATTACAAATTGGAAGAAAAAGTAAATAATAATAATAATAATAATAATAAAGAAAAAATTAACTGGCATCCTCTTTGCATTTTGGGCTCTACGTTGATACGCTACCTTGCCAAGCAGATATTGAAGTTTGCTTTTGCTACATAGCTACGAGAAGAAAGCAAAAAGATACACTTGTAGCATTGGAATAACCGTGGATGGATCTTTGTTACTCCCCACATAGTAAGGTTGCTTGGAATTTGGGAACTTGTCTTGTCTCAACCTGTGCACAACATCAACATGGGTTTCTTGCTGCGTGCTATTTAAAAAATGTCTGTATATCATACATAAAAAGTTTGATCTGTTGCTTCAAGTGGAAACCATGTCTTTCTTGTTTTCGATTAGAGAATTTGTAGAATCTACAGCCTACCAATTTGTGGAAAAAAAAAAACAAAAAAAGGTATATTCCTTTCAATTTTTCCATGACAAGGGTTTTCATAAAAACATTTTTAAATTTGGCATTTTTTCCTAAAATTTTCCAAGAAAATGTAATTTCCGAATCGAAAAATTTCCATTTTAGGAGATGAGAGCCTCGTTCCCATCACAAGGCTATAGAATCCAGGAAAGGGTACGCCGCAAAGCCACAAGGAAGAAACATCTGCCTGCATAACTTTGACCCCCCGGCTCATCAATTCTCCAGCTGAGCTGAGAAAATTATCTGATGAGATTTTTAGAAAACCATTGAAAGATATTTTCTTGATATAATCATCAAAACACGTTAGATCGGAAAAGTTCCAATTTCAAACACACCACAGAATCCTAGAATTGTTCTTTCTAATCTCACATAACAGTTGTTCTCCTCCCTTCAAAAAGAGCATTGTGAAATCCTTCCAAGAAAAACACAAACTTCAATGACAATAGACCGCATGATCAGATTCATAACCCTTTATTTTCTTTCAAAGCGTAAGAACAAGGTTAAAAACAACTAGAGAGACAAAATCTATATATTAATAACTCGCTATTTTCACCTTGCAAATTCAGCATTCAAATTAACAATGACAGGATTAAGAATTTGCACTTGATATGGAAGTTGATGTGCAGTTTGTGGTTACATCAAGATATACAGATGAAGGAAAACCATCAAAGGACGAGGAAAACTGATTACATGGCACTCGGCTATGTTACAGCAACCAAATTTACTCGCAATCAGACAATCCAAAGAAGATTAGCAGATATCATTTGAAAATATGGTCATTCATTAGGGGAGTGACCAAACCTGCATTGCTGATACCTCTTAGACTCTACTGTTTTGGGGCAGCGGCAGCACTCCATCAAAGAAGTCACCAAAGTAGCCACGGGGCTCATGTACAAGCCTTGAGATGATGTCTCTCAGAGTGATCACTCCTTCAAGATTACCAGCATCATCCACGACATATACTCTATGAACTTTCTGATAATCGAGTTTCAGAATCAATTCTTTAATAGTGTGGTCCTTCGTGCATGTAATCATGTCATTCAACATCGGTGAGGTTTCATGATGCTCCTTCAAGTAGCTTCTAACTGCCGTCAAAAAGTTCTTTGCTGTTATAGACCTATAATCACGGTAGATCTCTGGTGCAGTTAACAGGTATTGAACATCTCTTAGACTTATGTTGCCTACCGCCTTTCTACCATCACTATCAACGACAGGTATTGCACCAATTCTCATTTTCCTCATAAGCTTAAATGCCTGGAGCACTGGTTCTTCCTCGTGCACCTAAAACAAATCAACTGACCATCAGTAGGACTATCATCAAGCTTCTAATTTCTAAAGAACATAGAGAGAGACACTAAGGAAAGATGCAGAGGCCCAAAAAGGCCCGTCGACATGAAGCTCTATGTCACAGCCAGATTTTGTAATGCTTCATGGTGGTAAATTCTACTGAATAAAGTACTATAAAATAATAGAATTAGAATAAAATAGAAATAGAACAAGAGTAGGCAAAATATTTGATTGAGCCGGCAGCCAACATGAACCTCAGAACCCATAAAGCAGACATAGAACAGACTGATGCATTCATTCTGCATAAATTGTTGAAAAATTAACACACTGAACTAAGCATTATAGATTACCACATATAGAAATCCCCTCAACGTCACAGAAGAAACAAGAACACATCAACTGAGAAGGGCCACGCACCTTGATAATATGTTCAGGGGACATGGAGGGAAGACCAATATCTGAAAGTTTCTTGGTTCCCCAGCTCTCAAACCATTGAAGCCCCGCACATTCAGCTAACATGTGTATAACAGCAGACTGGGTAATAATGTTATCAATCTTTGCTTCGCCCAGATCAATAACAGGAATGCTCTTCATTTTATACTTAGAAAGCAACAACAGCATCGTCAAAAAGGAGTTTGATTTCTGTAAAGCAAGAAATGGTGCCCACCGGAATGATCCTGAGATGTCGCGAACCTGCATGCTCTAAAGTTAAAACCTCTGTGCTTTCACAGAATTCAGAAAATGGCAAAACAGCTCAGGATCAGGAATAAGAAAGCATAATTATCAAAATGTATGAAGCAGAACCTTTGTGTTTTTATAGAATTCAGAAGAAGTCAAAGCCTCAAAAAAATTTCCAGAAGTTGCTGAAGCATCTTCAGGACCCAGGGTTCCAAGCCCTGCGGCATTAGTCAAACCAATTGCCATTGCAAGAGCTTTGCCAGAATGTTCCTTTCTTGGAGATGTGGGTTCTGACTGTTCATAAAATAAAAATGTTGTTTTCAAAATCCAATCAAAGGAGGCCAAATCAACATATCAGTATACCAAAAATATCAATCCATTACATCCCATCACTTTATCAGATCAAAACAAGATAATTTGAAATCTAAACTTTCCCTTATTATTGGAGATTTGGAGTACAAGAGAATAAGGGTACATTCATTTTAAGAAAAATGGATATCGTTTTCAGTTGAAAAAATAGAGTAAAAATAGAACTCTCTGGTTTCCCATTCAAATTTCCCAATTTGATCATCAAAACTTAAAAAGAAAATTTGAATATAAAAAGTTAAAAAAAGTTCCCAAAAATTCATGTTCTCTAGAAAAATTTTCTCTTATGTACGTATATATCATCAACCCCAAACAGAAGCTCCTTGCCAAGGATTGAAAACACAAACAACAAAATTTCCGTTTTTTTTTTTTTTAAAGAAGACTCAATTTCCTATATTGAAAAATGGACAACAACAGTAATAAGCAAGCCATCAATTTCTTTCTTTCATAAAAGTGCTACTACAACCGGATATAAAAGGAGATTCGTTAGCATGGCAAGCTAACCTGATGCAAAATCCAGACAGCAATTCCAGCGAACTCGACAACGCCGATGTATCTATCCATCCAAGTGGCATCCTCAGGAGCATCAACATCCACCACCGGTGCGCTTAACATTTTATGATCTGAAAGTATTTTCACTGCCTCTGCTAGACTCGTGTCTGATTTTATCTCCACCACTGCTTATTCAATTTAGAATAATAAAAAGAAATAACTAACTAATCAAAACAATCTTGCGATCAAAGTCAAACACACAAACTGATCGATCGTGCAATTGATTAGCTGAGGAAAAGCAGTATCATATAAAGAAAAGAACCTGGAGAAGGTGCAGAAGGGAAAGCTGATACAGGTATACTCTCAAAGCAAGCATTGAGCTTCTCATTAGGACTCAACTGTGGCTCCATTATATCCCATAGATCCTCCACTTTCATTCCTAAATTCGCCTCCGGACTCCTTGGACTCTCCGCCGCAACTACCTCACTCTCCCTTATTACCTGAATATCGGCCATTTTCACCAACTCTCTCCGTCTACAATTCCCTTTCCCTCTCTCTGTTTGCGCAGGCGGTTACAGTACTGTCACTTGCAAGCTACGAAGGTGACAAATATAAACAATGATTAGAAAAGTTCCTGAAATTATCCTCTAAAACACATTCTCACTCTTTGCAACAACTCTCATCGATCATGACCGTCGATATAAAAATTCTTCCATCAGAATGGTGAAATACGACACGTGGAGGTGGAGGATTCGTCTGGTGCATATTCGATGATGGAGTGGACTGGTCAAAAGATTTGATGATTATTCAGCTTTATGCTTATCCAGTATGTAACTATTTTATTGTGCAACTTTAGGAGGACGACACCTCTTATCCGATCCTTAATGGCGGCCACTGGCGTGGCACTCTAATGTGAGCTAGAGCGTGCTTTGCGCGCCCCGTTCCTTGCTGACAAGACTATGATGCGAAAACGTGGCTGTCCATGAATGGTTATCAAGTAAGTGTCAGTTTTCCAGGTTAAAACCTTGTCTTGATTCTTGCCCGTATCCCTCTTCTTCTGTGTGCGCACGGGGCAGAAGGGTTTTTTTGTCCAAAAACTACGGGCTTGATGAGATAGGCCCAAATACAATTTCTACCGTTTTCAGTTTAGTGGGCCTTAAAGCTTTACTCTGTGTTTGGAACTTTGGGTAACAAGAAGGAAGAGAGCAAAAACAAATACAGACGGAAAATTTACGATATAATCTTTCCTTGGCCTCCTATTACAAAATAAGTAAACTTTACAAATTTGTAAAATTTCACTATATTTATAAATTTTTTTTGATAATTTTACTCCAATTTCGATATTTTTACAACGCAGATTAACCTTTAATTTTAATTAGGAATGAAATTGCAAATGAAAAAAAGCATCAAATCACTTTCAAATTATTATATTACATTGATAAAAATTTTAAAACTAAAAATTAAAGAAAAATCTATTAGTCTACTCAATTGATTTTGTACGTGTTAAATTTTTTTAACTAAGCTAAAAATCACTAATAAAAATCTTAAAAATAATATAGTTTTCATAACTTTAGCTAAAAATCACTGAAATAAACTCTATGTAATCATTTAATTTTCATAACTTCAGCTAAGTTAATAAAAAAGACACTGGCTAAATTTATAATTCACTTGCAAATTTTAGTAATTTGCATAGCATTTGATTGAAGCGTAACTTGTTTCATCAAAATTAAAAATGACAAATATAAATTTTTAAGTATATATATCATAAAATATGAAACTTATTTAACAAAACGAGTTCTATAAGTCCAATTATACTTTTTTTTTTTTTTTTTTATAAGTCCAAATTATACTTTTTTTTTTTTTTTTGAAGTATTTAATTATACATTTATTTAATTAATTAAAAGTGGGCATTAGATAATTGGAACAGGGCTGAACTCAAAAATTTATTCCAACCCAGTAATTTTTCTTTCGATTTCTTAAGACAACCAAAACACACCAAAAACAAATTACGAGGCCCTTTTTTTTTTTTTTTTGAGTATTTAATTATACATTTATTTAATTAATTAAAAGTGGCATTAGATAATTGAAACAGGCTGAACTCAAAATTTACCAACCCAGTAATTTTTCTTCCGATTTCTAAGCAACCAAACACACCAAACAAATTACGAGGCCCACCACCCCGTAGATATAGCGAGGTGAATGCACAGGATGGATTGGAATTCGGAGTCCAACTCCAACGCAGCTTGCACTAATAAAAACGCAGTCACAATCGCAGCGCTGCATAACTCGCACAATTTGGTCTCTCTAATACCTCTCGAGGGTTTTTTCAGCGCCATGGAGGGTTCGTCTTCTCGGCCGTCCGATTCAAATTCAACGGCTACTGCCGCTTCTAAATTCCTCTCTAACCTTCCATCTCGAGGTTTCTTGTCCTCTACCGTCCTCTCTTCAAATCCGGTGAATCTCCTATTCTCTTCTTTATACTTCATTGCGAAATTGTCTGTCATGTTTTATAATCAGGACTGCTGTATCTTTATTTTTTAGTTTTTATTTTTTACAAACAAAAAGGAAGAGAAGAGCTTCATAGGTGGTAGACAGGGTAAATAATTTTGTATGGTCTAAGAAATTGTACATTATCTTCTGGCAACTCTGCTGGGTAGCGGTTCTAAGAGTCACATTATAACATTCATGTTTTTAGTGCCGCAGAGTGTTGGAGTGTCATTGATGGGTATTGTGTGACCTGTGAGGTTTGGATTTTGATTTAAAATGAACTGGACCAAAATATTCCAGCTTTTGAGGAATTAAATGCAGCTACAATTTGTAAATAAAGAGAATTGTGGATTTTGCCTCAGTGTTTAGAGTTTCAAAATTAGGGTTTTTCTTGATCACCTTCAATTTGTTTGTGATCTAGACCCCTGTGGATAATCTCAAGCACTAAGCCTCCACCTAACTGAAGGAATCATTTACAGGGATTGGTGATTTTTAAGGGTTTAATGATTGTGCTTGCGCCGATCAAGCTAGGTGCCAATATCCATATGGTCACTCATTCAATGTTTTACATGTAGAAAATGGATATGGTTTTGATGCTGTTTATCATTTGTTCCTCTATTTCCCCAGTTGCTTTGTTAATGTATGATATGATTATCTTGAGCCTTCATTTGTGCGAAGCAAAGGTGAAGAATAGTGATAGAGAAAGGAGTTGGCTAGGTGTGTACTCCGTAGAATTGCATATGCAGAACTTTTGGTTGAGCATTTAAACAATATATACCATAAGCATGCTAGATCATAAATCTACAGAGATAGTCTCTTGAAAATAGAATGTTCTTTTTTTTTGTGCTGGTCCAGTTATTATTAGATATTTCAATAATTTCTATGATCTTTCTCCTCTTTTTTTTTTTTTGTTTTAAACTACTGGTATATTAAAGATTGGATTATGCCAAATTTCAACCCTAGCTCTTGTTATTTTCTTTTCTTGGTACATTTCTTCTCTATTACATTGTTGTTTTAGTTCACTTAACTGCACATTGCCTTTTCGGTCCAATTTATTAGCTTCCTGTTTCAGTAAAATATTCTTTTGTATTGAAATTGTGTTCACAGGAGAGAATTTTTTATGCAGGGTGGGATGCGAGTTTATATCTGTGAGCATGACACATTGCCTCCAGGTCTACTTCTTTTTCCGACTTCATAGATTTTCCAGAACTTTTAGTTCTTTGAACACGTTTGATGGAATAAAATAGCCCCAACTTTATACTAATATACTTTACACCAGTGTTGTTAGAATCGTAGATTCACGATACGATTCGTATCGAATCTAAGAGAAATTAATACGAATCTTAAGGATGAATCGGAGAGCACCTTGAATTGGAAGCGAATCGTACGAATCGGCGGCAAAGAATCGCACAAATTGGAATGAATAGCAACAAATCAACTATTCACGTAAAGTATAAAAAAATATATATATATGGGCCCAACGCATGCAAACCTATTCCTAATAGAAGTAGGAGATTAAACTTCACATATATTAGGAAAATTAAACGACGCAAAGTCAGATAGACAGAAACAATCAACTGCACTGAAGGAGTCCTTAATCTCTCTCTCTCTCTATCTCTATCTCTGTGTGTGAGTGTACTACAGCATAACTGGATTTCCATTCTTCTGAAGCTTGTTTCTGTGTTATCAGATACTAACATTTTAATTACACAAATTATTTCTTCTTACTTGTATGTCCAGAAAGTCAACAGATAAAGACGAACCAAACAAACATATTGATTAGATCGCTCCAACTTAAGAATCAAAAGGGCGAGTCTAGTTCAAAGGACGGAAAGGGAATAAATGCAGGTGAAGGTTCTCGAAAACGGTATTACCTCCCATCTTTTCTAGAAAAGGATGCTTTTGTTTTAGTGAGGGTAGCTCTTTTTTATTCACTTGTGAACATCCTTCTGCAATATGGCCTGCTAGCTCATGAATAAATTGATCGTTTTTGATGTTTTTGATTCTTATCACCTCTTATTTTTTCAGCCCTCCAGAAAGGGTTCAGGATGGCAGGGCTTCAGCTAAGAGAAGCAATGCTCAAATTGGTTCTCGACAAGGTGAGCTTCATTAAGCTTTAAAATAGTTAACAGTAAAGGTCATTGGAACATTGTTTCCCTCTTACTGTTCTCACTGCCAAAGCAACCAATAATTTATTCACCTCAAGAAATGGTTTAAGACTTTGTCTGCAAATTATTTGCTTCTTGTAACTTCATTCTTTACACTCCTGCTGCTTTTAGGCAGTATCAGTCCTCATTTTAATCCGTAAGCATGCTTTAGATATCCAGCATGGATGAAACATCCATGATATGCAAGAAATTAATCATTCATTCAGGATTTGAAAAATTACAGTAGTATTATAGATTAATGGGAAAAAAGGTTGAAGAGGGTCTTGGTAAAAAAATAACCAAGAAACCATATGAGAGGATTTTTCTGACTAAAGGCCTCTTCTCGAGAGAATCTATTCTTTATTTAAAAGTCGCAATCTGTATAATATATTGGACATATTTCATTCATCTGTAGCTTCTATTCAAATTGATGGTTATTATGTCATTGTTGCTCTGAGTTTTATATGCTTTTGTGTTTGCAGAGGGATTGGATAGCCGATCATCCGATAGAGAATTATACAGTTTGACTGTAGAAAGGCTTCGGGCCCTTCTGAAGGAGCGGGGTCTTTCACCCAAAGGAAAGAAGGCAAGTATATTATTATACATAGACAACTTGTACACTATTCTGGACTTCTTTGTTACACACACACACGCAAGCAAGGAAGCAAACAAGCAAGATGGGGGCCTATATGCTGATATTCTTAGATTGATTACAATACTTATTTGTGCTTCTGCTGGTAACTGGTTCATTTTATCGTATGTGCAGGATGAGCTGGTTGCAAGGTTGAGAAATGCAAATGGTTAATCATTCAGAAGCTTGGGGATAAATCGTTCACATTGTATACATCCAGGGCAGGAATTAGGTGATTTTAGTGGTCTTCTACGTAACATGGGGAATGGGTCAACGACTAGAATTGGGGGAAAAAATGCCAATGTTGGAAAGTTGAAGAAATTTTAATAATTTTGGTGCATCTTTTTGCCAAAAGAAAAGGAAAAAGGATCAGTAGCATTAGAAAGTGGATGGTTGTGTAGAAAATTTTTTGTGCCAAGGCAAGTTTTTTTGGGGTTGGAACATGAGTTTACCTAGTACTCTTAACAGTGTAACTTCTATAGCCAGATGTACTGTGTTGTTTGGTCTTCCTAAATATAATGAAGCAAAAACCTTCTGAAATGGGAAGCAGTTGGATTTTCAATGGAAATTCATCTGAAGTTTTGCTGTTGATGGTTCCACAATTAAGGAACTCTATGTGCCTTTCAACTCCCAATAACAACTTTTTTTTTAACGCTATTGAGATTATTATCATAAAATCAATTTTAAATAATTTTTAGGGTTCCATTTAATAACATATAGGAAGTCTAATATATGATAAACGACTTGCTGTTTGCCTTCTGTCGTTCGAGTACGACTGGTGGTTGAAATTTGAATTTCCTTTTTCTTTTTATTTTTCTGCGAGAGCAATTTTGGACGTTTTTGGAATATGGCTCCAAATGTAATACCCATCAATGGATAGCTCCAACAGACGACGTTTGTGTGTTTGTGGGTTTAAGCCGCAGAGCAGATTGCACGAGGTCATTTGAATGACCCAAGGTTCTATTTTTGGAATACTTGAAAGAGCCCATTAACCAAAATAAACCAAATGAAAAGGCTAGCAAGCATAATTCACACATGCAACTTTTATGAATTATGACATCATAGTGATTTTACAGTATATCTATTTTTGGAATACGTGAAAGAGCCCATTAACCAAAAATTAAACCAATGGAATAAAGGCTAGCAAGCATAATTCACACCATGCAACTTTATGGAATTATGGACATTCATAGTGATTTTACAGTATATAGTATATATATATATAATATATATATATATTATATAGTATTATATATGATTTTTTTTAAAGAAAAAAAAAAAGGAACGTTTCGTTCTTAACTTGTAAATTTAAATTTGCAAATATAGTGTAATAAAAAGCAAAACGAAGGATTATTTAAAAAAAAAAAAAAAGGAACGTTTCTTCTTAACTGTAAATAAATGCAATATAGTGTAATAAAAGCAAAACGAAGGAATATGAATTTGATGCACGAGAGGAATGAGATAAGGATTCGTAATCTTGAGGATGGCCCATAGGTCTTATAGTTCGGTGGTGTGGGTATAGCTATAGAAAGGACTCGTGGCTTAAATCCAAATCATCAATTGTCTTCTTCTACGCCGTAATTCAAGATTTAGAAAAGAAAAATTACACACATTTTTTATGAATTAGATAACGTCTCTTCAAAACTTTTCCATTTCCATGTCGGTTTCCTCTTTGCACTTTATTCATTTCTTTTTCTCAACTCTTCATTCTTTTAATTAGTAAATAATTGCCATTTAAAAACACAAAAATATATGAAAAAACGACATGTCAAAAAATATAGGAAACAAATACACGAATAAATTTATAAATATAAAATAAATTGAGTTCTCCGAATTATATTTTTAATAATAATTAAAAACAAATCAAGTCTAATCAATAGTCGATAGAAATTGAAATAATTTAGAGAATAGAAAATACTAAGAGAAATGATATTGATTGATTTAGTGGGTCCGTACAAGCAATTCAATATATATGTTTAATAATGCTAAGTTTGAGACGTTATTTGAGTCCAACTGAAAAACACTATATTAAATTTCCGAACAGAAATTATGAGTCATTTAATAAAAAATATTAACCAAAAGTTATATATTTCAAATTAGATATATAATGCTAGGTATAATTCCTTATATCTAATTATAATTATATTCTCACTGCATTTATTAGTCCATCAAAAATCTTTCTCTCAAAGATTTTCTCTTTCAACTTTAAAGATTTTATTTTTGTCGTAAGGTGTTTGCATATATTTCCATGTGAAAAATGTGTTCAAAATGCGAAAACTAGGCAAACAGTTTCTATGCATTAGAGAACCATTAGTAATATCCACTTAAAGAAAGAAGATATATATAGGGAATAAACATGAAGACGAAAGGTAGTTGTTATCCTAGCTGTAAATAGAAAAACGTAAAGGAAACAACCAGCGAAAAATAGAGATTTAACAAAATGAAAGCATTCAACTGGTGGGTGCAAGTTCGGTTCGCTGAAAGTGGTGGCATGTCACCATCAAAGACTACAAAGAAGAGAAGAGCAGAGTCCCTCTACTTGAGGTAAGCTTTTGCGACCACTACTATACCGGCGCCGCAGCACATCAACTGCCAAATGATTTTATTTTTAGGACCCATTTACGAAACGGTGGGGATGCCGACAAGTGGCTTACTAGCAGTACATGGAATACGTAAGATCAGATGTCATATACGTAATAAATAAATTTTGAGCCTCTCAAGCTTCAGTTAGTTAGATTTATTCTGTTAGGAGATTAAAATAAAGAAATTTAATAAAGAAATTTGTAGTTTCTTTGAGACTAAAAAAATATATAAATTAAGAGCAATTTGATTAGTCTTTGAAAAATGAGAAATTTTGAATTTAAATTTCTTATACTATAAGAGTTTTTATTAATTTTTTAAATTAAAAATAGACATTTTATTCTATGCCGACGATGTTATTTTCGCGTATTAATTTTTTTATTATTGTTAAACTTTGAGCCTTAAATAGAGTATAAAGAAGTAGAACTAAGAACAAAAGAAATTAAAAAAAGAAGGAAAAAAAAAAAAAGGAAATTAGGACCCATTGACCATTAAATGCGTACGATCGCTCTCCATGAAGCAGTCTCTCTTGAGGACGCAAAAATTCAGGAAACGTGTTTTAAAATTTTCACGTGTCAGTTCAAGTTTCCGTGGCAGGCAATTGAAGTGCCTACTTGCTGTTTAGTCAGATTCTTCTTTTCTTTTCTTTTCCTTTTTTTCAAAAACAACAAATCATTGCTTAAGCAATGACATTTGAGAATAAATGCAGTTGATGGAGAGAATGCTCCATTTAAAATGTTTTTTTTTTTTTCAATAATTTAATTATTTTTTATTGATAAAAATCAAATAAATCAAAATAGATTATTATAAACGTTCGTAACTTGTACTGCATCCCAAAAAATGACCAATATTTTTAACATAATTGTATTGTATGAGTCAATTTTTTGATTTTTCGTTCAAAATAATGAATGATTAATAATAATAATAATAATAATAATGTGATCTGAAGTGAAAATAAGATATAAAACCTCTTTGTGTCTTTTGAGCATAACAAAATAATTAAGATATACTGTATTATTTTATGTTTTTGGTTGATAGATAACATTTCATGAATAAAATAAAGTAGCTTACACTAATAATTTTCTTGGCCCAAAATGATAAATATTGACTTTGGCTTTTTCTTAGGAGAAATTTAAGAGGCATTGGATCATGATTTTAACAATTTTCTGCTTTTTCACGGTTTCTATAATTAAGGCATTTGCCCAACTTCTGTATCCTCTTTCTCATTGCCATTTGCCTGCTCAGGGTTTAGGTTTACGGTGCTATCACTATTTTTTTTTTTTTTTTTTTTTTTTTTTTTTTTTCGCCTTTTTTTCACGGTTTCTATAATTAAGGCATTTGCCCAACTTCTGTAATCTCTCTTTCTTGCCATTTGCCTGCTCAGAGAGTAGGTTTACAGGTAGTGTGCATATCACTATTTTTTTTTTTTTTTTTTTTTTTTTTGAGAAGAAAAACTCTTTTTGTTATAGTTTCTGATAGGGTGGTTATTCAGAAAATTATAAGAGAAATGCCAAAAAATTGTTTCATTTGGTGTATTGATAGGATGCCTAATCTAGATTTTATATAAAGTATTATAATATATTCCCAAATTGTAACTGAATTATGATATAAATTTATTGGTAAGTAAATTCTTGGCTATTGAATTGCCAATAGTTTTTTTTTTTTTTTTTTTTTTTTTTTTTTGAGAAGAAACTCTTTTTGTATAGTTTCTGATAGGGGGTTAATTCAGAAAATTATAGAGAAATGCCAAAATTGTTATTTGTGTATTGATAGGATGCCTAATCTAGATTTTCATATAAGTATTTATAATATATCCCAAATTGTAACTGATTATATATATTTATGGTAAGAATCTTGGCTATGAATGCCAAGTGAGAATCTTGGTAATTAATGACTTTTGATGATCTTTTAACTGAACATTTCTTTATTCAAACGAATATAAATGCTGCTTGGTCTTAGATGGTTACTCGACTCTTATGTCGTTCGGTTCTACTCTAATGGAGAAGTTCAATTCGTCATCTTTACTTTTTGTTGAGAAATCAAGGAATCAGTGTGCCCATTTGCTTGCTTAGGCAACTGTTTCTTTGTTTGGTTCTCTGTATTTGGGTCCTGTCCATCCAGTTTTGATTCAAGATATTTTATTCTTTGATTCTATTAATATTTAAATAGCAGTTTTATTCAAAAAAAAAGTGGCTTGGTTCTTAGACTTGCTCGGTATAAATTAATAATCTGTTCGTATTAGCTGTCACGGGCACATAATATATTATTCACTTTTTTTATTTATTAATTGAATTTAATGAATATATCAAAAAATATTAAATTCTCTTCACCACATAAGTTATAATTAAATTTATTACTTCTAAAGTCATATTGGATTTTTAAAGTTTTCTCACATCTTATAAGATGTGGAAAATGCAAAGTTTTGAATTCAACTTATCTCCATCGCAAAAGTTACATCCAAACAAAATCAATGAAAAAATATATATTCGGAATTATTGTTTAAATTATCACTGAAAATTACTATATTAAAAATAATAATTAAAGGTCATTAGAGTAATTTTATATTTTATAATTATAAAATAGACAGAAAATGAAAGAAAACCCCAAAAACTCAATAGAGCAGGAAACACTATGATTGTGTTCGGCAACAATAACTTTAATGTTTTTATCATAATACGTTTTATAGTGTTCGCTAATATGGAGTAACTAATTTTTAAAGATTTAAGATAACATTTTATATTTAGCTTTTAGTATTTCACGAAAAGCTGCTCAAACTCCTAATTTTGCGCAACATAACTTACATCCATCCACCGTTAAAATTGCCATCGGACCAAATTATTGATCGCAGTTCTTCCATTTTAAGCTCCAGGACCATGTGCGTATTCCATTTGGTTTTTCTTTAACAACATTCGATGTCGGCTCTCTCTTTCGCTATCACAAGAAATATCATATACAAAAAAAAACTACACTATACCCTCTCATCTCATAAAATCCAATATATATATATACACCCCTCCTGACTCATATTCTTGCACCATCTCCACTTCCAAAATTTATAAACCCTAAATCTCTATCCCTCTCTTTTTTATACAAACCTAAAAATGTTCATCTTTCTCATTATCTTTATCTCTTTAGGGTTTTTCCTCTTTTCTTTCTTTTTTTCGCTCTTTCAAGAATTCCATAACAGTCAAATAAAACTACTCTCCTCTCATGGCCCTCCTTCTTATCCAATCATAGGATGTTTGCTTTCTTTCTCCAAAAATCGCGGCCGTCTCTTGGACTGGTACACCGATCTTTTATCAGTATCACCAACACAAACCATTGTAGTACAAAGGCTAGGCGCACGTCGCACCATTATCACCGCAAACCCGGTCAATGTTGAACATATGCTTAAAACCAACTTCACTAACTTTCCTAAAGGCAAACCCTTTACCGACATATTGGGCGATCTTCTTGGATGTGGCATATTTAACGTTGACGGTGAATTATGGAGTACTCAACGTAAACTCGCTAGTCATGAGTTTAGCACTAAGTCTTTAAGGGAATTTGTCGTTAAGACATTGCAAGAAGAAGTGGAGAATCGTTTGATACCAATTCTTGATGAGGCTGCAAATGAAGAAAGAGTTTTGGACTTGCAAGATTTGTTAAAAAGATTTGCGTTTAATCTTGTTTGTCGTGTTTCTTTAGGCACAGAACCTTTTCCTTTGCATGTTTCGCCTCCTCTTGTTCAGGCATTTGATACAGCTGCTGAAATTTGCGCCATGCGTGGAGCAGCGCCTGTTTATGCTGTTTGGAAGATCAAGCGAATGCTTAGTATTGGCGTTGAAAAGAAGCTTAAAGAAGCAATTAAGCTTGTTCATTGCTCTGTTCTGGATATTGTACGGAAAAAGAAGAGAGTACTTGAAAATCTAGATGAACAAGATAGAAAATTACTGGATTCCGATCTTTTGTCAAGATTGTTATCAGCTGGACATGATGAGGAAGTTATAAGAGACATGATGATAAGTTTTATTATGGCGGGAAGAGATACAACTTCTGCATCTATGACTTGGCTTTTTTGGTTGCTTTCAAAAAATCAGCATGCAGAGAAAATGATTATTGATGAAGTTGAAACTTTACTTAATAATGGTGAAAGAGTCATGGATTTTGAAATACTGAAAGAAATGAACTTTTTAAAAGCAAGTTTGTGCGAGTCCATGAGATTATATCCTCCGGTGGCTTGGGACTCAAAACATGCACTTGCCGATGATGTCTTGCCGGACGGAACTTTTGTAGGGAAGGGTGATAGAGTGACCTACTTCCCCTATGGAATGGGAAGAATGGATACTTTATGGGGAAAAGACCAGTGTGATTTTAAACCAGACCGGTGGTTCGAGGGACCGGTTGGGAGCGGGACAGGCGGTGCAACATTGAAGTCGATGAGTCCGTACAAGTTTCCGGTATTCCAAGCCGGTCCGAGATTGTGCCTTGGTAAAGAAATGGCGTTTATACAGATGAAGTTCGTTGTGGCTTCTGTATTAAGACGGTTCGAGATCAAACCGGTTGGTCAGAACCAGCCGGTTTTTGTTCCATTATTGACGGCTCATATGGCTGGTGGTTTGAAGGTTACGGTCAAGAGAAGGAGATGAGAATCTTTCCAATTTCCGTGCACTTGTAATATAGTATATGAATTTACTCTGTCGCCAAACGCGGTATTAAGACTTAAACATGTTCTATATTTTCGTGGAAAAAGGATAATCTTATTAAATTAATTGTAATATTTCTAACGACTAGGTCTAGTCTAGATCTGGATTTTTTATATTTTTTTAATTAGCATGTCTTCCTTAATACTAATATTATTTTAAATATTTAAAATCGAAATTTCATCGCAATATAAAGTTGACCTAATAATTTGTATTGTTTTCTCTTTCTAATATTTTTTATTAGATAAAACACGTCTAGACTTAATTTCTTTGACCTACAATCACAATAGAGATTTCATTTACTTTTTTTTTTAAATGAATAGTTAGAAAATATTCTTGTTTTTTTAATCTATTTCATTGATTTATTATTTTTTTAAAAAAAAAAATTCATTTATTTGGTTTATTCCATTAATTGATAGAATAGATGTAAATAAATCATTCTTTATTATTATTATTATTATTATTGGTCAATCAAAAGAATGTGCGGTATTAGATATGTCGAATTATTCATTATTGCATTAATCTATATAATGTAATCCTTCTTCTTCAAAGCCAATCATCTCATGACTGTATGGGGATCACATTGCAAATCTTCTTTGTCACATGGGTCTTTCTACCTAAGAAGCTATTTTAAGCCACGTATGGATTTATTAGGATTTGATTATGACCATATCATTTAGCTGTTGCATTTTATATACATGGTTGGACCGTCACCGTCGAATTACAGAATATTGGAGTCAACAAAATAAAGTTTTCTTCTCTGAACCTTTTTTTTTCTTTTTGGCTGCCTTCTTCTGAGCACTTCTGGGATCAGAAGCTTCTGACGGTATTTCTTCTGTAGGCACAATTTTCTTGAAAAAGCTCGTCACATAATTTGACAAACCATTAATATTGAAGGTTTCAAAAGTTGATAAAGACTAAACAATATTGCATTGACCCTGAAATAAGTTCCAACCTTCATTTACTTTCTATTCTATAGCTCCAAAACTTTTGTAAATGTGCATAAAAAAACAAAAAAAAAAAAAAAGTAATCCACCGTTTTAACTTATCTTTTTCGTATTTTTATTTTTGAAGCCTTAGGAAATAATTTATTTGCCTTTTGGTTTATTCAAACGCTATGACTTCCAGATGCAACTGATAAGAACGTCCACGTTTGTTCGCCAAACACCCTTCATTATGTGAGCAACTGTAAATGGCAGATTCCGATAATCGATAATGACTACTGAGACAAGTTTTCTGTCGTTTTGCCAAAAATTCTTGGATGTATATAATAAACGATGACGACGTTCAATTCAAAACTAATAATGCTTTTTGGTCTTGGGGTTACATTTCTAGAAAAGTCCAACGCTGCTGAAATCTTGGCCTACAAAAAATGACTCCTATTCCATTTGAAATCTAAAAGCATTCAACTGTAAATGGCTGAAAGTATGGTTCAAAGATGGATACAAATATCTAAAAGAGAGCAAAATATCTGAAAGAAATTAATGAAAACTTTTTTAAAGTATTAGAAGAAAAACTTAGTTGTTGATGAACAATTTGGCTGTTTACAATTTAGCTAAGTGCTTGTCAATTTTGATGGGATGGTAGGTGTAAGATTTAACCTATCCATCACGTGGGATAAAAAACGAAAGGAATGTAAATAATCACATGAGAAATATATGGATGAATAAAGCTAAGCAACAATAAAACACAGAGCTACCACTTTTTTCATGATCCAATAAAGCTGCAAACAAAGAAGACAAACAAAAAATTTCCCTGTAGAATGCATAAAAACAAGTAGGACATGCACAAGTAGGTAATCAATTAAAGTTAATACTCTCAAATCTCCAAAACCCTAGGCATATGTTACTTGTTTCAGAGCAATCAATTGGTTGGAAAGCTTACAAGGCCATGTGGGATATACATTCTAAAGTATGCTAGAAACTACAACATTAGCTAGATGATGCTGAATGGTGTCCTACAAGAGTAATAGGGCATGTGCCTACTCGAGCAACATGTGCACCATACAATTACCAAGCTGGATTTATATTGATCTCCCTTTTGGCATTTTCTTCCAGCTGCAATATATTCCATACCTGAAGAAGATATAGTAGACCCAGTAAAATAGCCAAAAATAGGAGAATAGAGACCAATAATTTTATCCTAATGGGAAATTAGGAGCCCTGTTGTGTAAGGCCAAATCATTAGGTAATAGATTAGGTCTGGATAAAGTTCTTGAATAGGGAATTCTAATAAGTGAATCAGAGCCATCACTTTTGATACACACACACACATGTGTGTGTGTGTATAGTAGAACGCATGAACTGCAACTACATACATAAAAAATATTAGAACAATGAAAGGTTTCTACTAATCAAAATTCTGAACATAAAAATAGCTTTTGGAGTGCATTACAGGACAGAACCTTCCTAACAGGCATGATATAACGCAGAATGTTGTCCACTGTCAGCTTATCCTCCGGTTCTATGGTTTGAAGATTCTTCCAAAGAATATTAGATAACCATGTAACCAACAGTGAAATGGTCAATGACATGTCAAAATGCAGAAGCAATACCATGTTTTGATAATAAAAAGTAAATAACAATAGCATTTCAACAAGGATGAAGGGGCAACCAACAGTAAAAAACTGGAGTAGAAGCAAACAGAATGAAGCAGAGCACAAAGTACCAACAACCATAAGGCCATTTCAACAAGTATAACATCACCAGAAATTAAAGCTTATAGTTCAAAATATAAGCACATAGATTGGGCCAAAATTGATGTCATTTCAGAAGTGAAGTTGGCAATTCCAAAAAAAAAGAAAAAAAAAAGTAAACCTTGTGCACAATTTGACCACAGAGGGTAAAAAAGTAAAGACCAAGAGGTTGCTGAATCAAAAATTTTTGTAAAGGCTACATTAGGTTGAGTAGATCTAGAAAGTATAATGCATCTCCAAGTAACCCTAAAATATTAATTAATAAATTAATTATTAGAAATCTAAAACCAAAATAATTAATAAATTCCAAATTATTAGCTCTCTAACTAGAAGATTAAATGTTCAATGACATACATAATGAATTTGACTTCTAGATGTCCATATCTATTTTCAGCGGCAATCAAGATGCTATGTGTGACTCCTAAATAACAAGGTCTACAATTCCAACAACTAAGCTTGTACAAATATAGAACAACAAATCATGCCGAGTTTTTCCTCGTTGACCATGATTACTCCCACCATGAACAATAATCTGGCTAAGCACTTGACCAGAAAGCCACTTAGAAAAGGATATAAAACACCTCTGCCTAGCAACTGAAGTAGAACTGAATAAGCCTCGACATCCATGCCATCTTTGACAATCTGACTCAATCAAGTGCTTCCAGGAGCATCAATTCCAACAGACTTGCGATTGAGGTAATGAATAACAGCATCTTCAACCCTAAAGAGTCCAAACCAAAAATTTAATAAATACTTTCAATACTTGTCTATCTAATCCTATCTTCTTTCATTTTGACTTGAGCCAAACCAAACTCTATTGGCAGCTTTGTTACAGTTAAAATTTCATATTGTGTGAAATGGCTCTATTAGAAAGAGGCAAAAAGAGAATAACAAGAAGAAAAATTGGATAAAGAAACTTACCAAGGCTGATTGTAGAAATCAGAATGGCGCTCCTTTTCTGCAGTACGGCTTGCATCTCCAGCAACAAGCTTTAGATCTTTGCTTTGGGAGGCCATTAAAATATTAATAAATTCTGCCGGCGACTGACTGAACCCAAGAAAGAAAGCCCGCCTCCTTCGATGCTCGTGTATCTTCTTTATAGCGTCACATATTAATTGATCACAAGCATCAATTTCTTTGTGCTTCTCAGTGTTGGCTAAAAATGCAGCAAGGTCCTTTTGCAATGGAAAAGGAACTTCAACCATAATATCATAGCAAGTAGTTCCAGTCGGGCAATTGCCGGATAGTTTGATCCTATGCTCCAAATGAATAGGTTGCGGAGGAGTTAAATGCGGACCTATCTTCTGTGAAACCTGTGCAAATTTCATCTTTTCTTCCCCAAATAATTTCTTAAGGGGGGGATCACACATGAAGGAGGATTGATCAGTTGGGATCTGCAACTTCCTAGACTTCACATAATGCCAGATTGCCACTAAAACTCTTGAACGAGTTTCCACCTCAATTCCAAGAACTTCGGATAAAGCGGGTGAAAGCTTGAATTTGTCTGGCACATGATTCATTTCTAGTCTAATTATCGCTGTGAATTCCTTGTCTCCTTTTCTCTTCACTTCAAAACCCTCATTAAGTACAGGAGATCGAGCACTTTCCCATAGAATTACATGGTTATCTGGATAGAGACTTTGATCCAAGTATATTGTAATTTTCTTGAAGTACGATGAGAATTTTGGATATGGTTTCTGTGGAATTCCAGCCAGCATTGGATCTTTCCCATCTTCCAATATCCTCCCAACAATCTTCAATGACCAAGAAGGAGGCTCTGCATTATTCTTCTCTCCTTGCACTTGATTTTCAAAAGTGTTAAAAATATATACTCGAAGTGTTTTCCGAATACGAGGAGGGTTTTTTAGTGACTCTTGAATATCCATCTTTTTTCTTGTCATAGCAGCATCTATCCTAGCTTCAAATTCAAGCAATTGCGCATAGAGTGCAGACTCTGGCAACATTGCAGCCACTTTATCAGGTATTTGCTTCTCAGGAAGCTTTTGCTTCTTCCTTCGCGCAGCTGGGGTTAATTCCATTGTTTTAAATGGTGAAGCTGTATTGCTATTGGATGAGCCTCCTGGAGGCCTTGAAGGTGGTCTCGGGTTAGCCCTTTTGGCACTTGCAGTGCCAGGGGTGGGAACAGAGGGTGATGATACACCAACATTACTAGGATTAGAGTTTTGCGGCTGGGCAATGGATTGATTAGTTGATTGTAACTGAGCTTGGAAGTGAGCATGAGCTGCCTGTGCGTATTGTGAATGGCCTAGCACTTGTGCTTGTGGTTCAGAAAGCTGAAAATGGCCTGGAAAGGTGGACGCGCCTTGTGTTTGAGGTTGTGAGTGTGTCAGTAGATGGGTTGATTGGGTGTTCATGGACGTAGACTGTGATATTACACTAGAATTGGCAAATGTAGGTGGTGCCCCTAAGCTTTTTGCAGGATTATTATTATTCATTGGCATCCCTATCCAAAGACCAAATGTAATGCAAACACTTAAAGTTCCTTTCCATATCAGACAACATCAAACTTCAAATACAGCCTCCGAAAACCCCAGTTTCTTGTATCCTTAAAAAAGCTTCATTTCTACAATTTACACAATTGAAACCTTTTCAGCGGACCTAAACAATAAAATCAGCTCAATTTGAAACAGAGCTCTAAAACCCTAGTGCGAGAATGAAACCCTGATTCTGACTCGCAACCAACACAAATAGCATATAGAAAACATAATAACATACAATCAATGCCTAAAGCTTGCTCTTCATTGCGGTTTTGGAATTTCACCCGTTTCAACCAAAAAGGACTGCTAAATTATTGAAACCTACACATAAATACATAAATAACACAAAAAAGAAAGCAGAGAAAAACGAGATTTCTTACAAAAACAAATGGTGCCTTGGAGCTTAACTACTAAGCTCTGTATTTACTTCTGTCAATTTCAAAATTGTCTTCGCTTTGCAAATCGGCTGTTTATGGAGCCAACTCTGGTTTTTCGATTTCCTTCACTCCTTCCAAACGGTGGTTATTTATTCTCTGGTGACTAAATGACTTAAATACCCCTGTTTAAATGACAATTTTCGAAAGAGTTCATCAACGTAGCACCGATTTGGGCCTAGATCAGTATTACTAAAGCCCAAATGAAGACCAAATTTATAAATAAAACTTGGGCTAGGAAGGCCCAAAGGCCACAGTTTTGTGAAAGGGTAAACCCTAGCACCGCCAGCACTGTGTAGGGTTTTTAACCAACTCTCGTTATTTCTTCGATTCGTGCAATCCTGTCTTGGCCATTTCCTTTTGTTTGGAAACGGAATTATCATTAGACGCTGCAACCATGGTGCGTGTGAAATTTGCATTTTTTGGGTTTAAAGATACTTTCTTTTTTTCTGAATCATTGAAAGTTTTTTCGGTTTTTGTTATTGATTTTGTTTGTTTGATGTTTCAGGTGAAGTATTCGAGAGAACCAGACAATCCCACCAAGTGTGAGTGGATATGCTAATTTTTGTATTTTTTTTTCCTCTCTTAATTAGTAATTAATGTTGTGAGGTCTTTTTCTCTCGTCGTGTTTGGCTGATGAGAATATGTAGGAAATCTGAATTTTGTTGTCAAATACTGACATCGTGCTCTTCTTATTTTGGTTCTTAAATGTGTGAATGCATACCGTGTATAGTGGATAGAATTGGGGAAGTGAATCTCATTTCTATGTTATGGCTATATTTCAGCATGCAAAGCCCGAGGCTCTGATCTTCGTGTTCACTTTAAGGTATATTCTATTGTATTTGATTATTTTACTATAGTCGCTATGTCAACTGAAATTTGCTTGCATTACTATTACATTGCATCTTTGTTTTGAACGTGTTTTCTTGATCTCATACTATTTCCAGCACATTGGCACGATTGGTTCGCATAATCCGTATCTTTTGAAACTGGTAGTAGTTATATTTTTTACTTTGTCTCTAGATGTGTCTTTGTCATTGTAACTGATCCACTGTCCACTGTGACATCTAGGTATTTTTCCAACCGTGTGTTTTTAAAACCATGGTTTGTCCTTTAAGTATTGAGATAGCCATCACCTATTGAACTATCAGTTTGTAGAAACACCTAGAGAGGCTCCAGAATGATGTGATTTAGCTGAATCTTATTAGAAACCTGGTCACAAAGTAGAATAGCTGTTCCGTGACCTTTATTCGTTGTTAATAATAGTAGCATGGTTTTCCAGTAGTGTGTACACCTTTATAATTTTAATTAGTTTGTATGTGTAGCCATGATGAATGATCAATTATTTTATGTTGGTCATACGAGGCAGTGTTTCCATGCTAGTGATACAAGTGTTCTGAAAGCTTAGCTTGCCTTCACATTTAGTAATTATTTGTGCAATGGCATATTGGGTACTAAAAGGAACAATTGCATGTGCAATTTTATCATTAAGAATCCTTGGTATTCCTTTTATTCACTGTTATTTTTGCTTTTTTATGTGCTTGAAGTTGCATCTTCTGGCTTATCTTTTAATGCCATTTAGTTTTCAAATTATTTGGAACAGTACTTCTAATTTCATTGATATTCTTGAGTTTATTGCATGCACTTCATTTTTTCTATTTGCTACTTCAGAATACCAGAGAGACTGCTCATGCAATTCGAAAGTTGCATTTGGCTAAGGCTAAAAGATACTTGGAGGATGTTATGGCACATAAGCAAGCTATCCCATTCCGTCGTTTTTGTGGTGGTGTTGGGCGAACTGCACAGGCTAAGAACCGACATTCAAATGGACAAGGGCGTTGGCCAGTTAAATCTGCAAAATTTATCCATGATTTGCTCAAGAATGCTGAAAGTAATGCAGAGGTAGTTATTGAACTCTGGCTAATGGACAAGGGCCTTCACCTATATATGCATTAATGCTGTTTATCACGGCTTTCTGATCTCATCTGTGTACATATGCATTTTGTTATTTTTTTGTTAGGTCAAAGGTTTGGATATTGATTCACTCTACATATCTCACATCCAAGTGAACCAAGCACAAAAACAACGTCGCCGTACTTATAGGGCACATGGAAGGATAAATCGTGAGTGCATTCAGTAGATTGTTACTGTAGCATTCTACCCGCTGCCCCAAACTCTTTCTCCAAACCACTTGCTTTACTTAAAGCATGCACATTTGATGCTGATCTATACTTGTCTTTTTGGCAGCTTACATGTCCTCACCATGCCACATTGAGTTGATTTTGTCAGAAAAAGAAGAGCCTGTTAAGAAAGAGGTAACTTTTTATACCCATAATTCTCTTGAAACGTTTGATGAGTTTGCTGGCATCATATTTTCTTTGGGTGTTTTTTATGAGTTGGAAATTTGAAATGACATCACATGATGTCTAGATGGAGGTATTTGAGATATGGATATTATAATTTGGTGATAGATTATGGTTGCATCCATTTTTTGCTATTCATGGGTTTAAGTTAACTTCAATCTCTAGAAATTTTTTAGTATATTGAATTGATGATCATTTTCATGTTTGAGTCTTTTCTGACATTGATATGGTGTTTCATCCTGGGATAATTTTTTCTTTTGCAGCCTGAGACTCATCTGGCTCCTAGGAAACCAAAGGCCCAAGCTCTACGCAGTGGGGCTTCCTCCTGAAGGCAAGCAGTAAACAGGTCCTGAAAATTGGCTTTATCTGTTTCTTCTCTGCTGGAATGCTGTCTCATCAGTGACCTCTGCGTTTGTTTTCTGAGATGTTTGTCCTAGATCTTATACTCATTTAGACTCTTACTGTAAACTGATCCCCCTACTCTGCAGTGGATGGGCCAAAGATTGGGATATGAAAGCTTTCTCTAAAATTTTGATATTGGAGGTTCTGAAAATTTTAAGCAGCTATTTTTCGGAATTTTAGTGTCTTTTATTTTTACGAATGTGGATCTGTCTATTCATGCTTAGAACTGCAAGTGTGTTACTGTGATGAATTAGGTGGCGAAACATCAAGATAATGAGCAATTCATTGGAAAACTACTTAAAATTTGAAAAAATAAAAAATAGTTGATTAATTAGTGTTTCTCTTTCTTTCAGAACTGGCACCACTGATTAGGGTAGTTTGCATTTTGCTTGTGAATTTGGGTAAGCAGCCTTTTGATTTTAGAAATATGCTCTTTTATAAATTCGTATGGGGCTTTCCATTCAAGGCAAGATTAGAAACTTATTTTTCAAATAATTACATCAACTTATTGAAGGTCAGGTTGCGACTTTCCGTCGATTAACTGCCTAACACTGCTTCAAAAGTTCAATGAAGGAAAAACTTCCTTCTTGTTGAGTAAAATTTTTCCGTTCGAATGAAGAAAATTAAATGTGTAAGAGATTGCACAAAATTACTTCTCTTGCACAGTTACAGGATCATTTCGATCAAAATTCTGACCCTGCACTTTCGATAATACTAAGTACATTTTAGTCGCACACAGCTTATTTCATCAAAATCAGTAACAATGACAACGCAGCATTATCCATGACGGTTTCAAGGTTGTACAGCTTCCAGAAGCTTCTCATACACCTCCCTAGCAGACAAATCCTCCACCTGATACATAAAGTAATTTATTTTCTTTAATTGCAGAGGAAAACTCAGTAAAGTACAAAACATTTTTATTTCACAGATAATGCCAAAGAATCAGACTTCTATTAGAGAAGCACTAGATTTGATTCAATCCACAACAAGGATAACCAACTCAGTCTAATAACAAATTATAGGATAAACGCAATAGTCTCATACGCTCATAGATTTAAATATAATTCAGTTACTTTGAACTAAAGGGCATATCCACCACTTTTATCCATGTACAAGACAAGTACGGTTGTTGATTTTCTTTTCTTGGGTTAGGAAGAGATGTCAACCAAGAAAATCTATGAAAAGATTACCATTTGAACAAACACAGAAACCAAGAGTAAGATGGGGCGCAACATGAAGGCAGAAGAGAAGTAATAAACTTGAACTTGCAAGCATTGCAAAAGTGAACACACAGATGCAGAGGCAAACAGAAAAGGGAAAGGGAAACTTCATTATAGACCAATTGACTCACAACAAGGAGTTTTGACTTGTTATTCCATCCCCTTTGAAGAGTCATCTGGCTCAGTCTCAGACCCAAAACCTGTGTGAAAAGCAAATCTAGTTATCTCCTCTCTTGAAAAGTGATGATCGATAATTCTAGGCTCAAGTTTATTGGCCCCACAATTAATAGAAAGGCTAATGCAAAATATAAAGCATACTTTGCCCATGAATTCCAGAAGTTCGTTGTTAGCTTCCCCACGAGCTGCAGGTGCAGCTACAGTGACTCGAACATCATCAGCATTTACTCCTGGTAAGAAAGATGAACTTCATTAATCAAGAACTACCCAATTTTATCATTTTTAGAGTTTCAGATTTCTAGCTTAAAGCACTGCAAATACAAAGTTCATAATATCACCAGGTAAGACACATAGTATTCTTTTCCTGTTTCTCATGGAGTACGCCTCTTCATGCAATCTTAGTAACCCACTATTCTAATAACTAAGAATCCAAGGTTCCTAGAAAAAGTTCCAGAGATAACCGCTGCATGTTCTCCTAACTAACCTCTCCCTTTTCCTCTTTACACAAAGAAATGTATCTACACAATATATATAGCAAGTTATTAAAGAGCAAGCTCCATACTGTTCACATTTTAGTGGGCCCCATCTGGGATCCACATGTTTGTACGTAAAGGGAGCTCATCCTACATAATAATTCCAGAGCATGCATCTTTATGCCCAAACTAAGTTTCATATCCATACAATACAGTGAGCATTGAATTTAGTTTATTCATGTGTCCTGTAAGAAAGACAGATACAGACAACTACCTTATCAATGACAAACTCATTAACCTGTTTAATTGCATCACTAGTCCTAGAAAAGAAAGCTTTACTCTGTTTAATTGAGAGCGCAAAAGAGATGCAGAACAAACGATAAGAAAGAGGATGCACACCAAAATAGAAATTGAATAGTCACAGTACTTGTTATTGCTGAGCGTTGGGCACGGTCTTCCACTTCTATAGCCACTTGAACAAGTCCTCCTTCTAATTGTGATATGCATGGTGGCACAGGAGCATCCTATAGCATATTTCAGAAAGATATAGAAAGGGAATTCATGAACAAAAGAAAATGAAGTTGTATGCTCAGCAGATGTGATATGAAATTCTCCTAATTCATGAATCAAGATCAATGGATCATTTAAAGCCTTAACCAAAACCTATTTTTACCTGAGGATTTGTTTCAGCAGCAACTGTACTGAGTGCACCATCAACAACATATATCAAAGAAGCAGCTTCCAGATCTTCTTCTGCACGATAGCAAACAAACAGACCACAACCGATACAGTTCATACGAAATTGCTTCTCCAACTTCCCTTCACCCCTAGAAAAGAATAATCAAGGATTATAAATAGGAGCTCCAATGCAACTTCATATATTTACAATACAAATACCAAGCCATTTTGTGTGTCCCCAATAAGTTCAAATAAAAAAGAAATTACTATCAAATTGATACCAAGTTAGCAGTTCAATAAATGATGACAAAAAACTTAGGTAAACAAAAATAACCATCTAGTACCATTCAAAGCGCAAAAGAGGTCCTATGCACAATGGCATTTTAGACCTTAACAATTAGTATTCAGTACCATATATATATATGAACAATTAGAGACAATACTGACAACAAGTGAACCCTGAAGTCCAGAATAACATCTATACTATAGCATGGGGAAGAATGGATTTCTATCCCTTCACATTTGTCTCGTCTTCTTTCCCAATCAACATATTACATCATGGCTTGATATTGGTAGTGTAACTTATCCTATTTCTGTATCTACAGCAACAATAGCTATTCAATGAGGATTAGTCCACGCTGGACCCAATAATGTTCCTAACCTCATAAACAAATACTACCTCCTTTGCTGAAAGGGGAAACAATAACACTTGCTCACAATACAAATGGATTGGCAAGCTACAAAACTTTTATGTGAAGCACATGAACGCAAAATGGAAACTTGAAAAAACCGAGTATCACTTGTAAGAAATGCAAAAATACACCAACACACCCCAAACCCCACCCCCCCACAATACAAATGGATTGGCAAGCTACAAACTTTTATGGTGAAGCACATGAACGAACAAAGTGGAAACTTTGAAAAAACCGAGTATCACTTTTGTAAGAAATGCAAAAATACAACCAACACCACCCCAACCCCACCCCCCCCCCCCGCACCAAAAAAAAAAAAAAGGCCAACAAGAGAAGAATGAGTATAAGAAAGAAATGAATTAGAGTGAGGAAAAAAAAAAAAAAAGGCAAAAGAGAAGAAGAGTATAAGAAGAATGAATTAGATTGAGGATAATTATAGATACTACCGTTTCAAGAGAACTTTTCCAGCCTCATTAATGTTCAATCTTGCAAGGTGCTTCTTCTTGTCCAATACATATGCTTTATCCGTCTTCCTTTTTGGCATTTTCTGCAATTGGATATCTTATAACAAACATATTTCAGCATAGATAATGAAAATGAAATAGTGAAGTTTCTTTATACTTTGATAATTAAATTATTTAATATTGGCTTGAATAAACTGAAATTACAATTTTCCATTAGGTGGAATCGTTCTCGTGAAAAGCAATAAAAGCATCAGATAATCAAGGAGGTTTCCGTTATAGATAACTGCACAGCATGAGAAAATGTTTAGGTATTGAACCAAACAAAATGAATTTCTTCCGATGTACGCGAATTTTACTGCTCTAAATTTCTCATAGCATTCAACAATTGAAATTCATTCACAGGATTGGCCAATTTTGATTTCAGAAGCAAAACGGATAAGCTTTCCTAACGTGCATCGCTTTCAACTTGAGCTGAATATCAATTTAAAACTTTGTTTGACGAAAGACCTCGTGTGTAGCTTTATTGTTATCAAATGGAAATTGATATAGTTGCCTTAGTAATTTCTCAAAATGAAAAGGCAAAAAGAGAAAAGATCTATGTGCAGTATAAAGATATAAACGGAGTCCAGAATCAACTAATAGGTATAGGGGGAGAGAGAGAGAGAAAGCACCAGTGATAAGGACGTGAGAGCTGCAATGCTTGCAGTAATAGACGAAGAGATCAGAGTTAGGACCGTCTGGAGCTGCGTCCTCGCTCGAGTACGTGTGCGTTGTTCTCTTCGGCATATTTCTTTCTCTATCTGCCTTCTGGTTTTCGAACTCAGAAATTGTTTCTTCGCCTGTGTTTAATCTTTTATCGAACTAGGGAGAGCTTCTTAAGTTTGTAAAACTACAATTGTAAAACGATGTCGCATTTATGCCGTGGGATTTTAACCAGCCTCCCGCTTACTTCACTGGATTTATTTTCACCCACTTTCAAAATACACTCATTAGGAAGTATAGCTTGAACGTGTTTGGTTAATATGTCTAATACCTGGAAAATAAAATAATGAAAAGTGATAAAAAAATCATTTAAACAGAGAAGTTACGCGTGCTTTCTGCTTCCCCTTATGTAAAAGCCAGGCGGCCTAACATTCAGATCATTTTGCTTTACAAGTTACCTCACCAAGATGATAAGCAGGGGCGCAAGAAATTAAAAAAATATTTTTATGAAAAATGACATTTTGATCTTTAAAAATACAAGAAAAAAAAAAAAAAAACTATATTTAACCCCCTAAAAGATTAAAAAATTTTGCTCGACTCTGTTAAAATAATTGTCCCCACTCCAATTTTGATTCGTTAACAAATTAAGTTTCAATCCCCGTATCGTCGTTAACTAGCATAGTCACATCATGCTCAACAATGTAACTTTGTAAGCTTCAGGAATACTGTCTTGTTAGGTCACGCTCTACATCCATCCTCTTCTCACATGGTAATCTGAATTTGTATTGAATTACGGATGATAGAAAAGAGGCTAAAATTCCCATTCTGGCTCTAAAAAATTGTCAACATTCGATAGATAACATTACATTAAACAACCATTCAACCAGGACAAAAATCCACAAGAAACATTTAAATAAGGTTTTTGTGTAACAAAAATAGGAATATGAAGATCAAAGAAGCATAATATCATTTCTCCGCAATCTTCATAAAGTGAAACCTCTCCTGCACCTAGTCCAAGTGAGAAGGATCCTCAAATTCTGCAACAAGAATCAATAAAGTAAAAGTCAGTACTTCGCAATATATATCTGAATTATGCTTTCTAGTATATGCATTTAAGTACCAAAGAGATTAAATTGATTATTGCATAAAATAAATGCATACATTAACTGAACAAATAGTAAAGAAAAGCTTAGCTCTAACTTACATATCTTGTTGAAGGCCACAATGTCACAGCTCTGGACATATTCATTCACTGGTTCAACAGTCAGATGTTCCTCAATTAGACTGTCGACAGACACTAGGTCATCCACAATAGTAAGCATAATCTGCAGTTTCTTTATACCATATCCAACCGGTACAAGCTTGGCTGCAAAATAAATAAATAAATATATATATATCAGAACCAGAAGTACAATGTACAGATCCTTTAAGATACTTATCCATGCAAGACACTCAGAAGGAAAATGCATCGCTTATAATGCTGGGCGAAATGCTTAGAATAGACAATAATATGCCATCAACTAAACATAACAACAATTAGCTACTATTCTTTCTTCCAGTTGAGAAGAAAGCCAAGTTTCCAGGAATGGATGATACTAGTGCAGCAAAATAAGCATTTGACAACAACTACATCCACATTGACTAAAGGCACCAAGCTAAAGATCTTACATGCTCCCCAAAGCAATCCTTCCATCTGAATGCTTCTAACTGCTTCCTCAAGCTTTTTCATGTCAGTCTCATCATCCCATGGCTTGACGTCCAATAGAACGGATGACTTACCAGCTGAAAAGGGGAAAAACAAGGAATTTTGCAAGTAAACTATGATCAGAGGCCCAGATTATACAGTCCAAAAGCAACAGAAAAGAAACATAATTGGTGCGACTCATAACAAGGAAAACTAAGCCTAATATGCATCCAATAAGATGAGAGACACTTACACTCTTTCTTTTTTGCAGATGCCTTGACAGCAGCTGCACGTTCTTCTGCGGCCTTCTTTTCCTCCTCAGTCTCCTCACCAAACAGATCCACATCATCATCATCATCCTCGGCAGCAGCCTAAAAACCATTATTTTAGGTAAGGAAACAATAAAGAGTTCCAGTCAAACATAGGAAAGATAACCATTGGAATTTTAAATATATATAAACACTACTAATACATGATGAATGCTGATTGATAAGGGAGAGGAAAAAAACTATAAAACTACCTTTGAATCAGCAGCTGGAGGAGTTGCAATTGCCTCCTCTGTGACGGGTGCAAAACCCTGAACAGTAACTCCTGACCCTTCTCCAGATACACCACTGAAACAGAAGCCAAAGGTAGTAATCACAGCTGGGTATAGGAAAACGCATGTCATCGTAATAATAATAATGTGATTACTTACGAAATTCTTAGGAGTGCATCAATGTGCTTGTACCACCGGGACACATTCACATATTGGGATGATGGAGCCTTTGGCAAAGCAGCATACACTGTAACATCATCTTTTGAAGCTTGATAACTAAAAGCAAAAACACAAACAAAAATCAGTCAAATCCACACCTTACAAAATCAACCCAGAGGGTAAAAACTATAAAACAAGTGACACCCACCCAGTGATGTAACTGCGGGTAAGGAGATAGTCATCCAGTTTCTTAAGGCCAGACTCAGAGCCGAGATCATAGAATGCGACTGCCATTGCTAGCTATTTGAGTGACTTGTTTCTGAGCGTAGAAGTAAAAACAACACAATCAATTTCTCGAAGAAAGATTTTCCAGTAAAGCAAGAAATTCGCACTTAATTTCATTGTCGAAACCAGTTGAATTTAAAATCAATATCACTATCTTTAATTGCTAGCACCGTCAAAACATTTCAAAGTACTTCCAGTAGAAGTTCAACAAGTTTTCTGAGAGAGAAAATGTTGAGACTTGAGATACAAAACTAGACATCAAAATAGCAACCATGGAAATTCCTTCCATGGCCATCCATCTAAGTATAACTCAAAATCAATAGCAAAATGTTGATATACTAAATCAACGTAAACACAGTGGTTGGAGAATATGAGGATCTGTGCTCTTACCAGTTATAGAGATGCAGATACTCTGGCAGCGCAAGTGAGGTCTAGGGTTTTCTGAATGTTCTGAGACGCTTGAATTTATATAAGTGAGAAATGATATGTTGCATCGCGTATCACGGAATGTGGTTGCCTTTTGTGATTTTTATCTTTTATTGGGTGTTTCAGAATTCTGATTCGGCCCTTCCATTTTCTCTTTAATCAAGTTGTAACAACAAGAATAATCAATTTGTCGGTCCGTAATTTTTCTACAAAATAAATTACTTTTGAAATATAGAAAATATTTTTCTTAATACTACTAGTTAAAAGTGTTGAAATTTTTAACTTATAAATTATAAGAATGAGAATATTATTTAAAATTATAAAGAAATTTTATTATTAAATTTGAAAAAAAATATAAATAATAAAAGTTGTAGCAATCATAGGTACTAGTATCTATGATCAACAACAATTAGTAATCAATGATCACACCGGTAATTATTGACAATTAATGGATTAATTAATAAATATAAACGATAAGCTTGTTAACATTTGAAATCCATTTTTTGTTACATAATTATTTTCCTTTTGGTTAGAAAAATATTTTTCATTGATCGATTTTTTCACGAGTTATTCAAACTTCCTTTTACATATTAATTTAAATTCATACTCTAATTAGTGCGTTCTTAATATTTAAATAGATACAAATACTTGGATTCTCATATAACTACATGTTACATGTTTTTATGGGCTTGATGATTAGAAACGAATGTTATGTGTTTAGTATGGAAAAAAAAAAGCATTTAAAATTTTTAATTTTAATAAAATTGATGTACACAAATTATGTTGATAAAATTTATTTGCAAATTTAAAAGCATGTAGAAATTTTTAAAAACTTAATATAATTTATAATATAAATTTTACTTTTAATAACATTATATATCAAAAGTAAACATTCATTGTTTAACCAAATTATCAAAACTTATTGGAGTATATAATCAAATTATTTGTTTAATTTTAGTGAAAATAATCAAACATTTAAAGGATTAATTTTCTTTTTGAAAGATATTTATAGCATCAATTTAAATATTCATTCAATTCAAATTGCTATCAATTTAGGAAAGTAGTCCATACATGTTCTTGCACAGATTGATGGTCAATCTGCCTGATGCTCCAAATAGAGCAAAGATACTGAAAGTTCTTTTGACTAAGGAAGATTTGTCGCCTGATGTTGATTTTGATGCAATTGCCAGTATGATAGATGGGTATTCTGGAAGTAACCTTAAGGTTTTAGCACTCGTTCTTTTCCTGATAAGTTTGTATATGCAAGGAATACCATTTTTTCTCTCTCTCTCTTTGCTTCTAAATAGTTTTTTTAACTTGAAGTTGCTTATTGATTGGCTTAAATTCATACTTCTTAATGTTGTAGAACCTGTGTGCAACTGCTGCTCACCGCCCAATTAAGGAGATACCTGAAAAGGAAAAGAAGGTGTGGATTTTAATTTTATCTTCTTTGCTGTTCAGAAACTGCTAATTTAAAGGGTAACAGTTAATTGATTTGATTTAGTGATGAAGTCATACTGTCAATGCTGGGTTCTTGTACAAGCCATTCACTCATCATCCCTAGCAGCAACAGTCTTCCGTAAATACTATAGTACTAAGTAAAATTCATCTCTGGTGCTTTCAAGTACTTTTCTTCGAAAGCTATTTTTCAGATATTAGTTTTTTGTTTTTTTTTGGGAGGGGGTGAGGGTAGGAGTAATTATTTTCTGTCTAGCATCTAATAACATGATCTTGTTTCATCATTAATGACAGGGACGAGCTGCTGCTCTAGCAGAAGGTACACCTACTTCAGCTTTAGGTGGCAGCGCTGATATACGGCCTCTCAACATGGATGATTTCGGATATGCTAATGAACAGGTAAAATATTGAACCCCTTCTCATGTTCGCCTCAATCTTGTTACATGCTTTATCTTAGTTATATGCTTATCTATTTAGTTCAACGTGTTATTGAAATAGATATGTGCAAGTGTTTCCTCTGAGACAGTTAACATGACGGAGTCATTACACTGGAAGAACTCTACGGTGAAGGAGGCGTATCAAGAAGAAAAAATTCTCTCAGCTATTTTATGTAAAATTTCCTTTGTACAAAAGCATTTTACCTGACCTCGTCGAGGAGCCATTTTGTCTGCAACAAGAAGTATAGGTTTCTTAAATCATAAATTATATCTGCAGAATAATGAAACTAAACACAGTCTAGGCAGTGCTTGAGTGACTAAAGAGTGATAAACAAAAGGGAGGAGTTAACAAAAAGAAAAAAATCTTCATGAAAAAAAAAAAAAAAAATTTACCTTTCCAACAAATATCATTGAAATCAAGAAAGAAGGAACTGCAGAAATCATAGCCAGGAGCAAACACTTTTTCCGCTAAGTGCAACATCTAAATATAAAGCAAGAGCTGTCAATCTTATTTCAGTACCTACACCACCGTGTGGACACAGTTCAATAAATGTAAAAATTCATAAATTCAAATTAAATTAAGCAAAAGAAAATTCTCTTAAAATCAAATTTCCTCTACAAATAAACATAGAAAACCTCATAGAGTATGTACGGAAACAATCCCCAGACAGAGAATAAGCCAGGAAGGAGCATAGTATATCTGAGGAAGGAGCTTGCTCCATCTCTTACTCGGGTTCGGAGCCAGTCATAGACTCGGACTACATAAACCCGTTTTCGTACCTGTAGTTTCACCAACTGAACAATCAACCATTATTTATCAGCAAGAAACCCTTTCCAGAGAAAATCAGAAAAACAATAAATGGATGGAGAAAAAGGAGATTGTTGAAGCTGAGTTCAGCGCCGGCAATGTACAACTGTGAACGAGTGTTTCAAAGAAACCGTATCCAGCCAGTGATACAGTGACAAATTAACGACGCCAGGTGGGAGGCACTAATTCTCATCGAAGGGCTTTATCTATATCCTACTCTCACTGTATATAATTATAATAATAAGTCAAACGCAAATTAAATGATGGACATTATATTATTAATCTCTAAAAAGTTATATTGCTAATTCAATTAACCGATTACATTTATATGGCTTTCAATTATTGCACGTCTTAATCTTTTTTTAAAATTTAGGCTTCAAAAACTTAATATATCATAATACTGACAATACATTTAGATCGGTAGAAATAGGAGAGGAAAGAAAATTGAGGAGGAAAATAGTATCGATTTTCTTTCCTTCACTTGTTTTCGAATGAAAAAATATGGAAAGAAGGAAAAATAAATTATGGAATCTGTATTATTTTCTCTCTAATTTATGAAGAAAATTGGAAGAAAATGATTAAAATTATAATTTTACTCCTATTTATTTATACTTTATTAATGAAAATAAAGGTTAATTCATACTTTCACTATTCATAAAATCATTTTCTCTCCTTATTTTCCTCTCAAATATCCAAACATCAAAGGAAAAAATTCTTCAATATTTACCCTTTTTATTTTCCTTCCGTGTTTTCTTTCCTTCCTAAATTGTTATCCAAACACTGTATAAACTTTATCCGCTCTTTGAAAATCTAGACTTCTTTCAAATATGTCGTTAGGTTAGCCTTTGCCAAACAAGCAGTAATGTAGTGTGGAAAATTTGCTCGTTATAAATCATGATCTACGTGTACCCACGTCATGAATGACGGTGGGTGATCATCCAGTGTACGGTGCGGACAGTGGCTCGCGCTTCTCACTCCACAGCCGCGGATCAAAATCGAATGGCAAACAATACTAGAGCTCTCAACAATCAACACCATCAAATTGACTTACATTAGTGCTGCTATGCTAGCCGTCAAAAATCTCTGCCTTTTTACACGAGCAGATTAGCAACAGTCCACGTCCCACGTGCATATATCGACGACTAAAATTAACTGTAACGTTCAAGTTAGTTACATTGCATGAAAAAAAGACACCCCCCTGAATGTCATTTTTCATCTTTCATCAAATAAAATTTGAATAATACAAAAAATAAATTTTAAATAATATATTCTGGAATTTGACGGCGGTTTAACTTATTTTGTTTAGTTTCAATGGAAAATAATAAATTGATTTATGAATTATATTCAAATTAAGATATGAAATCTTTATCCTTTTAAATTAATTATGAGATATTTAAATTGTTTTTTTTTAAGGATATCCTCTCACTTTCTGTTTAGCAATTAAACGAGAAATTGATCATTTTCAAACCGGAGAATGATTATATTTAAATACACTCTCCAAGATCTGATGTATTTCAACAACTAAACTAAGTTATCTTAAGTTCTAAATTGTTATTTTATTAACATTTTTTGATCATTCTATACAAAACAAATGGACCAAAGCACATGGAGATTTATAAGGTAAGAATTAATGTTTTAACTATGATAATAAATTAGAAACCTTATTATTAGTTTAATTATAATTTATGAAGCGATTTCTTATCCAATTGTCTGTTAATAGAGACTATTTTGAATGGAATAAGCAACGTGTCAACGGAGTCATAAGTTAATGATTTCGTGATTAATTTTTTTATAAAAAAATATTTTTCGTGTGTTAATTCCACTATAATTTAGGGACTAATTTATTATTTCCCTAATTTCACCATAAATATAAATATATAAATTTTGAATGTAATTCATTTCTATTTTTATATTTTATTTGGTCAAATTGATTTTGTTTAACTTCAAGATTTACAGTGAAGTTGAAAAATTATAGTTTACTCCTTATTGAATAATTAGAACTTGTATTAAATTAACAATTTATTATAATACAGAATATCTTTAAAACAATATTATATTTGAATAATCGAATGAGTTACCCAATCGTGTATATAATACATTAATTTTTACTTGAGTTTCAAAATTACAAAGAAAGCTTGAATAATATAGGAATAACTTAACAAATTTGCATTTTTATTGATCTTATTTTTGCGAGACTTGATAAATAGAATGCTTGTTTTTACCAATTTAATTAATACATCAAACATTATTTTTTTTTTATTTTGATTTTAATTTAAAATTTGTTTTATCGTTAAAACTCAATGGCTCAATTATAATTCTTGCATAATTTACTCATAAAAAAATGATGAGTTAGGTTAATAAACAATAATTCCTTCGTTCTACTTTAACAACAACATTTGATATTTTCATTAGGATTAAAAAAATAATTGAAATATATTTATTTTTTAAAAATATAGAGTAAAATGTCTAAATCGTCATTCTTAAAATTAAAAGATCCCGTCTAATTTTGTTATAAAATATCTAATAAATATGAATAAAGTTGGAAAAATAATTAAATCATCATTTAAAATGAAATAAGTTAAAATATTTATTTATTGTAAAGTGAAACAGAGGAAATAATAATAATAATAAAAACACCCACACACGTAAAGGAAGTAGTGATTTCATCTGAATAACCACAGGACAAAACTCGAATACTTGCCAAACCAAACAGCTTTGGCGCATCCTAGGAAGAACCAAAGAGCTTAGCTAACCTGAACCACCTACTAGACCAAAGTTTGCTATGTTACGCCAGTAAGCACACGCCGTTTTCTAGTTCTATATTATAAGCCACGCACTGGGGCATCGAACTTCCGTGCACCAGCCAGAAAGAAAGAAACTTTATTTAAATATATTTAAAAATGTTTATGGCAATTAAAATGTAAGCAGAAAATAAATATATTTAAACATAATTAGCCTTTGAATATATAAATATTTTATGCCCATCAAGCTTAAGTATATTGCAGAATAGAGAGAGAAAACAAACAAAACCAAAAGAGAAAAAAAAAAAAAAAAGTAAAAACGAAACCAGAGTCATGGTTTCAACAAGGAGAAGTGGATCTCTCTCTGGAAACAATATCAAGAGATCTTCATCGTCGGAGGATAAGCCTCCGTCACCGAAGCGTCAAAAGGTGCAAGAAGAGGGGATGAAAATCTCTTACACTTTTTTTTTTTAAATTTTTACTTCTTGGGTCTTGTTTTAACATGTCTAATTTTTTTTTTTAATTTTTCATTTAAAATTTTGTGATTTCTTTATGTTTTCAGGGAGAAAATGGTGGAAATGCGGAGAAACCGATGCCGGCGACGGAGAATTCCAAGGAATTGTCTCCCCCTGCTGCCGCGGATCCCGCAGAATGTGGGTCTGGTGATTCTCCGATTGCTGGAGACGCTGCTGGAGAGGCTGTGAGTTCAGGAAAAGGTGAGGCGGCTACAGCTGTGGCTGTGGTCACGCCGATCGCTGAGGGTAGGTGATTTGAAGTTGTCAAGAGTTCTTTAATAATTTTTTTTTTTATCTCATCAATGCATGTTTTTAGTAATTTTCTTTGTTGTTTGATCGATATCTGAAGGTTCAACACCGATTGTAGTGGATAAACCGAGAACTTCATTTTCCTCGTGGAGCAGTTTTTATCAAAAGCAGAATACAATTCAGGAATCACCTTGGTGTAATCTTCTGTCACAGTCTGCACAGGTACTTACGAGTAACTAAATAAATTGAGCCAAAGATTGATATGTTTAGTAAATTGAACTCCAAGAGAAGTGCTTTTTTCTTTTTCAAATAATTGGTTATATGTTTCAATTTTAACAATCCTGCACTAATGATATGCAGAACCCGAGTGTACCCATATGCGTACCCAGTTTCACTATTGGTTCAAACCGGAATTGCAATTTATCATTAAAGGATCAGACTATCAGTGCAACGCTGTGCAGGATAAAACAGGTATTGACTTCAAGCTCTCATGATTTTTGCTTATTTCTCTATCATCTCCTCAATTTCTTCCTCCATCACCTTAAGTTTCTCAGATGGGAATTTTGTAGGAGAAAGATAAAATCTGAATGGGTAAATCACATTTCAGTCGGTTACATTTAATTACGAAACATAAGGACTCCACTTGTCAGATATATTGGATGCGATTGTTTCTTTTTTTAGCTCTTCTGGAGGTGAACTCCTTAATATGTATATGCAGTTTGAGTACTCACTGTTTGTGGACATGATCAGCATGAGGGAGGTGCTGGAGCAGTGCTAGATTGTTCGGGAAGCAAGGGATCAGTAAAAGTAAATGGGGAAGTAGTCAAGAAGAACACTCAACGTCAGCTCCACTCAGGAGATGAGGTGGTTTTTGGTTTGCTGGGGAACCATGCCTATGTATCCTTTCTTCTATTTGGAGGATAGTTCATTTTATCTGGTTATGTCTTGCTTGTGGATTTCTAAAAAATTCCCTTGTGCTTCTTTCCCATTTCCCAACTAGCTTGGGATTAAGGAGTTGTTATGCTCTTCCCCACTTCATTCTTTTGCTTACCTTTGCGTATGAGAAACTGTATCTTACTATGTGCAATTTCCTTAATCTTTGTGAACGTTAGATTTTTCAGCAATTACCAACTGATGTAGCAGTTAAGGGTCCGGAGGTTCAAAGCAGTATGGGGAAATTTTTGCAACTTGAGAGGAGGTCAGGAGATCCTTCAGCTGTTGCTGGGGCATCAATATTGGCATCTCTTTCAAGCATGAGGCAAGATATATCCCGGTATAAATCTCCAGGTCAGAATCCTGGTAAAATCCACCAAGGGAGTGAGGTGCCGGCCCATTCAGTGGTCCATGATGGTACAGATGGTGATCTCGATGGCTTAGAAATCAATTCAACTCCAAATATTGGGAGTGATAAAGCTGCAGATGTTGGAGCAGTTGGCAAGAACCTTCCTCACGATTGCAACCAGGACTCTGGCATAGAGGCAGGCAATGTAAAACTCTCTGGGGTGAATGATTTGATAAGGCCTTTCTTCAGGATGTTAGCTCGATCAACTAGTTGTAAACAAAAATTGAGCAAAAGTATCTGTAAACAGGTATTGGAAGAAAGGAACGAGTGGGCAAGGGATTCACAGCTGGCATCAACGTCGGGTATGTCATTGAGGTGTGCAGTATTCAAAGAAGACATTTATGCTGGAATTCTTGATGGCAAAAATATAGAAGTTTCATTTGATGATTTCCCGTATTATTTGAGGTATTATTTTGCCTTCATTGTGCTTAATTTATTTTCATATACTGATGCTTATTCCAGCTGAGAATTTAATGCTTACTTTCTTTTCCATATTTAACTTAAAGACTTCATACGGGACTTCTTACTTGTTCTGTTTTCATGTCTTGGACACTTGGGAATTTTTATTAGCATAGCAAATGAGATTATGTAGGAAAATTTCTTCTTATGGGACCAGCTGTTTCCTTTGGACTTTTAAACTGTAATTTTCTGAATGCTAAAACTTGGTTTCTGATGCAAGAGTTGGAAAATAAATAAGAGACAGATTTCTTTTGGTTTGTTATTTAACTCATTTTTAATTGTCGTGTCTAAGCTTGTTTCCTACATGTTTCTATCAATGGTTTTTGTTATTACGTTAATAGTGGAGTGTTGTGTTTTGTCCACTTAAGCCATTATATTTCTAGATTTTCCTCCTTTGTTTAGTCATCTGGCATTTATTCTTATCTTTTTATTTCTTATTCTTAATTTTCTTTCCACAGTTTTGAAAATGTCTAATTATAAAAATCTATTATAGAGAGGAAAAGATGATGACTAAATGCCCTTTGATTGTTTATGCCTTATTACATTAAGATTCCAGGACTACTGTTGGAGAATGATGGGACAACCTATTAGTGTGGGTGGGATAATTATGGTGCTTTAAGCAAATGAAGCTGAAAATATAAAGTTAACTAAGACTTGAGCTGGTTCAGGCTTGATCCCAGCTCTCCCGTGTTTTGACAAACAAGGATGGAAAGGTGGAAGATGGAGGGGAGAGAAGAAAAACACAGTAAATTAGGATAGTTCATGATTGTTAGATTAATAAGATGCTTAGAGTTGAGAGAAGCTGAACATAAGGCTAAACAGGGCTTGAAAGGCTGGAGTTTGTGATGTAAACCTGTCTCATATAGTCAACAAGCTAGGAGGGAGTGATGGAGAAGGTAATAGTTGCCCGCAAATGCTTTGATTTAGCCTGATTGAATTCTGAAACTCATTTCCATGTGCATGATATTCCCTTCTTATCATCTGCAGGTCCTTGAGAATTGAGATATGAGCAATAAAACCTGTTGTTAATAGGATGCTACTGATTTTCTTAGTTTTGACAGTGCTGCATGGCTGTTTCAGTTTTTGTCTTTAGATTTTATCGAGTCCTATAATTTGAAACCTTGTTTAGAAGTAATCTCTGTTATATAATTTTGTTCTTCAGTTTGCATGGGATTTAGACTACATCCAAAAATTTAATTTGATATTGCATTACTTGTCCTATTTAAGATGTAACAGCATATGGTGCATTTGTGAAAGAGACTTGGGGAGTTATTTGTTTGATTTTTCATGCATCTTGATGAGCAGCTTTTTGGTTTATCGTTTGTAGTCTGTTTTGAGCACCATATGTCCTGCAGCTGATAGTGTGTATTGCATGGATCTGGTTGTCCAGGTAGATGGGTCCTGCAAAATGATCAGTTCCAATAGCATGTTGGCTAGAATTTTAGATTACCTGTTTGCAGGGGACAACTAAATGGTAGTGGATATGATTTATAAGATGTGATGAGCGAGAACTTTGTTTCTTATACAAGGACAATTCTGGTTTTTTATGCTCACATATAATTGTTTTTGTTGCTCATTTTGCTATTCTACTATTTAAATCTTTGTCATATTAGGATATAATACACGCTGAATATATTTCTGACTGAATATTTACCATAGGTCAGTAGAATTCCTGATTGATATTTGATGAAAACATTCTTATTTTTGGTAATTTACCTCTAAGTTCTTTAGATTTGCCCATTATGACAAGTTAGGATGACATTTTACTTTGCTCACAGCACACTCTAAGCCTTCACTTCAATCTAATATCAAGTACAAATGCTGTAAAAATTTAAAATAATCCTAAAATGCCATAGTATTTGTTGGATAAAGTTCTACTGACAGGATTAATTTTTATCTTTTAAATCAAATCCATGAGTCATGACCACCATTCCCAAGTTCTTGAATTATGTATTTGAGCCAATGTCAATCTCTAATTTCTAATCCGACTAATACATTTTCTCTATTTTTTCCCCAAGCTGGAGTATTTTATTTTTTACTATGAAAGTTTTAACTATTATTCTATAACTAATAATACTTTATTTTTAATATATTTAAGTCACTATTTTTTAGAATAGTAAATTTCGCATTAATGTCCAATTGACTGTTCACACTTTTTTTTTTCAAATTTTTAATTTGTGGGTGCTTAGTGGGTGTTGGTTAATATTTTGTTCCAGTATCAGATAATATTTATTTGATTTGGATGCAAGATTATAACTTAAAATGTAGAAAGTTATAAAGTATCAAGTGTAGTTTTGTTATTACATTAAAAAATGGAAGAAATTGTAATTTTTGAAAAAATTGTCTTGATTTTATAATTATGAACAAAATTAGGGACTAAACTGTAATTTACCCTCCTATTTTATATAAATGGTAGATGTTTTGTTGTAATTTTAGCATGCAATTCTTTTATCGAAGGATTTTATGAGACATGATTGTCAATGCAACGCATATTACCGGTTTTTGACATTTTCCTTGCAGCGAGAGCACGAAAAACGTACTAACTGCAGCTTCATTTATACACCTGAGGCACAAAGAACATGTGAAGTATACTGCAGATCTTACTACTGTTAATCCACGGATTTTGCTTTCTGGTCCTGCAGGTGTGTTAATGTAATACTTTTGGGTCTTATATTTGTCTTTGAGACTATATGGATTAATCTCCATGAGCTGAAATTCAAACTTGAACGCTGTTGATTCTGAATTTATTTCACAGGTTCTGAAATATACCAGGAAATGTTGGCAAAGGCTCTTGCGAACTACTTTGGTGCTAAATTGCTCATATTTGACAGCCATTCTTTTCTGGGTGTAAGCTGAAAACTTTCTGGCTTGATTTTGGTAGCACTCCATTTGTATGATGTAAAGACTAATCAGTTGTTTTTATGAAAAACTATGAATATGTAGGGTTTGTCTTCAAAAGAAGCTGAGATTTTGAAGGATGGATTGAATGCAGAAAAATCCTGCACTTGTGCTAAACAAAATCCTGCAGCCACAGACTTGTCAAAGGGTGTGAATCCACCAGGTGTTGAAGCAGATACACTTAGCTCTTTAAATGCTACTTCTTCCTCTGGTCAGGAATCTCTGCCAAAGATGGACATTGATACTGTACCCTCTTCTTCAGGAACAACTAGGAATCTTTTGTTTAAAATCGGTATGATGGCTTTCTGCTTTTGGTCTTCCAATTTCATTCACATTCTATTTTAACCAGTTCTCTTGGATTCTAAATTAGCAAGGTAACTGCAAAATATTTTCTTCCAGGTGACAGAATAAGGTATATCTCAAGTGGCTTGTATCCTACAGCATCGCCATCAAGGTACAATAGTTTCAACAGTTCACTGGAAATTATGGTGCTTTAGTGGATTGTTCTTTTCTTCATTATTTTGCAATGAGTGGTGAAACTATGTATTTGTCATAAATCAAAAGCAGCTGTAATTGGTAACTTCGTTTGATCTGAGTTGGGGATGCATATTCACATGGGCTTTTATGCTAAAAGCGAGAGAAACCCCACCTCAGTTTCCTTTTTTTAGCCTCTGTGTCAACTGCATGATTCAACTTTCATCTCTGAAGATAATATGCTCAATCGTTGAATACTTAGAAAAATAGCCATCATAATCAGGATTTGTTTAGTATTACCATTCACTAGAAAATTGAGACGGTTCTACTGTTAAACTATAATTAACTTATCCAAATACTTGGTGATTACCACTGTAGTCCACTATCAAAATGGGGAAGAGATATTATCATGAATTTATTATTATTGTTATTATTTTTATTTTGCAATTCCTTGAGAATGGAAGTTAGTGTTTGGAATATGCTAAATAATGCTGATGTCAGTGTTGATGAAAAATTTGTATTGGGCTTTAGAATGTTGATAAACATGAAAAGTGATTGAAAGGAACATAGAAACCATGTTCTAGAGAGATTTAGAGTCTTTTGCTATTTCTGGAGTTGGTGCCTCCTTGTGAAAAATTTCCGATTCTGCTCTTTATCCTTTTCATTGTGGTCCCTTGCGGGCAACATTATGTGTACTCGCTAATGCTTTGTGAATTTAAAATGCAGGGGTCCACCAAATGGCATTCGTGGAAAGGTTGTACTAGTTTTTGAGGACAATCATTTGTCCAAAATTGGGGTAAGGTTTGATAAACTTGTACCTGATGGAGTTGATCTTGGAGGTCTTTGTGAGACAGGCCATGGATATTTTTGCAATGGTAATGTTGAATTCCGCTATGAACAGTTTCATGTGCTTTGACTTTATTAATACTGTTTTTTTCCTCAAACTTTTTCTTGCAACTTACTGAACGTGACTCTAACTTTCTTGATCTAGTTACTGATCTTCGTTTGGATAATGTGGAAGATTTGGACAAGTTACTAATCAACACATTGTTTGAGGTAGTGATACTCAATCTTAACATGATTTATTTTGATTTGGCTTTGTGCCTTTCTCCATTTAATTGGCTTCTTATAAACCTGTCATTAAATGTTTTATCAGGCTGTACATAACGAGAGCAGAAATTTTCCTTTCATTTTGTTCGTGAAAGATGCGGAGAAATCAATTGCTGGAAACCCAGATACATGTTCTACATTTAAAAGCAGACTTGAGAAACTTCCTGATAATGTTGTAGTTATTGCTTCACACACACAAACTGACAATCGTAAAGAAAAGGTAATCTTTTGTTCTAAGAAGGTTTCTGGACTTTTCACTGATGTACTTTTATGCTGAGATGTTAAGACTTAAATAATATGGAATCTCTTAGTCGCATGCTCCCTTAGATTCAACAATAGCAAAGAAATTCTGACATATATTGGAAAATCTGAAATGCATCTCTCATGAATGTGTACATCTATGTTATCCTATATTGATGTTTATGATTACGTTGTTGATACTTTCTTTTTGCAGTCGCATCCTGGAGGTCTTCTTTTCACAAAATTCGGTAGCAATCAAACTGCTCTCCTCGACTTGGCTTTTCCGGTAGTGACTCTTTCCCTGTGCATTTGTTTTTTCGCCCCATCTATCTCTTTGATTAGAAACTTCCCTTTTTCCCAACTTGAAATTTTCCTTTTCTGGAATTTTGCTGTTCAAAATTCATTGTCATGATGGCCCTTTTATGAAAAAGGGGAAACTGTCAAACCTTATTCAGATTAAGGCTGCCTTAAGATTATAGTCGTTCTTTTTTGTGCTTCTGATGGCATAAACTATTAATAAAAACAAGAAAATGAAGGTTTACAGTGTTTTTGCATAAACTATTATAGTAATTTCGATTTTATGTTTAGGCCTATTTCAGGTTGTTGAAGATGATAGCTTTGATATCCACTGTTGCATCATTTTTTTATTAGCATATACACTGCACTCTCTTTATGGCTTATCATTTTCCTAATGTAGTTGAATATTAAAAGATTACTTGTGCAACAAAGATGTTATATCTCCCAGAAATTTATTTTGTAGCAAAGTTCCTCAAATGTGAAAAATTTTGTTGCTAGAATATATTCAAATTTTGGCACTGGTGGAAGCTATGATTCAATGCGATCAACCAGTCTCTGTTCCTTTGGCAGCCATTCTTAGAGTTATTAGAACGTGCTTTTCTTTCTCTATTTGTGTGATGTGCCAATGTGGTGTGCATGGGTGTGGTACATGCTGGTGTTGCTACCAAAAATTGAGAGTTTATCTTGTTGCTGATGGATGTTGTTGATATTCCAATATGTGATTCAGTGCGTTCTGTTTCCTCAGGATAGTTTTGGAAGACTTCATGACAGAGGGAAAGAAGTGCCAAAGGCAACAAAAGTTCTGACTAAACTTTTTCCAAATAAAGTAGTTATTCATATGCCACAGGTCTGTATTACGAATACCATGTTGGTTCTACTACTATTAGAGTTGGTGTATGACATATTATGGAAGCTTATAAACTGTTGCAGGATGAGGCACTTCTGGCATCTTGGAAGCATCAATTGGATCGAGATTCTGAAACCCTCAAAATGAAGGGAAATTTGAATCATTTGCGAGCTGTGAGATCTCTTTACCATGTTTTGATTTTGCAGATTCTCTGTTTTTTCTTTGACAATGTTATACTGGTGGTTATTGCTTGAATGTTTTTTAACACTACACGTAAGGGTGATTATTTGTTTGTTTGTAACTGTTAGGTTGATTATCCATTTGTTGTCTGTTTTATTCTGTTGCTCAAACATTGTGATTACTTGAGTGATTGGTTCCTTGACCGAGATATACTGTCAGATGGTTTCTTAACAAGTGTCTGAGGAATGTCTTAAACTTTCTTAACTTCTAGTTTTAAGTGTCCAACTTTGGCTCTGTTGCATGTTCTCTTTCCTTTGTTGTTTTCTTTCTAACAGTTGAATACGTTGCTCCGTGGATTGTTAAAATCCCTGAAACATAAAAATCAAGTGTGTTAACAACTGCCCTTTTCAGAAGATGTTGCTTTGAGAAAATTTGGAGCTTCTCTCATGCAACACTGTAATGAGTTAAAGTCCTCTAGATCTTGTTGGAAATCTAGTTGTGGCATGTTAACCGGCTCATGGCTAATGTTTCACAGAGGTCTCTCGTTCATTCATTGAGGTTTAAGGAGCAAATTAAGCGGTAATTGTTGTTTTAGGCTTTAAACTTCTCTGTGTGTGTGTGTGTGTGTGTGTGTTTTATATTCTTTTGATATGGTGTCTTTGACATTCTTGAACAAAACAAGCTGGTATCCCTTTTTTATTCTTTAATATGGATAATATTTTTCTCAGTTGTGAACAGTTTTTATGTTCTGTGGGTCATGATGAACAATGATGGCATTGTGATTGTCATGGTTAAAACATGTGGCATTTGAAGATGCAGTTTCTAATTTTTGTCATTACCTATAATAGGTTCTGACTCGAAGTGGTTTGGAATGTGAAGGACTTGAGACATTATGCATTAAGGACCAAACGCTCACAAATGAAAGTATGTTTCTTTTTTATATATATTGACATTATTCATTTTCTATTAAATTTTCTCTGAAAAATCATACTTGGTGTACATTGCAGGTGCAGAGAAGGTGGTTGGATGGGCTTTAAGCCATCATCTAATGCAGAATCCTGAAGCCGAAGCTGATGCAAGAATTATTTTATCCAGTGAGAGGTAATTGATACCTGATCTTGTAATGATTTTTTGGATTGTCATCTAAACCAATAGTCATCGGATGCACTACACAGTTGTAATGCCATTGTGCGATTCTGGCAGTATCCAGTATGGGATTGGAATCCTGCAGGCCATCCAGAATGAGTCTAAAAGCCTGAAGAAGTCACTCAAGGTGATCTTCAAGCATTCTTGCATCTAAATGTCCGATAACAACTCTATTTATGTGTATAACTTTCTTTTAGTTGTTTTGGAAAACAAACATTCATGTTATCCTTTTTTGAAAGGTTTCTTGTCTAACTGATGTTTTGGCCACAAGCAGGATGTTGTTACAGAAAATGAGTTTGAGAAAAGGCTTTTGGCTGATGTTATTCCACCTAGTGATATTGGAGTTACATTTGATGATATTGGAGCACTTGAGAATGTCAAGGATACTTTGAAGGAGTTGGTGATGCTTCCTTTACAGAGGCCTGAGCTTTTCTGCAAAGGGCAATTAACCAAGGTTTCCACTTTCCACATTTTTCAGCAAAATAAGCCATTTCATTTCAAAGGGCAAAGTTATTTCCGGTAATCTAGTTTATGTAATTGTCAAATGTCTATGTGCAGCCTTGCAAGGGCATTCTTTTATTTGGACCTCCTGGAACTGGGAAGACTATGCTTGCGAAGGCTGTGGCAACAGAAGCTGGTGCAAATTTCATCAATATTTCAATGTCAAGCATCACATCTAAGGTTAAGATCATTTTAGGTGTGATTTGATTGTTATTTACTCGGTGAATTACCTGATATGGATCTAATTTCTTCTCACCTACAACAGTGGTTTGGTGAGGGTGAGAAGTATGTGAAAGCTGTCTTCTCCCTGGCCAGCAAAATTGCCCCGAGTGTTGTCTTTGTTGACGAGGCAAGCTTCCCATAACCTTCCATTATGAATTGTATTATTATTCTTTTTAATCAAGCATCAACTCGTTTCAAACTTTTGCCCTTGTCTTTTTTTTTTTTTTTTATATATAATTTTTTTCTTCTTTTTGGTCTCTATGTTGTATAGGTTGACAGCATGTTGGGCAGGAGGGAAAATCCAGGGGAGCATGAAGCAATGAGGAAGATGAAGAATGAATTTATGGTGAACTGGGATGGCTTACGCACCAAAGATACCGAAAGGGTTCTGGTACTTGCAGCAACGAATAGGCCCTTTGACCTTGATGAGGCCGTCATAAGAAGGCTGCCTCGAAGGTAATTTTTTCACTTAAAACATTGCCTTAATATGTGATGAAGCTAATTGTTTGCCAATTATTGATCATTATTTATTTTAATATATGTTCTTGCCCAGATTGATGGTAAATCTGCCTGATGCTCCAAATAGAGCAAAGATACTGAAAGTTATTTTAGCTAAGGAAGATTTGTCCCCTGATGTTGATTTTGATGCAATTGCCAGTATGACAGATGGCTATTCTGGAAGTGACCTTAAGGTTTTTGGATATGCAACGAATGCCTTTTCTTGTTTCTCTTTGTTTTTTAAATAATTTTTTAACTTGAATTTACTCATTGAATGGCTTAAAACACATAATTCTTTATGTTGCAGAACCTATGTGTAACTGCTGCTCACCGCCCAATTAAAGAGATATTGGAAAAGGAAAAGAAGGTGTGGGTTTTAATTTTATTTTCTTTGCTGTTCAGAAACTGCTAAGTTAAAGTGTAACAGCTACTTAATTGATTAGGTGATGTAACCATACTATCAATGCTGGGTTTTTGATCAAAACATTCTTATCATAATTCCTAGCAACAACAGTCTTCCGTAAATTATTAGGAGATAATGCATCTATCCTTCCAGTTCACATCTAGCCTCTCCAAATTAGTGTAGATATGGGATTTTAGAAATTCAGGATATTATTCAAGATTAAAATGCATCACAAGTAAAATTTATCTCTGGTGCATTGAGTATTTATTATTTTCCGTCTAGCATCTAACATGATCTCCTTTCATCATTAATGACAGGAACGAGCTGCAGCTCTAGCAGAAGGTAAACCTACTCCAGCTTTAAGTGGCAGCGCTGATATACGGCCTCTTAATATGGATGATTTCAAATATGCTCATGAACGGGTAAAATAATGAAACCCTTCTTTTGTTCTTCTCTAATTGTTATGTGCTTTATTTTAGTTATATGTTTATTTACATATTTTAAATGTGTTATTGAAATAGGTATGTGCAAGTGTTTCGTCTGAGTCAGTTAACATGACGGAGTTATTACAGTGGAATGAACTCTACGGTGAAGGCGGATCGAGAAGAAAGAAGGCTCTCAGCTATTTTATGTAAATTTTCCTTTGTACAAAAGCATCTTAGTTTCTGTTGATTCTCTTCTGTTCTCCAAAGCCTGTGCTCAAGTTATTTGCTGCTCTCACTCTGGGCTTGTTGGGGAGCCATTTTGTCTGTAACAAGAAGTATAGGTTTCTTAAATCATATTCTATTATCCCGAGTTCGGGGGATGGTTGATGGTATAAATGGTGCGAAGCTATTGATATGTTCATGCCCCTTTCTGCTATCGTGAAGAGCAACTCTTTTTGAATTTAAGCTATTAACATCTGAAATAGAAAAAGGGAAGTGAAACTGTGCATATTATTATTATTATTATTATTATTATTCTTTATGGTGTTCTGTGATAATCAAACAATAAGCTAAATGCTAGAGAACTCCTTTTATTCATGAATGTGAAAAACATATAGTGTTCCCTGAGACCCTGAAAGAGGGACGAGGCGAAAACTAATATTATGCTTAGCTAATGCCTCCTGTTATAGAAGTAGAAGTCCTATATATTACACAACTAATTTACTTTATGCCTTTGCTCAAGTAATTTTTATTTATAAGAATGTGAAAAACTGACTTGGTTCTTATTAAACAAGATTAGAATGAATTGCCTTTAGGATACAATAGAAGCCTAATTGATGTCTTACTTTATTGTCAATAGAAGTCAAACCTTAATCTTATGACCAAACAAAATGAGGCCAAGCTAATATTAAACAAACCAAATGCCATCAGAATAATTAATAATGAGACAAAGGCAACCAAAGATTGGAATAATTATAAAAATAAATAATAACTAGTTCAATGTTTGAAGGAACTTTTCTTTTTAACTGCAGAGCACGCTTCAGTGCATTCCATGCATTGAAGTTTGTAGCTCCAATTCAGGATCTTGGGTATAGGCTTGCAAGGAGAATGTGGATTGAAGGTCCATACATTGCCCTTCATCTCAGGCTAGAGAAGGTCGTGTGGGTTAGAAGTAGGGATGGCAATTTAACCCGACCGATTTAACTCGGCCAGAGCTGCCATGCATAATTTCCTCGTAAGGCTGGTGGCCTTTTAGCAAACCCGTCTCTTGATCGTCAAAAAAGAATTGCGTGTTCACTTGTTAAGGGAGATGATTAATGATTACGGTATATGGCATCGCCCCTGTTGTACGAATTTACCGCTCCTATAAATTCGTACAACAAGGACGATGCCAAATAGTTGCCCGTAATCATTAATCTCCCTTAACTAGTGAACCTGCCATTCTTTTTTGACGATCAAGGCACGGGTTTGCTGAAAGGCCACCAGCCTTCTGAGTAAACTGTGCATGGCAGCTCTGGCCGAGTTCACCTGAGCTTCGGTCTCCGATCCATCAATGTTCGCCTTTCGCCGAATATATTTTACAAAGACTCGCATGCTTCGGCAGGTCGCCGTTGGTGCGTGTGTTGCTTGGAGAATATGGATATGGCTTGCGTCATCGGCCGGGGAAGTGTGTGCTTTAGATGAAATTGTTATGGGACGGAGAAGTGTGTGGTATAGATGAAATTGTTATGGGAGCGGCAGATGCTCTCATAAATTCGTACTACAAGGGCGATGCCATATAGTTGCTCAACAGATCATTCTCTATTGAATCGTGTTCTCCTTAATCTTTAGTTTTTACTCTTTTAGTTTCTTTCATGTATGTTTCTTTTTTTTTCTTCAGTATATTCTCGTTGGGTTTGCGATTGTTTTGTTAAGGAAAGATATATGTAGAAAAAGAGTTTCATACCAATCTTTCCATTTACTGTTTGGAATCTCTCTCTCTCTCTCTCTCTCTTTTTTTTTTTTTTTTTTTTTTTTTTTTTCTCTATTGAATCGTGTTCGTCCTTTAATCTTAGTTTGTACTCTTTTTAGTTTCTTTCACTGTTATGTTTTCTTTTTTTTTTCTTCAGTGATAGTTTCTCGGTTTGGGTTGCGATTGTGTGTTGTTAAGCGGGAAGAATATAGTTATAGAGGGCCAGATTGATACGATAAATGTACGAAAAAGAAGTTTCCATACCCGCCAATCGTCTGAATTCCCAATAGTGTACGGTTTGGGAAATCTCTTCCTTTCCTCCTCTCTTTTTTTATTTTTTTTTTTTTTTTTTTTTTATGGATTTGGGGATGATGATAAGGTAAAGGTATTTACTCATTTGGATATTATGGTCATGGTTCTTGGGCTGCAGATTTGGTGCTATGAATGAAATTGCAGAAATAATTTGGTTATATCTATTTCACAAGAGTCTTCATTTCCTTTATCTTTTCTGCAACGTGAAGTTATAGCGAGTGATACGAGAAATATAGTGAGTCCGGAAGTCTGAATCCTAACTTAATTTTTTTTTTTTTTTTTTTTTTTTTTTGGATTTGGGATGATGATAGGTAAAGTAATTTTTACTCAATTTGATATTTGGTCATTTCTTTGGCTGCAATTTCTATGATAAATTGCAGATAATTTTGGTTATTTCTATTTCAAGCTTCATTTCCTTATTTTCTGCACTAGTTATTACATGATACCAGAAATATATAGTCGGAGTCTGATAACTTAAATCCCAATTCAAGACTTAAAAAGAGAATTAATTACCCAATATAAAAACTTTAAATCAAATTATTATGAGATGAAATAAATTTTGCTAGTACATAATGTTGCCTTGTTCTAAAAAAGAAAATACTGGGAAAGAACTTTTTAAGAATCAAATATGCTATGAAACAAAGGAACAAGACAAACAAACAAACAAACAAAAATGCCTTTTATAGCAAATTCAAACAATACAATTTAACTCTAATTGATACTATAAAAAAATAGTAAGTACATCTACAAGCTGCCTATAGGCACTGCTACTTCACAAACTAATCACAGTTTGCCTATCTGGAGGAGCAACACATTGCCACAAGGAACGATATGCTGGAATGTTGGCCGCCTCAACACCAAGGGCAGAGAGGTTTCGTCCATACTCCTGGTAAAAAAGTGTGTACATATTAATCCGATGAGCCAAGGTCATTTAACTCCCAGGCATGTGTGAGGGAGGAACGATGCTTACCTGGATATCAAGGAACAATTGCATGCATATCTTGTCAGTGTCAGAAACACTTTGGTCAGAGACATCTGAGCTTGCTCCAGCTCGCCGTTGGGCACCCTGCCGTATTCTCTGGAGTGAAGATTCTGTTTTCCTAGCCTGGGCATGACAATAAAACACAATAAAAATCAAGGATTTCTAGATAAAAAGTCCTGTCAAATTAAAAAGATTCTAGTTTTGGATACCAACCACGCTCACAAGTTCAGCAGCTAATTCATAATAACGACCAGTAATCTCAGTAGCAGCACCAAGCAGTAAATCATTCCTAGTTTCCTTAGTTAAATAGGTCACAGCTCGGTCTCCATCCAGAAAAACCTGCAGATAGTTTAGGATGACACTTATAATATAGCTACTACACAATAATATCCGGAAGTTTTAAACTAAATGATACTGTATAAATTATATCTGCAGAATAATGAAGCTGGAGCAAACTAAACACAGTCTGGTGATGCTTGAGCAACTAAAGAATGATAAACAACAGTCAAACAGTAAATTATTTCAATAAAGGAGTCCACAGTTGTTAGGTGTATGAAAGTGAAATTGTTTAAAAGACAATGAAAGATTAGATAATACTTCTGCCATAAATATTACTACAAGACAACTAGCAATTACTTTTTCCATATATTGCAAGCATACTGCCTTGACTGGAGTAAAGGCTGTAATGACATGGAGTTAATTTACAAGCTGGAAAAATACATACCTTTAAAGGGCGCAACACTCCAGACACATAAGGTGAATGTCTGACGGGAAGAGGCTTATTAGTCATCCTGTAAGTTGCAGTTATTCCCTTAATCTGTCTCAAGTCCTACATCAATTCAAGCCAAAACACTTGAGTGAATCAATTTCCTTATAAAATACTAATGATTGAACTAAATCATGAAATACAGACAATCTTTCATAGCAAGATCACAATGAGAAAAAAGATTTGAAGGAGATGACTTGCACCTACACATCATCAATTTAATCATTTCCAACATAAAGCTTACCTCAACAGCCTTATCAACTATTGCCTCTATGATTGCATTGATAGCAAGAGGTACTAAATCGTTTAAAGACTTTCCACCTCGTAAAATGCTCTGTTTTACTAGATCAAGAATGTCAGCGGAGCATGACGATAGAAGCTGAAGTACACGATCAAGGTAGTCTCCACATATCTCTGTTGCCAGACAATTTATATCATGAATAATCTGCAAATCAGAGATCCCATATGAAATTGCCAGTTCAGCATCATTATATATGTAAATGGTATTGATTAGATCCAGAATACATCGTAAGACCATTATGGTAGAATCATGCATGATACGTACATAAAGAAAATCATCAGGCACAGCTGAAATAGCCCATTCATATCCAGAATTGGAGGCAGCATTACCCTTCTTCCGAGCAGCCAGTCCGGATGATAACCAATTTGAATATCTGTTGCACTTTCATTAGTGGTCAATAAACACCATGGCATTCATTAAAACCAATTCTTGATCCATGAAACGAAATGACAAATCCAAATTTTCCGTTTTCTATTGAAACTGACCTTGCAAGGAGCTGCAAAGATAAGCGAAGAAACTTGTCAGAGCATGAGAGGATGAGAACATCTTCTCTCCAACAAGCCCTCAAGCTCTCCATCAGAGTGATACTTTGTTTTAATGCTAGGCCTTGCAAATTTGCATGACCAGAATCAGAATTCTGAACTGGGACGAGACTGGTTGCTGCAAGTGCAGAGTCCAGAGCCCCCGCAATTTCCTGAAATCTGAGTAAACTGGACATATCAGAGCAAACTTCAGATAATACATAAAAAGCCATCATATAAGAGTTTGGTTGCATACCTTAAAGAGAAATAAACTCCAATATTCCACTGCTTCATGAACTCAACATATACAGCTTCAGCACGAAATTTGGAAACAGCAGATCTGGATGGACAATAGCCTTGCATGACAACTGGATGTTATAACTATAATGACCAACACATACTCTTATATAACCATAATAATATGGTAATTTTGAATTCTTTTCTAACCATCAATTATCAAATCAGCCATGTGGAATTCTTAAGCTTGAGGGTGTAATGCGAAGGGGGTGGGGGGGATATACATAATATATGGTAATTTTGAAAATTCCTTTTTAACCATCATATTTATCAATGTCAGCTCCATGTGGAATTCTTTAAGCTTGAGGGTGTAATGCGAAGGGGGGGGGGGGGTTGGGGGGGGGGTTGGGGGCGGGGGGGGGTGGGGGGGGGTGTGTTTTGGGTGGGAAAGAGGGGCAAGGGGTTGTCATACTTCAAAATGAGCCAGGAAAAATCTAATGCTTGACCTGTGTAATTCAATGACAAAATTCAGCAGCTGGTCTATCCAGGGGAGACAAAAGCACCTGGACTTTCCCTTTTTGAATTGCTAGCAAGAACCTCTATCAAAAGGGGTGGGGGTGTGTTTTGGGTGGGAAAAGGGGCAGGGGTTGTCATTACCTTCAAGATGAGCCAGGAAATCTAGGCTTGACTTGTAATTCATCAAAAATTCAGCTGGTCTTCCAGGGGAAAAAGCACCTGGCTTTCCTTTTTGAATTGCTAAGAGAACCTCTTTCAAGATTGAGTTTGCCAAGAAGTCAAATACATGCAGACCCGAATTCTCTGAACCATACGAGTAGAAGAGAAAAGAAGACAAGAAACAATTCATCATTCAAGCATAAAGCAAATAAGGTTAGCATGCATGCAGGCTTATCTTTCCAGAGAGAGAGAGACCAGTACAAAGCAAATAATATGTTTTATCAATTATTTATAAGCAAGAAGAACTAAGAAAATGTGAAGATACCTAATAAGAGCAAGGCAATCAACATGAAACCTTGTTATCCAGTTCTTTTTGACATATGCACTTTTCAATCTTAATGCAGCAAAAGGACAGAAAGTTTCACTAATCAAAATGTGATAATACAGAGACAGGTGAATTAGCCGTCCACTTATTTGAGATCAATGACTACAGTAACAAGTAATTGAGTCTAGACTAATTGCAATACAAAAGTGTACTTATGGCAATAATTCATCTCTAGACCCAAAATAAGAATTTTTGTAGCAACCAAAAAACTGAGACAAGACTCTGTTTATTGTAAGACCAACAAAAAGGTATATGGCAATACCAGCAGAAGAAATTTCCAAAAGGAATTTACAGTCTTTCTGGATGCATTGCTTAATTTGGTGATAATCATTTTCAAGTCCATCTCCAGATGCCCCAGAAACCATTGCTGATGGTCCATATGGAATAATTTTCTGTATTGAAGGAGCAACAATCGTTGTACGGAAAATTTCTTCTGCACTCTTAGTATTATCAATGGCAGCATATGCACGTAAGCAATTGTAAATTGCATTTTCATCTCGATGTTCCAGCCCATCTATAAAACAATGTCCCAAACTTGCATCCAATAAAAGGCTTGCACTTTGAATCCTCTTCTCCATGTTCTTAATGAAAGGAAGGTTCTGTACTGGCATAACAGAGAAAAGAGATGAGCATAAATGTCAATTGTATTACAAATCAATTTCAAACTCATGGAAATTTTATTTCGTTCTGTATAATTAACGAGTCTTTCCCAATATGTTTCTGTGAAAGAGGCTCCCTAATATGTTAGAGAATAAAAGTAAGAGCGAAAGAGACCTCTGTATGAGCAATGTAGAATTTTAGTCGATTCATTTCGGTAGCTATTCTCTCCAGTAGCATGCTTTGAGTTTCCCTAAGATTCGTTCCATTCTCAATGGATTGTACAGAATTGCCATTGCTCATAGCATTCTTTACACTCGAACTCAAATCTCCATTTGACCAATCAGCAGGTACGCTTGGTAGCTCTTTTATAAGTTTCTCAACCTGCACTCATCAACATCCATAACTAACATTGCTCAACACAAACAATTACATCAAAATTAAGAAAATCTCTTGCACAATGCCAAAGCTATTCCTAAAGATCTACTAGATTAGCGCCACATAAAATGCAAATTTCGCAAAAAATTAAAACAAAATTTCAAAATTAGATTTCAAATTCAATTCAAATCAAAATGCACACCTTAGAAACAACATGAAATGTATCCAACAACAGCTCCAAAACCTCTCTTGCAGCAGCAGCCTCCGATCTCTGCTGCAACCCATTCCTCAAAGCGACAAGTAAACCTTCAACGCTTCTTCTAAATCCTTCGATCTTCTCTCGAAGCTCCAATAGCGGGGCCCGCATGCGAACAACGGCAGCATCTACATCGACGAGTTTAGTACTTAGATTGACGAAATCAGCATAATCACGGTTGATTAGGTCAATGAGGTCGTGATTAAGGGAGGCAAGGTATGCTTGGAGCTCCGAACGGAGCGTATCGAAAGGAACGAATGTTCGGAGCTCCGAGATGTAGGATTCGGAGTCGAAGGTCGGGGAAAGGAAGAGATTGGGTTTGAACCAAAGCGGGTGGGAGTCGAGTGGATCCGAGAAGAGGTCCGTAGCGGATCTTGGCGGTGGAGTTGACATGGAATCCACCATTTGGACTCTGGTTCTTGGTTGTTTATGTTAGTTTGTTTGATGAGAAAGTGTTGGAAAGAGTGAGCAGATCAGAAGATGAGCATAGATTTGTATAGGTGGGATTGGTGCTTGTTAAACGTCATGGCGTTTGAAAATAACATTGCTTATCAAAAAAGGATCGTGAGATTTTGCCCTCTTACCTGTTAGGATTTCTTACTTACTTTTTAGTAGTATTTTAATTTAATAATTATATTACTAAAATTTATTTTAAAAATAATATTTATGCTTAAATTTATAATTTAGGTCTAACCAGTTTAATTAAAATATAATAATTAAGTTTTAATGTGTGCTATAATTCATAAATATGTATAGAATATAGATCATAGAACACAATTAATTATATAAAATCATAACAACAACTATGTTTTTAAAGATTAATTATTTGTTTTGTTAAATAATGAGAATAGTTTTCTCCTTTCATCATAGCTATAATTCGTACATTGTATTGGAGAAAAAAATTCACTCCTTCATTGCAACAACAAATAAGGGATTCAAATCTTCACTTTTTGGTATTAGCATGAACTACTGTATTTCCTTCTTTCTTGGAAAGCAACAGTGATTAGTATTTTCTTGTTTGGACTTCAGATTTGTGTTCTCTGTGCTTGGAGTAGTACTTGTAGTTGTAGCAAGATCAGTTAAATGGACAGAAGCAAATTCCTTACTACAACATTCATCTTGAAGAAGGTCAACTAATTTTGTGTTATTATCAACTTGGTTAATCCAGTAGGCATCTTCAAACAGCTGAGCTAGTTTCTTTTTCTCTTCTCTTGGAGAAGGAGAAGCACCTTCTTCTTTTAATGGAGGACATGTACTATAGCTGTCTCCGCAGCTTGAAGCATTGCTGCAAGATCTAGAGAAACCTGAAACAACGTAGAAAGAAAGAACTTTCCAATCAATTAGGTGCTTTCAAAAAAGAAAAAATAATTATTTAAGCAGAATTTAATTATCAAACCTCCTTTGACACTGAAGAAATCATCTTCAGTAATTTCAGATCCGGATTCAGGAGAACTTCGTGGATTAGTAATGGCAGGCCTTTCACCGGAAGGAGAAGAACATGGCATCAGAACATTGTTTGTCTCACAATTCATAGATTTTTGATGATGACCGAAGCACAATATGCTTCAATTGACAAAGAGAGGAAAGAAAAAGAGATATGGAATTAACTATAGCTTTGGCATTCTAAATTGAAGTGGAAAATAAGAAGAATATACCTGAAGAACAAACCATTGGAGACGAAGAACAAAATAAGACATTGACATGAAACTAAGGTTATGAGTTAAATTAATTAAAAATTGATATCTAATACATTGGTTAATCCGTAGATCATGTTGTCCTGAATGTAAAATCAAGTACCGAAACCGAAAATATAATTTTTAGCTACTGACGACAAGCCGTTCGTCTTTTCTTTTAATAATTTCTAGTTATTAACCTTAACGACCCGCGTGTAAATTCAGTAACAGTGGAAAAAGATATAATATGTATTTTAGAACGCACCGTTTTAAGGATTGTCATATCATTAGACACAGCTTAAAAAGATTAATCGCACCAAAGAGAAACGGGATGCCCTGTGTAGTTTTTTAATGCTTGTTGTCGTTAGTTCTAAACTAAGTGTAGCTTCTTTGAACGACAATTTCAAACTATAATTGCCTCGCTAAAGAACAATGAATCAGAGGAATAAGAGTGTTAAAGAACAATGAATTTCACATAATCAATGATGGAATACAGAAACAAAGATAGAAAGAAAATCATTGCATCATAACCAGAAATTCTTCAAAGCTAAGAACACCATCGCCATCAAGATCAAATTCACTAATCATAATCTTACATTCATCAATGGATTTTGACTCACCAAGTCTCTTAAGCATCCTTTTCAGATTCTTAGGTGTAATAAACCCACAGTTATCTGTATCATACATTGCAAAAGCTTCTCTTAAATCTTGCAATTTCTCTTCTTCTCCACCAGCTTCCATTAGCCTAACAAGATCCTCCAAACCCAACAACCCATCTCCATCTGAGTCCAATAACTCTACTGCCATTTCTGCTTCTTTAACCATAAACACCTTCCCTCCTATTGAACTTAGCTGATCACTTAATTCTGATGGTGAAATCTTCCCATCACCATTTTTGTCCAAGTGGCGAAAAATAATTTCAATTTCTCTTGTTTTCCTCATAATTCAAATATACAGTATTACTGTTCAAAGTTATTTATCAAGAAAAATGAAAAATCCTTTCAAGAAGATACTTTTTATCAGGTAGCTTGGATTCTGGTACGTATATGAACGTGTGTGTGTGTGTTGATATATAGGGCCTGTGATAGAAGAGCGATTTTGATTTGACCCGACCCAAGTTTACCATGAATTTTCAATAGAGTGAAAGAAGCGTTCAATGGAGAAAGATACAAAAAGAGGAATACTGTAAGGGCTGTGACCCATAAAAGATAGCAAATCAATTAAATCACTTGTCATTAAAGAAGAGTAAAATGTTGGAGTTGGAAGGAATCAAATCCTTTTATTTTACTTGCATTGCCTCGCAATCACTAAAAAAGAGTTCGCAAGGAAACTGTCAAATGGACTGCATTTTGTAGTTTGTTTCACTTTCAAATGCTAAAACACAAGGATACTAGTTTTTAGCGGTCTTTTCAGGGCTTTGTGTTGGTCAAATTCTTTCAAGTTACTCCGATAAGAAATGCAAGAAATTGTATATAATTAATCAGTATACAAGAAATTCATAAAGAATCATTCTTGGATCTTACAACAATTTGACCAGCAACCAAAACAGTAGTGCTGCGTCTGCATGACATCAAAATGAAACAAAATTTATGAAACGAAGAATTGAAACATCCAAGGAAAGGAAACATCCTCTGCAGGTTGATTCCATATCAGATAACCATTTTACACAGGACCCTATAGGTACAAAGCCAAATTAATTCCTTGTTCGTCATGATTCATCATTTGCTCTGCCGCTTCAGAATTATCATATCTGGACTGATTCTTTATGAACATGAATCCCTGATGCTGTTAATTGTATCACCGTGGCCATCACTTTCCAAGCTTTATTTGGATCAACATGGCTGTTGAAGCTCTTCCAAAGTATTTAATTCATGCTCCTCTTTTGATCATTTTGTTGTCGTTGCCTCGTAGGCAGATAAAATTTTATTCATGTCTTCAAAATAGGGCCAACTTTTTTGGCTTTCCTCCTCAGTCTTGCTTTCCTGTTTACAGTAGGAGGAATTTGTCACTAAACAATATAATAAAAGAGAATCCATCAACAGGCAGCAAGATTATTAAATCAACAAATAAAATTAGGAGAATCTGCATTATCAAGTCCATGTAGCACAACACATGCACACTGGCCATGATTTTCATCGCGACAAGTTAATTGCTGTCACAGTAAAACGAATTTACTTAAGTCTTTCAAATGCCTGATCATATTGGAAAAGGCTAGAGGTACACAATGTATGCGCAAGCAACAACTTGCAAACGGGAATTTTATTTTTCTATGAGTAGGGAGGGACTTTGACACACGAAAAATTCTAACACAGAAACAAACCTCATATTTTTGAAGTAAGGATGCCCACAAAGATTTGCACTGCGCAGGACTTCGATTGATCCCATCAATTATCAAGCTATTCGATATCTCCTCCCAGAGAATCATTCTTCCCTTTGCAACTTGAAATCTATCATGTAATTTCCCACGCATTTTTATCAGTTTCTTAACCTCCTCAGGTTTCCATTTATTCTTTTTCAGACGCTTAGAAGGCTTTGGTTGAGAATTTTGCATTTCCGAAGTCTCGTCTTCACTGTTCCTACCACCATCTTCCTTAAACTCTTTTATATGTTCCTGATTTGGAACTGAAGTGCCTACAGGTGAAGATGATGCAATGAGTGATGTCCAGAAATCATCTTGATCCTCAGAGTTGGAGGAAATTCTGTCAGACAAGCTGGATGTCGAGGTTGCCATCTCATCATCAGGTAATACTCTTCCAACTTCAACATCATCAACTGAACGATCCATGCAAGGGAAAAAACACAATGTAAATGGTGAACATCTGCTCTATTAATGAGCCCACACCTATTAAGCTATCCAAAACAGAAAGTGGAAAATGTTGAATTATTTCAAAATTAAAATTAAGATCAGTATGAATCTGGAGCTCATCCTGGCAGCTCATTAACAAATCTCAATCCTGCTCAAGCCAGGATTTCCAGACACCAGCAATGGTCAAGATAGCTTTTATAATCAGCAAAACCTTATGCGCAATAGCGCACAATTTGGCTATGCTTTGTTTGTGGCCCAAATTTCTTGGTTTTGCATTTTTACTATATTCCAGCAGATCAACCAATAGTTTCACCTGCCAATTGACTTGAACAAAGCAGCATCTGCAAACCCTAAGACATAAATTGTGCAACCACACAAATACACAGATGCACACATTCTCTCACATCCACAACTGTACACACATGTGCACACAGACACACACACACACACACACACACACACACACACACCCCACTGAGACATAGCAAGAGAGAGAGAAAGAGAAGACCTTCTGGATTTTGCTGTGATGTGTTATCTAGCTGCATATAGCCATTGCTTTCTAACTGCGTCTTACTTGAGCGGTTTCTTTTTGGATATCCATCTACCACTTTTTTCAATGCTGATATCCTAAAACCAACATCAGAATTTCCAGATAGCCTTGTTTTGACCTCATCAGCAAGAACTGCAGTGGGGTTTTCCACAGCAATGGCAATGACTTCAGGCCTTTTACTGCTATACTTTCTTACCATCTTCCTCAAAATCTCAGACACTGTCTTTTCCAAGTGCGATAAAGGACAATTCACAGGACAGCTTGAAAGTGCAGCATGGGCAGCTTTATAAAGAGCATCTAAAAGTTTCCCTTTATCCAGCCACAAGCAGCGGGTTGTGATTCTTATTTTTCCTTTTATGGTATTTTCCATTAGACCCTCTGCATTTTGAGGCCGTAGAATTTCCATGCTGTAATAGAGAAATGTTAAGATGCTGTAAACACATTGAACCAAGATGCTAGAACACATTTCGGTATCTAAATGTTCTACCTGACCACAATAATGCCATCTGTGGCGATTTTTAGTCTCTCATCAACGCAAAGTTCGGTTGATGTGCCAAATGCTTTATCTCCATCGCTATACATCAACTGTAAGAAAAGACTGCAGTTAATAGAACATTGCTCGACTAAATCATTACAACCGAGGAATTCAAATCTTCAGATAAGACTAACCTGCAAATTTTCCTTGCCAAGGGAAATAAACCCGTTAGATAGAACTCTTCTGTTCCTTAGGTGGGAAACCCCAAGCATCTCTCCATTCTTTATAACCTGAAGGATTATCTTACCTATTTCATAATTTGTATTTCAAAAAATTTCAAATAATAACACCGAAATAAACCACCCATATGCAAGACTTCTTGGAAGTCTTCTAGTGCCATGCAAGAACACAAATAAACAGACAGTCCTTTTCACAACAGGAAGGAGGAAGACCTTTCAATTGACAAGGTTAAGCCTTTGGTTAGGTTCTCAAACAATTTTCAGTACAGGTGAACAGAAAAGCAACACACCCACTAAATACTGAAAAAATATGATGATGTAAGCTAAAACTTTAAATTACATAACATGTAACTTAGGGTTCAAAAATCAACAAAAATATCATATCATAACACTAATCTCCAAAGGTCTTTCTGATCAAATTAATATCATAATTTGTTAGCCACACATGCTGATGAAACCATGACAACAGAAAGTTGACTCACAGTAGTGTGTCGAATTCCAGTTGATTTTCCAAGTAATTCATGCTCTTTCAAGAACAAGAGTTCTCCATGTATGGGAAGAAAATGCTGTGGCTTCACAATTCTAAGTACTTCTTCCTGAGGAAATTAGATTAACAGTTAGATAGTTCTCATTGAACTAAGGGACCCCTTGCCTCGAGATAATCAATAAAAATATAACAAACCACCAAAGGGAAACATATGAATACAAACCAAATTTAGAAATTATTATGTGACTAAAAGGCATCACCACATGCAAAATATATATAGTTTATGCACCGTTATCTAAGCAAGTGACCAATGTTCACCGCATCCACTTCTCGGTAGTTCTAATAATGATAATAAAATTACTAATAGAAAAGAAGAAAATTAATAACAATATGAGATAACCAAATCAATTTGTTAATATCATGATAATATTAAGATGCGATATGATGCCAATGAACAATTAAATGTGATCCCAAGGAGAAGTATATATCTTACTAGTTCTCCACGATATCCATGGCCTGATGTGTGCAGCAGTTCGTTCTTACCCATTACTATAGTTGACCCAATGTCTGATATACGGTTCAGCATCTTCATCACCCTAGATTCATTACCAGGGATTACCTGAAAGTGAAATATAAAACATCTGAAGATACCTAATTTCAACAATAAACCATAAATAAGAGTGATATCATAGCTGTATACCCAAAAGTCAGACTAAAAGCTTTTTTGAAACAAGGAAAAAACAAGGTAACACATAATAAATCAGTGACAGCAGTTGTCACCAAACAGATGAAGGAAAAAAAACTTTGAGTGTAAATTTAAAAGGTTACTAATTCAAATTGTTTTGTTGAAATTATTAAAAAATGAGTAAATGAGAAAAAAAACTTTGGAGTGTAAATGTTAAAAGGTTACTAATTCAAATTGTTTTGTTTGAAAATTATTAAAAATGAGTAAATGACCAACTAATGCCTCTTATTTTCAATGATCAAATCAAAAGAATGAAAATTGAAAGTAGATCAATTATGTTGGCCATGTTACTTTTGCAGCTCTTTTAATGATTGCAGGTATAATACCAGAAATTAAACATTTGGTATTCTAACACTAGCAACATCCACATTACACATCAAGGAAAAAAGGAAATCTAAGCACCTTAGACTGAATAATAGAATGATATCTTCTTCCCTTAATGACATTTGGATACTTCTAACACTAGCAACATCCACATTACACATCAAGGAAAAAAGGGAAATCTAAGCAACCTTAGCCTGATATAGGAATGAAATATCTTCTTGTTCAGTTTTCAAGGAATGACTATCCCATATGATGGCAAGATTAAGTGCACCAACATCCACATTACACATCAAGGAAAAAAGGGAAATCTAAGCACCTTAGCTGAATATAGAATGATATCTTCCTTGTTCAGTTTCAAGGAATGACTACTCCCATATGATGCAAGATTAAGTGCAGCACGTGGCTCTGCCTGACACAATAGCATTGACAGTTACAAGGATAGCTAAATGGAATAGAAGTGAACTAATCAGGTAGCTAGAGCAGCTTACTTGTGATCCAGTTGTAACAATCAGCAGATCCTTTGGAGCATAGGCATCGATGTCTTCCACTTTCACCTACAAAATAAAACAGAGATGTATGATGAGAACAAGATTAAAGGTATCATTAGAAATATGGCATTCAGAACCATGATTCATACAAAATGACTCAGAAATCATTACCAAAGAAATATCATACGGAAAGAGTCCTAGATCTCTCAGCAAAAAGGCCTTGTGAAACACTTCTTTTCTCTTTTACTTGATTAAAAGCTTACGAAATTCATTGATAGCAGACATATTCAGACCAGTTAAAAGAAATGTTTCACAAGTCAACCAGCATACATCATTGAACACTCTAAAGCATGATGCCTAACATAGTATCAAGTTCTGCCCCTATGTCTTGCCCATGCTTTTCCACTGTTTGATTCTTTTTCAAAAATCAATAACCATATTTCTATTCCTCTCCAGTGTTCACCCCTAAAAGTACCTTGCCTCAAAGATATTCCACCAATACATACAATTTCAAGCTTAAAGTGCTTTGATGACTAGATATATATCATATAAATGCTGGTCAAGACTAGAGGCAGATAGTCTCAAGTTAGACTATAGCCCTGTACAAAGTTAAAATAGCTAATAACAGCCAATATTATGGATTTCAAGTTCCATAATCGAGGTAAATTAAGTTGGGAAGAAAGAGTGTTGTCATGTAGAGTTTTATGTGATATTTATTGATCTTAAGTGTAAAGGGTAGACTAGGTATTTCAATATACTTCCTATGTATAAATATATGTATAACCATTGTTTACATAAGATAAAAAAATAGAAACTTTTCGCTCTTCACATAAAAACAACAAAGAGTGATGTATGAATAACACCACATTTTCTCAACTCAACATCAGTTAAACATGATGCCACAAAGAGCAAAAGGATAGAAACAGAAACTTAAAATCTAACAAACAAGTAATAGAAAAACAGGCAACATGAAGAAATTCTTTAAGTGTTATTACAAGGGTTGATGGATCAATTGGTGCCTTCCCATCCTTCCAAGCTGCATCCAAATATGTCCTCAACGACATGCCGACAAAGACCTAACACAATAATCACAATATCACAACTGCTAGGCCATGTATTCTATCTAAGAAAACCAACATGCAGTAGCAACATAGTAGAGAAAAGAAACAACTGGGGAATACATACCAACTTTCTACCAGTCAAATCTGCAGCAGCTTTCACACTCCCTAGACGGTGTATATTTGATGCAAATTGAGTAGTAATGACCCTTCCTTTAGCTTCTGAAATACGTCTCATTAGTGAATCTGCTACCACACTTTCACTAATTGTCCTTCCCGGAGACAGTACATTTGTTGAGTCACTCATCATCTGAACAGGGACATGCACTAGTTACATCTCAAGATTCAAATTTAATGAAAGAAATGAATTCACAATGCATCTATAATAGAACTGCAGACCAAAGTACCATAATATTCAAAAATTAGAATCAATCAAGAAGAGAGAAAAACGAGGTTAAGGATGTGATGAACATTACAGGAAGATTAAAAGAGAATATTAAACCTTGCGTCATGGCATTAGAGCCAGCGTCCAACATTGAAATTTTAAGCCAGAATACGTTACTTTAAACAAGTAAATATGGCTTAAAAGAATTATAATCAGTTTGTTCACATTTTTCTCCACAATAAAAAGTGCCATTTGAATGTACATCTTTCCCATCACCATAATATGCTATCAAGAAACAGTTTTCAATCAATTATGGTGATGTACGAGACTCCTTCTCTTCATCCAACAATTCAGAACAAAGACAATTGGATGCTTTCTTTTGTGATTCCCATAGAGCCACCATCTCTTGCACAAAGTTAAACCAATAATTTTGCTGCATAGATCATTTCAATATGATAAGTTGACAATGTAGTACATACTTCCAGGAGACTTACCAACGTAACTCCTTCTTTTGAGAGTTCCTCCAATGTTTGACGGTCAAAAACTTTCCCATCCAATGGTGATTCATCTATCTGCAGATATAAACTTCGTTTACAGTTTATGGACTCAAGTGAAAATGAAAAGATGCATCGATCAATAAGCTTACCTTCCAGTCCCCTGTATGAAGAATTGTACCATCAGCACAGCGAAGAACCAGACCACAACAATCAGGAATAGAATGGGTCACCCTGATTGGCTCTACTTCAAAAGGTCCAGCTGTAAATTTCTTCTTTGCTCTAAAAACTTTAAGTCTAGATGGAACGAAAATCCCATTCTCCTTCAAACGTTTTTTGATCAACTGTTATAAATGAAAAAGGAGTATACCTTTATAGTCAACCACATCAAAGAGGAGAACTGCTGTGTTAATGTTCATAAGTTTGGAAGTATGCTTGAATTTGCACTATTTATTTGATTTTCTTTTATTAAAAAAGAATACTTAATTTAACATCATACACTTAAAAATAAAAGGTTAGCAACAATGTATGGATAAGTTTCATAATAACTAATAGAAAAATCGTAAAAGCAACTGGACATGTCAGCTTTTGAAGTAAGGTAGATTTTATAACAATTTGAATGTTATGCATGTACAGATGATTAGTTCAACTTGATATTTACCTCCATTGTAAAAGATGATGCGTATATTGGAGTACAGGAATCCAAAGCTGGGATAACCTGATTGATTAAGGACAGAATTATTGTAAGCTTCAAAAGAGAAAGAAGTAAAACGCTTGAAATAATCATGAAGAATAAAGATTTAAAAGAATCATGCATGATTGAGTAGAATGTTGTGGCCTACAAAGCTGAAACCTTCCAGGAAAACCCTTAACCAATTAAAACATGAATATTACACATGAAGACCAAGACGAAGCTTTGTTTGTAATTTCCAGTTCCATCCCTCAATCATCATCCCGTGCTACTTACTAGATATCTATGTCTCAGTATTTTGACTGCACACCTCACTGCAGGCTAGAAAGGAGAAAATAAAAAGAAAAAACCACCCTGCCACTTTGATTGTGCACCAGATACCTTTAAGGAGTGAAAGCAAAATGAGCAAGTGAAAATCACTCTGTCAAGCATCAAAGTTGAGACATGACAGCCATTGGGAATGTGCTATACAATGAAGATAAATAAGTCATCTAACTGTGAGCTCATGCCAACTTATTCTTAACAAGACTGCCACAGCTAACCAATTGCAATGCACCAAGAGAACAATTAAATCTGAAATATGTGCAAATACAGGCATGCGTCCCCACCCCTGGCCATCAGCCAAGGCACCATTACGACTCTCCACTTCTAAATAATGACTGTTGACTCAACTTGCCGCACAATTCATCAATAACAGAATGTATGAGACTACACCTCGTCAGAAACTAAAGACAAGGTGTTAATGGCAGAAACCTTGATAAAGTTAACATGCTTAATAGACAGATATTTCTTCTGGAAGTACCAAGTGAAAATGCCTTTTCCAGGAAGTGGAAGGAAACTTTACCCAAGGCAATGCACCGATGTGATCTTCATGCCCATGAGTTATCACAACAGCTTCAATTTTGTGTCTCCATTTTTTAATAAATGTGGTGTCGGGTATAATTTTTTGGACTCCAAGTTCATCATAGCTGGAACGTGGCATACAAAAAATGCAATGTCAAGACATTTGATAAAAACACTTCTAGCAATATGGTTGTTAGTATGCATTCAAAAGAAACAGAAACTCCAATTTCCAAAGTGCATTCCTTAAGCTGTTATTTGTATCCACTAAAATGTTTGATCCCCTTGCTATTTCATTGAAGCATTTGAAAATTGTTAAATTACTGATTAAGTAACTAAAGCTGTAACAATTTTGAAGGACTGAATGAGTAAATCCTGCATTTGAAATAATTATCCACTTGAAAGAAAAGAATGTAGTAAGAACCGATACTAAATCCTCAAGGAGCAAAACCGTGGCCAAATACTCACTCGGGAAACATAACACCAGCATCAATAAGTATATAGCGGTCATGATTCCCAACAAGCATGCAATTCATCCCAATTTCACCCAGACCACCAATTGGAACAATGCGGAGGGGTGGGCCATCAGACCCTTCATAAAACTGTTCCATTTTGCGTTGAACGGAATCCTCCATACTTTTCCCAGCTCCTTCCATTCTTCCCTGTCTTCTGCGTGGTGCTCCGTATCCATGACTGCCTAAAATGAGATAACATATAGACATAATAACACAAACATCAGTTTCAGTTGGGTGAACCCTTTTGTTCTTTCACTCTTCCTAAATGATAAGAGAAAATGGGATTGCTTTAGGGAATGCTCATTGTGTAGTTGCTAAGAAACCATATCAAATGAAGTAAAACCAAACGTTAAAACCATATACTTCTTATCATCTGACACACACTATATTCAACCCTCTTTCAGCAATGAACATAATCTGAAACAACTCTATCAATTCATATTTTAAATTAGAAAAAAGATAACAGGATCAAAAGAATTAATAAAACAATCGGTATGTTGACTCACTAAGACATTATATCAACTCTCTTATCTTAATTCAATATATAAACTCTCTTTTCTTAATACGTTCTTTGTGACGGTACGCACTCACTGATTTAAGGGGGGAAAATATATATATATATATAAAATAAATAAATAAATAAAAACTGAAAGAAGGAAACTGATATGCTCCAGCACGCACCAATTCTAGTAGGAGAGCCAACAGAGCACGAAATGGAAAACTTGCTCGGGCTCCGTCGGCGCAAAAGACTGAACGGACATGGTGAAATAGCATTTATAGCGGCCATATTTTGCAAGTGTTTAGGTCTACAAGAAGTAAAGCATGTAGAGCCAAAGTTATAGTGCAAGAGAGAAAAGCCTCCCGAAACTCCTAACTGCATGTGTTTATAAGTCACAGAGATTGGATACTGGAATTGAAACCCTAGAATTTTGATAGAAGAGGTTTTAAGATTTTAGAGTGTGATTGAGCTTTGTTGGAGCGGGAAATTGAGTGGAGTTAACGAGTGAGCCAATGGGGCATTTATTTGTAAGGTCGAGATATAAAATATCTTTCTTATCATTTTCTCAGAACTGGATGAAGCACTGTAATGATAAAACTCCCACACACGTGCCTTCTCAAATAGCTACAATAGAGAAAATATAACTATTAATTTAATTTTTTTAATTAAAAATATTAATTAATATTTTTCAATTTACCTTCATTTTTATTCAAAAATAATAGTTACTGCATCGTATTTTATTATTAAATTTGACCATTTTGACTTTTTTTCTTGTTGGATTTAAATAACAATTTTAGAAAATTAAGTAGTATTTAATTATTTTATTTCAATTTTATTATTAATTAATAGAGAATTAATTAAAGGTAATTTAGTCTATTACCTTATATCTTTAAAATAATCATTTTCTTCATCCTTATACAAAGTTAAATGTATGAAATAAAATTAAATAAAATTAATTTATTTGCATCATTAGTAACAGTATTAAATGGAGTAAAATTTTTGATGAGATGGGATAGCATGAATCATTTTTCTCTTTAACTAGTGGTTTCGAGTTCGAACCATGAGTATAAGAACTCTTTAAATACTCAGGAGCGAGCATTTTGCCCCTCTATGTAGGCCTGCCCAGATTAATCAGACCAGTGGTTTTCGGCTTTGAATACCGAATGTTTAAAACCAAAAAAATGAGTAAAAAATTATTACAACTAAATTATTAATAAAAAAAAATTAACAAGTTGGAGACATCAATGGTGGAAAAACCATGATGAAGATGATGATCATAATAATAATAAAAGAACATTTAGCTTCTGTTCATTGAGTCGTTACACTGATCATACAGGCAGGTCAGTATAGTCATAGAAACAAAATGGTCGTTATTTTTCTCTATCAAGTCTCTTTCTCTTCACAGTCTTGCACTCGAGATCTCTTTCAGCTGTTGCTTCAGTGGGTCTAGTAAAACTTGAGAGCAATAGCACATCCTTTAACTCATCTTTGAATTTTCCCAACACTTCAGAAACCAAATCATTCCCTTTTTCATACTACAAAAAGTTAAAATAAAAAAATAAAAAAAAAAAAAAAAATCATCAGACAAAACACTTCAGAAACCAAATCTTTCCCTTTTTCATAACTACAAAAAGTTAAAAAAAAAAAAAAAAAAAAAAAAAAAAAAAAAATCATCAGACATCACAGTTCTTAGGCTGCACTACCATATTCAATTGCTGCTACTGTGGGAAATGCTTAAGAAAAGCAAATGAAGTTAAAATAAAAGGTCAAATAATACAACATTTGCGACGGAATCATTTTTATTGTTGATCTAATACACCTCCAATTGCAAAACAAGGTCCAAGAAAAGAAGAAAAAAAAAAGTAGTATCTCATCATAAAGGAGAACAGAAAATATACCACTTCAATTTTGCCAAGAGCATATTCCAACTTCTTACTAAGCTGACGGTTTTCCTCCATCAAAACTTGAATCTACAATTGTGAAAAACAAATAATAATCCAAGATAAATTGCAATACCTATTTATCATGAACAAAAATAAATAAGACTAAACATGCTACCAGATAAACAAAATCTAACCTTCTTTTGGGAGTCGATATACAAGCTTTTATACTTGACATCCCCAAAACTAGGGCCTTTACTAAAGAAGGTTTTCTCGGTTGCCTGCCATGAATTTCAACAGGCATTTCATTTATAGGGGCTAGTCAAATAATAAGAATGGAAAGAGAAGAATTGAATAAGGCTAGTTATATGAGAGAAGTTGATACCCTAGAATTCAATGAATCTATGGTCTTTTGCTGTGCCTCCAGAAGCCGTATAATATAATCAACTTTTTTGTACAAGTGTTTCTCATTCAAATTAGTCTCCGGCAATTCCTCATCAACAGGCTCATCTTCTTTCTCGCTTTCACTTACAGTTATTGCTTCAATAATACATTCAATGTCTTGGTTTTCAGTAGACGTAACTGCATTTTGAAGACGGTCAGATCGCCTAACTTTAGCAGGCGTTTTCTTAACTCTCTTTCCAGAAGACTTTGTGGAAGAGTTTGCTTTTTGTAATTCAACCTTCTCCAAGGTAGGATTTAGGCTTTCAGGCTGTACTTCCCCATCCTGAACAGATGGATCTGTGCTCTTATGCTTCAAGTAGAATAAAATAGCTTAATTTTGTAGCTTCAAATTCTATCATGAGATATTAGAAACTAATTGTGCACCAAAAACATGTAGTATTGTCAACTCAGAATACAGATAAAAACAGCACAAGCATCCATGTGTCTTGTGTGTCTGTGTATTTCCAAAAAAAGAAAAAACACATAGAATAACAAAATAATCATCACTGATCCTCCACATGGTAGCAACTAGCAGCCCATGCCTTCAGTTTATAGCCTTCCTGTGTTCTTGAACTAGTTACACCAATGTTTCACTTTCAAGAGTCAACTGTACCTTACAAGTGGTAAATTGAGCTTGAACCTTGGATGATAAAAAAATAGGAAATTGAGGAGTTTCAGTTTCTCCTCCTATAATTCACACACAAACAAAACATACCAGTTTGTGAAAGTTAAACAAGAGATAAACACAATAATATGCAGAAGAAGAATGTTCACGATAATGATAAAAACAAAAGCAAAGATTGGAAAAATTTGTCTCCACCTACGGACATGAACTATGAAAGGTATAAAAACTTCAAACCATGAGCAGGATTCACCAAAAGCGTTATGCCTCTCCTAAAACCCTAATCCCCAAATAACTATCCATAATTAGAACGAAATAAAACGAAACAACGATTGAGTGCTCTTTTATGCTTACATTAAACAACATCTGCAATGTAGAACAGAATAAATAATAAATCAGAGAAGAAGGAAGGAAGAACAGTAATTGTTGCTTGCCTTGTTCGACTTCTGTGCAAATTTTGAAGCGCTAGGTTTCTTACCCATCTTTGGCGGACAAAAAATCTTCAAAAACACAGAGACAAAGTGAAGGAGAGTCGGAGAGTTCAAGGGGACGTGGACAGAAAGGATATTCGACTTTCGAACAGTCGTCCAACGTTAATGTGGTCCGATACAAACGACAGAAACGACGGAGTCAAAAGTCCATTAATTGAGTTATTGATCTTTCGACCCGTTCAAAGCGAACTTCTCAAATAACACGAACGGCGTAGTAGCAAAATTAAGCACATTGTCACGTTGTTTTCTTTTTTTTTTTTTTAAAAAAAAAAAAAAAAATTAAGACCATTGTCACGTTGTTTTCTTTTTTTTTTTTTTTAAAAAAAAAAAAAACGACCCTGCTTATTAGGTTATGGGATTGGTAGTTTCAAGCAGTTTCTTTTTCTGTTTTTTCTTTTTTTTTTTTTTTTTTTTCTACAGAATGATGCACTGACCCTCATGTTCCAAAGAATCGATGGCCTTCGTAGTGGCGTTCAAGACTCCAAGCGACATTTTTTTTTTTTTTTTTTTTTTTTCTACAGAATGATGCACGACCTACATGTTCCAAAGAATCGATGGCTCGTAGTGGGTTCAAGACTCCAGCGACATCAGTGCCAAATTAACATAATTTATCAAGCTGCTTTTTACACGAAGGACCGGAAAATTTTTACATGCCATCCACAGAATTACCCTTTTTGGATCTAACCAAACTAAAACAATGGACACGAGATCAATTATAAAAGCATTGCTGCAACTCAAAAGTGTAGGCCTTAACTGAACCATCTTTGATATAGAAACGAAGAATGGTCTGATAAAAATTAGCAAATTACAGTTAATGTTACAACATCAGGTGCTGGAAACTTTAACAGTGATGGTCGTTAAGCTCCATTGGCATGTCCATGGATCCAAGGCAGTCCCGGTTGAAGGCATTGCTTTGTATCTGGTATTGGAACTATAGGTCCAAGAAAGATGCGCCATAAATCAAGTATTATCGTTACTAACATTGCAGCACCTAGAGCATCGACAGCCACTCTCGGCAAGTCCCATGAGTCACCAGGTTTCTCATCAATCCTGTTTACATCAGTATACCCCACAAGGAAGAGTAAGAATACTTCCATTTTCAGAACTGGAGTGAGAATATCTTCGATATTGAAGAAAAGGCACAAAGTCATACAAATTAATTCAATCATTTCATTTTCATTCTCTTACAGGATATCATGTCCACCCTTAAATACAGTACAAATGAATCGTGTAACCCCACTAAACATACATATAAAATTGAAATCAGGTTACCGTAAGTAGAAGCATACAATGCTGACCATATCACTCCACAATTTCTACATACTAGGGGCATAGTTTCACCAAATATCAAGCATGGTCTATAATACAAAAGATATTAACATTAACACACTGAAGACCATTTATGAGTTATAAATGACTGGAAATTCAAATTTAATAGTAGATTTATTTCTTACCTCAAAAACATTGGGAAGCTCACAATGAAGTAGATGGCATAAAACAATGACCCGACTGTATACATGGAAGCCCGGTCCACAAACTCATAGTAAGGGAACTGCACATGTTCAAAATATGATGTCACTGTCAGCACCTTAATTCACATACAATGGATAAATTATGATTTAAGACTTTGACATTAGCAGCCAGTATCCAGAAAACCAGAAATGTTTGAACAATGCAGAAACAAACTCAAATGCAGGCTGAATGCATGTAGATATATTTAATTAAGGATCAATAGATAGAAGTTACTAATAATAATAGTGGACAAAACCTCAGTTGCCACGTACGTTAGAAATGGCTAATGTCTCCAGGTATGCTATGAAATATGCAAGAGCCAAAATCCATGCTGCCTCAGTTGCCCAGCGAAGTTTATCTGGCAAGTGAGCAATCGCATGCCGTAGTCTGCGAAGTGTCATATTTGAGGTGACGTGGTAAAACAAGAAGCAAACATGTGTCAGAAGGAAAGTTGTGTGTGGTACCTGCGCAAAATAATAGATCAGAGTAAGTGTATAAGCAGAAAAGCAAATAATGGTGAATAAAAAGAGTTTCTTGCTTTATAGCTTACATCATTCATCTTCCATGATGGAAATGTATACGAAGCTCCCAAAACTGTAAAGAAATAGTGTGTCCAAAAGTAATTTCCAACATAGCTGAAAATGATTATCCATAGACTGGCCTACAATAACAATAATAACAAAATTAGACCAATTGCCATTTAGTTTCACACCACCTAAAAATCACATATAACTTTAAAGCACACAACAAAAGAGAAGTGGACATTTTTTTTTTTTTTACAAAAAATGAAGGAAGTGCATATTCATCAAAGGATACTTGACTAATTTAGCATTTCTCCTTACAAAAGTTTTATGGAATTGATTAGAATGCAATACTCATAGGTATTCCAAAAAATTTACTTCTACCCAGTCGGGTACCCTTTTCTGATTTTAAGGTCACAAGGATGGAGTTTGAAGTCACACTAGTATACAAATATCTGCAATAAAACTTCATGGAACAATTGAAGAAACATGGGATGAGAAATTACCAACTGCTACAATCTCCTTAGATGAGACAGAAACATAGGATAATTGAAGGACTTCCATAAAAATTAACAACTAAATAAGCATGTTCGCAAAATCATTTAACATAAAAAAGGGAATATTCACCAAAAATTGAACAAAACTAGCTATGGGGTTAATAAATGGAAAGCATGGATAAAATGATGCAGGACCAGTAATTAAGTTTCATAGCTGCATAACCTCTTGGGATGGGAATCAAATGTCGAAATAGAAATTAGAATGTTGTACAGAAAAAACACTTGCCTTGACCCAATACCGGTCCTTCCAACTCAAGCTACTATCAGCCTGCAAAGGCACGCAACAAGTAAGAGAAAAGGATACAAAAATCCCCATGAAAAAAAAAAAAAAAAAATCAAGAATGTACCTTCCCAACAAATATCATTGGAATCAAGAACGAAGGAACTGCAGAAATCATAGCCAGGAGCAAATATTCAAGCTCTGTAAAGCTCTGCCAGCAAAATTAGATATAAATTAATAAAATTAAAAAGAAATTATGAATACAAATCAATAGAGACTTTTTCAGCTACGTTCAACATCTAAATATACAGCAAAAGCTATAAATCTTATTCCATTACCTACACCACCATGTGGACACAGTTCAATAAGTGTAAAAATTCATAAATACAAACTAAATTGCGCATAAACTAAACCTACATTACCGAATTGAAAGCAAAAGAAATTCTCTTAAAATCAAATTTCCTCTGTAGACAACCATAGATCACCTCATATAGTTTGTAAGGAACCACAACCCCCAAACAGAGAGTAAGCCAGAAAGGAGTATAGCAGAGGAAGAAAAGCTCGCCCCATCTCTTACTCGGGTTCGGGGCCAGCCATAGACTCGAACTACAGCAACCTGATTTCGTACCTGCAGTGTCGCTAACTGAACAATCACCAATTTTTCATCAGCAAGAAACCCTTTTCAGAGAGAAATCAGGAAAACAAGAAAAATAATGGATTTACCGCCCATTTATGGATATAGGTGGAAAGCGTTTAGTGATTATGGGATCTGGATAGAGAAAAAGGAGATTATTGAAGCTGAGTTCAGCGCCGGCAGTGTACTACCGTGAACGAGTGTTTCAAAGAGACCGTGTCCAGCCAGTGATACAGTGACTAACTGACGATGCCAGGTTGGAGGTACCTATTTTCATCGAAGGGGCCATATTTTTAACTTAAAATAATGCTAATAAACCAATTAAATTAAATGAATAATGAAGATATTATTAACTCCACCTTGTTTATTATAATGCAAATAAATTTTATGCTTTTACCATTATATTCCAGAATTTTAACTTTTATCAATTTTATCTCAATTTGATAAATAATCGTAATTTTATTTGATGGGCCTTCAATAAATCTAAATAAATAAAAATTAATCTTCTAAAAAAAAGATTGATAATATTTTCAATCCATAAATAGATATGTTTCTTTCTTCAAAATTTAAGAAATTAATTATTTCATAGTTATAAGAATTCCAAATCAAAACTTATGAAATTAATTATTTTGTAGTCATAAGAATGCCAAATCAATTGAAACATATATTTTAATTATTTTTAACATTTGAAATTTAAACCATGATTTTTTATATTATTGAAAAATTTGAGAAAACTAATTAAATCACTAATATATTTGACATAATTTTATAATATATTTATAGATATTACAAAAGCAAATTTATACTTGTGATTGTGATAAGGGAATATGTTAGGATTCTAGCTGCAAGATAAGGTTTGGGCATTGTTCTGTGTTCTACGTTAAAAGTATTAGATTTTACTACGGGGTTGATATGAATTTAAACTTTTTAATTTCAATGATTAACTTTTAAAGTGTGGTTCTTAAAATTATAACAATCGGTATCATCATTTTTCCAATTGAAATTGAGAGGATAATGACACGTAATTGTAGTATTCGCATGGAGCTAAGCAGCCACGCTGGTATTAGTTGTATTCAACCATAAATAATACTTAAACTCAAATAATCTATTAAATACACGTAGAGCAATTGATTAATAAGCCGGGTGTAAAAAAATATTATCTGAAGAAAATTATTTGTCTAAATTAGATTTATGATTTCATTTATCAACCTCACCAATAAACTTAACCATTCTTCAAAAAGTATTTTAAATTTTTTAAAATATATAAGCAGAAATATTTTATTTTAATAAAAATATTTAATTTAATCATTTTAATACATAAATATAGCTAGAGACTGGTTTAGATAAATTTTTCCGCCCTTACAAATTAAACACGACAGAAAAGGCCAAAACATCGATAAAGACTCGGCCAAGTTGGGTCCCCCACAATCCCTGATTGCATGTATTAATGTGTACCAACCAACCTCGCCCATGAACTCCAAGTGGCAAGTCCCTGTCTGAACTCTGGACCCAATTAGCAATGATGACCCATCTTTTGTCTTTCTCACAGTTGGCCACACAAACAACAACAACCTACATTTTGTGTGTACAGTACGCAGTGGCATGCAATACACTTGCGGACTTTGCCCAAGACCTTACTCTTCCTTTACCTTTGTCACCCACTCCAATTGTGCTTATAACAAAACAAGCAAACAAAATGGGTACAATCTTCCCAACGAACTTTGTCTCTTTCGGAAGCAGAAATGCCATGCGTCAATCAACCAGTGCACTTTTCTCTAACCACTCTCTGCATGTAAAGCTTCAAAGACACTATATGATATGAACATTTACTACTCTCTCTCTCTCTCTCAGTATTTGTGTTGTGAGAGAGGAAATGGGAAAGGGAAGAGAGGCGCTGGTGGCGTGCAGTGATAGAAGTATGGGGACTGGAATAACAGTATGGGATTTAGAAACTGGAGATCGTCTCATGCATATACCAACCTGTGCATCACCTGCTCATGGATTATTGTGCTTGAGAGACCAGTTTCTTGTAGCTTCTCAAGTTAACAAGCATGGATCTGTTGGTGGCGGGGCTATCTTCATCTGGCAATTGAATAAGGTAATTATAAACTCAATTTTCTCATTCAATTATGTAGAATTAGCACTCAATTAAACAATCCATTGCACAAATGGATACCAATTCTTTTTCAATTACTTAGAGCTGCTGGGGTTTGAAAAATTGCAGTTACGGTGTTTGGTTAAAGCACCAAATGAACCAGAGATTTGTTCTGGTGATTATTTATTAATGGTCATTGGTTAGGGAAAATTAATTTGTCGTTTATTAATGAGCCGAATGGATAAGAATAAAGATGTACAATCTGCCTTCCGTCTAATATAATTAAGAAATCCGCAGGAGGTAAAAAATCCAATAAACCTAGTAATAAAGCCCAGTCCATAGAAGGTACGAAAACTTCACTAAGCCCCATAACCAAAATCTCAGGACTTTTAACTCGACGTCCCGTCACCGCATATCGTCAAAAGCTACACGTGCCCAACAAGGAGGTCGGCAGAGCCAGAGACTTTAAGAAACATTTTTTTGGCCCAGCCTCAAGAGTAAAAGTTTTCCGTCCAATTGTCGCGGCTTTCCGGGCGGGAGGGATCGCAAAACTTTTTCGTCGAACAGAAAAATTTTCCCACGTTTCCGTCCTTAAAGAAAACCACAGAAATATTTAGTCCAGAACTTCTCTCTCAAAACAAACAGATTAGAAGGGCAATCTCCTCTCTCTCCTCTCCCTCTACATCTCACAGAAGCTTTCCTACTAAATGATTCCAAAACAACAATCCTCCATCTCTTTCCCACCAAAACTCACTTCAAATCAACTCTAGTTTTCTAAGCTTACTGTACGTCTCTCTTTTCTCACAAAACCCACTCCCAAACCTCGATTACAGACCTCCGGTATCGTCGAAGAGATGGGGGAAATCAACTACCTGCTCACCATCAAAGATGGCGGATTCGAGCTTAAAATAAAGGCAAAAACCCTTCTTGAAGGCATGAATCTAGGAGATAGCACTGTTCTTCATTGCACCTGCTTAACAGTAACTAATTTCACCAATGACCAATTCACTGATGGTTTATCACCGAAACTTTAACATCTCGACACTACTGATTTAGCTTCTGCTTTTATTGCTTGAGCTAATTTCCCTCACATGTTTGTCAATTAATTCGAACGTTTCAAGGAAACTCTAATCAAATTGAGCAACCTATTTGGAATCTGAATTTGGTTGCCTAATGTTTTATGATCAATTTTTTAGCCTCAAACACCACTTCGGAGCTATCCACTTGAAGCCATTGGGCCTATTTCTTGCACCACAGATGGAATGTACCTTGCAGGCGGTGCTCCTTCTGGAAATGCTTATATTTGGGAGGTTAGTATTTAAATACTTTACTGTCAGTTCAATGACAAGGAAAAAAAAAAAGATGAAAAGAGAGAAAATCATATGATTTTGGTTGAATATCATGTTTATCTGGACTTTATTATTATTCAAATATTGACTGTCTGATTTATAAAATACTTTTAACTTTGTGAACAATTAGAATTTTTTCGATTTCAGATAGGCATATGATGATCTAAACATTATATGAAGTTATAGTTTCTAATAAGGTTGCTATGACATGTAGGTGGCTAATGGAACGTTGCTCAAAACATGGCGTGCCCATCATAAGTCTTTGAAGTGCATGATATTTTCCAGTGATGACTCTCTTCTTATATCTGGTTCGGATGATGGTATGATTTGTGTGTGGTCTATGCTTAGGTATGGACTGAATCTTTCACTATCAGCTTCTTTTGCATGGTAGATAAAAGGTTGCAAACCAAATCCAATAAATGATCTAACTATTCTTAATATCAATTCTATGTAAGTTTGCTAGATATGGGGAATTTAGAGAGCCCATCTTCATTGTTACATTGTTCTTTAGAGCATTGTTCCTCCATAAGTGGTCTGTTAACAACATCAAGCTCAACTTTTATATCAAGCTCCTTTGATGCCACCTGCAAGGTCACTAGATATGTTTTCACTTCATATTTCTGTCAAACTAATTTTTCTTACACAAATAACATAATTTCGATTTTTGCAGGCTTGGGACCTAGTCTCAGGTACACTAGTTCAAACTCAAGATTATCCAGTCGGGATAACTACTATTGCCCTTCATCCAACAGAGCAATTCCTGTTTGCTGGAAGTATAGATGGAAGAATATTTGTTAGTGTGCTTAATATTGAACTAGTAGATGATCCTTTTGTTGTTGCCGAAGATCAACTGGTTGTGCTAGAAGGACACAAGTAATGTCTAATGTATGATGCATACAATTTCTAGATGTCTGGTGAAAAATGAATTCAGTTGCATACATGGGAATAAGTAACACGTAAGATATAATTGCATATCTGAGTATTCTTAATCTGAGAAGTTGCTATTTTTAGTCCATGTATCATTTTAGACGCAATTAAACGTCACATTGTTTCCTATATTTGAAGCCCACAGTTGCAGGTTGTGATTGATTAAACATCAAAAACTTGTCTAATGTATGATGCATAAAATTTCTAGAAAGCTGGTGAAAAGTAAATTCAATTGCATGCAAGGAAATAATAACAATTTGAAATATAAGTGCATATCTGACTATTCTTAATCTGAAAAGTTATTTAGTCCATGTATCATTTAGAAGCAATTAAACATCACATTCTTCCCTATTTTTGGAGCTCATAGTTGCATGTTCTCATTGATTAAACATCAAAAACTTGTCTGTCATTTTGTGGTGGTCACAAACTAAAGTATTAGGCTTTCATAATTAAATGGATTGAAATTGCAGACATGGGGATTCTTATACTTTGGCTATTAAATAATATAATATAGTTACAGAATTCCTACTTCCCTGCAGAGGATCCATAACTGCATTGACCTTCAGTACATTGGGTCTGATATCAGCATCTGAGGATTGTACCATCAGCCTATGGGATGCTGTTAGTTGGGTGCCGATACAAAAGTTTAATTGCCAAAAAGGTAACTCTGATCTTTATTTTGTGTAATTCTGCTGAAACAGAAAAAGAAATTTTAGATGGAAGATATTTTGGTTTTCATTTTGTTTAGTACAATTTGAAATAACTAGCAGCAATTTGCGTCTTTAATTCTGTTTTTCTTGGTGAATGTAGCTCTTACCAAACATTTGTGTTCAATTGTAAGCAGGTGCAGTAACTAATATGGTACTGATTCCACACTCTTCATTGCTTCCTTCGTCAAACCATCAAAGAGTTTCCTATAAGTTCCGTGTGTCTTTGCTGCACAAATGTCCCCTGCCAGCAGCCAACTCATCCAAGGGAACAGTTACTCTTCTCCGTTCATGTTCTTCTGCTGAGGACAATCAAACTTCTCCTGATTTCATAACTACTTCATTGGACCACCATATATTTGAGATGGAGGTCTATCTTTTCAATACTTACTGCGTTATAATTATATACTACTTGACATACTAAGCTCCATGGCCCATATGATGCCCTTGGGTTTTTTTTATTTATTTATTTTTTTTTTAAGAGGGTTTTGGGGGGGGGGGGGGGGGGTGGTTTAGACCCCCCACCTAATTGTGGAGTCTGGCTCCGCCCCTGTGCATCCTTATATGTGAGGATGATCAGAAGGTGCTAATTGTTGCTACTTGTTGTCTTAGTTGTTGTTACTAATTGAAATATATTTGGATAAGCACAGAAGATACATGCTTATTGCCCTGTTGGTATGTGACCAGGAAGAACGCACACCTGCAGCCTTGCAGATTAAACTAGAAACAAGCACAGACCAACGGATGTGGGTGACAAGAATGACAAAACATGTCATGGAAATTAACAAGCATTTGCAATCTCATCTGCTGGATTTGATGCAGATGCGGTTAGTACGGAATAATAAAGACTCACACACTACCAGAAAGAACAAGAAGATTAAAATTGAAAGTTCACCGCTTGACAGTTCAAAGAGAAAAGCTATTACAGTCCCAAAATTTAATTTTCCATGATATTTAAGCAGTGAGATAACCTTTAATTGGCTATAAGGTGTAACTTAAGACAACATTGTCTGCCTGTTTCATCTTTGAAATAATTGCAAGCAATGGTATCATGGTGTTCTATCTGCTCATGTTTCTATGTGTTTACTATTATGCATTTGTTTGATGTATTTTAGGATTTTGCATGACATTCATATGTAGTTGTTAAAGAAGATCCCTTTCAAACTGTGCCATGGAAGCCAGTAGTATGGGAATTCAGAAGTTTGAGCAGGCTAGATAATGCAGTTCTTTTCTTTGAGGAACACAAAATTTATATGCTGCAGATGTAATATATTTGCGGATGGCTTTATTTCAACAGAGATCATTCAATTGCACTGTTTGTCACAACATCTAACCTGTCACTGAACGGCTTCACTTTAATCCAAACCTGGTCCCTGTCTGTAGTAAATTTTACTTTATATTTCTTGTTCCCATAACTAGAAAGTTGTTGATTTCATCCGTTTTTGTTCCTTCCTTCCCTTTCATCTGAAAAACCTTTTTGAAGTATCAATTAACGTTTTGGAAATTAACATGCCATCAGCTTTATTCAGCAATTTGTTAATGTGTCATTTCCTTTTCGTTAATTATTTGCCTACTTATTTACCCTTTCTTCTTTTCACAGGAGAAAAATTATTATATCAACCAATATATAGAACGAACGGTCCTTAGCATATGTGGGGGAATCGGACAACTCTTTGACATCTTTAAATCACAAAATATCTACTGGGAATTGTGCGTGGATCCCACATTTAAAATGACGTGGCAGGCAAAACAAATGCCATTTTCATTTCTGTTGATCCTTCTCTGATCAGTTTTCAGTAATCTCCTTTGGCCTTTGCCCATGATCGCGCTGAGGCGCCAATTAGCGGCTGCTGCCGCGATAACGGTTGCGCCAGCCGCTTACCGTTTCCTTTCTATCTTCCGGTTGTACACCACCGCTGGTGTAGCTCAACCGCAGTTCAACGGCGATTACTACTACGACGACAGCCAACGCTGCGAGCCGAGTGGCATTCTGCTTGGGACTGCTGCAATGGCAGAAACTGAAAGCTCGGTTCCAAGAAGGGGAGTGCAGTGGGCGTTTATAGGATATCCACGCGTCAAGAAGCGCGTGTACGCCGAGACACTCTCGAAGCTTCTAGAAGTTCCTTACGTTTCCATGGCGAGTCTCGTTCGTCAAGAGCTGAACCCTGGAACTGCTCTCTACAAACAGGTCTTAACTTCCATGGCTAGTCTTTTGATTTGTTTGTTTTTTGTACTTATCTTGGCATCCTCTTTTACTTATATATTTATTTCCTTCGAATTTGTTATATAGTTTTAATTTGTATCTTGAAGCCAAGTTTCTTTGTATTATTTTTGTTCACTGATCTTTGCCTGATAAGAATCTGACGTGACTTGATTTTGAATCTTGATGAATTAATCTTGATACCGACCAAGGTTATTTTGATAATTATCTCATGTCTCAGAAATGTCAGACCATGTTCATGCAAATTCATGCTGCTGCTTCTGTACTATTATTTTGTGTTCTAATGGAAACATTGCAAATTGCAATCTGGCACTCACTCTTGTCTTCTACTGCTTCTTTTCTCAAGTATAGATTGCAAATGCTGTGAATCGTGGGCAACTTGCTCCAGAGGATATCCTTTTCGGCCTTCTTTCTAAGAGGTTGGAAGATGGTTATTACAAAGGTGAAACGGGGTTTATTTTGGATGGAATTCCTCGTTCAAAGTTCCAAGCTGTAAGTTTTTACTGGCAAATTCTTGTATAACTGACATGATAAATAAGTGCCTTATTTTTGGAAATTGATTCTGTTGTCAAAGGGGTTACGCAGTTATTGACTTCTTCATTCGTCTTTACATGCTGAGCTTTTGTGTTTATTAATACTAATCTGTCTGCATTATTTTCATTTTCTCTAATCTCTATGTAGGAGATTCTTGATGAACTCGTTAACATTGATTTGGTTGTGAATTTTAAATCCGCTGATGATTTCTTGGTAAAGTACCAAGAAGGTAGTATCTTTGCCTTTGTCATGAATCATCTGAAAATAAACAATTTCTATAATACAAGTCCTGATATTACTTACAGTGAACTCAACTGAATCTTCCACTGTTATTGCAGAAGATGTCCGGAAAGATAAGCTTCAAGCCTATGTTGAGCAGGTAAATGTTAACCTTTTATGCATATCTTCTTAACGTCTTTCCTACTTCCCTGTTGGAATCATATCTTTTTCTCGCACGACATGGTTTATATTCATTTGTATTTTTTTTTTTCACCTCTTGATTTTTTGGCCCATTTTATATTTGCAGTCTCCCCTTTTATCCTACTTGTTTCACTTCCAACAGGAGCTAATGATACAATGCACTTTTTCATCAATGAATACTGAGCAACTGATTTAGGTTTGTGAGTTTGTGACGGTTGTATAAAGTGAGAAGGGGACCTACTCTCATATCTTGTGAGATGGATTTTGGGGAACAATTATTTTAAAAAGGACGAGGCACGTTTGACGCACATCAATGTGCTAGACAGGGCATGACGGCCCTGTCTGATCAATGAACACCTACCACTCTGGAGTTAGAAATCCTTTTGTCCCAATTTCAAGGAAAACAACTCATTATTGGAAAATGTCACTATATTAGAAGTTCTATGTTCTATAATTTTTTTCATATTTTTCTCTCAGACAAACCACATGTCTCTGAATAAGAGTACATGAATTTATAGTTTGCAAACCATCATTGATATCTGCAATTTCATGATCTTTTTGACTCTGTTATCTTTTCATGCATAGTTTCATTAAAAGTAGTTCCTCAAATTTGAACTTTTCATTTTTTATCCTCAGAGCAAGCCGTTAGAAGATTATTACAGGAAACAGAAAAAGCTTCTAGACTTTCAAGTACAAAGTGCCTCTGGAGAGACTTTGCAGGGGCTTTTGGCTGCATTACATCTGCAACATATAAATGCTCTATGTTGTTCAAAAAAATTGACTTCAGGATCCAGCTGACTCTGAACTTCCTCCTTATCAATTTGAGTTTCAGCTTTACTGTAAATACAAGTAATATGAAAAGCATTATTAGCACAAACATCTGCAGCGAAATTTAATTACTACATAGATAGGAATCGTATATTGCCTCCTCTTTTTTTTTTTTTTTTTTTGGTTCTGAACTGCGAACAGTTCTGAGAATGCCAGCCTGTAATATATGTACCTTTGGCAAAATAACTTGAGTAAGCAAATGGAACTGGTCTTTTGAGATTGTGCTGAAGAACGAACTTGCAGCCTGTAATATATGTTCTTTTGACACCAAGTAAGCCTGTACTATATGTTCCTTTGAGATTGTGCGAAGAACTTACTTGCAGCAATAGCTTAGTGATTGGACAATTATTGGTGTTTGCAGCAACTATTACCAGCAGTAACACATTGACATTTGGAAGAAATGAAACATAGATAATATAATCCACTTCAGGAAAATGGAAAATTTCTTTTTTCACTAATTGATTGGTGGGTAGTTTATGTAATAGATGCAAACAAATATAGAAATGCTACAGCTTTAGAAACACACAAACCGACAATAAATACAACAATGACTACCAGATTGAGATATACAGCTTTAAACATTTGCTAAGCTACAACCTCAACGAAAAAGTAATCCCCTTTGAGGATTATAAGGATGGAACGACAAGATTTGGAGAAAACCCACATGCAAACAATTTATTTCCTATTCTATCAAGTCTTTACACGATCTGCTGTTTCTTGAACCTGACTTGCATACTGCAAATTCCAGAGTATGTCCTCAAAGGATGGACGGCTCAGCGATTCCGAACAAATGCATTTGGTTGTTATAGAAATCACAGTCGACAAAGATTCTTGTGAGGACGTTGCCAACACAATTGGGTTTATTAATTTTCTATGGCTTTCCTGGTTGATACAAGATGCCTGTAAAAGTATAGCGCTTGATCATTAGGCTTTTTGATATTCTAAATCAAGAACATACTGAAACACGCAAGGAATAGCTACAATGACATAAGAATAGCTTTAAGTTAAATATAATCTGCTCTAATTCCGAGTTCTAGGAAATACCAGTTCGTCCAGTAGAAGGTTGTTTCTTCTGCCAGATACTGAGGGGCCAACAAGTGAGTCAAGTAATATGAACCCAAAGCTGTAAACATCATCCTCTAATATTGCCATTTCCCTGAAATAAGGCCATCCTCTAATTATTTACTGTTCAATGTCGAAGCTTAGTGGATCAAATCACTACATAGTTGAACGTAAAAGGAAGTCCTTACCGTGATTTGCGTCCTTCTTCACCTTCCTGAAAGCAAGTAACTTCATCATCAGCCTCAAAGACTGTGACTTTATTAATATTCTGACAATTTAGTTAGAAAATAAGAAGGCTTACCCCACTATTTCCTATATCTTCAGAGATAATGGACAGCCCATAATCACTTAATTTTGAAATTCCATGCTCATTGAGCAGGATATTATTCGTCTTCAATCGATTGTTGAAGAAACCAGGAATAACTCCTGTATGCAGAAAGTGCACAGCCTTTGCGACACCAATTAGCACTGTCAACCTCTCTGACCAATTTAGAACCTTGCCTGGAGTGTCTTCTGCACATGCAATATAGTGCTAGTAAGAATGTAATTCAGGGTTTTATTCTAAATATAAAAACTGGAAAAACTTCCAATTACTACAGATTTTCTGAAAAGAAAAAAATGATGAAATCATGACTTGTGATGCTTTTACTTCGTTAACCATTTTCACCATTATGAATAGGCTCCCTCATTGTCTAAATTTCAAACTTGTAGTTTTGTTAGCTGTCGATTCATTTGCACAGCAGGAACAAAAAATTCTGGATTTTAATCCTTCTACGAAAACTGTTTGAAGAATGTTTACCAAGGAGGTGTGTACGAAAATTCCCATTTGAAGTGTATTCATATATAAGGAAGACTTTGTTCACTCTGTAATCATCTCCACCATCAATACAGTGCCCCAAGAGGCATACCAAATGTGGGTGGCGAAGCTTTGCGAGCAAATCCAACCTGAGTTTAAGGTTTCGAATTGTATATTTCCTCGATGAAGGCAGGCACTTTATAGCAACTTGAGTCCCATCATCTAGTCTCCCTCTGTAAAGCTGAGAAAACAAAGCGCAACAAACAAATAAACTTCAAATAAACAGAAGTACCATGTTAAAGGGATGCCACCATAGTATTCATTGTTCATAAAACTCAGAAAGCTCAACAGATGTTAATATTCATGACACAGATCCACTACTTAGTTTTGCCTCTGATGCCATTTCACAACTACCAAACATTTCATAAGAAAAAAAAAAAGTTATATAATATGCAATACCTTTCCATGAGAACTTTCACCCAAAACAGTAGATTTATCAAAGTTATTTGTAGCCTTCTTTAACTCTTCTACAGTAAATGGCCGACAAGCTGGGAGACATTGTATCCCCAATTTTGCAGCTGGAGAAATAAATCCTGGGGAGAAAAGTAGAAAAGATACGGTCACCATAAACGAAACAAATTCTCGGCCAAACCCACAAACTCAGGAAAATTTTATTTTTGAGTGAAATTTGAAACTGACACAAGACTTCAGCAATATATATCTGCCTGCGGTTTCTTGTTAGTAGATAACCTACTTGCATTAGTGAGGATCTCGGACGAGAACACTGTTGCTGATTTTTCTTCAACTCCATTGTGCAGCAGATGCTGCTCCGAAATTGCTCGAGGGAAACATCTTCTGGACACAAAAAGAAAGCCAAAAGCCAGAAGCCCCATAAAGATAAGAATACCAGCAGCTACACCTACTAACATCCCAACATCTTTGCCTCCAGATTGTTTCTTTTTTGTAGGCATTTCCATACAAGATGATTCTGCACGCTGATGATGTAAATCAATGGATAAGCAATTACCACCAAACTTCACAACTCTATTATCTGATTCAATATTCAAACAATGAGGCAATCCCCCAGTAAAGCTATTATTGGATATATCAACAAATTGAAGTTTGCTGCCACATTTTAGATTGTTGGGAAGTGAACCACTCAATATATTCGATGCCAAATTCAAGTAACTAATGTTTGACAATGAAAAAAGTGCAGCAGGAGGTGTTCCCCTTAGTTCATTGAATGACATATCAAGGTGTTGAAGCTGACTAAGCTGGCTGTACTGACGTGGAACCTCACCTGAAAAGGAGTTGTTGCTAAGGAGTGCTATGACCAATCCTTTGGGCATTGAAGGTAAATTAGATTCTAAATCGTTCCCACTCAAATCCAGCACATGTAGGTTAATTAGGGCATCAAGACTTGGTAAACTCCCAGATATTCCATTGCTAGACAAAACAAGATCAGTAAGAGAGGTAACTTCCTGTACTGAAGTTGGAAATGGACCCGTCAACTGGTTTTTCCTCAGGCTAAGAATTGTAAGATTAGACAATGAATCAAACCAATTAGGAATTGTACCATTGAGGAAATTTTCATCAAGTGTAAGAGTTTGAAGCTTCACCATTGTCGAAATTTTTGGAGGAACTGAACCAAAGAGATAATTTGAACTCAAATCCAAATATTCGAGTGAAGACAACCGATGAATTTTGTCTGGAAGTGGACCCCAAATGCCTAGCGATACAAGACTGAGGACTCTCAAGCTGTTTAGCCTTGAAAGAGTAACAACAAAAGAATCTATGGAGAAAATCTCTGATAAAGTTTGATCTGGAATTGCATACCCAACAAAATTATCGACCTTAGCTGGCTTGTCTCCTGTAATTCTGAGCTCAGTAACAAAATTGTCCTGGCATGTCACATTGACTTGTGTGGATGAAAAAATATAGCAAAAATCTACAGTATGATCCTTCCAAACTTCCAGTTGAGTTGGGTACTCTAGATGTTTCCTTAATTGAAGAAGCACTTGAGTTTGTGAAGATTGTAATTGATGGGAACCCAGAATTAGAGAACCCCATATCACAAATGGCAGCAACAGCAAACTGGAAAAATACCCCATGAATAAAATCTTGCCTTTGTATGCACACTTTGTGATTATGCTTTCAAGTATCTGAAAGCCAAACATAAAGTAAATTGTCATAAAGTGAAATGCAGACAAGTTTTAATGACTGAAACAGAGAATAAACCATGTAGGATCATAATGGATTATTAATAGTTGATGAAAACCACATAACGACACAGGTAGAAAACAGAAAACTATACCTGAAGTTTTCACAGAAGTTAAAAAAACCAGCCATTTAAGCAGAAAGAAAGAAACCACTAAGAGCTTTAGCCATAAACAGATCAGTTGAAAAGTTCTGTAAAAGGTTTTTCTCTTCCCCTTTTCTGCCTTTATCAATGAATCAAGTATTGAATTATTAGCATTAACGAAATTTGTTTTTGGCTGGATTTAGAGTGGTGGGGTACCTGGAGTAGATGTAGCTAGTAAATCCGTATGGTGTTCTTCCCTGAAGAGTATGACTGTGAACTTTCTCCAACATTAATGGAAAAGGCTTTTTTTGCCCATGGTAGTATAGTACAGTTGGAAGTTAGACTCTTTACTATGAGTAGCAGTAGAGAGTGAAAACTGAAAAACAAACTAGAAAAGCTAAAAGAAATCTGTCCATTAGCTTTTTATCATTCAACTCAAATAATTTTGTGAATAATTTCCCAAAGAACAAACAACTGAGAAAAACAGTCACTATTTGTTTTTATCTGGCAAAAGTTGGCAGTGTAAAGCAATTTTTTTAACTCCGTTGATGAATCTAGCTGTTCCAAATAGAAGGGTAGAAGAGCAATAAGAAATAAAAAAATGCAATATCCTTGGAACTTGTGATTGATACTTGCCCACATAGATACAGGCTGTCTCTAATATCATATTGGCAATTGTCCTTTGGCCCATAAGATTCTTTTTCTGGATTAACTCTGCAGTTATTCGAGAAGTTCAACTTCAAATCTCAGAATCATTTGCTTTCTGTACAAGCTCTTGATGAACAACAACTACACTTCAATCCCAAACTACGCCTTAATCCCAAACAAAGTAATTGAGGTGCTCGATCATTGAATTAAAATTTTTTCAATATATTTTTTTTTCTTTTTTTGAATGTTTTTAAGCTCAATGGAGTCTAAAATCAAAACAGCAAAAATCATGCCAAAAATTTCAGAACTTTTTTCATACTGATGAAAAAGATTAGGGAAGCTGGCCTTCCTGAGAATTGAGAAGAACAACCTATAATAATTTATTTTCCTACTTAGTTCGTCAAAAAAGGGTTTTTACATTCCCTTCAAAAATTATAGAGAGCATTAAATTTTGGCCATCAGGTGATGTAACCTGTCATAGTTGCAGCATATTTATTCAACCTGCAACTACTAAGATATTGCTGTGCTGTGATTCACTATCATTAGAGTAACTAACAATAAAGATTTTGATATAATTAGATGCTCTGCTTTAGACATAGATTCTTACTTTATACACCCTTTTTTGAAAGATGGTAGAAAACTGAAAATCATAAGAACATATCTATAAATAAAAGAAGAAAGGAAAAACAGATCTGAAATTTTATCAATGTTGACAAATAAGTCCTTATAGTTATACTTATCAACAATCAACCCCCCAAATTATAATTATATAGTGATATAATTTGTAATTTCCATCCATCATTGAGCTGCACTACGATGGGCTTTAAAACTTGTATTTCTGTTGCATCGAGTTTGTAAGTCTTGGTAACATAATATCTCTGTCCAAAAAAAAAAAAAAAAAAAAAAAAAATGGCTGGAATGGAACAACTTGCACTAGACTTTGAAATTTTCACATAAATATAATAAAGAAATCTAACAATGAGATCAAATGTTGAAAATGATGACTTTGCGGGACCAGCACTCTTGCCTTCGCATAATTTCACAACTCATCTCATGGCAATCATTTGTTATTTGAGCATTAGTACTCTAAATAAAACTGAAAATCATGCAGGGTCCCCTGCTAGACATCACTAAATTCTGGTACAATTTTGATATATAGACACAGAACCTGTGATAAAGAACAAAGAACTATTATAAAAAAAAAATAAATAATAAAGAATCAGAATTGAAGATCACCAGCTATTCATCAATTGTTCCAAGTTATTCAAAAGTCTTCTGATCAGGCAAATAGGGGAATTATAATAAAGTGAGTAGGTGGGAAATCAAGCTAGCATCCCAGCATGTTTCAATAGATTTCTTTGTCAGGACATTGCATAATGATAATAAAATGAAAACTGCAACGTCTAAATCCTTTGTTGACAAAAGCATCAAGTATATTCTAATTTCAATTGATACTTCCTCTCAGACAATGATGTCTCAACTCGTAGCCTATATGGTGAATGTTAATAATAGCATGATACTTCTATGTCGGTGCAGAGGATAACCGTGGGACTCGAGGAGATTTTTAGGAGTAGGCGATGGTTCCTTTGCCACAATTTACAATTTCACTGCAACATCCACAAATAGATTTGGGCATTTTAGACGAAACAGATCAAGACAGAGAGCTAAGCACTTGAAATTGCATATCCTGAATCTGCCGTCATATTCTAGCTCAGATAGGCATGAGGTGTTGATTAAACTCAAATGAAGCCAATTGTATTTCCTTTCTAAAATTATTGCCAAAGCAATAGTCACATTTTGAGAAAGTAATGAGATGGCATCAAGCACTTTCAAAAAAAAAAAAAAAATGCTTAAACAATGAATAACAAAAAAAATCCTCTATTATTTATAAGTCAAAACTATATGAAGATCTAACACAAACCTGAATTTACTCGCATGATTTGAGGGGGGGGGGGGTCTATTTCCAAAATTTGGGAAGCTTGATGTTCTAGGCATAATAGTTATAAGATGCCCATGATCAATTTGCTTCAAGAGATGTTTATACGGCCAAGATTAAACAGCCTGTTCCTCAACATACTGAAATGAGTAAGAGCTCCAAATCATTTGACACGTCTAGTCAATTAACAATATAACAACCACTCACTTTTTAATCACTGACAGGTTCATGTTCATATTGCCAATATCGATGCCCCAGGCCAATGCCACATAAGCTCAAATGATTTCAGCTGTTGGTTAGTTTTAATAACGGCCATCCAATTACAAATGGTAGATTGCCTTCCAGTTTTAAAGAAACATAAACAGCCTGATCTCCAAATCACAAATGGAACATAAGCTTAGAACCATTTCATAACACCTAGTCATTTCATGTATTAACGAGCATTTGCATTTTCAAATTTCTTGGAAAGCCCCGAAATTCTATCCTGCCTTGACGTGCCTTGACAACTTCAGGAACCAAAATTTGATACTTGGCAACTAATTTCTCCACAAACATCTTCTCAGTCATTTGAAATACATGAATAAGGTTAACACCTTCCTTTATCAATTCCTTCGACATCAATATTTTGAGAACTGAACATCTAGGTATAATCCTCTTCTCCAGGCTAAAGAGTATAAGATTGGGATTCTTAGAGATCACTGAAGGCTCTATATTTACTTTGTTCACATAGAAATCCATCAACTTTCTTATTTTCATCCCTGAAGTAAGCATAAACATGGGTTGTTTCTTAAATGCCAGATTAATCTCATCCTTTGACAAACCAAAACTTTTGAATGCTTCCAACTTTTGCTCCCATAGTGCTTTGGTCACCGTTGCCTTAGTTTGAATAGCTAAGAGAAATAGCAATTTAGTGGGATCAAAACATAATTTCTTAACTTCACCAATAATCTCACTGAGCCGATCAGTCTTTAGCAATAATGATCTTGGCTGACACAGGAACATCTTCAATATTAGGGACTTTGGCACCCCATGGTGAACCAATATTGATACATTTTGCTCAAGCGACTCTTCCACATTAAATTCAAGAATCGAACAATGTGCCTTTACTACTTTTTGGACATTTATATCATTTCCAACGACAGTCCTAAGGACCTTAATACAGGGCATAATTTGGTTTTCCAGACTCCTCTCCAAAACGTAAGGCTGTGATGAAAGCATTCTTGCAACATCGAACTCTGAAAAGCCTAAGGACTTGAAAAATTCCAACTTTGGCTTAAAATTTTTATGTACATTATGCGCATACAAGGTGGGTCTCTTCATAGTTAAAGTTGCTATCTGTTTTTCACTAAAAGCATTCTCTCTAAAGAACTCAACAACTGTCTTTGCATCAACTTCTAATACTCTTGGATTCTTGCTAACCATTTTAGGAAGGGTAGCACCAGAAAACCCTAAAGATTTAAACAACTCTATATTAGGCCTAAGGGTATTATCTAAATCAACTAATAACAATAATGGGCGTTTAGAGATCAAATTCTTGATTTGGATTTGAGTAAAACCATTAGTTCTGAGCAAGTTGAGGACCAAATCAGGATTTTCTGTAGTTTCTATTTGTAGCTTCTTAGAAGCTGCAATGGCAGCTTGTAAGGAAAGTCCACATGATTCTTGGAGGTAAGAAAGTGAAAGAGATTGTGGAAATCCAGATTTTGGGAGGTTAGTGATGGGTTTGGGAGAAGATGTTGTGAACAAATTGCCGTTGCTAGGTATAACAGGTAAATTCCTGTGCTTTATTTGTGCCACCTTTAGACAAAGAAATCGAATCATTGTAGAGGAAAGGAACAATAGTTACCTTCCTTTCCGTGTTGATGCTGTTAGGACCTTGGAGCTATGGCTTCCTTGTCTCTAGCAATTTGGGACTTCGATAGCATACGCTAAAGAAATGGCGAGGGAATTGAATTTATGAAGCTTTCTTTGGCTAATTGAGGTAGCCCACAACATGTCGTACGATGCGTCTCAACAGGTGTTTCCAATATATCCCACCTGTCGTTCCATAACCACGATAGAGGACAGAAGTCCGGTAAATGTGACTTGTCGTTTATACTAGAAGGGGAAGATAAAGATGGGCTGAATCTCTCCTACCACAAAATGGGCTATTGTATTGGATTTGGACTTTAGAGGTATAGGATTCTGGACCCGAGACATCCTTAGTCGGATTCGGATTTCGGCCCGACTTGTTCTGAACCCTAATTTCCAAGAAATTATGATTTATGATAAAACCCTAACACCAAAACCCTTCAGTTCCTCCTTCGTTCTCATTCCTTCTTTCAGCCGATAACATACAACGGAGGGAAAGGCTATAGCTCATACTATTTTACGTTAAAGCCATGGCGCTGTATTTACTATACGAGTCGGCGTCTGGTTACAGTCTCTTTCTTGCTAACGGACTCGATGAAATTGGACAGAACACAGAAGCTGTTCGCAACTCCGTCGCAGATCTCAACCGCTTTGGCAAAGTCGTTCAGTTAACTGCTTTTCTTCCTTTCGAGTCATCTTTAGATGCATTGAATCAGTGTAACTCAGTCTCTGAAGGTACGCACCATAAGTTCATCACTTGTACAGTAGTGGAATATAAGTGAGAGTACTGATTTTTGGATTTACGTGACGTTCTGTCGTGATTTTTCATTTGCTTGTATGCATGTTTTATTATGTGGTTGACACTTGTTGGATTCCATCGATTAGGGATTGTTCCAAAGCTTCATTCTTTTGCTTTTATATTTTGTTAAATGTATCATTTTGGTATGTATTACTCAGGGTTTTGCCCACTGCTCGGTCATTGCTTTTGTCTTTCTCATTTTTGCTGTGTATGTTGTTTTCACGTGTTATTGCTTTCATGTTTGAATGGGTTATCTATATAAAGATCAGAGCGTTTCCATCTTGTTGTTCATAAAAATCAAGACTAGAAAAGAATTTAATTATCTGTGTGAAGCTTAATTGGTTTTATCCAGAATAGGGAAAGATAATTTCTCTGCCTTTGATTATTAACCTCTTTGATTTTAAGGAGAGTTGTGGTAGAGATTTCATTGTTCAAGATGTGGGAAACGCCCTGTTGTTTAGAATAACTCTGGCCTGATATAACATCTTACTCTTTTGGTTTGCAGGGCTTATGACTGAGGAATTGAGGAGCTTTTTAGAACTCAATCTTCCTAAAGTCAAGGAAGGTAAGAAGGCAAAGTTTAGTTTAGGAGTTGCTGAGCCTAAATTGGGGTCACATATATATGAAGAGACAAAAATACCTTGCCAAAGCAATGAATTTGTTCTTGAGCTTCTTCGTGGTGTTAGACTACATTTTGAAAGGTTCATCAAGGACCTAAAGGTTTGACATACATTCACAAATATTTTCAGTTCAAAGTTTTCTTCGATTACTACAATTTTTTTTTTGGTTGAGGTATCTATATCTATGTCTTATAGAATTTCTTTCCTTCCTTTTGCTGCTTCTACGTTACCTCACAATTTCGATAGCCTGGTGACTTGGAGAAAGCCCAACTTGGTTTGGGGCACAGTTATAGCAGGGCAAAGGTCAAGTTCAATGTCAACCGTGTTGATAATATGGTTATTCAAGCAATTTTCCTTCTTGATACTCTTGACAAGGATATTAATTCCTTTTCAATGAGAGTCAGGTTTGTTGATTTTTAGACTATACATGTTAGACCAATTCTTGAAACTCTTATCTATACAATTTGCATCTCCTCTAACCCCTAGCTCTTTTCAGAGAATGGTATTCTTGGCATTTCCCTGAATTAGTGAAGATTGTTAATGACAACTATCTTTATGCAAAGCTTGCCAAGTTCATTGAGGACAAGGCAAAGTTGTCAGAAGACAAAATTCCTGAATTAACAGACTTACTTGGAGATGAAGATAAAGCTAAGGAGGTTGTAGAAGCTGCCAAAGCATCAATGGGTAGAATTTTCATCTCTCTAATTCTTAGGCAACTGTGTAAATCTTGTTTTTTCTTTTTTCTCACTTATTTCTTTTCCTACTTGCAGGACAGGATTTATCTCCAATTGACTTGATTAATGTCCAGCAGTTTGCTCAGAGAGTAATGGATCTCTCTGAGTATAGGAAAAAGCTCTATGATTATCTGGTTACTAAAATGAATGACATTGCACCCAATTTGGCCTCCTTGATTGGTGAAGTTGTTGGTGCTCGTTTGATTTCTCATGCTGGCAGTCTAACAAATCTGGCTAAGTGCCCTTCTTCTACCCTTCAGATCCTTGGTGCTGAGAAGGCACTATTCAGGTGTTTTAGCTGCTGCTAATGCTCTTTCAATTTGGTTAGAGAGCTTGGAATATTCATTGTTTAATAGCAGTCTCATTTGCTTGGTGTCCAAATGGATTGTCATATTATCTTTCTTTCTTCTTTGGGCTCATCTTTTTGGAGTTCCTTATCTTTCTTTATGGGATTTAAGCTTCTAGGCTCACTTGCTTTCTGATGTCTTTAGGGCATTGAAAACTCGAGGAAACACACCAAAATATGGCTTGATTTTCCATTCATCTTTTATTGGTCGAGCATCTGCCCGCAACAAGGGACGCATGGCTCGTTATCTGGCAAACAAATGCTCAATAGCATCTCGGATTGATTGTTTTTCTGGTAAAAGCTAACCTGTTGGCAAAATGTCTTTTTATTTGAATTTTTTTCCTGGTTTCAAATTTCAAAATTTCCCTCTTATGTTGCAGAGAGGGGCTCTACAATTTTTGGAGAGAAACTGAGAGAACAAGTTGAAGAGCGTTTGGATTTCTATGACAAGGGAGTTGCACCTCGCAAAAACATTGATGTGATGAAAGCTGCAATTGAAGGTTCTCAAAAGACAGGTGTGTGCCTTCATGAAAACAAACCGGCTTTTCCATTGAATGACCTACGGGAACTCAATCTCCTTGGTGTTTGATGGAAAATGGGACATTGTACCTTCAGTTGTATTGCTTAAACTAATATTGCGTACTAATCTGATTTATTGATTGTCTTCTGAGGCTAGTCTTATTGCATTAATAATGTGGTATTTTGATAGTTACCACTCAGCTTAATTACAACGGTCGCTTAGTTTGATGTTAACTGGTCATGTTGTATGCAGATGTTGAAATGGAAACAGAAGAACCAGCTGTACATTCAGCTAAGAAGAGCAAGAAAAAGAAATCCAAATCTGAGGCTGCAGAGGGTGGTGAACCTATGGCAGAGGATAAACCAACAGTGGCTACAAATGGAGATGCTTCAGAGGATGCTAAATCGGAGAAGAAAAAGAAGAAAGAAAAGAGAAAAATGGAGGAGGAGCAGGCTGTGGAGAATTCAAATGTTGTAAACGGGGATGACGCAGACCAGGATGGGGCTACCAAGAAGAAGAAAAAGAAGAAGAGTAAAGCCGAAGATGAAGAAGATGTGCAGCCTGCTAGTGACATAAAGAAGAAAAAGAAGAAGAAATCAAAAAAAGGGGACGAGGAATGACTTCGACTGTTGTATCTGAGTTGCTGCATAATATTGTTTGTCAGCAGAATTTTGATTGTAGAAGTTGCCTTAGTTCTCTGTTATTAAATATGAATTGTGATAAAATTAGGTGTCCTGAAAACACGTGAAATATTCACTGGTTATTTAATTTTAAGTTTGTGTTTATTTGTCTGTTCTTAGTAGATTTTGAATGTAGAGGGGATAAAACTACCATGGACATTTGCTTCCATGGCTATTTAGATCTGCTGTTTTTGGGTGGCTGGCAGGTGAAGGTTTTGACCGGAGGTCTTGAACGTTTGTGATCTAAAATTACAGCTGCAAGACGGCAAGACTTGATTTTCTCTTCTTTTTTCTGTTTTTTTTAATATAAATGGGGAGCTGCAAACTTTAAATTATGATTTTTCAGTGCGAATGTAATTGGAAAACTTGAAGTATTAACTAATAATGATCTTATAAAATAAAATAAAATAAAACATTTGGAAATTCATTGATAAAATCCAGCTATTTTGCAAAGTTTTTAATTACATTTACTATTTTGTTAAGGTCAAGGGGGTAAAGAAGTCATTTGAGAGAGAAAGCTGGTAAGAGGGGCTTGAATTTGAAGCATTGGAAGGTCCGAACTCCCAACTAAAGCACCAGACTTTTCATACACAGTAAACAAACACCTCTGGCGCTGGTCGTCGCTTTTGTTTCCAACTCTTTTACTCTCTGCTCTAAGCCTTATCGTTTTCTGTTGCAAGCAAAAGACAAACTAGTCAATGGCCAGCAGCTCACTCCCTAACTTAGAAGATGTGCCGTCGGTGAATCTCATGACGGAGCTCCTCCGTCGTATGAAGTGCTCCTCTAAGCCTGATAAGCGTCTCATTCTCATAGGTATCTCTTTACTCCCTCTCATCTATTGCCCGGCTAACATCAATTGCAATGTCAATAAGTCTCTGAAATTAATCGGTGTGTTCAGATCCGAAATTTAGCTTTGGTTTTTGTGGGAGTTATTTTGTTTTCGTTTCTGTTTGGTTGTGGAGATAAATAGACGAAAATAAAAGTTTGCAGTTTAGTCAAGTTAGGTTTAAATTATAGCAAAATTATACTCTGAAATTGAAATTCTTTAACAATGAATGAAAGCAAACAAGGCTTCTCTTTTGTTCAGGCTTTGTTTTATGGTGAGAAGAAGCAGAAAGTACAATTTTGAAAAGTGTTAAAGTTGATTTTTTTTTTTTTTCTAATTTCTTTATCAGTTATTTCATAGTTGGGAAAAAAGACGTTTTTATTTTTTTATATCTTTATATAGACAATACAGTTTGATATTTGGATTTTGCTTTCTAGTTATAAATAAGGTTACTTTTTCTTGAGGTTTTTACTTATTTGTTTAGTTTCATCTTTCTACCTGCATTTTTGTCTTCGGGTGTGCTTAACTTTGTTTGTAGTCTTAGCTTCAATTCCATGACATATATAGCTAGGGGATATTTAGCATTTATAGTAGCAAATGCATGTTTACCCGTTGTAACTGTAAAGTTGCGTGATTGGCAGGTCCTCCTGGATCAGGTAAAGGTACTCAATCGCCAATCATTAAGGACGAGTACTGCTTATGCCACTTGGCTACTGGTGATATGTTAAGAGCTGCTGTTGCTGCTAAAACTCCTCTTGGTGTTAAGGCTAAGGAGGCTATGGACAAGGTTAAAATCCTCAAGTGCTTTTATTTTCCAGTGTACACCATATGCTCTTTCTTCATAGTTTTCTCTGTTGTATGCTAATAGAGTATTCTTTTGGTTTTTCTCAGGGTGAACTCGTTTCTGATGATTTGGTGGTTGGCATTATAGATGAAGCCATGAAGAAACCATCATGTCAGAAGGGTTTCATCCTTGATGGATTTCCTAGAACTGTGGTCCAAGCACAGAAGGTAACAGTCTCACCTGAGCATATCCTATGTACATCTACATGTTCAGATCCTTTTGAACCATGGCTAGTTCAGTTGGCTTTATAAGCATGTTTCTTACCTACTCTCTGTTGTCTTTGTCCAGCTTGATGAGATGCTTGAAAAGCAGGGAGCTAAAATTGATAAGGTACTCAATTTTGCAATTGATGATGCCATTTTGGAGGAAAGAATTACTGGTCGCTGGATCCACCCTTCAAGTGGTAGAACTTACCACACAAAATTTGCTCCTCCTAAGGTTCCCGGCGTAGATGATGTAAGGGAACTTGTAAAATCCTCCTTTAATTATTTTGGATGTGAAAATGCAACTAATTGGTTTTAGGATTCATGTAAGATAGTAGGAGAAGGTAGAGGAGAAACACATCAAATAAGTTGAAAGTAGGTCATCCTACCTGTAAATTAGTGTTCTATAGTAATTATTCTTGGTGAGAAAGAATTTCTTCGCTCATGGTCTTTTAGGTCAAATACCTTATGGTGTAGGTTTCTGATCAGTCAGTTTGTTGTGTGAGGCAGTTCCCAGCTAGTACAGTTGCAGCATACTATCACCTGACCTAGTACTTAGGATTTGGTTGAAGTTTTAGATATGTCATGTCAACTATTAATGTATAGCCACATGTGAAGGTAGTCAAGCTATCAATGATTCTTCTAGACCATGAAACTAGCCTATGTTACAAATTATGTAGATCACAAGCGCCTCTACTGCTGCACAAACATTTTAGAGGGATGCCATTCGACATATCATCTTTGGGCTTATGCCTTCCTAGATTTTCAAATCATACAGTTCAGTGATTCATCATTATGGCTTAGACAACTATTTCCGATTGTATGTGCTTGCTGCGTGTTCTCTGTGTCAGATGCATCACTATTGTTACAAATTAGCAGTTCAGAGCATTTTGATATACTTGTGCCCTATTCTTGTTTTCTTGAAGGTAACTGGAGAACCTTTGATTCAACGTAAAGATGATACTGCTGCAGTTCTTAAGTCAAGGCTGGAGGCATTTCACAAGCAAACTGAACCGGTATGCTCCCATTTTATTTCTTTACTCTGAATGATTTCAGATAAAATCCGAGAATTTTGTCCAATAGTTTATTGAGGGGTTGCTCTAGCTATCAGTTAGCGGGGCAGAAGAGATATGCCTGTGAAAACCATGGTGTGGGAGAGAGGGACATATGAAGACATTAAGTACACATTTCTGAAAAGGTTGCCTGAGGAATGGGGGAATTTACTTTCCGTGGATATTTCTAAGTGAACAGAGATCATTATAGTCTCAAGTTTATAATCTGCAACATTTTATTTAGGGATTCTTTTGTCAACATCTCAGTTAATTTTGCACCATCTGGGACTGTTTAAGGGGGAAAAGGAGAGTGAAAGATAGTCAATTCCCCAAAGTATGGTTTACTCTTCTACTTATAGAACCATTGATTCTGCTGTCGCTAGTAGCAAATGCACTGATTCGTATTAATAGCTAATTGAGAAAACTTGGCTTGATGCCTTGATATTCAGTGAAGAGACTCTCTCTCTCCTTTTATTTTATTTTACTTTGTGGGGCAAGGGGTGGAGGGTTTAGATTAGCTGAGTTACCTGCTGACGCTCCAACTATCAGTGTGGGATGTTGCATGCTGGTAGACATGGTTGTTGGAGTCGCATTTCAAAATCCAATTGTTGAAAGTTCAAAATTATAATTGAAATGTCAAAACTAGGATATCTTGTGCAACAGTGGCTTGAATAACAGAACTGAATTTATGAAGAATGAAAAGAAGGGTACTGGAGGGAGAGAGATCAAAACCAGTTTTTATTCATTGTGTAGAGAAACCATATAGGTCTTATGAGCGTTTCTCTTATTCTGTGTTACATGTTGGTGTTACTAGAATTCAATTTCCATAGTTACTTGGGTCCATCCATCTCTTGCTGCATTGATTCACTGCTGTGTCTCTCCAATCACGTCAAATGGTACTGTTGCTCTTTTGTTCTCTTAAAAATTTCATGGAATTTAAACATTTGAAATGCAGGTAATTGACTATTATAAGCAGAAGGGCGTTGTTGCAGAGCTTCATGCAGAGAAACCTCCGAAAGATGTCACAGCTGAGGTTCAGAAAGTGCTCTCATAAAATTGGGCGCATTTTAACTTCATTTTTTTGTTGAGATTTTAATCGGGTTTTGTTCCCATATGTATTTTAAACATGCTTTCGCACATGCTGATCCTTTTTATTCCCCTTTTACTCTGACTACAAATGCCGGCTATCCCTCCTTTACTGAGGTGTTTTAACTGAGTTCAAATCAAAATAAATATATGACTACTTTGGTGTTATCTTTGTATTCTGATCTTTTTGATTCTGTTCTGCTTGGTTTTCTCCACACGAGGGTTCTTTTGCCGTGTGTTGGTAAAATCTCATTCTAATTCTGCTTGGAAGATGCTTATTAAATCTGATTGGATTGAGGTATTTCAATTAGGTCATCTGGTCATTGCAATTAATTGGGTGCATGAATACCAAGTCTCCCAGGTAAGTGGTCACTGTTTTTTAGGGCGGAAGAGCGACTGAAAGCAGATGAATGGAGCCTTAAATTTTCATTTCTGGGTTAATGGAAATCCCTTTTAGACATTCGAGTATCGATATTTTCCTAATAATTCACTTGTAAAAATTCAATGTTGAGACCAGGTTATTTTGGTGGGTTTTTCCTAAGAAGATTGATATTAATAGGAAAAGGTGGAAGATGCTACGAATACTAGGGTTGTTTTGATGGGTTTTTTGGGGTGGGGACGCTGGTGTGGGGTGGGAGCAGGCATGGCCATTTTCCTCAGTTTCAAATTTTGAGGAATTGTGAACCATCAGTTTGAAAAATCGGTTGGAATCAGATGGAACCGATAGATTTTTCAACTGGTTAGAATCGACGGTTTTATTGGTTCCAACAGATTTTTTTTTTTTTTTTACTTTTTCAAAAGTTTTTATAAAATTTCTAAATTAACCATCCTAACAGCTACGTATTACAGCTAGTTTTAAAGGTAGTTGTAAAAAGTTGATTTTTTGGATTTACTATAAATACCCATTATTGCATTTATCTTCACACAAAATTATTTCTCTATTGTTCTCTGCTCTCCAATCTTTCTAAACTCTCTCATTTATAATTGTCCAAATTATTGTCGAATAATTTCTCTAAAGTACAATATCTAATTATTGTCAAGTCCTTTTAAAAAAAAAAAAAAAAAAGTTCTAAGCCCTTAATTAATTTTTTTTTCTTAAAGTTCTTTTTAAATTATTTCAAAAATATTTAAATTTTCAACAAAAAAAATATTTCTTAATTTTTTATTTTATAATTATACTATTCGCCGAAAAATCGATCGAAGAACTGGCTAAAATCGTCGATTTTGAAACCATTAAGTAACTGTAACCGAAACCATAACTATTCGGTTCTAAACTATAACCGGAACTGTGAATTTCCGATTTGATTCCGGTTCTACATTTTTTAGAATCGGAACCGTCGATTTGAAACCAAAACCGTTGGCGTTCACCCGTAGGTGGGAGCAAGATCAATAAAAAAGCGAAAGGAGATAATAAATAACAAAAATACATCATTCTCCACATTGCTATAAAAAAATATACTAATAATATTTGGATGCAGCCATACCCTGATTGTTATAACTTGAAGTGAAAATAGATAAGCAATCTATAAATGTCACAATAGCGATCAGTAAGAACGAAAAGCCTAAAGATTTCATCAGTCTTTCTGAGTATGAAATGATGGGATGCAGAGAGCTACATGTCAACTGTAATCTTGGCATCCAGATGAGAGAACTCTTGGAAAAATGCCTTGAAATGCTCATAGGAATGCTTCACGTCATCGACTGCACACATTTCTCTAATACTGTGCATTGATAATTGTGGGGCGCCAACATCAACTGTACGAATGCCGATGCCACTTGCTATAATTGGACCGATGGTTGAACCACAGGGCATGTCATTGCGAACCACAAAATCCTGCACTCATAAGAAATAAGAATTTCCCTGAAATAATGAATTCATCCACCAAACTAATATTATTTATACAGCTAGTACTATTAGTCATTCAAAATGAGGTTCTATACGCGGAATTATGCTGCACAATGAAGTTTATATTCTCATAAATGGTTCCAGATGCCATTATAAACTGTGTAAAGTGGACGCAAAATGGACGCTATTTTGGTTTCTATGAAGCAAATGAAATGAATGTAAAGTGAATGAAATAAAATAATTAGGGAGTCGAACAGGCCTTTTTTGGGGATAGAGGGACTTGAACCCTCACGATTTTTAAAGTCGACGGATTTTCCTCTTACTATAAATTTCCTTGTTGTCGATATTGACAGTTTTTCCTCTTACTATTAAATTTCCTGTTGTCCGGATTATTGACATGTAGAATGGGACTCTATCTTTTTCTCGTCCGTGATTAAATCAGTTATCCTTTATCAGAACTATGGATGCGAATGATTTTGAATCTAATTAAAATTCAATCCTTTTCTTCAACTTGGAATCAATTCAGAAACAATTTTTTTTTATTTTTCATTTTTCCATATTAGAAATATAAAGATCAATTAAAATTCAATCCTTTCTTCAACTTGGAATCAATTCAAAACAATTTTTTTTATTTCATTTTTCATATAAATATAAAGATAAAAAAAAAAAAATATGGATTCGGCCCCTATTAATCATTTTACTTGTGCATATCGGCGAATTGTTAACCTTTGGTAATATTCAGATATGAAGAAATCTGATTTCTATTTTGGGGAGGTGGCAGTTATAAGAAAGTTATAGTAACCCCCTATATATTTTGTTACTTCCTCCGTCCCCATTATATATATAGACTCATTTTCCTTTCTTATTTGTCCCAAAATGTAGTCCCACTCCATTTTTAAAAGATCATTTATTGTTTAATTTCTTAATATACCCACATTTTAATATACATCTATAGTAATTGTATATACTACAATCATTAATAGAGAGATATCTTAGGAAAAAGCTCAACAAAAAATATAGTTTAACTATATTAACAGGTTTCTTTTAATCTATGTAAAAGTCAAACTAGTCTTATATATATATAGATAGGGCTAAGGAAGTAATAAAGGAAAAGGAAAAATGTAAGGAGAAAATGAACCTGAATGGGAATTTTATGCTTTGATGCTATCTCCCTGAATAGGAAGGCAGTAACTGAATTGGTTGCATAACGCTGATTTGCATTGTGTTTGATCACGAGCCCTCCATGCATCTTGGGCTGATGATTGTCCTCGTGTTTGTCCTGATAATGCCAGACTGAATGAGCAAATGATCTAAATCCAACTCTGAATACTTTAAAACACCTCAGACATGTACCATATAATTTGGATGAAGGGCATGAGCCATGTCCGCAGATACTAGGAAACTCCTCTGAATTGCTTTTTGAAGTAGCTAGAATGGAAAAAACAAAAACATATGTCTGTAAGTGAACCATAAGTTATTGCATTAGAGTAAATTCTAAGACCATCATGCAGTGTGCTTTAATGAGAGTTCCCCCAATTTCTGTAACCAACCAACCCATATGCGGATTCTGCATATTGTTGCCATTGTCCAGGAGAATGGGCTAAAAAACCATTGTAGCAGCCAGGAAATCTAGAAGCACGCCTTCAGTTATCTCAGTCAGCTTTTTTTTATCTTCTTTTCTCAATCATAAAGCATTGAATGAAATATAAAATGGAATTCAAGATTTTCAAACTACCACTGGTTAAACCCATGATCCGAAAGTAAAAGAAAAAACCATTATCAGAAAGGGAGCACCTTAGAATCCGAGTTGAAGGTGCTTGTGATGCGTGATAAAGCATCTAACATGACAGGAGAACCAGCTCCTTGTGCTGAATCAGATCCAACCTCCTCATGATCAAACAATGCCACCATTCTAACGCCAGTCTCATCCTCAAGATCACTTTCAGAAGATGTGGCATCTATCAGTGCCTGAATGCAAATTGAAAATGTGAATCAGCCACAGTAAATTGATAAGTTAAAATAAAACATATATTGTCACTCTATGCAAAATCCAAAGCCAAAAAAGGGAGGGACTTAAAGAGGGATTTAATATTATAACTGCCATTTTCCTGCTCCAAGATAGGAGGTACTCCGTCCAGGTTATTCTCATCGAAACGTTAAATTTTTAGGACATCATTTAAACTGTTATAAAATTTGACTCTCCCTCACCCTCCCTTACAATACAAACTATCGAAAGTGCCAACTGATTAAGCATGACACAAGATACTATTTATGTTAACAGTAAGAAATTGTCATAGTTTAATCAAATTTACAGTTGAAATATCTTAAAATCAAAGAATTCCAGAGGGGATATTCAGCTGAGAAATGCAACCCTACAATTACTGGAACCAAATATATCTCAACGAAAGAGAATGATAGTAAATATTTGCTATGCAATAGAGGACAATAGATTATTCAAGTTCACAAGAACAAACGCCAAACTATGTGGTCAGAAGACATAAAGGCGAAGTAAGAATCTTCAGACTTTCTATTGAACTGCTATTACAACAAAAGCATGTTATAAACCAATATATTGACAACCAGATGACAGCCTATATGACAACCCATACCTTTAGGGAGCAAAATGAACTGCAAAGATTATCGAGCCTTCCTGAGAAAATGAATTCTTTAGCAGCACCAGCTATTACACTTGGTTGAATATCACATGCTTGCAATTCAAAATCACATATATTCTCTGGTTTGCACCCAATCTGACTTGCAATCATCTAGAAGAAAAGAAAGAAATATAACAAGCCATCTCTACCATTCCTTCCCCACAAAAAAGCGGATGAAAGAAAATAGAAGACATCCTAAGCTTTGAAAGTTACCAACCTCTAGTAGTAGTGGGTGGTGCTTCGAGGAATCAGTAGGTGTTTTCCCATCAGATTGATTTTCATTTCCAACAGGACCATTTTCAGAAGCCACTTTATTGAGCTCTGCCTGTCAAAAGCAATTTGTTAAATAAAGAAAAACAAACATCAAAACGACATCTAGACTTATTGTGAGAGAAGAATCCTGTGTGATGCAATATCTACTCAAATATTTCAAATAAGTTCAATATAATCAGTCTTCAGTTATTTCTATTTCAATAGTTACGAAAATGATTAACAAATACATCTAGAACATAAATCTCTAATACACTTAGGATGTTTCTCAGTTGTTATTTATATTTCAATGAATTTCTTAAGAGAGACACATATCTCCAGCTGCATATGATTCAATATCACAGCATGAGTGCATTGACTATGTATGGCATTAGCAGAATAAAATTTCAAAAACAAACAACATATAAATTGAAGATTACCTTAAGTGATGTTGCCAAAATAGGAAGAAGATGACTCTGCGTGTTCACCTTAAATCCATCAGTGTTTACATTCCTGTTCACAGCAAATGTCATCAAATTTCACAAACCAACGTCCAACAAAGATGGGAGTACAAAATCCTAAAACCTAGCTTCAAGCCCTAATTAATATTAAACCGATTCATGCGGCAACGGAACCTGTCTAAGTGAATTGCCAGGGTGGGGACACGCATAATGGGCTCCTCAATCCTAACCAGATTATGAGAGTAGGAAATAGAGCCATCCTTTTCTTCTCTTACTATCACGCGTCCTGCTACTGTCAAATCGCGATCAAACCACGTATGCCATAAACCACCTCCATATGTTTGAACTCCAACCCCTAAATACCCACCTTTCTTTACCTGATCAACAAATCCAGTTTCAGAAACTTATATTATGTTTGGAACAAAAAAAGGAATGGAGAATTCATTTCATTTGAAAATGAATCCCCTGTTTAGTATCCCAACTATTAAATATAGAATCCATTAGCAAATTCAAAACAATTTTTATGTAGTCACAAGTTTATAATTCCTTAACAAGTTCTAACCATTTTTTATAGAAATATCAGGCTGAAGCATAACCAATTCCATACATAGAATAAAAGGTGAAATTTCGAATAAATTTTGTAGAAATTTGTAAATGTATCCCCTAAACAAACTCAGAAACTGTCAAAATGAATCAAACCCCTCCAACTATAAATAGCAGAAAGGAAAAACAACGTTACCTTGGAAACAGGCTTCAACTTAATGCAAGGACTATCAGTGTGAGCGCCAATCACATAAAATCCATTACCAGCAACATATCTAAGCACAACCTCATAATATCAGCAATTAAAAACAAATAAAATCACAGTTCCACGTATCGAAGCTTAAAGTCGACAAAAGGATACATACCTTTTACCAATAGCGAAAGCAACAATAGTAGAGTGATTCCTAGTGAAGAAGTATTTCTTTCCAGCTTCAAGCTTCCAATCTTCTCTCTCGGAGACTTGCACATACCCAGCATTTCTTAATCGCTTCTTTGCCTCATCTAAAAGAATAAAGCATAAGCAGAATACCAAAATTTGATTAAATGTTCAAAAACCAAAGAGGATGGGTATATATTAATATATAGATTTTGACGGGAAACAAACAGCAGAAGTTAGATAGTTACCGACGGCGTGAAAAGCTGTAGGAGAAGCGTTCAAGAAGTGGATTAGATCAGATGCAACATTGCCACCCTCACTGTTATTCGCCATTTTTCTCTTTTATTTTTATTTTTGAATTTAAACTTATTTTACTTCGATCGAAATTGAGAATTTCAATTATTCTTTAGGGTATATATAGGGGTCGGCCTCTTTTGGACATAGCGTTTATGTTACGTATGGACTGGGACTTATCCTCTGGGTCAGCCCATTTCCGTTTGCTATATCCTCTGAGCCGGTCCGTATCCGTTTGCTATTGGATAGACAAAACAATGATAAAACCTTAGTTTGATAGAAAATACAAACTCGACCAACGACTGTAAAAAGCATACATAGCCTTTCTGCAAATCCATAGCCAGTTTTTTCCTCGACGGCAATCGATTTCTTCCGTCAGTTGTTCATCAGAGGTAACCTCTAAATTTCGGCCCAGTGAAACAAGATGGGAAATCCAGTATCATCTATCTCAACAATAGAGAATCAAGAGGTAAATTTATATTTTTGATTGTTTTTGTTTTTTCTCCTCTAACAATAACAATCCTACTTTTATTTATTTATTTTTTTGCAAACAGCTGGATGTTGTTCTTGATGATGATAAGAACGATGAAAGAGAGAGTAGTTCCAAGGATTGGATTAGTGTTTGCCTGACCATGTTCGTATAACTATACTAGGCAGGTATGTGCAGTCTGTAAGAGGTGGAGACCTTCGTTTGCATATACAAGTTCCTTGGACTTTGATGCTTCAGAAGTTCTTTTTTCAATGTTTTCCTAATCACGAATTGGTGCTCAAACAGAGGCCTTGGTTCATAGTTTGGGTGAATCAGATCCTGAAATTACACAAGGCTACCATCATTGAGTTTAGAATTCGTTTTGATCTTGATAAAACCTCAGCAAATGAGATTGACAGTTGGCTTCACTTTGCATTTATCAAGGAGAGTTCAAAGACTTGAGTTTAACTTATCTTCCGTGGTAAAAGTTGTATCTGATTCCTCTGTTGATTCAATCCTCCTGAAGCAACTACAACCAAGAATCTCCTCTTCTCCTTTGAAATTCTTGAAGAAGCCTTTCTGTATTTGATATTAAAATCCAAATCTCCATCGGGCTTCTTCCAAAACTCCTTCTCCTCTTTTGACACATTACCGGAAACTCCTTGAGCGGGTAATGGCACCATTACACTATTTGCTAGTCCAGGCTCATATTCTCCATTTGCTGTAGAAAGAGAAGCTAAAAGAAACTGTGAATGTGATTTAGAAGGAAAAGAGTGTGAAGACGAAGGAGAAATCAAAGAACATGGAACAGAGTCACGAGAAAATAAGGGAATGAAGCTTGAAATAGAAATACCCAAAATAGAGAAAGAAAAAAAGAAATAAAAGAACGAAGAGAGAGAGGGAGAGAGTTCTTGCAGTTGTTGTTGTTGATGATGGTGTAAAGAATTTGGCGTGGTTTCTTGGGCTTTTTCTGGGAGAGAAGAGAAGAGAAGTTAACGGAGAGATAGAAACTAAGTGAAAAACCGGTGATGACGTGAGTGTCAAAAATGGGTTCTTGATATTTCTTGCTCTCGCCATTAAAGCTTGATATCGAGGGTGATTTAAAAAACTAAATCAAGAAACTGTGGATTGCCATAAAATAAGATAACAATATATCATAGAAATTAAACAGAATATAAAAAAGAGCTTTTACTCTATAGATTGGTCCAGATCTACAATTGTTCAAAAAAAAATCTACAATTGTTCAAAAAAGACTCAACGTCTAATCATATCGTACTACCCCAATTTCACAAAAGACTCAACTCAACCATAGTCTTCTTCACTCGTGTATTAAAACCACCCCAAGCCCGGAGGCGTATGTTCTCTGCTATGGGATCCGTATATTTTCACGGCCGGCATGACGCCGTATCGGTTGCCGTCGGTGTCAATGATGTCCAAAGTTCTGTTATAATCCTCGGGGGACGAAATGATGTTCTTCAGGTCGTGTTTGTGAGCTTGTTCTAGAATTTTAATTTGATCCAATATCTCAAGAACAAAATCATATTTTTGTGTTTAGAAGGAAAAAAATTTAAATTTTAATACTAAAAATTCAATTATATAAAATTGAATATAATTGCACCAAATTTTTTAAGACTGTTTGAAATAAATGAACAAATAAATAATAAATATAGAAGTAATTTATAAATGAATTTCATATAAAATTCATTTATAAATGAATTTCACATATAATTCATTTACAAATGAATTGTAAATAAATAATTCATTTACAAATGAATTGTAAATAAATTTGTCATGTTTGATATATCATAATTTAGAATAAAAATTTTAATTAAATTCTATAAAACTATATTTAGAGTAAATTTTTAAATGAAATTCATTTATCTATATTTCCTAACATATTGTTGACATAATAATTTAACAAAAACAAATAACAAAGATAATAAAATATGATAATAGTGCCATCAAAGTGTATGAAAAAATTATTAGTATTTTTTTTCATAATAATAATATTATAATTAAAATTAAATATTATGTGATTAAGAGTAAAGTTTTAATATATAATAATTTATTAAGCACAACTAATAAATTTTATCCAGTTTAATCAATATATTAATTTCATGCCATTTGTTAATTCTTTTACGTGGCATAAAATATTGTTTTTAACTTTTTCAACGTTATCTTACACTTTTTTTTCTTTTTCCTTATGTCAAGTAAAGTAATATTTTTAGTTCTCTAAGATTTTTCTTTAAATAATAAATGGTGAGTGATGAGTGTACTTACATTTTCTTAGAAAAAAAAATTTTAAATGGTTTTATGAAGTTTGGGTAAAATTAATAAGTTAACTGAGCAAAAAATTTGAAAATTCACTTTGTAAAATAAGAAGGGTAATTTTGTCATGAAAAATTGGTTACTTAGTTCTGTGTAATTCATTTACAAATTCTACCTATTTTTATTTTTATAGGGTTCAGTTCGGTTTGATTTGATTATTTTGTCGAATTATAAAATAATAGTTTCAATTGTCAATATATGATAATACTTCTTAATATATTGTAAAAATTGGTGATTTACAAAATAATACCTCCGGTTGCAATATTTTGTAATATCTTTAAAAATTTGTAAAACCATGTTATTTTTCAGAAAATTACTGAATTATAAAATAATAGCTCCGGTTCCATTATTTTGTAACATTTCCTAATATTTTTGTAACAGATAGTTGTTTATTGGAAAAGTTTGTGAGTTACAAAAATTATAGCTTTTTCTATCAATATTTTGTAATATTATAAAGTATTTTATAACAAGTGGTTGTTTTTTGTAAAATTGCTGAAATACAAAATAATAAATCCAGATTTCAAATAATAAATAGGCTCAAGTGGAAAATAAATACAATCTGAAAGCCAGATATGAAGATCTCAATTCCAACCTGAGAACTCTAATAAAAGGCTGCAGAAAGGTCTGTATGATCAGGGAAATAAAAATAATAGTTAATTTGACCATATTTACTTATTTTGATTAAATGTGTTAATTGATGTATATATATCTATTCTATATTTAATTGATTTTACAGTATTTATTGATACGGTATATATATATACACACATACAGTATTTACTTAGTTTGATCCAATGTGTTAATTGGTTTATATATATCTATTATGTATTCAATCGATTCTACAGTATTTACTAATAGAATGTGTGTGCGTGTATATATATATATATACCGTCGTATGTACCGTTTCTATCGTTGCAGTCGCCGGTGATCAGTTATATTACTGATTCTTATTGTTATAGTTGAATTACATAAACTGTATATGGATTTGCTCTTACAGAGTTGTGTTTCAGTTTTTTTCCTTTTTCTATTTTTTTTTCTTCAGTATTTCCTTCTTGTTTTTCAGTATTTTCTTTTTTCTTTCAGTGTTCCCTTTCTTAGTGTTTCCAGCGTTTCTATTTTTTTTCAGTGTTTTCCATTTATCTTGCAAGGTCAATTTTGGTATTATTAAATTTTTTTATCAAATTTGTCATTATCTTTATGACATTTAATTAAAAGTGGAACTTGATCTCACATTCGCCTAAAAGCCCCAATAATCAATTTGCTCCAAAATTTTCCCAGAAATAAAAAGTAACATCTTTAATATTTTTAACATAAAAATTATTTAAAAAATTTAAAAATTAAACAGGAATTTATCAAATTTTAGAACTTTCCAAACGTGAACCCTAATTCAAAACCAGATTTGATTGTTCCAATCAAGAATAATCGCAGAGTTCGCCAATCTCACTGGTGGTGACAAATTAGACACTGAAGTATTATTTATTTCAACACTTGATAGCTTTTGTTTGTTCAGCCTGTTTGTTGCTTTGGTGATAAATGAAATGTTAATTTCAGAAAATATTGATTTGCTGGCGGTGGGTCGCCCCGGACGGTGTTAGCTATTTATTAGAGGCTGGTTTATGAGAACGCATGGGTCTATAAATTTATGGTGTTTGGTGAATGAGAAAGTGAAAGAAAATGGGAGAAAGCAAAAAATGATTTAAAAATGAAATGGTTCGATTTAAAATTTGAGATAAATTGACGAAAAAGGCCATTTTTTATCAAATTAATATCCTATACAAGTTCAAATAGGAAAATTAAGTATCATCCCAAAATAATTTTTTAAATCAGATTTTGGGTATCCAAACTTTGACCTCCTAGCTTGTATACAAGAAACGGGAGGGGCACCTTGTCGATGAAGATGCTGTTAAACGTTAAATTGAAGGAATGGAAAATTTTTTTACTTCGAAAAAAAAAAATGAAAGAAAGAAAGAACAATGCGTGATAACCTGAATGCAAACTGTATTTGCGCGGGAAAATCAACCGGATAAAGCACTCCCGTAACGGCTGTCACTAGCTGAATGCATTATCCAAAACACCCTTCAATTTGCCCTATGCATCCAAACAAACAAAGGGCATATTGGTCTTTGAAGCTCACACTAACTATAAAAATGACGGGTTTCTGTTACTGATCCAAGATTCAGAAAACAAACCACCCTCGATATCAAGTTGCAGAGAGCACAGAGCAAAGCTTTAATGGCGAGAGCAAGAAATATCAAGAACCCATTCTTGACACTCACTTCATCACCGGTTTTTCACTTAGTCTCTATCTCTCCGATAACTTCTCTTCTCTTCTCTCCCAGAAAAAGCCCAAGAAACCACGCCAAATTCTTTACACCATCAACGACTACAACTGCAAGAACTCTCTCTCTCTTCCTTCTTTTACTTCTTTTTTCTTTCTCTATTTTGGGTATTTCCATTTCAAGCTTCATTCCCTTATTTTCTCGTGACTCTGTTCCATGTTCTTTGATTTCTCCTTCATCTTCATACTCTTTTCCTTCTAAATCACATTCACAGTTTCTTTTAGCTTCTCTTTCTACAGCAAATGGAGAAGATGAGCCTGGACTAGCAAATAGTGTAATGGTTCCATTACCCGCTCAAGGAGTTTCCGGTAATGTGTCAAAAGAGGAGAAAGAGTTTTGGGAAAAGCCCAATGGAGAAGGTTATAAGCCATGTTTGGATTTTAGTATTAAATATAGAAAGGCTTCTTCAAGAATTTCAAAGGAGAAGAGGAGATTCTTGGTTGTAGTTGCTTCAGGAGGATTGAATCAACAGAGGAATCAGATTGTTGATGCTGTTGTTATTGCAAGAATTCTTGAAGCTGCTTTGGTTTTGCCTATTTTACAAGTTAATTTGATTTGGGATGATGATAGGTAATTTTTACTCAATTTGATCTTTGGTCTGTTGTTTGGCTGCAATTTAGAATAATTTTACTTATCGCTTCTATGATAAATTGCAGAGTATTTAATTCATTTTCTTGATCAGCTGCCATGTCCGACTTTAATTTACGTAGGAAAATCCATTTGGGTTTTGTTCTTTTTCTTGAAAAAGCCTTTATTTCTCATTAATTCACTGCAATTGTGATCTTATATTATTGTAAGACAGTTTCTTGATTTAATTTTATTTTTCCCCCAAAAAAACTGCAGAAATTGTTATCAGTCCTCTAATGTTCTGTAGATTGCATCAGAATTTGCCTTTAACACAATCATCTGGTTTTTTGTTTATTGAAAATTAGATTACAGTTCAGAAATTGATATTTTCAATAAAATTGCAGTGAATTCTCTGATATCTTTGATGCTGAACATTTCAAGAGAATTTTACAAGCTGATGTAAGAATTGTATCATCCCTCCCCTCCACTCATTTGATGTCTAGACAATCCATTGAACATCAAATTCCTAGTGATGTTTCCCCTTTTTGGATACGCGCCAGATTCTCTAGAAAGGTACTTTTTTTGTCTTAGTTATGGTGGAAAAAAAATCATATCTTTGAGTTTTATTTGATGCTTGTTAATGATCACTGTAGCTAAAAGAAGAAGGTCTTCTTGTATTAAAAGGGTTAGCCTCTAAGCTGTCCAAGAATCTTCCACCTGATCTGCAGAAACTTAGATGCAAGGTAATTAAGATACTGTAGCTTCCAAACAAGAATCAAATCATTTAACTCTAAATTGTTATATTAACTTATGATATGTGGTTTTTTTAGGTAGCATTCCATGCACTGAAGTTTGTAACTCCAATTCAGGATCTTGGGTATATGCTTGCAAGGAGAATGTGGATCGAAGGTCCATACATTGCCCTTCATCTCAGGCTAGAGAAGGACGTGTGGGTTAGAAGTGGATGTCTTACTGGTTTAGGCCAAGAATTTGACAAAATCATAGCTGAAGTTCGCGAAGCTCAACCAGAATACCTTACTGGAAGGCTAAACATGAGTCATACTCAGAGAAGACTCGCTGGTTTATGTCCTCTAAATGCATTAGAAATTGCAAGGTAAAAAAACCCACAAGCCTGAACTTGACTTTGTTTACAGCAGACTAAATAAAATTGTGTTATTGCAGACTTTTGAAGGCTTTAGGAGCCCCAAGAAGTGCACGCATATATGTAGCAGGAGGCGAGCCATTTGGGGGTTCTCAGGCATTGCAGCCACTTGCAGCAGAATATCAAATTGCAGACTTTTGAAGGCTTTAGGAGCCCCAAGAAGTGCACGCATATATGTAGCAGGAGGCGAGCCATTTGGGGGTTCTCAGGCATTGCAGCCACTTGCAGCAGAATATCAAAATTTAGTGACTAAAGAAATGCTGTCGAAGGAAGGAGAACTTGCACCTTATGTCAAGAAAGCTTCTGCTATGGCTGCAATTGATTACATTGTTTCTTTAAGCAGCAATGTGTTTATACCATCCCATGGAGGGAACATGGGACGGCTTATGCAGGTGTAATTAAGTAATAAGTAGTGAGATTTACCATTAATTGAAAAATGAAGCTAAAAAAACAGCAATTAGTTAACGTTTTCTGTTATATTGTCAGGGTCACAGAGCCTATGTAGGTCATTGGAAATGCATAAAGCCCAATAAGCGAGCAATGATTCCTTTCTTTGAAGACAACTCTCTTTCTGATGCAGAGTTTGGAAGTATAGTGAGGATGCTGCATAGGAAATCCAGAGGACAGCCTGAGCCAAGAAGTAATAAGAGAGATAGAGATGTGATTGCACACCCAGTACCTGAGTGCATGTGCAAGCACACTACACCCATTTTTTGAACCAACTCAAAGAATGACAATGTACAATTTTTTGTATGCCATTTTGTTTTTCTTAATGAGTGTACACAGTTCATTCTACACTCTTCTGTTCTGTCTCCTTTGTAAATCCAATATTGTACTGTTAGAATGAACAGGATCTTCCTTCAAGAGTTTGTACCAATTTTAATTTTCTATTGGATTGATACAACCAGCAATAGAGTTCCTAATTAACCTGAATGGCTAAAAATAGTTTATCTGTTTTTAGACTCGTAGTCTTAGTAATTTGGTGCTACATAAAGATATGCATTGCAATCATTTTTCTTTTTATCATTTTCTTTCATTGAAGGAGGTCATGGCACTCTCTCTGGCTTCTACCGTGTCAGAGACACTCCTTAGCGTCTGTGCGATTGCTTTGGTTGCCATTTTGTCTCTGCAGGTAGAAGCCACAAGTGCCTTGACCTCTGAAAAATTTAACACTAAAAGCTCTGATTTTCCAAGTGATTTCTTGTTTGGTGTTTCTACTTTTGCTCCTCAGGTACTCTCATTTTTCTATCCTCTATGATTATGTTTTCATTAACTTAATTAATTATTTAATTAATGTTTATATATATTTAGACTGAAGGATCACCCAGACAAGATGGGAGAGGACCTAGTGTCTGGGACAACTATGCTGAAAAAGATCCAGGTAATTAATTAATTAACCATTAACCATTTGATATTAAAGTTCTACAAAATGTTACTATTTTCTTTTCCTTTTTTAGAAATGATTAAAGATGGAAGCAACATAGACAACGCAATCGATTCATATCATTGATGGGAGGGAAGTGTTATCTCTCTAATGATCAAATATTAATTTAGTTCTTGACAAAGAAAAAAAAAAAAAAAAAAAAAGAAAAAAAAAAAAAAAAAAAAGCACAATATAAAGTTTGTTGAATGCGTACTTGGTCTACTTTTGTAGGAAGAGGTGGGAGGGTTTGAAGCAAACTTGGTGTAAAATTTCTTACAAAAAAAAAAAAAAAAAAAAAAAGCACAATATAAAGTTTTGTTGAATGCTACTTTCTACTTTGTAGGAAGATGTGGAGGCTTTGAAGCAACTTGGTGTAAATTCTTACAGATTTTCCATTTCTTGGGGCCGGATTCTTCCTGGTATATATGTTTATTTCTTCTTTCTAATAGCATAAGTAAATTCTATGGCTTTGGTTCAATTAATTTCTGCAATTTTATTTAATTTGTTGCACAGGAAGAACTTTGACAGGTGGAGCGAACAGCAAGGGCATTCAATGCTATAACAATATCATTGACAGACTAATCAAATATGGTGAGAAGCTATTTTCTATATATTACGATTTTCTTTATTGTTAACTATTTTACCATTGATTATGTTTGCAGGAATCAAACCAGTTGTAACATTGTTTCATTTTCATTTTCCTCAAATCTTGCAGGACTGTACTAATGGTGGTTTCATAAGTAGATCAACTGTGTAAGTGCAATTCATTTTTAGAATGTACAAGTTTTTACCTATAAAAAAAAAAAAAAAAAGGAAAAGGAAAATGCCTATCAGGGTAATATTTATATGTGTTGAATCTTTTCCTTTCAGGAACTTTTCCAGAGATTATGCTGAAGTTTGCTTCAGAGAATTTAGAGATAAAGTTAAAACTTGGATTACAGTAAATGAACCCACTGTGCTTATTGGATTACTAGCCGGACCAGTGGGTTTCGGGTACCGAATAATTAAAATAAAGAGTTATTGATCCAAATTGGTTATTGTATACAGGAATGGAGTGAATGTGAAGGATACATATACTGGAGCTTATTTGATTGCATTGAATGGGTGAATGGCTACACTACAGGATTTCGATTTTACTATATAGATCGGACCAACGATTTCAAAAGGATTCCTAAAAAATCTGCAAAGTGGTACTATGATTTGATTAATGCTGGTCAAAATAATGCTATTGTTTCATCAAAACAGCAAGTTCTGTAATGATCCAGCTCATGTTATGATTTTTCAGCTAGTCGAGGCACTTTGTTTTTTATCAAGAATTAAATCCAATTTTTCAAGTTTTCAATTTCTCTGTGTTGTATGGAAATGAAAACAAAAAACATACAACCGTGAAAATAATATGAGAGACAACATTTAAAATATAATTTTATATCAAAAAACGGACACTTAGAAAATTCCATGGCTAAAATTTTTCGTATATCATAGCAATTTGCTATTGTAATATGGCGAAAAGGGAAAATTTTTTTTCTTTTTTTTTTTTTTTTTGGAGACTGATGAGAAGAGAAATAGTTACTATCCGAAGCTAAAAAATTTTCATATACCATTGTAATAAGAAAAGAAAAGTAATTATACTCCATTTAAGGTTTTTATATAGAAAAGTAATTAATTTTCCAAAATTATAACAAAATAAATAATAATTTGATTAAATTACTTTTTATATCTAATATAAATAAGGGTAACATTGAAAAGACATCATTTATTTTTCCTCAAAATACTCAAAATGGCTTAAATGTTAAAACAAAATAAATAATTATCCTAAAATGATTTCTATTTTGAGACGGGAAATAATAAAAAAGAATAATTAGTAACCAATCTAATTGAGTTACTATCTAATTCTAACTCCATCATATCCATCAAAAAGAGATAGCCATAAACAATAAACAAATTCCAAGAAACAAATTAATTGAGATCCTACAACAAAATTAACCTTAATTATTAAACAAATAAAATACTCCCTCCTTTCCATTTTGTTTACTTATTATTCCTTTTTGGGATGTCTTAAAATGTTTGCAAAGTTTCTAAATTTATATAATATAAACAATTATTTTTTTCATAATAACCTTTACGGTTGTTAATTAAATAAAAGATGTTTTATTAATATCTTAATGAGTTAAGGGTAAAAAATGATAAAATAATTTTTGTTGAATAAATTCTTAATATGCTTATTTTGTCAAACTACGTAAACAAAATGAAATGGAGGGAGTATATAATTTATTTTTCTTTTTTTATCAAAATATATATGTGGGATAAACATATAAAGTATCATTATTAATCTTTCACGTTTAGACAATTGTTGATCAGATGAAAGGTCCATAGACTTTATATCTATTTTAAGAACTCTTACATGGAATATATTTATATATATGTATATATATATATATATTAGGTAACTGACATAAAAAATTTTGTGGTAAATGCATATTAGCGGTGTGTTAGGCTTCTTGTTCGCGTGTTTCTTGGTTTTATATGAAAGAAATAAGTAACCATTCTTTTTTTTTTGGTTACAAAGTAAGTAACCATTCTTTATCTCTATCCTCTACTCAACTTCCACGATCGAACTATTACCTTAAATTACTTTGTTTATATATGCAACTTACTCAAATGGAACAACAACAAACACTCTTCTTTTCCAAGAGGTTATGGATCTTTCTTCGAAAAACAGACTTTCCTATAATCTCTTTCCCATTTCTGCCATTGTCGTACTAGCATTCAGCTTCTCTGCTCTTGATCATGGTACGTACGTTTCTCTTCTTTATCTGCTTTATTGTTTGACAGTTTGAGTTCCTTTTATTTTTTCCTAACTTTTTCGAGTTGTAGCAACTGCGTCCAGAGCTGTAGGGTTACCATTGAAGGTAGAAGAACAAACTGCATTGGGTTTTAGAAATAATGAACCAATTACTATTAGAAGATCAGACTTCTCTGATGATTTTTTATTTGGAACTTCTACTTCTGCCCCGCAAGTACGTATATGTATATGATTTTTATTTAACTGGTATCTATTAATCATTAAATTTTACTAAAATAAGAAACAAATGCTTGTATATATGTATAGATCGAAGGATCAACAAAGAGTGAAGGGAGATGGCCAAGCATTTGGGACTCCTATGTGGAGAAAAACCAAGGTTCTTATATATTTCTTTATCTAATAACTTAATTGGCACGTATCAATTTTATAATTAGTGCTAGAAACTGTGATTTATTAGTATTTTTAGTTAATTAATTAATTATTATTTTGTTTTAGATAAAGTAATCGATGGAAGTAACATGGAGATTGCAATTGATTCTTATAAGCGATACAAGGTGATTAATACACTTAATTATCTTTTTAATATGTAGATAATTTGGGATTTAATAATTATTTTCCTTAATTAATTAAAGCTGTATTTTAATTTTCTATCTGTAGGAAGATTTGGAGCATTTGAAGAACCTTGGAGTAGATGCTTATAGATTTTCCATATCGTGGACCAGAATTCTTCCTGGTATGTTTTTAATTAAAATTTATTAAAATTAATTACTACCCCAAGGCTTTAATCTCTCATTCAAATTCTAAAATTTTGTCTGAAAATTTTATTAATTATGAAGATGGAACATTGAGTGGTGGATTGAACCAAAAGGGAATCGATCATTACAACAGTATGATTGATATTTTAGTCCAAAATGGTAAAACCTTATATCCATATAGTTCTTAACTAATTACATTTGCATCATTTGATCTTGCCCTAATTACATGTTTTATTAATTATTATCACGTAGGTATCAAACCTTTGGTGACTCTATTTCACTTCGACTCTCCTCAAATATTACAAGATGAGTATGACGGCTTTTTAAACCGTTCAATCGTGTGAGTATAATTATGTGAATTATTTATTCTTTCAATGAAATGATGATCCAGTGCACGAAGCATTCTACATTCTGGATTATGAGATTTCTAAGAGATTTTAATAAATTGAATTCTTAGACTTATTATATTTTAATTTTTGCTTTCAGGGATGATTTTAGGGATTATAGTGAAGTTTGTTTTAGAAAATTTGGAGATAGAGTTAAAAATTGGATTACAATCAACGAGCCACTAATGGTTGCACAACTTGGGTACGATTTGGGGATTGGTCCTCCACTCAGGTGTTCAGATCGAACAAAATGCTCTGTCGGTAATTCATCGACGGAGCCTTATATTGTGACCCATAATCTTCTACTTGCTCATGCTGCTGCTGCCAGGCTTTACAAGGACAAGTACCAGGTCAATTGCTAATTTCCTCAACTATAAACTATCATATAATACTAGAAAAATCGAAACTTTAATCTTTTGTATATTTTTATGTCGAACACGTTTTTAACATATGATATCGATATCTATGTATTGTATGTTTTCTATCTTTTAAATACTTAATTTCGGTGTCTGAACTTTATAAATTACGCTTAATTAATGAAAAAATGAAATTGAAATTTTGCAATTTTGCAATTTTCAGGCAAAACAAGGAGGTGAAATTGGAATTTCCCTTGTAGGACAATATTTTGAGCCTTATGATTCTGAATCATTGGATGATAAAGCTGCACAAGAAAGAGCCATGGACTTTGAGTTGGGTTGGTTAGTACTAATATATATTATTGCAGGCAGAATACATTATTTTATTCCCCAAACCTTTTTACTTTAATCTCGTGGCACCTTTAATTTTACTTTGATCCATCAAATACCGTAACTTATAAAATTACATCTATTAAACACTTCAATTTTCAAAATTATTTTACTGAATACTCCAACTTATAAAATAAAATCAATTAAGCACTCATTAAAAAATTGAAATCTATAAAAATTATTATTCTAAAAATCAGGCTAACTGCATATCAAGTCAATATTTTACAGACAAAAGCCACAAATTCTAAAAGTTATTGATATTAATATTGAAAAGTATATAATATTACCAAAATATATAAGTTCAAGTGTAAAATAGTTCATCCGTAAAATTTCGGATGTTACAAGATTAAAGTAACAAAGTTGAGAGTGAATTTATGTATTCAAGTAAATTTTTTTTTTTTTTTCCTTAACGAATTGTTGTTGTTGTTGTTAGGTACATGGAACCATTAGTGTATGGTGAGTATCCTAGTATTATGAGAGAATTAGTAAAGGACAGGCTTCCTAGTTTCACAAAGCAAGAGAAGGAGCTAGTCATGCATTCTTTTGATTTTATTGGCATAAATTACTACACATCATATTATGTCAAGAGCACCACAATAGATCCACATGCTACACCTAGCAGCTATACTTTCGATCAATTCTTAACTATAGGAGGTAAAGTTTTAAAACTCTTTTTATCTTCTTCTATTTTTTTTACCAAAGGGGATAAAAACAAAACATTAGATTGTTAAAAGCTCATCTTCTTGTTTGGTGATTTCAGTAGAGAACAAAGGTGGAATTACCTTAGGCCCAAAGGTAAGAAATATTATCTCTAATGCAGTAAATTTTGATGGATATGTTTATGTTCTTTGCTTATTTGTTTATTTCTTTATTTATAAGGCGGAAGGATATGGTGTCACTTATATATATCCAGAAGGGCTTCAGAAATCTCTAGAATATATTAAACAAAAATACCAGAACCCTAAAATTTACATTACTGAAAATGGTAATTAAATTACCTAAATTTTCACTTTTCTTTGTTTATAGTAAATCTTGTTTAGTCGTGAGCATGATTAAGAATTAATGATTAACATTTACTTGTAGGGATGACCGAAAAACGGGACGACAACCGTGGATTAGTAGAATCACTAGATGATCAACGTCGAATTGAGTATATTCAACAACATTTGCAAATAATACATAATGCAATCAAGTAATTAATTCGTTGTTTATTTAAGAGATTAAAGACTGATTAACTTAAACTTATTTACGTCTAATTCCCATTTTGCTACTTATGCAGGAATGGAGTGAACGTGAAAGGCTATTTCTATTGGAGTTTATTTGATTCTTTTGAATGGTTAGGAGGGTACACAGTAAGATTTGGGTTATATTATATAGATTTCAAAGACAATTTTAAACGCATCCCTAAGCTTTCTGCATTGTGGTATCATGATTTCTTGCGAGGTGACACAAAGCAATCCTATTGAACATTATTGCAATTCATTTCTTTTATTGTATGGACAATGCTTAAAGATTATATGTGTATATATATTTCTATTCGGTAAAATTAATTATTTTTGCAGTTGTTAGTTGTTTTAGTAATTTTTATAAAACTTTAAAAATTGGTTAATTTTTTATAAAACTTTGTTCTAATCCCTAAAAACTTATTCAAAACGTTATATTATCAAACTATAAAAAATTAATATTTAATCAAAATACTAAAAATTATTTAAAAGGATGTTTCCAACCCATTCATATTTTTAGCAGGTAAAAAGGAGCAAACTCCGGCAATGATATCAAAGATTGATGACAAGTGTCAACAACGAAGTGCGTTTAAAAAAAAAATTCCATTCAATTCATGACAAAAACAAACAGGCATTCGTTGGCCATTTTAGCCCAATCGAATTCAATTCTCAACAACACATAACATAAAAGGCCCAAGGTAAAATATGGGCCGATCAAATGGCCCAGGCAAAGCAACCCTCGTATATATAAGAGAAGCTTTCGAATCTTTGAAGTGCAATGATGTATAGAGTATACGACATATTATCTTAAGTAGTTTCCTTTCGCCACGCATATCCCAATCATAAACGACAATACGTCTTTCTCCTTATCTTATGCAAAATAAACATACTGTGAAATATTAGGCCCCAATTTCAGATAATAATGGGATCACTTTGACCCAATAAATTTTCCATAATTGTCCATTTTTAAATTTCTAATGAGAGTATAATTATTGATCTCTAATAATAACTTTTATACTTTTAAATTTTAGCCTTTCTGAATAAAGGAAAATAATTCAATTCTTCGTTATAACCAAATACAAATATAAAAAATAATTATAAAAATAAAATTGATATTTATTTATTATTTTCTTTCGTTATTTTCCTTTCTTTGCTTTCCAAAATAAATCCTAAATTCATAATGTAACGTATGTTTAATTAGTCAATTTTAAAAGTTTGTGGTTACAAGATAACAAAATGAAGCATAAATAAATAAAGGTACTATCTTAATGAAAATACATTTTAAGTGGTTGATATAATATCTTAAAAAATGATGAAAGTGCTATTCTATTTTCAATTTCATTGTTAATTACAGTTGAGAATGATGTTGTTATAAAAGGTCAAAACTAGTAAAATTGATAAAATAAATAAAAATAAATATGGTAAAAATTAAAAAAATTCGTAAAATTAAGAGTATTCTAATACATTAAATTGAAGTTATTTGCATATCTCTCCTGAAAATTATCATTATCCTATACTTTTTTGAAACACTAGCAAATTTTTTAAACAAAATAATAGTTCAAACGCGTCATCAACCATAATTCCATAAATTTAAATAAATATAATTAATAATCTATTTATGATATTAAGCGGGTTACACAAGTTGTATATAGATCAATACGACTCACTTAACATGTTTATGATATTAAGCGGGTTAAACGCTATACCTTTTTTGAAACACTAGGCAAATTTGTTACAACAAAAAATATTTCCAAACGCGTCATCAACCATAATTCCATAAATTTAAATAAATATAATTAATAAATCTATTTATTGATATTAAGCGGTTACACAAGTTGTTATAGATCAATAACGACTCACTTAACATGTTGTATGATATTAAGCGGGTTAAAACGTGTCGTGTTCATCTCACTTACTATTATACATATTATGTTTTGTGTCGAAACTTATAAAAATATTATTTCATTTTTTAAATATTGCCTCCGCATATGGCAGAAGTTGGCAACACTAGTACAAATATTAACAAAGAATGCAATTATAAGCACTAATTAGATTAATAATTAATCTCATCATTAAATTTTTTTAAAAATCTATAACTCTTTTTTTTTTTTTTTTTGAGTACATTAATATACTAAAAGATACACTATACAATTTAAATATATAACTCTTTTTTTTTTTTTTTTGAAAGTACAATTAATCATGTACCCTTCATTTAATATATTTTATTTGTTACGAAGGATCTTTCTATTTGATTTTTTTTATTGCAAATGATATCTAATATTATTTGATTTTTTAAATAATAATATTAGTTACTTTTTTTTATTACCTCTGTTGCATAATACTTGTCACATTTAAAATTTCACGATTTTTTAAGAAAATCATTAAATTTATCTAAGTTTTAATAAATTATTGAGCAAATTGACTATATTATCCTTAATTTAATATTAATTATCTAAGAAATTATTAAGTTAAAGTAATAATTATTGATTCTATATAAAAGATAAATATGAAAAAAAATCTTATTACTTTTTAAAATTACAAATATGATAAATATTTTGAAAAAAATTATTTTATCAAATGTGATAAGGAAGGCACAAACGCAATTAGTAAACTCTATTAAAATTTGAAAGCAGTCTATCTCGTGGGACGGTGGCTAGTTTATTTTATTTTGTTTACCTTTGACTTTTAGAAGTCAAAATTAGCCCCGTGCAAATGATAGTGACATGTCTCTATACTATTAGTTAAAACTGCTTTGTTCCCTGAGCTCGATCTCACTGAATCAATAACCCAAAGCTTTTCACTTCCCTTCTTGAGTCTACCTAACCACCAAAATTCTCCCTCCCCCCGTTCTCTCTCTGATTCTACCCCCCCCACGGTCCCCAATTCGCCGGCGATCTCTGGTCAGGTACGTTTAAGCGTTGACCTATCCATACTCGCTGATATATGCATATAAATGAACAAGCACATCATCGTTACATTACTTACGGACATGAATCTGAGTTTGCGGTTGTATTTTAGGTGCTGAATCTGCAGAAAGTTACATATTAGTAGGATATGGGGAGACTTTGCTGATTGATTCTCATTAGCATTTTATTTTTAACTATTTTCCCTTTCTTTTTATGTATATGATCGATTTTTTTTTTTTTTTTCCTGCTGAGTAGTTTAACAGATTTACTGGATAATTTTAGATTAAGCTCTATTAATCAGAAGAAAATAAATTTGGTTTAATCTAGGATTTGTTGTGGAATTTTAGTTCAGGTTATTGTTTAATTCACATTACCATGTTTAATTTGCACTTCTAAGGAGTGGGCACTAGAACAGGATAAACTGGGGAGTGGAAGGAAACATGTCGCTTGCCTTGTCTTGTTTTAGCTTGAAATCCTTCAACTGGGAGTGTTTGGTTCCTTACCAAGCTATTATCTATTCCTCATATATGTGAATTGGGTAGTCAAAATAACTGGTTGACATTGAATTTTGTGTATTTCCATCTCTTGGCCTTTGGTATGCTATGCTGAGAATTTACTTGCTCCCACTTTAATCTATCTCGATGGGTTAACTAATGGACTTGATATCCTTGTGGTTTATGATTTGAACTTCGTAGATAATAACTTGTTCTCATGAAGTCCAAATGGACACCAAATTCCTCTTTTGATATTATGTATGTTTCTTTTTTTTTCATTTGGCAATGTGCAGTAATTCGATGTTTGGATTGTCTAACCTTTAATTGATCTGCAACTGTTACAGAAGTATTCGATATGGCTTCATTCAAAGCATTCTTGAACAGTCCAGTTGGTCCTAAAACAACTCATTTCTGGGGACCTGTTGCCAATTGGGGATTTGTCGTTGCTGTATGCGTCACTACCTTACTTTAGATTATTCACTACCTAATGCCTAATTCATGTATGTATTACAGTTTTATCTGGTGCATTTAACAGGGCTTGGTGGACATGCAAAAGCCTCCAGAAATGATTTCCGGAAATATGACAGGAGGTAAAATTTCTCGATATTTAAAATTTCCAGTAATGATTTCTGGAAATTTTTCACACTAGTTAAATGGATAATTGAAACCTTTCCTTCACTTTCGGTGCTGCAGCAATGTGTGTTTATTCAGCATTATTCATGAGGTTTGCATGGATGGTACAACCTCGCAACTATCTACTTCTAGCATGCCATGCTTCAAATGAGACTGTGCAACTCTATCAATTCTCTCGTTGGGCAAGGGCTCAAGGGTAAGTTGCTTTCAATGCAATTTGTGTTAAATTATTTATGCTTGTTTCACACTTGTTGTGGAGCCAAAGGAAGTTTTGTGGGCAAAATTTAGAAAGTCCAATCCAGTCTTATGGCATTTCTTCATAAACTGTAAAAGTACCTCAATGACTCCTGTGAAATGCTGTGTTGTTTTGCAGTTCTTGAGAAAAAATAGATTACCCCATTAAACACTTTTGCTTACTTAAATGGAAAGAGGTCTTGAATATTCTGAAAATTAAATCTCTTCTGAAATCAATAAACAGATAGCCATTGCTTTTTGAAACTTGGAGTTCCTATGGTTAGCTGGACCTGTCTAGCCACCATTGGTGTCAGGCATATGTGTCTATCATTGGAAACATAAGGTTATGCTTCAAATTACCATGTTATAATTAACTTTTTCCTTTCACTCCTCTGATCCAAACTGATACATTAGTGGATTTGCACTTACTGCTAGGCAAACCTTACAAGTGCAATCACAGTTATAACTAGCATTGCAAGTTTACACCACAAATTATCTTTGTGAATTTGCATAAAGTTCTTATCTTTTCCTATGTCGGTTGCAGCTGATTTATTGATGACAGTGAATTTCCGAAAATGTTTGTGACAAACAACTAGTTGATTGATTAACTAACTCTGTTTTTTTTTTTTTTTTTTTTTTTTGTGACAAACAACTAGTTGATTGATTAACTAACTCTGTTTTTTTTTTTTTTTTTTTTTCCTTTCCATAGGTATTTTTTTTTTTTTTTTTTTTTCCTTTCCATAGGTACCTCTCATCAGAGAAAAAAGAGAAAGCCTCGTCAGAGTAATAGAATACTGCTTTGATTGTCCTGTGTTGCTGGGATTCATATTTTGATTTATGGAGGAGCTGATGGTAATTGGAATGTGAAAACACTTTCATTGTACTACTAGTAATAACCATGAAGCAGATTATTGACTGAAGTTTGGTGTTCGTGATTTAATTCACCAATTCATTCAGAACAGTATATGAAATAATTGGCTTAATTTCACTCATGGTTGCTCAACTATAGACCCTATTACATTGAGTCATTGACGTTCCTAATTTTTAATTTGTTACACAAAATGTTTCAAAAAAATATATCTGTCAGTTTCGCCGTTTTAGATTTGGAAGAAAAATAATGATTATGGCAGTAAAAAATATGCCACATCACCTCATCCAGTCAACTTTATGACTCAAAATTTTTCTCTCTCCTAAGAATGTCAACCCTAAGCCTAACTTTTTTTTCTTTCTTTGTAAACCCTCTCTATCATGAGCTTTTGACAAAAATTAATGTTCTCCCAAAAACTATTTTTCAAAACTATTTTTCAATCTAATGTCATTTGAAAATTATTTTCCAATCTCTGACATAGAGAGAGTGTGTGTTATATTAAAATAACCAACTCAATTGGTGGCTTCAGGGCAATAGAAAAAGTAATCCATACCGACAAGCAGCTAGCGATATAAATAAATAATAATTTATATTTTGTAATGGTGGTTTCAATACAAAATGAAATTTTAAGTTGTTAGTTTGCATTTTTACTAAAACATACAATTTGTTTAGTGGTTTTAGTTGTGGGATGTGACCACTAGTCAGCAAAAAGTATATGAGGAAATAATATTTTGTTAAGAGTTCACCTAATTAAATAGTGGTTTCAGAAGAAAAAAAATTGTTCACTCAAAATATTTTTTCATCAAAATACACTGTGATCTAGTAGTTTTGGTTCACAATTGTTTCAAGTTAAATAATAATAATATAAGTTTCCTTACACAGTTAAAAGTTACCAATAGTAATAGTGTCATAATAATTAATACATGAAAAATTAATCATATTAATGTCTATCCACATGTTCTCCTATCCCACACCTTGAAGACCTCATATTACGACTTGGATTTCAGCGTATTGCATTCTCTAATATCTTGATATTCTTCTTCATACTCAATATTTATATCGACACTCATATAAGGAGCTTGAACCACATTCACATATTGTTGTTGTGGGTTATGAAATGTCAGATGAGTCTATTGATCAAGTGTCATCATCATCTCAAAAAAAATCATTAAATGAGTACCTAGTATGAGATGTAGAACCATCGCGTGTGTCAAAAGACGCCGCAGAAGTATTGGAAGCAAGCACTGCACATTGAAATGGCGTTGCCTCGCTAATTTCGGAGAAAGAAGTATGGATGACCCGTTTATAACATGAACCTGTTTAACTTCAACCTTAAACCGTTTATTTCGCATATTAGACGAATCATGTTTGTGTGTCTTGACCTATTTTGACACCCATAATTGATCCTATGCTTCTCTAAGTAAAATATTATAAGCAAGTAACCAGCAATAAAGAAAAATGTATAAAACCATGTATATTTGATATATACATACGAATTGAACTGAAAACTTTCTAAATTTATTGAAGGAATAAAGTTTAATCTGTCCCTGAACTTGGACTCAACATACAATTTATCCAAAAATTAACTTTTTGTACAATTTGCCGTTGATTTCATACCAAAAGAACAAAATGTCTAATTTTTTAAGAAAAATTTTGTTTTTAGTTTTAACTATTAAAAAAATACTTAAAATTTTAAAATTAAAAAATAAAAAATATTTAAAAATATGATAACAATTACAAAAATGTACAATATTTGATTTAAAAATAATTTAATAAATATTTGATTTGAAAAAAAAATTTGTTGAATTAGACAAAGTTTTGATTATATTGAAATATTTGGTAGAAAAATATATATTATTTTTTATTTGATTATTTTTTAATTATATTTGATTCGTATCAAATATTTAATTACTTCTTTAATCATATTTGATTTGTATTAAATAATTTATTTTTTGAAAAATTGAGCATTTTTTATCATTGGTACAAGTTTAAAGGCTAATTTATAGAAAAAATTAATTTTTGGACAAATTTGTGCCCAAATTCACAGGGTAAACTGAGCTTTATTCCTTTATTGAATGTTATATTCCTCTGTTAAATGTTAGAAATGGAGAACAATCTGTGTCGGAGGCATAAATACGGTAGTTAAAATCTGTTTAATTCCCTTAATAAAGTTTGGCAACGGTCACACCCAACAAAAAGCCTAACCAGCTATCAAACGACATAAACTGACACCAATGAAATAGCCGAAAACGACAAATTCCCTTCAGCTACAGCCTACAGGTGGCCGCATTTATGTCAGCTTTCCCTATTATTGTCATCGATGACCGCAAATGCACCGGAAACCACAGCCGCCGCCCATCCTGTTGATCCAAACAATGGTTTTTCCGAGCAAACCAGAACTTCAGTCTACGGCCAACTACTCCTCTGCCACGACCGCATGAACCTCTCTCCATTGCTCAATGTTCTCTCTCTCTCCTTCACTCATCCACCACCGAGTTGTAATCTAAAACTCAGGGATTAGCTCAGTCCTTGTTACAGTTTCCTAATCTACCATGTTCATATAGATAATATATTTTACAATGTTTAGGATGAAGATGTATCCTTATAAATTATGTCAAATAAAGAAAACAGGAAAATCAAATACCAAGACAAAGAACTAATTGTACGGATTTATTTTTTGAAATGATAATCGAACTTACAAGTGCAATCACAGTTGTAACTAGCAATGAAAGTTTACACCACAACTGACTACATTATTGGTTATCTTTGGGAATTTGCATCAAGTTCTTATCTTTTCCTGCATCAGTTGCAGCTGATTTTTGATGATAATGAAACCCTTAATGTGTTGTGGCAAAACAAATGGTTGATTAATTGACATTAACCTTTTTTTTCGGTCCTTTCCACAGTTAGCTGTAAAGATAACCAATAACCAAAGCAGGAAGAAAAACCACTTTGTTTTCTTTTACCTACTTTTAATCATCTAACCATAACTGGAGATCTAAAAACAAAAAGGTAAAAAGAAAACAAAAATTGTGTCCATCTGCCACTTCACTTAGCAAAAATGTCGCGTCAGCACAGCTTCTGTGCTTCTACTACTATGCAGTATAATCACAATGTATGCTCCAACTCCTTCATGATTAAAGAGTATCAGCGGGTAATCAGGAATAATGAAAACCTTAATTTCGTTCATCAGCTGTTTTCCTTAGATTTCAGCCTCTTGCTTTCAACCTCTTGCTTCCATCATTTTCTTCAGATGTCTTCTTTTTGCGCTTGCCTTTCTCTTTAGATTTTTTCTTTCTTTTCACTGGCAGTGTTCCCATCTCATCTTCGTTTTGGATCTCACTCAAATTTTGTGCTTTCAATGTAACCTCTGCTTGGGGAAAAAGATGCATAATCAGTGGCAAGGCTAGTCTATGACCTAGAAATGAATATTCCAATCCTATCCCATTCACAGAGCATTTAACTAACATGTTTTACAAAAATCCAAAGCTACCAGATATGTGGACTCTAAAACACCACCACTCTCCTATGCCACAATCCCTTTTCAATCCTGCTGCCAATAGTTACTCAATAAATTAAAGCACAGGTATGGGCTACAACTTGTTCTTCTTTATGAACCCATGTTCAACAAATGTGGTAAATGTATATAGTGTGCAAATACCGTCCCAAGAAAATAATTTGTGAAGCCATGCACAAAGAAAGGAAAATCTAACCTCTCTCGGTAAAATTGGAATCAAAGACAACATTTGTAAGGTGTTGCTTCAGGAAAACCTGCATGTACAATAGAACTTAGTTGGTTAAAATAATTGGAACCAATATGCAGCATCTCATTGTAATTCCATAACCACATTCAAATATGAACTTCTAGACATGAATAACCTACTAACAGCCTTAAGTCTGATTTAAACTGGTAATTCAACCACAAAAAAAAAAAAAAAAAAAAAAAAAAAAAAAAAAAAAAAACAACAATTCAAATACTGAACTTCTTAGAAACATGAATAAACCTACTAACAGCCTTAAGTCTGAAATTTAAACTGGTATTCAACCACAAAAAAAAAAAAAAAAAAAAAAAAAAAAAAAAAAAAAAAACGCTGGAAGTTATTCACGAATCTACAACGAGAATTAAGTCAGGGAAAAAAAAAAAAAAAAAAAAAAAAAAAAAAAAAAAAAAAAAACGTGGAAGTTATTCACGAAATCTAAACGAGAATTAAGTCAGGGTACATACCGCAGAAAGAAGTTGTCGTGTCTTTATATCCCACAAGCGCAAATAGCTATCCAGACCTAAAAGAGCAAACGAGGAACATATGGAGAAAAACTTAGCCCCAGAATAATGTAACCAAAGATCTAAGTGCGCACACACCAGAACAGGAGTGAACAAGGACCAAAGACAATATTTGTTAAATACCAAGAGAAAAACTATGCCATTTACTCACCGCAAGATCCTATCACGGGGAGCTCAGGATGCCTGGCAATGGATCTGATGCTTCCAGAACACTTCCCCAAAAAGCATCCTAACAATTTCCCTGAAAAGAAAATTTACTGTCAACATAATCATCAGAAAGAAAACTACCAGTTAGACAATAGATTAATAGAAAAACAAATGCAACAGTATGGCAGCAGATAAAAGAAGTAACAGAAGTTACCTCAATCGATAACTATTAAGCAATCACATATATACTTTACCTCCTTGAGTACTATGATAGATAGATAAAACATTGAACAAGAGCCATAGATGAGTACCATAAGAGCAAAGGGACTAACAAGGCTGAAAAAAAAAAAATCTACAAAGGAGATACCATAAAGCCAGACCCACATGTACAGACATCATTACAGTGAAGAAAAAATGATATTTTTATGTACATTGCGGGACCTAGGTATAAGACACCATATGCATAACTAAATAATGGATTAAAAGTTGAAACAGCTTAAGTAGTAGCCAGGTTTGTGCAGGATAGCCACCACATATTCCAATGGAGCAATCAAGTGGTCAACAAGTCATTGGTTTGGAACTCAGTAAGTGGCTTGGATCCACATTATTCAATTAAAGTTCAGATATGGAACAAGAACTTGCAGGTTGACCAACCTCATCTAAGAAATATTTTCTATTTGGGTAAGAATTCAAGTACATGCTTTCTGTTAAAATACACACAAGTACTAAAAGCGGAACATATTAAAAGCAGAACACAGGATCAAAAGGCGCACGTTTCTTTTTTGTTAAAAGAGATGGAATCAAATGTATATGATTATGCATTCAAGTACCTGTACAGAAGCAAGATTACTGGACCTGTTCCCTATATAGATTGTGTGGCCATGCATATTTCTTTTGTTAAAAGAGATGGAAACAAATGTATACGATTATGCACTCAAGTACCTGTGCGTATGTCAACGGAAGCAAGATCGCCAGACCCGTTCCCTATATAGATTGTGTGGCCATCTTGATCTTCAGTGACAGCCTTAATCGGGGTCTCACGGAAATCGAATGAAATTACAGGTCTGCGCTGGGCAGAAGTATCATAAAGACGAACCTGATAGGGTAATCAGAAACATCACATACCATGTTTTCATTCCAGACCTTTCAAATTCCAATTACTTTTTAAACATAAAAGAAATATTGCTAATAAAGGTTACCTCATGGTTGTTGGTACCAGCCACAAATTTACGGTGATCAACATTATTCAGGAATGTTGCAGATGTAAACCACGTGGGAGTAAAAATACCAAGGCTGTTTTTAGGAGGCTGCATAAAATGAAAATATCAAATACATGAGGCCGAAATACACATAAAATAAACAATAACGTGGTTTCCTTGTTCAGCAATAGATGATGAGGAAGTATAAAGTGGCTCACAGCTTTTGCAGTCCATATCTTAGTACACTTCTCAAGATCCCATAGATTGACTTCCACACCTTTCCTAAATGGAAAAAAAGAAGCATTCATTTCATTACTGGCCACATTAAGTCTAAAGTTTACAGTGCAATGTTATGTATTACTCACCCTCCAAATAAAGCATAGTTTTCACTTCCATCCACTTTAGAACATGAAATATTACCAGAAGCACAAACTTTCCATGTCCTAGAGGCATTAGTGCTAGCATTATCTGCAGTCCAACTGTTAACTTCAATGGATTTCATGCTTGTATGTCCTTTTGCTGTACATGTAAGCAAAGTGCATGACCTAAAGATTACCAACCTAGACAGATATCAGCATTCATAGTATTACATAAATTTCATATCATTCTTATTTCTGAAAAAGAAAAATGTAGCAATACCCAGATAATCTTTGTGTTTTGAATAAATGTAAACCAATAACATCATCATCCTCAAGTTGAACGCCAGCATCACCAACACTAGAAATTGAAATGTTAGTGTCCCCATTAAGTGGATTTAGTAGTTCGATCTGCAATTCGTATTAAGCACATCATTAAGTAAGATAACCTTCTGTGAGACTAGAAGTACTAGAAATCAAAAATTCATCCCTGAATATTCAAATTTAAATAAAAAATAACTCACCTCGCCACTTTTTCTTGCAACAGCTAATAACTGCACAAAAACAGAATTTCAAGCACTGTCAAGATAGTAATTGAAGTAACTGTTGCATAACCAGGCAACTAAATTCCATTTATATTTTACTCCAAAACCCAGAGAAAATAAACCACAGAAAATGACATAACAGAACTAGCCTTCGTTTGTCAATCTTAATCAAATAGATAAGACCAATTGGCAAACACCCACTTACACTTCTCAAGTTTCAGCTCAAAAATAAAAACAGAATAACACATACAGGGTCTCTTTTACTGTCATCCATAGAAACAGCAAGCACGCACTTTGAGGCGTCTGTACTGCCCCATCTCTCCACCACCTGAGGGATTCTTCGGTCATCACGAGATTCAATTACTTCAAAAAGAAACAATTCAATGTCGAGAATAAAAATTAAATGATTATAATCAAGAAAAAGAGAGAGGATTTTGTATAAGCAACAATAATTAACCTTTAATGAAACCAAGTGCGTCAAAAGTTAGTGCTCGAATCGGAGGGCAACCAGGGCACTCTATGGTGGTAGTTCGCGGCATTGTTTACTGTTTACGGTGTTGCGTTCAAATTCAGCTCTTCTGATAGAATGGGATACAAAGGAGCCAAAACCCTAAACCCTAATTCTTTATTTTGTCTGTCGGATCATATTCTTTTGAATATTCGTTTGTTACCTCTTTATTTTACTTAATTTGGTTCATTCCCCTCATATTTTCAATATATCCCCCTAGACAAGTAAGAATTAACATAAAATTAAAATAAATTGAGTCAGATTAGATTTAAAAAAGAAAAGGGGAAAAAAAAAAGAAAATGGATTATCAATGCATAAATTCAGCCATCAATTTTGAAAAAGATCAATTGTGTTAGTAAAATTATTAATTTGATAATATTACACATTTTCACATTAATAATAACAATTTCTATATTTTTATTTTTAAATATAAAATATTAATTTGATGGGGTAGTTGGCACAATTTTATAATAATAATTTTTATATATTTTAATAAAAATATTAATTTGATGGGGTAAGTTGCAACAATTTTATAATAATAATTTTTATATATTTTAATATTCTAATAAGTATTTAATTAATTTAACTTTTATAAATTAATTATTAATAAGTGTAATTTTATAAATTTTTAATTTTATAAATTAATATATTTAATAAGTGTAATTTTATAAATTAAAGAGGAAAATGATATTACGTGTCTTGTATGAAAATATAAAATGCAATTATGATTTGTAAAAAGTAATTTAAAGATGCATCATCTTAATTGAAGCATACTATATGTTAATTGAGTTTATTATAAAATCTTTTTCTTTACATTATTTTTGAAAATGACATATTTAAAAAAAAAAAAAAACAACAAATGTGGTGAGCTCTTTCTACATCAACATCCTTTTTGAGACCTCTTGAATATGCATAGGATATTTTAAAAAATATGTGTATATATATAAAAAAAAATAATTAGATGAGCACAGATATGCTTACAAATTTTAGACATAAATAAAAATAACATTTGTGATTGAATAGGAATTTAAATTTTATTAGTTCAAAAATGAAGAATTATTTCTTAATTTAATAGATTAATAATTAAAATTGAACTATCTTCCTTAATTGAAATTTTGATTAAAATTTAAACAATAAATAATAAATTCAAAACCCAAATATTCATATAATAAATAAAAAAGTCAAGATTGATTATTTGATTTTAAAATTGAACCAATTCTAAGATGTAAAAATAATCGGTTGAATATTAATTCAAATTAAAGTGTAATTGCAACTAAATTGACAAGTTCAGGGTGCTTATGGTACAAAAATCGATTTAGAGTGAAATTGTAACCGGTCGAAAAGTTTAGAGTGAAATTGAAAGTTAGGCCATTGAATAAACTAAAATTGAATAAAAACCTAAAATAAAGAAATCTCTCCCTAATTGAATGTTCTAGTAATTGAAATTGAATACTCTTTTTAATGTTGGAGAAAGTTCACAGCGACACTCTTCAGGGAAGAACACCATATGGATTTATGAGCTACATCTACTCCAGGTACCCCCCACCACCCTAAATCCAGCCAAAAACAAATTTGGTTAATGCTAATAATTCAATACTTGTTTCATTGATAAAGGCAGAAAAGGAGAAGAGAAATTTTCTAAACTTCAGGTATAGATTATGATCCTACATGGGTTATTCTCTGTTTCAGTCATTAAAACTTGTCTGCATTTCACTTTATGACAATTTATTTTATGTTTGGCTTTCAGATACTTGAAAGCATAATCGCAAAGTGTGAATACAAAAGGCAAGATTTTATTCACGGGGTATTTTTCCAGTTCGCTGTTGCTGCCATTTGTGATATGGGGTTCTCTAATTCTGGGTTCCCATCAATTACAATCTTCACAAACTCAAGTGCTTCTTCAATTAAGGAAGCATCTAGAGTACCCAACTCAACTGGAAATTTGGAAGGATCATACTGTAGATTTTTGCTATATTTTTTCATCCACACAAGTCAGTGTGACATGCCAGGACAATTTCGTTACTGAGCTCGGAATTACAGGAGACAAGCCAGCTGAGGTCGGTAATTTTGTTGGGTATGCAATTCCAGATCAAACTTTATCAGAGATTTTCTCTATAGATTCTTTTGTTGTCACTCTTTCGAGGCTAACCAGCTTGAGAGTCCTCAGTCTTGTATCTCCGGGTATTTGGAGTCCACTTCCAGACAAAATTCATCAGTTGTCTTCACTTGAATATTTGGATTTGAGTTCAAATTATCTTTTTGGTTCGGTTCTTCAAAAAATTTCAACAATGGTGAAGCTTCAAACTCTTACACTTGATGAAAATCCTACAATGGGTGAACACTCGAAAAATTCAACTGTAAAATATTTTTATCAACTCTAATGTTTAAAAGTAAACAGATTAAAAAAAAGCACATATCAAAGCATAAGAAAAATATAATTAGAAAACTCCTACTTGGTTTTCAAAAAGAGAAAAATAATAATCAAATCTAATTGTACGCATGAATATATACATGGAGGAGGTAGATAGATAATTTTAAAAAAATATTTTTTAATAATTAAAGTATGTATTTTATTTAAAATTTTAATTTTTAAATAAAATTAACTCAAAGTAATACATATAAAAGAATTTGTTTTAATGTAAGAATAATGAAACCTTATTTTGATAGGATATACAAATTCCACCAGGAAACCGAATAGGTTACATATTCACTGCTATAAAAAGAATTGCGTAGCCTTCCCACAAATCCATAGTCAGTGTTTTTTTCCCTCAACAGCAATCGATTCATCGCTCTAAAATTTTTCATTATAGATAATCTCTAAATAAGTAGTTAATTAACGTTATTTGAAAACTTTTTTCGTTTTGTCGTTTCCGTTTTATTAGACCAATTCAGAAATTTGAAGACGCGGAAAGCTGAAAAATTGAACAAGATGGTCAGAATATCGTCAACTCAGGAGGTAACTTAATTTATGTTTTGATTGTTTTTTAACAAAAAAAGTAATATAACTTTTTTTTTTTTTTTTTTAATTTTTTCGCAAACAGCTGGATGTTGTTGATGATGATAAGAATCGTGAAAGAGAAAGTACTTTCAAGGATCGGATTGGTCTTTTGCCTGATCATATTCTTATAACCATTCTAGTCCACTTGACCCTTAAGGAAAGGGCGAGGGTAAGTGCAGTGTGTAAGAGGTGGAGACCTTTGTTTGCATATACAAGTTCCTTGAACTTTGATGGTTTAGAAGTTCTTTTTCAATGTTTCCCTAGTCACAAATTGGTGCTCGAAAAGAGGCCTTGTTTCATAGATTGGGTGAGTCAGATCCTGAAATTACACAAGGCTACCATCATTGATGAGTTTATGATTCGTTTTGATCTTGATAAAACCTCTGCAAATGAGATTGACAATTGGCTTCACTTTGCATTATCAAGGAGAGTTCAAAGACTTGAATTTAACTTCGATTCCAAGGTTATACCTGAAGTTTCAAGGTGCTATACCTTGTCGATGGCACATGCTGGCTCCTCTTGCATTAAGTCCTTAACCTCCGTATCCTTGACGAATGTAGATGTAACTGCTGAAGTTCTCGAGCACTTCCTCTCTAACTGTCCTAATCTTGAGCGACTGCTTGTGAATAGGTCAGTGTCTCTATTGAGTCTTAAAGTTGCAGGTCCATCACCCTTCCGGCTGAAGCATCTGGAAATACAATACTGCCAAGATTTCGGACAACTGGAAATATGTGCGCCAAATCTTGTTTATTTTGGATACCTTGGCCGAAAGATGAGATTGCATATCGTACATGCTCCCTCACTTATCCATGTATATCTTTCTTACTATTGTTTGGACAGTCCAACTTTCGTATTGCTCCAACTTTTAAGCTTCTTTTCTCAGCTACAGATTCTTCATTTGGATTTTTCCACAGTGAGTATCAATTTTGTCTTTTGTTGTGATTATTTTGTTCAATAGTTGTTTGCCATTTTCTTTTGAATTTTGTTGCTTCTAATTCCTGACTATATATATATATATATTTTCTTGTAGATATTACAGATGCCAAATATACCCGAACTGACTAATTTAAAGCATTTAGTAATAGGAGGATGTGCGGATTCCCATGATAGTCTGCTTTGGATAGATCCTCTGTTAAAGGCATGTCCTAGCTTGCAGAAACTTAGTTTACGGGTAATCTCATCATTCTTAGAATTGCAGAAACTCTGTTCTGTTCATCCCCATTCCCTTTTTTTCATTTCTGTTATTAGGTCAAACGCGAACATCTTTCTTTCGATCATGAGCATATATATATAATACCGATCCATTTTTGCTTTCCCTTTGATCATGCAGTTGATGATAAGTAAGGCTATGTTGTTCCACCAGAAAGGGTTTCGTTTGACGAAGGAAAAACCGACAATCATCAAAACCCCGCATCAAAGTCTCAAGATAGTGGAAATTATGGGATTTGTCGGATATACGATTGACTTTCAATTTTTATATTATATTTTTGAGACAGCCATCGTGCTCGAGAAACTCATAATCGATCGCAGGAAGCCTTACAGTTTAGGAACTCCATGGGAGTTCGAGGAAGATAAGGAGAAGCAAGACGCACTGCAGCGCGCTCTGCAATTAAAAAGAATAATTCCTGCAAGCGTTGAAGTAGTTATTATTTAGTTTTATAATTATTCCAATCTTATGGTTTTGGTTTGGTGTAATCTTATAGTTTTATAATTATTACAGAGCTTATGGACCAGAACTGCACGGTTTTGAAGGAGCATTGCATCTGGTTTTTGATTTTAATACTCGAAATATTTTTTATATATAATAAATAAATTTACAATGTGTTTTCCAGTTTTAATCAAATCTCTATTATTACTACTGAGTTAACAAACAATTACCAAATTAGGAACATTTTACCTCACATATATAAACCTTTTAAACTTTATCATTTTATCTCTATTATTATTATAACATTTTAAATTTGTTTCCAACAAGATATATATAAAGCCAAGCTAAAATAGTTCACAGAACAAGTCTATATATATATACATTGTCATTCTTTGAGTTGGTTCAAAAAATGGGTGTAGTGTGCTTGCACATGCACTCAGGTACTGGGTATGCAATCACATCTCTATCTCTCTTATTACTTCTTGGCTCAGGCTGTCCTCTAGATTTCCTATGCAGCATCCTCACTATACTTCCAAATTCTGCATCAGAAAGAGAGTTGTCTTCAAAGAAATGAATCATTGCTCGCTTATTGGGCTTTATGCATTTCCAATGACCTACATAGGCTCTGTGACCCTGACAATATAACAGAAAACATTAACTAGTTGCTGTTTTTTTAGCTTCATTTTCAATTAATGGTAAATTTCACTACTTATTACTTAATTACACCTGCATAAGCCGTCCCATGTTCCCTCCATGGGATGGTATAAACACATTGCTGCTTAAAGAAACAATGTAATCAATTGCAGCCATAGCAGAAGCTTTCTTGTTATAAGGTGCAAGTTCTCCTTCCTTCGCCAGCATTTCTAAAATTTGATATTCTGCTGCAAGTGGCTGCAATGCCTGAGAACCCCCAAATGGCTCGCCTCCTGCTACATATATGCGTGCACTTCTTGGGGCTCCTAAAGCCTTCAAAAGTCTGCAATAAGACAATTTTATTTAGTTTGCTGTAAACAAAGTCAAGTTCAGGCTTGTGGGTTTTTTAACCTTGCAATTTCTAATGCATTTAGAGGACATAAACCAGCGAGTCTTCTCTGAGTATGACTCATGTTTAGCCTTCCAGAAGACAATTTTATTTAGTTTCTGTAAACGACAAACAGCTCCTAAAGCCTTCAAAAGTCTGCAATAAGACAATTTTATTTAGTTTGCTGTAAACAAAGTCAAGTTCAGGCTTGTGGGTTTTTTAACCTTGCAATTTCTAATGCATTTAGAGGACATAAACCAGCGAGTCTTCTCTGAGTATGACTCATGTTTAGCCTTCCAGCAAGGTATTCTGGTTGAGCTTCACGAACTTCAGCTATGATATTGTCAAATTCTTGGCCTAAACCAGTAAGACATCCACTTCAGCTATGATTTTATCAATCATTTGCATAACCATTCCTCCATCGATGGTAAACACCTAAAATGAATTGAACGATTGCTGAGGAAAGCTGCATTTCTTGAAAGAGCAAGGAAGACTTAGTTGAAACTATAAAACAGTACCTGTCCAGTGATGAAACTGGCAGAAGGATGAAGTGCTAAGTATTCCACTAGTCCAGCAACTTCTTCTGGCTGCCCATATTGCCCTGTTACCACATTTCCAAACATAAGCATTTTCCAGTTACCTGTATCTCATTGTTTCCTGTGTAGTAAACAAACTTCAGAAATTTATGCAAAAGCGAAAGCCATCTTGAAGTAGAATGGTCATTTTCATATTTTTTTTGAATTAGGAATGTCTTTCATCCTTAACTTGGAAAAATGGAGGATGAGAAACTATTTTATTGCAAGAACAGTCCTACACTAAAAATGGTACACTGGTTGAACTATAGACCGGTGAGGAAAGTTGTTTGATTCACCCATGACAACAAGTATTCCGAGAAATAAAATTGTTTGTTTGGGCAGAAATATAATATTCAGTCAGTAAAAATTTGACTGTGCTCCCACCTAAAGGGATGGTTTCCAATATTTTCTTCTCAATATCTTCTCGACAATCAAATCAGAGGCAATAAACCCTGGAGCAACAGCATTTATCAACATGCAAATTAAAGGTGAGAAGAGAGCCTTAGAAGAAACCTGCAAACCCCATGAAAAGGTTATATTCATAAACAAGAGCAGACTAAGAACATAAAAGGGCAAGATAAAGAATAATATTACAAAAAAAATAAGGAGATCCAATTGATTTTCTAAAAGTTTCATACATAGACAAAAAATTATTCATTCCTATTTATCTACTAAACAGAAAGACTAAGAGCATATACTTGCTGACAACTTATTCAGTCTTTTCTTTGTCATTTTTGTACATAATATGCTCGAGCATCTAAAATATAATTTTAATGTTCACAGGCAGCCTCAGAGAATTTGCATTTAAGGTCCATGGAAGTAGAAGTTATAAGGTTCATCCAGGCAAAGAAGAAAGTTAAAACCAGTCACAGTGTCCCAACTCAATCACTAAAGGACATATCCAGGCAAAAAATTTGCAATAGTTTTTAAATTAGCCATACAGTTACCGTAAGTAATGCGCAAGTAATATCTAGATATGTGGAAATTCTGGGTAGAAAGATTACCTTTGCATTGTTGCAATGACGCATTGCTAAACCCCGACTCATTAAGAAGCTGGTTCAACAAATAATTAAAAAAAAAAATGCAAATAATGAATAAAGATTAAAGAGGACTTTCTTTTGAAAACGTATAAATTGGGGGGGGGAAGCTGGTTCAACCAAATAATTTAAAAAAAAAAATGCAAAATAATGAATAAGCATTAAAAGAGGACGTTCTTTTTTGAAAGACGTATAAATTGGGGGGGGGGGGGCGGGGGCGGGGAATGCGCCAAAACTGAGTAAAGAAAATAACGGTAATACCTCCGCATTCACATGTTCTGCTTTGGTCGTGGATCTTTATTTACCCTTCTCCATCCGGCTTCTGGGGGCGGGAATGCGCCAAAACTGGTAAGAAATAGACGGAATACCTCCATTTCACATGGTTCTGCTTTGGTCTGGTTTATACCCTTCTCCATCGGGCTTCTCCCAAAACTCTTTCTCCTCTTTTGACACATTACCGGAAGCTCCTTGAGCGGGTAATGGCACCATTACACTCTTTGCTAGTCCAGGCTCATCTTCTCCATTTGCTGTAGAAAGAGAAGCTAAAAGAAACTGTGAATGAAGCTTGAAATAGAAATACCCAAAATAGAGAAAGAAAAGAATCAAGCATAACCAAGATCCTGAGCCTGCTCTGGTACGGTGTGCTCATCTCTGGTAGGGTGTGCTCCTCCATAAATTTTGTGTGACTTGACGGGATCTGGGCTCTGGCAGGACGTGCATGTCCGTACACTTTCACGGCCAGCATGATATTCACGGCCAGCATGATACCGTATTCGCCGGGGCAACGATTCCACGAAAATTGGTTTGGTTACAATGATTAAGTCGTGGAAATCGTTGGACACGCACGGCACCGCGGCGAATAGCGTATAATGCGGTGCGTGAAAATCTACGGCCAAGCACGTCCTGCCAGAGCACAGATCCCGTCAAATTCACACAAAATTTATTATTTTGAACCTTATGATTCTGAATCAGATGACAAAGCTGCAAAAGAAAGAGCTATGGACTTTGAGTTGGGGTGGTTAGTACTAGTATATGCATACCCACACTATTAAAATTGAAGAAAATGGAAAAACTTCATTCTGGTATTTTATCGATAGAAGACAGAGTTTATATATACAGAATTAGATGCTGGAAGCTTGTAGAAGCTTCGAGAGGAAAAAGAAAATATCAAATCCTAGTCAGCAATTAGTTACAACAGCTCATCTAACAAACTCACCCGATTAAACTCATGTAAGTATTGTGTATACTAGCATCCAATTACTGACCAAATATTTTTTTTTTTATCAGCAAAAATTCAAAGTATTTTAATAGATTAAACTAAAATTATTTGAATATCTCCTCATGGAAATTATCATTATCCTATTCTCTTTAAAACACTAGCAAATTTCTTAAACAAAATAATAGTTCAAACATCACCAACCATAGGTTCCATAAATTTAAGCAAACATAGTCAATATTGTTCTTAATAAAAAATATTGATATTATTATTCACAAATTTCACATTAATTAATATTTTTAATATTATTTTAAAATCATTGAATAAAAAATATCAATATTTTAATCTTACAAATGCAAACTCCTCTCTTAATTTTTCAACAATTATTTATCAATCGAAGTACATTTAAGCACTTTGACGAATATTAATACTTTTTACATTAAATTTTCTTCAAATTATGGACTATTTTCTTTTTTGAAAGTACAGCTAATAATGTATTTTATTTTATGAAAGTTCAGAATCCACTAACATGCAATTTAACTTGTAAAAATCAAAATTCATATTCTTTTAAAATATTAAGTAAATGTAATTGTAACGGTTGGATTATAATTTTATTCATAAACGCACTTTTCAGAAATAAATTTTATTTTCACATAAAATATAAATGTGCCAAAATTAAATGGCTGATGTTAATATGGTTAGGCTTAACATGAATTCGAATTATAATATACTTTTTATTTTTACAATATATGTTTTTCTCTAAAAAAGAAAAATTTAGGACCAAGTGGACCCATGTATCGGGTCGGGTGTTGCAAACCTTTCCTTCATTCACTACGTTCTTTTAGTTTTATTTTAAAAAAATAAATAACTAAATTAACTAACTCATTCTACTGGCTCAGATGTAACCTACCAAAGCGTAACCCAAAAAATCCCAAAGTAACTATTCATAAAATAAAAATCCACGTGTCAATAAAAAATGACACACTCAAATTGACCGTCGGGTTTTTGCTGACATGGCATACCCTCTATTTGATTTTTTTATTGAAAATGATATTATCTCATATTGATACAGGAATTTATTAGTAGAAAAATGTAGATAATTTTTTTAAATTGTATTAATTACTTTTTCTTAATTTGAATTAAAAATTGAAAGCAGTCTATCTTGTGGGAAGGAAAGAGTACTGGCTATTCTATTTTATTTTGTTTACCTTTGACTTTAAACTAAATTAATTAACACCGTTTGGATGAGGAAACTAAAATCCTGATACCCTTCTTTCTTCTTCCTCGACCATCCATCCAGCTTCCACGCATCTCTACTTCCCATCAGTATTTCATTTGCAAACAATAAGCTCTAAACCTCCAGATCTGCGTTGACCCCTAATCATCATTATCTTCGAGTTTTTTGCAGTTGCTCGTTGATTATTCTGTGCTCGATCCACTGCATTAGCAATGCCAGTGGCTGCTTTCTGCCATCTATTTCTTAAATCTCAGTGGCAATGTACATGTGCGTTGCGCTTTATTTTTGTTTTGTGAAATTTTAGCAACCATGTTCTAAATCTGGCGTAATGACAAGCATTAAGTATAAAGGGAAGATTCTGAGCAAATGGGTTTGCTTTTAATGCTTGTTGAGTGTAACTTAGAGATGAATTGATAGAATCTCTAAAACTGTATATAGGGATTCAGTCTTTGTTTGAGTGTTTGGTTGGTGGAAAAATTGGTATTTGCTGTCCAGTATTGATATCATTTGCAACTTTTGATTTGTTGTAGATTTTGATTTGTTGCATTTGCTGTATAAAGAAGGGGATGGACGAAACCTGTGAGTTCTGTTAATTTTTTTCTGGGGGCTTGGGTTAAGTTAACCCAGCTTGTTAAGTGGGATCTGTTTTTATATTATTTTATTAAAAACCCTAATAGAGTGACAATATTTCTAATAATTCCATGCTCATAATATTTGGCAACGGTCAAATTTCTCCGCCCCATTTCCTGTTTTAAAATTGAAATTTCAACACGTTTACAGGGTTAGAGTTTATATATTTCTGTTATTGTCAACAACAACAGCCTGACGACCTAAACGACATAACTGACAGCAATAAAGTATCCTAAAACGACAAATCCCCTTCCGCTACAGTCAGAAAATGGCGGAAAATATCAGCTTCCCCTCCATTAAACTGTCTGTCTCTCGTCCTCTCCATTTTATTGCCACCACAACTTCGGTTTCATTTTTTTTTCTGTATCGCTATCAATGGCAACAAAAGCATCGGAAACCGCCGTCCATTCAATTGATCCAAACAATGGTTTTTGCGAGGAAACCAGAACTTTTCACAGTCTACGACCACGTACTCCTCTGCCACCACTACATGAACCTTTCTCCATTACTCAACTCTCTCTGGCTCTCCTTCACTCCACCACCGCCGACCCAGCCGCCGTAACTTTTCTTGTGGACTCTAGCACTGGCGATTCTTTAACGCACGCTCAATTTATTGAACAGACTGAAACTCTCGCTCTCTCTCTCAAAGCTCTCTACCCGTTTTCTAGAAACGATGTCGCTTTCATTTTATGCCCTCCTTCACTTCATATTCCCATTCTCTACTATTCTCTCCTTTCTCTCGGTGTAACTGTCTCTCCTGCCAACCCACTCGGTTCTAACTCGGAGGTAACTCACCAAATCCAACTCAGCAAGCCAAAAATCGCATTCGCCACCTCCCAAACAGCTCACAAACTCCCTTCTCTCCCCCTCGGTACAGTCCTCATCGACTCGCCAGAATTCCTCTCCTTGTTGACCAAATCCAAACCCGCCGGCCGTTACCGATTCGAACCGGTTAAAGTGGACCAGTCTGATCCGGCAGCAATTCTTTATTCATCAGGAACCACAGGGAAAGTCAAAGGAGTATGTTTGACTCACCGGAACTTGATCGCGTTGATATCTGGGTTTTGTCATAATAGAGGCGAGTCTGACCCCAACGAACCGGAACCTCACCCAATAGCGCTGTTTACGTTGCCAATGTTTCATGTTTTTGGTTTCTTTATGTTGATAAGAGCTGCTGCGATGGGAGAGACTGTAGTGTTGATGGAAAGATTTGATTTTGAAGGAATGTTGAGAACCATTGAGAAGTATAAGGTTAATTACATGCCAGTTTCGCCGCCGTTGATTGTAGGGTTGGTGAAATCGGATTTAACTAAAAAATATGATCTGAGCTCGTTGTTACTGCTGGGAAGCGGCGGAGCTCCTTTGGGAAAGGATGTTGCCCATAGATTCAAAGAAAAATTTCCACAAGTGGAAATTGCAGAGGTAGGTCTCTTTATTCTTTACTTTTGGTTGACGTTCTTAATTCGCAGTAACCTGATGATTATTGTGAAAGAAGTTCAGCTTTTGAAATTTCTAAATTTTTTACTGTAAAACAAATGTTTAGGCATTGGTTAAACTTCAATTGGACCCATATTGATATTAAGATTTAATTGGAATTGTGTGAAACTTAATTTCTTGAAAGTTGGTTACTTTGCTTTTATGTTAGTTGAGGAAATGTTAATTTTCTTTCTTGTGCTAATTTGTCTTAGGGATATGGGTTGACTGAAACTGGAGGCGGGGCAGCAAGGATGTCAGAGCCAGAAGAGACCAAGATGCATGGTTCTGTTGGTCGTTTAGCTGAAAATATGGAAGCCAAGATTGTTGATCCTGTAACTGGAGAGGCGTTGCCTCCTGGCCAGAGAGGAGAGCTGTGGTTGCGAGGGCCAACGGTCATGAAAGGTAATGACTAATTCTTGGCTTGTTTTTACCTGCTTTCTTGTGTCCAGTGTTGTGCCTATCCTCGCTGAAAGCTTTAAACTAATTTAATACATGGGATGTTTTTTTAATTCTTGTGCTTACTTTGTAAGCTTGAAAATGTCTTGCACTTCTTGTTTAGCATCAGAGAATTAAATGGTAGATGCATATCTGCTTTTTGATAAGCACATCGGTGAAAAGTGATAGTACTTGATTTGTTAAATTCATTCTGTCGGGCCAATATATACTGCAAGCAGCAATTTGAGTATTGCGTTTGCTTTGTTGAGGTAGCTCTATGCAATGGTATGATCAATTATGTGTATTTGTTCTTGACTGTAAATGCAATAGGTAGCCTCTGCTATTGCCTCTCCTGCTCATATAACCTCAGCTAAGGTGGTCTTTTTCTCATAAGTTTTCTGATTTGAATCGGTTCTAATTCTACTTTAGAAAAATTTGCACAATCCTTGTTACAGTTTTTGACTACATCTAATCTACCATGTTTATACATAATATATGTCACACTGTTTAAGATGAAGTAGAGATTGATGCATGCCTCCATCTAAATGATATAAATTAAAGGAAAGATGGAAAATTAAATACCAAGACAAAGAGTTAATTGTTTTTCTTTTTTATTGGTGATTGTGTGGAAAATTTAATTTCGCACTTTTAATGTCTTGACACTACTTCTTTCTGGCTACTTAATTATATTTTCAAACCGTTCCACTCAAATCTGTGTGTTAAAGATGAAAGCTTGTTTCTTTATGAGCCAGATGGTGTTAATGCAGGTTATGTAGGAGATGAGAAGGCAACTGCCGAAACCTTGGACTCAGAGGGTTGGTTAAAGACTGGAGATCTTTGTTATTTTGATTCTCATGGTTTCCTCTATATTGTTGATAGGTTAAAGGAACTGATAAAATACAAGGCATATCAGGTGATTGAATTGCCCTTGACCTTTGTGGCCTAATCTTGACTAGCTATAGACTTCATGATTGTAAATTATTTAACTCCTTTATAAAATTATCTTATAACTTGCAGGTGCCCCCAGCTGAGTTGGAACAGTTACTTCAGTCCAATCCTGAAATTGCTGATGCTGCTGTAGTTCCGTGAGTATCTAGCCATCTTATCGGCTGAACATTTTTCTACGTCATAGATTTCTGCATTCTGTCAATTTCTCACAGGCATTTTGCTCAGGACTTCACGAGCTAACTAGTTTTTCTAAGCTTACAAAGTGGTATTTCTCGTATGATAAGTCATAAATTCTTCCCCAGATTTCTGGAATTAGCTGTGAGAATGTGCAATCTTCACTCTTCCTCTTTAGATAGATGTGCTATTACAATAATCTTGGCCGTAATATACATTTTTGGCCGTAATATTAATAATAGCAAGAAGATTCACACCAATAAGGAAAAACTGTTTATGTCGAATCAAGGGCAATACCTTGAGGGTCCAAGAATATGAAAGAATACTGGTGTCCTAGTTTCCCATTGAATTAGCCTGTTAATTAAATTTCATTAGCTTTGTGCATATTTTGTTTGCTTGTGAAGAGCTAACAGGTGTTCTTGTTTCATTGACTCATGATATCTGGAAGCAGATATCCTGATGAAGATGCAGGTCAAATTCCCATGGCCTATATAGTGAGGAAACCAGGAAGAAATATTACTGAAGCTCAAGTTATGGATTTCATTGCAAAACAGGCACGCTTCTCATTACTTAAGTATAACATTTTTCAGCTAAAGTGATGCCCTTATTGTAAAGCAGCTAACAATAACCATGGCCTCAAGTTGCTAGCCAAATTAGTAGTTATTCTTCATTGGCGAGATTTTGAATTCTCCGAAAATGTTATTCAGCCATTTGCATTTGCAGGTTGCACCATACAAGAAGATAAGGCGAGTTGCTTTCATCGATTCTATTCCAAAATCTCCAGCTGGAAAGATTCTGAGACGCGAGCTGGTTATTCATGCTGTCTCTGGTGGTGCATCCAAATTATGATCCATACGATTAGGTTCCAACAACAGACATGTCAAAAACTTGGCCGTACAGAAAAATTAATATCAGAATCTTCACCATTACTGGTTGCAGTTAAACAACCGGCTAGCTGCTGCGGAGGTTTATTAAGTACAGTTGCAATCTGTAATATAGTTATTCTTTGGGGTTAAAAGCTTGCCTGTGTATTATACAATTAAATGATACTCTCTGCTATTGGTGGAGAGCTGTTTCTGCTAGATAAATCTTTGATTGTGCAGGCTCAAGATCAGGTTTGGTCAATTATGATGTCTATTAATAGCTCACAAGTCAAAGAGAAAAAAAGAAAATCAATCCTGTTTTGATTACAATGAAAACAAATGATTCTATTATTCAAATTAAGAAATTATTTAGATCCCATGGAAGATAATATCAATTACTATTTATGGCAACATCGATGGTGGAACCGGCTTGGTACAATTCAAAATTGAAGAAGATTTTTTTGAGTAGTAGATTTTGCAGGCTTCTTTTCTTTGCTGAAGATAAGCAAAGGTAAAAGATAGAAGAACAAGAATTGACAAATGTACGAGATTTCAAACCTAGTGGAACAACAGTAACTAAAAAGGCCAACCAGAAAGAATGCAGTTAAGAATTTGGTTAGGGTAAATACTACTGAATTCAAAAAAAAAAGAAAAAAATGTTTTTAATTTTGACATATATACAATGTGAAAGTGGGAAAGGAATAAAAGAAAAATAGAAAAAAGAAAAAGACGTAAGAGTTGAAAAGCAAAGATGATGTTGGTTGGTGGAACAACCCTCAACCTATATTTGTTGAGGTGTAACTGTGTTTTTAAGAATAAAACAACTGCTGCTTTTGACTAAGAAACCCTACTTGTTTTGTTCGGAACTCTTTCAATGTTGCCTTAAATAAGCTGTGAGGTCGCCCTTTAAAATATCATCAATCATTAAATATTTGAATGGATTAGGAAATTTAAAATATCATCAATCATTAAATATTTGAATGGATTAGGAAATTAGGTCTAATCTTAATTAATATATATTTTTTAATTTTTAAAAAAGTAGTAGTCTTTTTGTCTTATATTTTTTTTTTTTCTTCTTATTCTTATGGATAAATGGATTAGAACTGACTAGGATATGAGATTTGGTTCCTCTAATAAAATCTGCCAATTGCATACTTCATTTTTTTGTACACCACAGTCCTGTAATTGTCGTCAAGTGGATGAAAGTGACAAACTCTGAAAAGATGGCTTTGATAATAGCTGGGAACCTTCAAATATCATTTCATGGGCCTATCACGGCCCATTTATGATTGTGATCGAACTGAATCACGCAATTAATAATATCAAGAGTTTAAGCGAGTTTTGAAGAGTTTTGAAGAATCCTGCACATGGTAGAAAAAAGCTCCCTTCTATAATAAAATAGAAAAACAAGACGATAGGACAATCCCTCCTGGCTCTGGCTAAGAAATCAACCATGTCTTTTGCCATAGTTGATAATGATATACCAAAATAGAGAAGCCCAAGAAACTTCCCAACAGCCCATAAACTGACTCCATTTAATTGAAAAAACTTGTGGTTATTCTTGGTTCCTATGAAGAAGCTCTTTAACCATAATCAACAGATTTACGAGAATCCAGTTAATTGCAAATCTCACCTGAAACATGCTATTCATTGCTTCATGGAGCTTTCCTTCCTGCTGTTCTCTGACTAGGATATGAGATTTGGTTCCTCTAATAAAATCTGCCAATTGCATACTTCATTTTTTTGTACACCACAGTCCTGTAATTGTCGTCAAGTGGATGAAAGTGACAAACTCTGAAAAGATGGCTTTGATAATAGCTGGGAACCTTCAAATATCATTTCATGGGCCTATCACGGCCCATTTATGATTGTGATCGAACTGAATCACGCAATTAATAATATCAAGAGTTTAAGCGAGTTTTGAAGATCCTGCACATGGTAGAAAGCTCCTCTATAATATAGAAAAACAAGTACGATAGGACAATCCCTCTGGCTCTGGCTAAGAATCAACCATGTCTTTTGCACATAGTTGATAATGATATAACCAAAATAGAGAACCCAAGAAACTTCCCAACAGCCATAAAACTGACTCCATTTATTGAAAAAACTTGTGTTATTCTTGGTTCCTATGAAGAAGCTCTTTAACCATAATCAACAGATTTACGAGAATCCAGTAATTGCAATCTCACCTGAACATGCTATTCATTGCTTCATGCGCAGCTTTCCTTCCTGCTTTCTAATGATTTATTGGTTTTAATTAACAACTTGTTTATGTTTGTTTGCTCAGCATTTGAAGACTTTTTAAACTTAATTCTTATGGCAAATGTTGCTACTATATGACAGATTTCCTCCATAGCTCAGCTAGTCGGGATAATCATTTGCCTACATGCGGCAGCAAAGACCACACATAGAGCTCAAAGTGTTGCATCAGTTGCTACCAAATGGCATTCTTTAGTTACTTGCACCTCCAGCGATGTAGGAATGGCAGCTAATAGTGGAAATTTGCAGGCTGCCAATGTGGCCAGCTTACTTCGTGTAAATTACTCAGAAAGTGATCTTGAATCGGTTGACTATGTGCCAATACCTGCATACGCACAATCAACTTCTTCATATCACAAGAGACAAGCTTTTGGTATGCAAAAATGTTTTCTTATCTCTTTTATTTTATTTTCTCCGTTGCAAATTATGTTGTAAGTTACATTTTCAAGTGATTGAATGCTCCTAAAGGGTTCTTGCTTGAGTGCGTTTTAGATAAATTAATCTCAAAGCATGTGATATAATCTACTGAATATTAAATTAGATTGTACTGGATGACTTGATCACACTCGCTGGTCGTTTATCATATTGCTTTTACAAAGTCAAATACAGCTTGCTCTTATGTAGGATGCTTATTTTGATGTTCCAGAAGAACCATTGTAGTTCAGATTTCCATTTTCCTTCTATGAATATCCTTTGCATGGGAAAACGGGAAGAGTAACATTGATCTCAGACTATTATGTTTCATTTTTTGTTTGTGTTGGTTGCATGACATGTTATCTTCTTAAAAAAAAGCAGCTTATTAATTGAAGGTTGTTTCTGTTCTGCAGTAACATATTTGCAGTCCAACCCTGGCGGTTTTTCTGTTTTTGGATGGAGAATTGACCGGACACTCATCAACACCATCTTCTTTCTTGAGATCTCACTTGTGCTTTTTGTACTTGGGAAGACAATAACTTGCACTTAAAATTAGAAAGGAAAAAAATTGCAAACCCTCCTATCTGTGATTTTCTGCTTTCATTTAGGTATGGGTTGTTACATGTATTGGTTAGTTCAATTAGCATGTATGTTTAGGCATTATTAGATTGTTGGCAAAGGATGTTGATGATGCATCATTCGCGTTATTTGTAAAACCTGTATACAGTAAGCTGTTCTTTGATGGTACCTCACATTAAAAAGTTTGCAACTTCACTAGTAATAATAACGACGGAATGAAAATAGAAATAGGCCTTCGTCTGCTTCAATTTTAATCATTAATAATAAAAAGATGTTGCTTTTGCCGAATTGTAAACTTCAATGACTCTTTTTTTCAAATTTTCTTTTAATTAAAGTTTGATATAAATGAATTCAAAATATGAGATTCATTTGTATAAAATGATTGAATTTATATGATTCTGTATAAAATAAATTCTGAAAATTTATTTATTTTTATTTCTTAAAACATCTTTAAAATAATAATTTCACAAAAATAAATAATAATAGCAACTATATTTATGTTATATGCTATATAAAATTATTGCATTTAATTTAGCTAGAAATATATATTTAACTTGAATCTATTTTCTTAATGCGAAAAAAGCTAAAAAATTATAAAATAAAAGATTAAAAATATTAAAATAAAAAAACACAATAATCATTTAAAAAATTTATTACAGTCAAATGATAAAATAAATAAATTAAATAAGTAAAAAAATAAAAATTTGACTTTATAGAAGAAGAGATAATTTTGTCGTAAGTTGTTAAATATTTTACTTTTTATTAGTATACATTAATTTAATTTCATAAAATCGAATTAATTTCCATTTTTCTTTCATTCCAAAACCAAAAATAGAAATTTCTAAACGATCTAATTCACTAATTCACTTTTGCCAAAAGGATCAATACGAGAATTTCATACCACAAAAAGCTGACCATTAAATCAATGCTCAAGAATTTTCCAATTCACAACCGCACGGATACCTTCCTCCAACATATATTATTTCTGTTCATCACGAGTATGGATCCACAGCCATACATGATTCATCCAATAAGAAAGAAAAGGATACAGAAAAAATATTTTACAAAAGGAGATATATATCTATATAATCTATACACAGCAATCAAGTAGATGTTCAAAATTGGTCTTCGCACTATTAACATGATGTCCCAGTGGACCCTTTGATTTACTTCTGTATAAATCATCTTCCTACGATGCATGACTGCAAACATGATCCCAGAACAAACTGAGAAATTCATGATAAAGATCTCCTGGATTCAACAATCAATGCTGACAAATTTCAAAGGTGAGAGAGTACATATTGAAGTATTGGTTGTTACCTCCAATCACCTTTGAGAAGAGAAGCATATATGAGATAACTAATCGAGGAAGAAAACTTGAAGACAGCCAGAAAGTGCACATTCCTAATTGAACATAACAAAGAGGAATTTATTTATCTTTATACACATTACGCACTCAGGTAAGAGTAAAACTTACTAACAATATCCACAAAGGGGAATACCGCCCACATACCAGCTGAATACTTGATCCAATACAAAGTCTACAATATAGCAGCAGTTCTGGTTACCTTCAACAAAGGACCTTAGAGTTCTCAGTTCAAATGGTGGGAGCGGAGTTAAAATCTAATCAAATAAATAGATAGCTAAAGACAACAGAACACTTGTACGTATGCCCCCATACACACAGAAAAATGGTGACAACGCCTTACTAAAAGAAATATTGATCAGGCATCAAATCATTTTTACAGGAATGCAAAATTCCCCAAGTTCACAACGATGCATATTTTGTCAGAAATAGTGCAATGATTCTTTGTCTTATGACAGGATGATCACAAGTAGGGTTGATAACAGTGGAACAGACCCATAAATGTCCTAGCTCCCTAAGGTCACTTCTTGTTCTTGCACTTGCGAATGATATTTAAATAAATAAGTTTCAAGGTATGAAAGAAGTGATTCTAATTTCAAGTGTCTTAGAAAGCTAGTCATGATTTCTGATTGAAAGCAAGAAGAAGCATGTATAATTCAAGATTGAAGCATATTCTCCTACTTTCTCATAAACAACAAGATAGCTGAAAAGATAATGCTGATGAAATGTTGAATGATATGCCTAAATTGGCTTCAAAACACCACTTGCAAGAAAACCAGATACTTGGTTACCATTAAAAATATCGAGTACCTTACAGGTGCAACGGTTTCCGACCTTTCGACTGAAAAGCATCAATGATGTTCTTCCTTTGTCGCAAAGAGTTCCTCTTGCAGACAAAAAAATTATTAAAGGGAAAATAGTGAAACAGCAGTTTGTTACAGAAGAAAAGAGAACTTCAAACATTAAGGTGAGTAGGCTGAATTATTTACACCAATTTGAACTCGAGCTGATTCAAGAAGAACTGAAGATGACTGTTAAAGCACCTTACACCTTACAAGTTCAGGGAGGCTACAGAGGATCATTACAAAGAAAGATATGTATCCCATTGGATTGTCTGAATCAATCTCTTTCTTTTGAAAGAGACAATCCTGAACAGAAAAATAATGCCAAGAGAGTAAAAAAGGTCAACAGTCAAGATCTTCAACTCAGAGATTAAAAGATAATTACAAACACATATCTCCAAGAGGAATACAAGCACCAGATTATTCAAATCCACCAGCCTCGATGAGCCTCACTCTTTCCCCGTTGCTCCACCAAAAATGATTCTGAGCTTCTCAGATACCCAAGTGCTGTAGAGTAATTTGCCACTTCTAGTAGAACAGCTTCTACATCTTCCTTGCATACTGAGGGGGGAAAGTAGGCATGAACTCTTTTTCCTTGGGAAGTGGAACCTCACTAAACCATGGATGATTGAGGGCTGCATCAGCAGTTATTCGCTGCAGTAGCAAAAACAACATTAATATGTATAACAATCATGCAACTTGAAACAGTATATAGTTTTACTACTTGAGACATGGACCATACCTTTTCTGGGTCATAAGATAGAAGCTTGTTTAACAAGTCAAATCCCAAATCGGAGAGAACTGGAGATCCTGTGAAAGATGTGGCAGGAAACTTCTTCCGCAACAAATTATGCCTGAAAAGGATAGCATACTTATTGTTAAAACATGGACAATAATCTTAAGAAGATTAACAAACAAACAAGATGAGAGATGATGTGACATAAATGGGTACTCACGGCTGCTTCACAAAATTTGCTTTAGACCCCGGCAATTTAGAAAAACCAGGCCAACTTGCCTCGCTCGGTGTGCCGAGAACTCTGAAAATCTGCAATTATTTATTTCAAACATTTTACCACTAGAAAGATTAGAGAGGGGAAAATAAATGTGGATAAAACAAGAGTACAGAGCCAGTATAGTTGATAATTACCTTGGCAAGTTGATCGATTTCACTTTTTCCTTTGAATGATGGGTCTTTACCCAACAGTTCAGCCATTATACAACCCACAGACCACATGTCAATGGCTGTAGAATATTGCTTTGCTCCCAACAGTAGTTCAGGGGCCCTGCAAAGTAAACAGTACATGAGCACAGAATTCCTAGTTGCTTCCAATGTTGGAATTTCACAAGATAATTATATAAAATAGCAAACATAGCAAACAACTATATAAAATTTATCTCACCTGTACCACAATGTAACCACAAGAGAAGTATATGGCTTCAATGGGCTCCCATATCGGCGTGACATGCCAAAGTCACATATTTTTAACTCCCCTTGATTGTTCAAAAGAAGATTTGATGTCTTCAAATCCCTGTGAAGCACCCAGTTGTCATGCAGATACTTGACACCTTCCAACAACTGTAACATCAAGCATTTGACCTCGCTTGTACTAAAGGGCTGCTTCATCACCTGCATAAGCCCCTTGAGGTCATGTTCCATGTACTCCATCACCATAAAAACACCATCAAGGCCACTCATGACAACTTCTTCAATATTTACAATTGAGGGGTGATGAAAAGAAGCAAGAATATTAATTTCCCTCAGAGATGACAAGGGAAAGCCGTAATCCTCTAAGTTCCTGTCTCCTCCGACATCCATCTTTACTTTCTTCAATGCCACAAATTTTCCAGTCTTCTTATCCTTGGCTTTGTATACTTTACCGTATGTGCCTTCATTAATTTCATGAAGTTTCTCATACTCATATACACTTCTAGAAGTCTGGGGCATATTTACACCTTTCTGAGTAGTACAATTAGGCTCTTCAACCTCACCTAAACTATCTTGTATCTGGTTAAGAAAACCATTTTCATCCTGGATCCCACCATTATCCATTTTGGAATCATGATCTTCCAACTTGTTTCCAAAATCTTCATCTTCACAGACAGATACTGAACAGGAATCTCGTTGGCTGGAGCCAGATGATTTCAATCTATCTCGAGGAATGCCTTCATCATCAGACAAATTCACATCCCTGGGAGAATCACTCTCAGATGCCCACCGTGACATGGATATGTTCCGTGCTTCAGCAAACTCTTCCTCCTCGTCTTGCCCATCAACCCCATACTTCTCTAGAGGAGATGGAGAGGACAAAATTGCTGGAGACTTGGACCAGGACTCAGGAGCAGATCCTCCTGCCACACGTGTCTCTTCTGACACAAGCTCCAAACTCATAACTGGGACAGCATACTTTGCAGCACCTGCATCCGTTGCATCATTTAGCCCCTTGACAGAAGCACTTGGCGGAGATTGAGAATGAATCGCAGTAGTTGCCGGTAAAACACTATTCTTCAATGCTACTTTGTCCTCCAAGTCCCATATAATAGGGGAAAACTTCCTTCTCTTCTCTGGAGGCAACTGGATTCCATCATCATTCCTCGGTATCTCTCCATCCTCCAACCTTGAGGAATGATCAATGACGTTTCCCTCTTGAAAATAACCCAATATTCCCTCTGCATCTCTACAACTAAGCCCAGTTCTTCGAAAGTAAAAATTTGAAGCATCTGACGAGCTATGGTAGCCATTCTTATATACCACACCATGCTCAACAGAACCATTCCTATTGCGATCAAAGTATTTATTGAAGCGACCATTGTAACCTCTTCTCCTTGAAACATCAACACGCCCTGCCGCCATATTAATAAAGAAACCACAATTTCTTCTCAATCAAAATTCAAGCTCAAATGAATAAAGCACAAACCCACAGATAACCAAACCCCAAACCAAAGAATGAAAAATTTTATTGTCACTTCTCCTTTCTTTTTTTTTTTTCAAAAGTAATCCCAATCAAACCCTAGAAATTAGCAAGATATTACAGATTTGTTTTAGCAAACAAACAAAAATATTAACAAAGAGTAAACTCAACCAGATTCAGCGATAACCAGAGAGAGGAAAAAAGCAATCGATTCAACGCAAAAATCAAAATTGAAAACCCTAGACCATGAATTCTGTGCTCTAGGCCGTCTGTCCTCGACAAGACACAAGAACTGAATGGCCTTACCGGAAGGAAAAAGACAGATCGAAGATATACGGAGGCGCTTTAATCGCAGATGAGGGCCGCAGATATTAAGACATGCGAAGAAGAAGATAAAAGAAAACGATGGAAACGAAACGAAGGTGCTTAGAAAGCCTTTTCTTTTCTTATGTTTCCGTGTGCAGGGTTATTCCGCGTTTCGAATAGTCATATATGGCACATAGAGTCGGTTACCCGTTTTTTAACATACAGTTGGCGGTCATCAGTTTCTCTCGTTCTCTTATTTTACATTTTACTCCCCAGATTTTTATTGTCTTCTTTTCAACTCCTAGGGCCTGCTTGTGGCAGCTAAAAAGGCCCAATGGGAAGGCAACATCAAGGGCCCAGAGGCCTCTTTGATCGTGCAATTGAGGTTTTGGATTTTTCCTTCCGTCTACTGTAGATATATTGGCCAAAAGCCTGGATACAAAACCCACATGGAGTGATAACGCCCAGCCCAAAAGAACTGGGGTGGTTTGCTAGACACTGGTAGAGCAGTGTAAATTGATCAAGATGGCACCGATTGCCTTTCATCTAACAAACTACACCTCTCGAGGCAGGCACAAGTTTCAAAGTCAAGCTTAATATCCCTTCCCTTTATCAACAACTTGCGTCACGTTTGATCAAATGTTGCGCACATACATCCATGTCCTTCACAACGATAACTCTCTATGCATTTATCCATTTAGTCTGGTCTTTCCCTTTATATATTTCAATCTTTCCTTTGCAGGCTCACACCTTAAAATAGAAAGAAGCATTACAAGCGAAAAGACAAGAAACGATGGTAGCGGTTGGTCAATATGATTACTATGCACCGCCAGGCAAGAATATTGGTTCTGGTGCTGGTGCTGGTGCTAGTGCAATAGCTGCCTATGATGCTCCCGAAGGAGTGGAGATTCGTGGCCGGTATGACGGAGAGTTTGATAAGATTCTTACCCGGGACGCCTTGCAATTCGTTGCAGATTTGCAGCGAGAGTTTAGAAACCGCATCAAGTTTGCAATGGAGTGTCGTAAGGAAGCCAAGAGGAGATACAATGAAGGAGCATTACCAGGCTTTGATCCAGCAACGAGGTATATAAGGGAAGGGGATTGGACTTGTGCCCCTGTCCCTCCAGCTGTGTCTGATCGGACGGTGGAGATTACCGGGCCAGTGGAGAGGAAAATGATCATCAATGCACTCAACTCAGGAGCTAAAGTTTTCATGGTAAGTGTATTTAACGGTTAGTACTTCAATTCAGTTCTTGAATTGTGCAAGCCTTTGAAAATAATAGTTGTCATTTTAATAATAGGCTGACTTTGAAGATGCACTTTCTCCAAGTTGGGAGAACCTGATGAGGGGACATGTTAACTTGAGGGATGCTGTTGATGGGACTATAACCTACCATGATAAGGCTAGAAACAGAGTTTACAAGCTTAATGATCAAATAGCTAAGCTCTTTGTCCGTCCACGAGGCTGGCATCTACCTGAATCTCACATTCTCATTGATGGAGAACCCGCAACTGGTTGCCTTGTGGATTTCGGTCTTTATTTTTACCACAACTATGCTGCATTTCGCAGGACACAAGGTGCAGGCTATGGTCCTTTCTTCTATCTCCCTAAAATGGAGCACTCAAGGTATAAGTCTTTTTTACTTCTCCTGAAAAAGAGAAATTCAAATAATAAGTTTAAGCAATTTTGTTATTTAATATTGCAGGGAAGCTAAGATATGGAACTGTGTGTTTGAGAGAGCTGAGAAGATGGCAGGAATAGAAAGAGGAAGTATTAGAGCTACTGTTCTAATTGAAACACTTCCAGCTGTTTTTCAAATGAATGAAATCCTCTATGAATTAAGAGATCACTCTGTTGGCTTGAATTGTGGAAGATGGGATTATATTTTCAGCTATGTCAAGACATTCCAGGCTCACCTGGATCGCCTGTTACCCGATAGGGTTCAAGTTGGCATGACCCAACATTTCATGAAGAGTTACTCTGATCTCCTCATTTGGACATGCCACAGGCGTGGTGTGCATGCCATGGGTGGCATGGTATGTTCAATTTATCTTCTAAAATCATATTCAACATGAAAAAGAGAGCTCATTCTTAATTTTGTAACAGGCAGCACAAATTCCAATTAGAGATGATAAAGAAGCAAATGAAGCAGCACTAGAATTGGTAAGAAAGGACAAGCTAAGAGAGGTTAAAGCAGGGCATGATGGAACATGGGCAGCACACCCAGGACTTATCCCAGCATGCATGGAAGTATTCACAAACAACATGGGAAATGCTCCAAACCAAATTCAAGCCAAGAAAAGAGAAGATGCTGCAAATATAACAGAGGAAGACCTATTACAAAGGCCTCGAGGAGTTCGAACAATGGAAGGTCTTCGCCTAAACACTAGAGTTGGAATCCAGTACTTAGCAGCCTGGCTTACTGGAACAGGCTCAGTGCCTCTTTACAATCTTATGGAAGATGCTGCCACTGCTGAAATTAGCAGGGTCCAAAATTGGCAATGGATTAAGTATGGAGTGGAGTTGGATGGAGATGGACTGGGAGTGAAGGTGACAAATGATCTTTTTGGAAGAGTTGTAGAAGAAGAAATGGCTAGGATTGAAAGGGAAGTTGGAAAAGAGAAATTCAAGAAAGGAATGTATAAGGAGGCTTGCAAGATCTTCACTAGGCAATGCACAGCTAAAACGCTGGATGATTTTCTCACCTTAGATGCATATAACAATATTGTTAGATATCACCCCAAGGGATCATCTAAGCTTTAAATAAATTTCATGTGTTGCCTATTATCAGTTCTGGTATTGGGAGTTCGTCTTTGTTTTATTAATAACACTCCCCTGTGATTTCACTTTTGTTTGAATTCAAGTTCTAATTGAAAGCATATGAAACCCCAAATCAGAAGCTACTGGTTCAATAATGCAAATTTCATGTGAAAGTTCAAAAATTGATGCGCAATATTGAGAAACCGATAACTATTTAGATTGTCCAATCCTCCTCTTTAAGCTATAAACAGTTAAAACACAGAAACGGCAGAAAATGAACAAAAGCTGAGCTAAACAAATTGGAACCATGCCTGAACGATGAACCCAAAATGTTACTTCTGAGTACGTATTTAATATTTTAATTTCTGGCTTGCGCCGAGTGATATACTGTGGAAATCGGGTGAACGACAGCACATAAAGAACTCGTCGTTCTCTCATATAGAACGGCAGCGTTTTATTTATTTAGTTCTTCACATGCCCAGTGGTATTGGGCTACAAATGGGCCTCTAGAGATCACAACATTACAGGCCTGTCCTCTCAATTATTTTGTTTTTTTTTTCTTTATTATTTCTATTTTTTGCTAATTGACTACTTCTCTTTTAATATTTTCCTTTATCTTTTTGTGGTCCCTTGAGTTTTACCATCACACATTCCCACTTTTCTCCTTGGTACAAGGATATGATTAATTCAAAATTTAAGGTGCTTAACTGCCTAATCTAGTAAAATGAAAAGGATTAAATTCATTTTCAAATGGGATCCAAGTTCTAACCTAACTCAAAATTATATATATTTTTTAATAACCAGGAGGTGTAATCTACTTCAAACCATAGAGAATAAATGTTTTCGACCTTTCAATAGAGTATATTTCCAGAATATCGAATTTGTATCCTCATTCTTTTGAAATTTAGACGTGTGTGTGAACAAATTAAATTTATTGATTAAACGACTCTGTGTAAATTTTAATAGTATTTTTCTTTCAAAATTGAAATTGACTCATAACTTGCATATTAATGTTTGTTTTCTCATTTAATCTATAAAGAGCGGTTCAAGTTGTAGCGAGGTGCACTTGATTTTAGCAGATAATTTCTGCAAAATTAAGAATTTCCTATGAGAAAAAACACTTAAAAAAAAGGGTAGCCACAAACTCTAACGAAATTAATCTCATATTCAAAAAAGATATTGGAAACCTACCGAAAAACCTTAAAAAAAAAAAAAAAGAAAAAGAAAATTATTCTTCTCTTTGATTTCCCTTTCGTGTTGAAAGCGGAATAGATATTGAGAATCTCCATGAACAATTAAATTTAGCAATATATAAATTGTTGTTTTCAGTAAGGGAACAGGCAGGTGACCATTTTTGTATGATTCTTCAGTTGATATCATCAACTCATAATAAAATATTCAACCTAATTAACATGATTGTCAATATCATTCCAAACAAAGAACTAAATAAAAATAAATTAAATTAAAAATAATAATCCTTCCCCATTTCTCCAGTCTCAACACAGTCAACCTGGGAAAGATACATGTAAGGGATTCTCATCCTCATTCATTTCCTTTCCACTTTAGCAAAGCTTCCTTGCCATTTCTGATCACTACAGAACGATTAATAAGGTTCGAGCAAGAAAGAAAGAAAGAAAAAAGAATTGGGTTAGGTTCTTTAGTTGCAAACGTAAGTCATACCCAAAATAGCATGTCTAAATTTGACTAAGTAGCATTTAGATAAGAAGTTAAATTTCTATTTTGTTGAAGAAGTGGAAGCTAGCATGTTCTAATATTGTTAGATTTGGACATGTAATTCTTTATTGGATATATAAAAGGTTTGCAAGAGACTAATCTAGCTATTAGTGGACTCTAGTTTAGAAAGTAGAGATGCTCTAGCCCTAGCTTTAAATTGTGCAGTTAGTGCCCACATGAACACGTGGCAGAAACCCAATACTCTAGTTTAAGGCAAGGTTAAATTAATTGACTCATTAAGAACAAGGTTAGAATAATTATTCTAATGTTTTGATGTGTTGAAATCTGATTGGTCCAGGTGTTGAAATGATGAAGTGAGATACAGCTTCTAGCTAAATTTAGGAAGTGTGCCACTAAAATAATCAACAAAAAAGTCGTGCTCTTTGTGGTTTGTTCCCCCCAATTTAATTAATTATTTAATTAATTAATTAAAAGGATTAGGGACATAATCAATGTCTTTATCTTGTAGATATATATAGCATGGAACTTTTTTTACCTCAATTTGATACTGTAAGTCATTTTCTTAGGCTTTTTTTTTCTTTTTTTTACTTCCATTATTAGAAAAGAAAAATGAGTAATTTTCACATGACAGACAAGCCTTATCTGTGTGTTGCATGATGGGGCTAAGAAGATAGCCTCTCTTTTTTTTTTTTTTTTTTTTTTTTTAATTTAATTATTTAATTAATTAATTAAAGGATTAGGGACATAATCAATGTCTTTTATCTTGTAGAAGATATATAGCAATGGAACTTTTTTTTAACCTCAATTTGATACTGTAAGTCATTTTCTTAGGCTTTTTTTTTCTTTTTTTTACTTCCCATTATTTAGAAAAAGAAAAATGAGTAATTTTCACATGACAGACAAGCCTTATCTGTGTGTTTTGCATGAATGGGGCCTAAGAAGATAGCCCCTTCTCTTTTTTTTTTTTTTTTTTTTTTTTTTCCATTTTTAAAATTTGTGTTTTAATTTTTTTTTTTTTTTTTTTTTCCTTTTTAAAATTTGTGTTTAATTCAAAATGATAAGAATAATGAGTCATGAGTAATTTAAAAAATTCATTTATATAGTGCTTTTAGCACATGCATTGCTCCTGAATATATTTTCATAATTACACGTTTCAATTGATGGTTGGAATTTAGGATTTTGAGACTGTTTGTTTCAATTTAGATAAAAATTAAAAAAAAAAATTATTTATTAGTTTCAACTAAATGATTAATTGCTAATTTGAATTTGAAAATCAAGTTTGTCTAAATGAAAAAAGCGCTTTTTAGAACAGTTCTAGTATAAATTATACATTTTATTGTATAAAAAAATTAAAATTTACTCATTATATCACTTTTTAATCATTTAGCAATCAACTCCTGATACCATCTTGTAATCATTCAACTCGCTCAATACAGTTATAAAATTACACTTAATCATTCGATAATTAGCTGTTGATATTATTTTTAATCATTCAGCTCCTCGCTCAATAAGACAGTAAATTCAGATTTAGCCATCAGAATTCAATTTAAACAAATGATAAATATTTTTTTTGAAAATACTTGCTGAATTTGAACAAACAACACAGATACTATGAAATCTTTATTGGATTTGAATCTGACTTTGCTCTTCTACCAAGCAAGAAACCTGTGGAAAGTCATGTGAGTAATGAAAATGGACAGAATTAATTTAATTTGTGAAAAATAATACTAAAACACGTAATTAATTAAAGAAATGAATGGGGCAGATGCCATGTGGGTGGCAGAGACTCGAGGACAAAGGTAGTTCGAAATCCTAAACTAACACATGATATATATTTATATACACACACATCAAATCTAAATAACACATAAGTGTGAGATTAACACATTTAATGATTGGCTCTACTCATTAATCAAAAATTTTATTTGATGGTGAATATTAATTACGTGTAAAATAATAAAATTATTTATCAGATAAAACGTGTGAAGATAACGGAGTTGAATATATATTTTGACGGTTGAAAAGAAATCGTGTGAAGTAGCACTTAAAAAGATGGATACACGTAGTATGGATAAATGATGGAAGAACAAGAAATATTTATTAAAGGGGTTTGATACCGAATAAAAGGAAAGGTCAGTGAGACAGATCTCCACCATTCCTTCCCTTCTCCTTGGTCTTTGGCTTACCCTTTATCTGAAAGGTGACCTAACTCCATTGGTACAAATTCTTGAGAATAGACATTTACAGATGATCTTATCTGAAAGGTGACCTAACTCCATTGGTACAAATTCTTGAGAATAGACATTTACAGATGATCTTGTCTCCTCTAAATCTATATATGTCCTTTTCACTTTTCTATGTTCAGATGCCACTTAGAATTTCTCATTCACATCCCGTCCCCATTTTTCAATGCTCTATATCATTCAACGCCTGCTTTTTTTGAAAATTTTTTACAAAAAAACTTATTTATATATAATAATTTTGTTACTAACTATTTTTTTTATATCAGTCTGTCAATAAATATTATTTTTATATATAATAATTTATTTTTATTTACTTATTTTTCAGTCGAATCAGTATATTTTGAATCTCTTCTATTTAGAGAAAAAATAATAAATAAAAGAGAAAATTTCAATCACTTTTATTAAATTATCTAAATACCGCAATTAAATTAACAACGTTTAACCCTCCCTTAAATACCCTATAATTTAAGTAAGGAGATAATTGTCAATTGTGAACAGTAACGTGTATTTTCCTCTAAAAATTTTTCATTTCCGAATAAATAAAAATAAATTTATATCATTTCTTTTATTATATATCAAAATACAAGTGTTGAAAATAATTATAGAAAGGAAGTTAACTATTCCTAATTATTTTCCTTTATTATTTTATTTCCTCCTATATTTTCCTTCCCTCTCCCCTCCAAACAAAACAGTGACGATACTCTTACTAGTGCTAACCAAAAAAAAAAAAAAAAAAAAAAAAAAAAAGAAAAGAAACGTAAAGCCTAAATATGAAAAATGATTTGCGTAAGGCTAAATATGAGCTGTTAAAGAGAGCCAGAAAATACTTTATATTCATAAATAGGAATGATAACTTTGTTTATCGTTTCTTCCTTATCAACTAAGGACAGTCTCCTGGATTGTTCTAGTTGAGAGCCATGCATTTAATTCCTAAAATCTCAACCATAAGGGTTTTCAAAGTCATTTTTCATAGTATGTTTATGATTGATAAGATTTTGCGTTGTGAAATTATGTCATATACAAACCAAATTTATTAATTTAATATATTAAAAATTCAATTGCTTTATTGATGGGTGTTTCTGTAATCGAGATTACATAATTAAAAAGATAAAAACAAATTAATATATATTTTTCAATATATTTTAATATTCATTTTTTAG